GTGACAGATTTCTCCGCCATCCTTTGGTGACAAGAATCTTCAAGCAATTGACAGCCAGCTCAAGCAAGTTCGCTGGGGCTCTTTTAGTCTCATTGAATATGTGAGACAGAGGAAAGAATGCATATTCGGCTAGTTTGGCGTCTAGCGCATTCTTATTGGCGAGGTCGTTCAAGACATTATATACTGGATTGAGTACTCGGTACACGTCATTGGCAGTTGCTTGTTGGCCTCGAAATTTGAGACCAACGGAGCTCAGTTCGACACATGGCCCACGAAGCTGTTCTCATTAGATCGATATTGTAGGGCACGGGTTGACGAGAAGCACCTTTTTGAAAGACTCCTGGGAATTCTCCATCGGATGCACTTGTATGCAGTACAGGTGGTCACATCAATGAAGAAAAATTGCCATTTGAATATATTCTCGAGAACAGCTGGTAGAGATTTGGATCAAGGATTAACGGTCGTCAGAAATAGAAAGTCCGTGTCAGTTGTCAAAGACCTAGATGTTCCACGATAAGAATCGGCTCTGTAGACCACGACGTCACCGCCCGGGGTAACTAGTTGTATTTTCTGCCGGATATTCATACGGGCGGTATACACGACCATCTATAGTCCACGATGTCTCCAGTATCTTCGTGTTTCTAACGAACTTGGAATTAGTGGTTGCTTGTACCATGGCTGTATGCTCTACAGACTAGAGCGTCTATGTTCAATGCAGCAACCTTGCTGTCAAAGCAAGTATGAGAACTCGAGGGTAGGCTGGTTGCCTGCGTCAAGCTCGCCAGCAATATAAAGCACCACTGAAGTTCTTGAGACTATAGCAACGATTCGGATTCGATTAGAAGCTATCTTCGGGATGGGGACCTACGAATGCAGGATTCTCAGTGAGTGCAGCCCAAACAATATGGCCCACTGGCGAGAATAGATGAGATTGCACGGGTGATAAGATAAGACAGTATCTTATCAATGATAATCGGGCTGGCAGAATAGGCAGGCGGTGGCGATGGCTGCCTAATCCCGTGACCGTCTTTAATTGATCGCGCGTCACGTTCCCACAGCTCCGTCGCGTCCGAGAACGAGTTGCTGCCTTGACTAGACCAGACAGTCGTTGACCATTGCCAGCCTTGTCTCTCCTCTTGGATGCCTGATATGGAGCTGTAGATTGAGAATATTTATAGGACCCCATCTATGCCCTTTCGCCGTGGTTCCATAGTTCCGACGTCTCTACTACACGGCGCGCGGAAACTTCCTACCACCCGTTATACTAACCAGCAACGCGTTTTCAATTCCGCCCCTCTGATTCCTCGTACACAGCTCGCATTACTGTCACGAAGAGGACGCTCTGCATTGGACGATCTTCGTTCATTATCCATCATAACCATGGCCGAAAATAAGGGCCGCAAACAGGCTACATTGGGGTATGCTCGGGACCCCCAGCTGACTCTCGGGTGCGTCGATATATGATCTATATAAGACTGTCACCTGGGCTGGTACATAGAACAAAAATGTGCTAATTTATTCTGCGATATAGGAGGTTTTTTGGTTCCAATGCGGATGGCCCCAAAGATGCCCCCAAGAAGCAATCTACCCTGTCCTTCGGGGGGAAAGGCAAATCGCAGAAGGACATAGCCGACGCTGAAAACCAATCGCCTGAGGATAGGCAGCACGACGATGACGTGGAGATGAAGGACTCGGACAGTTCGAAACCGAGTGCATCGTCAGCGCCCGAAGACGACAATGCGCCAAAAAATGAAAAGGAGATGAAGGAGGAAAGCGACGAGGAGGATGTTCAACCTGCGCCAAAGAGACGACGCAAGAGCCCGGACGCTGCAGCTCAGTCTCCCCGAAAGAACAAAGCTCCATCGCCGAAGAAATCCAAGAATGCCGCAGCCCCGGTTAAGGCGAGCCCGCCGTCCCCGGTCAAGAAGGAAGCCGCACAAGAGACTCTTGAAAGCGATAAATCCGAACAGGAAGAGGCACAGTCTGCAGCCGAGGAGGAAGAGGAAGAGAAACCCGAGCTGATGAAGAGGACAATTGAAAAAGTACAAGAGACTTTGAAAGCGACTGGGCAAGAACCTTACCCGGATTGGAAACCTGGCGCACCTGTCCCGTATGCAGCGCTTTGCACAACCTTCTCCCTCATTGAGATGACTACGAAACGTCTAATCATCCTGGCTCATTGCTCGCTATTCCTCCGACAAGTTCTTCGCCTGACACCCCAAGATCTGCTCCCGACCGTTCAACTCATGATCAATAAGCTAGCAGCTGATTATGCCGGAATTGAGCTGGGAATTGGCGAGTCGCTGATCATGAAAGCTATCGGTGAGAGCACCGGGCGAAGCTTGGCTGTGATCAAGACGGACCAACATGAGATCGGTGATTTGGGGTTGGTGGCTGCCAAGAGCCGATCGAACCAGCCCACCATGTTCAAACCGAAGGCTCTGACGGTCAGAGGTGTGCACGAAGGCCTCCTGGCCATCGCCAAGACCGGAGGACATGGTTCCCAAGAAAAGAAGGTGTCCGGAATCAAAAAGCTTCTTTCTGCCGCAGACGCGGAGAGCGCTGGAAAGGGCAGCAAAGGCATTGATATCACAAAGGATAAGGGTGGGCCCAGTGAGGCAAAGTTTATTGTCCGGTTTCTTGAAGGGAAACTGAGACTTGGACTGGCGGAGAGGACCGTTCTAGTCGCGCTTGCTCAGGCGGTGGTAGCACATGAGGCGGCCGTAAAAGGCGAAAAGAGCCCTTCTGCTGAAAAGATTACTGAGGGGGAAGCGATCTTGAAAACCGTATACAGCGAATTGCCTGCATACGAGGTTATCATCCCCGCTATGCTTGAACATGGCTTGGCCAATTTGGGTAAGGTTTGCAAGTTGCAGCCTGGTATTCCCATCAAACCCATGCTCGCGAAGCCGACCAAGTCTATTACCGAAGTGCTCGATCGCTTCGAAGGGAAAGACTTCACGTGCGAATACAAGTACGATGGTGAACGAGCCCAGATTCACTACGTTGCCCCTGAGGCCGTGCAACACTACCCGGGAGCGACGGCTACTCTTCAGAAGGATAGCAAAGGGCTCAGTGCCATCTTCTCCCGAAACTCGGAAGACTTGTCGAAAAAGTACCCTGACGTGCTGGAGAAACTTAATGGTTGGATCAAGGGCGGTGTCAAGAGTTTTGTGCTGGACTGCGAAACTGTTGCCTGGGACACGGTCAATAAAAAGGTCCTCCCATTCCAGCAGCTGATGACTCGAAAGCGAAAGGATGTCAAGGCGGAGGACGTCAAGGTCAAGGTGTGCGTCTTTGCGTTTGACCTCCTGTTCCTCAATGGAGAGGTAAGATAATACGTTCCCCCCCCCCCCCCACTCTTTAGTTCTCTCTATCCCATCGATAGTTGCTGACTCGAATCCTCAACAGCCGACAGTGAAGAAGTCCCTACGGGAGCGTCGAGAACTCTTACACGAGTCTTTCAACCCCATGGAAGGAGAATTCCAATTCGCCCAATACGGCAACACAAGCTCCGTCGACGAAATCCAAACCCTCCTAGACGAAAGCGTCAAAGCCTCCTGCGAAGGCCTCATGGTGAAAATGCTAGACACGGAAGAAAGCGGCTACGAGCCGAGCAAACGCAGTCGAAACTGGCTCAAGGTCAAAAAAGACTACCTCGCCGGCGTAGGCGACTCCCTCGACCTAGTCGTCCTGGGCGCCTACCACGGACGAGGAAAACGCACCTCCGTCTACGGCGCATTCCTCCTCGCCGCCTACAACACCAACACCCAGACCTACGAAACAATCTGCAACATCGGCACGGGGTTCTCCGAAGCCGCCCTCGAAGAGATCTACAAGGCCCTATCCCCGCTCGTCATCGACCGCCCAAAGCCATTCTACTCGCACTCCACCGTCCCCAAAGACCAGCCCGACGTGTGGCTCGAGCCGCGCTTCGTATGGGAAGTCAAAACAGCAGACCTGACCCTCAGCCCGCGGTACCAAGCCGCAGCGGACGAATTCGTCGGGACGACTGGCGGAGGCAAGGGTGTGTCACTTCGGTTCCCGCGGTTCATCAAAGCCCGCGATGACAAGAAGCCCGACGAGGCGACATCCACGCGAGCGGTGGCGGAGATGTATCGGAAGCAGGAGGCCGTGCTGAAGGAGAACGCAGGGAAGAAGGGCGTGGATGATGATTTTGAATATTGATTTCACCTATCCCCCCCCCCTGTGGCTTTTTCTATACATCTTTGGCAAGCCAGGTTTGGCCGTCTGTCTGTAGAATTCATTCCGATTTCATTCCATGTTGGCATGGAATCCTTGTATGCACTGGATAACGGGCGTTTTGATCGTGTACTATTACTTTTCTCGCATGGCGATGTTTTACCTACCTATCGTATCTACTATCTACCGATATTCCCAACTGAACGAGCATATAATATTCTTGACGAACGTTCATTCCACATACGGTTAATAGTTCATAGTTCCGAAACAAGACGACACCCAGTTACTACCGCTGGGGGTCCAGCATACATAGGTAGCTAAAGCCATTCAACCAACATACTACAACCAAAGGAATTACAACAATCCTCTCGCAGAGTACGAAAACCATAGTAAATGCTATCTCAGTATTCACAATCTAGCATTGGCGTAGCCAACAGATGCGTATACACAGTTATAGACGATATTGCCGAATCGACCCCCAAAACCAACATGGCATTGTCGTGATGGTCACTATGCTCGCCGGCAATATGCGGCTGTACAGTGCACTGGTAAGAAACCCCTGCTTTCCTGTTTTGGCGCGTGGTTGAATATCGCCCGTTGAAAGAGCTTTTCCCTCCCTCGATGGAGAAGAGGCTATGTAGATGAGGGCGTCTTGATGTACAGGCCGAGTTTTTCCAGGGTACTGCTACCATGATATCATCGTAATGATAGAGCACAGCTCTCAGTATACTTTTGGTCCCCGCTGCTAGGCAAATGATACCCATCAACAAAACAACAAAGTACAGCAGATACTAATATCATAACTCGCCACCCCCCAACACAGGCTCAATATCCACCCCGCCCTGTCGACCAACGTCAGAAACAAACCCGGACTGCCGGACTCGCAAGCCAAAATTGACCAGAATGACCACCACCAGTCCAACGCCCACGACGGTGGGTCCCCATTTCTCATAGTACACTCTCTTCACGTCGCGGCGCTTGCGGATCTTGTCGACGCGCCAGATGTACAGCACCAGACTGTAGACGAGGGACATGGCGGCTAGGATTGTGAAGGCCCAGGAACAGCCGAATGTGATGTAGTCGTCGCCGAAGTTGAGGAGGGTTGCTGCGATTGTGGCTAGGAGGATGGAGAATTCGAGCCAGGAGAGGAAGGTTCGTTCGGCGGCGAAGTAGACTTTGGGTTCGACGCGGACGGGGACGTGGATACCTGAGCGTGTGTTAGAATTGAACACAGAAGGATGTACTAGTTAGGTGGGGTAACTTACGTTTGCCCTTGGGCGCCACGAATCGCTTGACGCTGCGCTGGTTCCCTATCACGGCGATACCTGAGGTTTCTGGGGGAGGTAAGGTCGTCGGTCTCGGGCGTGGCGTGAGAGCATGAAGCGTGTTCACCAAAGCATGTCCCATGCGGTGAGAATAGTGTTTGAACAGCTGTTTGTAGTAGTACGTCCCACCCACCCGACGGGCTTCTTCCAGCTCATCGGAGTCTACAGACTCTTCATCGGAATCGTACAAAGGGTAGTCTTCATCCCCCGGCAGAGGCTGAGCAGCGATGCGCTCCTCAATATCCAAAGCGTTCCCGCCCGCGCCCGCGAAGAGAACATTTGGGGGACTTTGGTCTACTGCTGGCGCTTCGCGGGCCTGTCCATTCGTCGTGTCCTGTCGCGCATCCAAGTCGTCATCGTCCGACTCATCATCCTCTTGGGTTTCATTTGCCGATAACGAAGTACTTGCCAAGGGCCGTTGAATACCAAAGCGACGATTGGTGGGTTTCCGGATATCCACATCCATCTGCGGCATCCAGAATGGTAGTAAATTGATAAGGTCGGGGAACAAGGTCGCCGTTCCGTGGATGAATTTGCTGTATTTGGGCACGGCCTCCACGAGATGACTGGCGGTCAAATCTCTAATCCACATGGGCGGTTCCTGCCCAGCCTGAGTTTGGAGCTTGACCTCAAGCACAGCATAAGGGAATCGCTCGATATCTTCCGGGGGCAGTTGGGAGAAGGGAAAGTCGACGCCAATATCCATGCGACGCCAGTTGTCTCCCGCTCTCCGACGGCCCATGTTATCTTCTCGGATCATGGAAAGCTCGGTGTCGAGCGAGATGCGGACTCTGGCATCTCCAGGTAGCTGGAAGGCCGTGCGATGGTAGAAGGTCCTGTTGACCGGCTTCAACCGCCGGGTGATCACGCGATATTGGATCTCTCGGGCTAATTGCTCCAGGTCGTCGATCTCGCTTTCGCTCTTCTTGCCCTCCCTTCGCATTTTATCGAAGATGCTCTCGACGGTTATGCGACCCGCCAGATACGCATTCACGTACTTTTCCTTCAAGCTGAAACGCGCCTTGACCGACTTCTCTCCGGTCCAATCCTCGCGATGCGTCTTGCGCTCGACGAAGATCTGATCGCTTTCCATGCCACCGTACCAACGTAACCGAATCGCTTCTGCACCCTCTGTTTTCTTCAAGCGCCCCATGTACAATTCCCACGTGTCTGGGTTGTCGAAGTAGACGGAAGAGATGGCGGTGTCTTTCTCCTCGAATTCTTTGCGGGAATTGAAGACGAGAACAGGAAGGTGCTGTTTTAGTGTCAGATTTGCCTGGTTCACACAGTAGAAGACATACATACCTTTAGGATAATAAGCTTGAGCTCCGTGATATTATCAGGGTGCACCCAGTACTTGGTCGTCTGACGGACGAAATTCTGCTGCGTACCGCCCGCAGACGAGTCACCTTTGACGGGCTTGCCTTTCGTCCGGACGAGGTCATATAGTTTGGAGAGCTTGATAACAAAGGCATCATAGTTATCTTTGAAGAAGGGCTTTGCATTGAGGCGGGCCGCGAAGACGGGCTTAAGATGCCAGCCAGTTCCTTTCTAGAAGACATTAGCTTTTTTTTTTTTTCTTTTCTTCTTCTCTTTTAATAGCATAAATAAAGAAGACACATACATCATGCTTCTTAATAATCTTCTGAAACCCCGTATAATTCAGCTGCGTGAACTTGGCCAAATCATGCACATCAGCAATGATGTCACTCAGCATCTGCTCCAGGAGCCAAAAATCCTCATCGGAAGGAGCGCCGCCGGCGCCCGCACGGACGGAGCTCCCTCTCCGCGACGAGTCCGAGGCCCTGTCAAGTCGGGCCACGACGGAGGAAACCTCTTGCTCGCTAGCCTGAATGCGACGGACGATCTCCTCGCTCTTGATTTTCTGGAAGTTGAAGACTTTATCGAGCTCGCTCTCGAGCAGGCCCACGAAGTTCTTCTCGTCGTCTTCCGTCCAGGGCTTGCGGTCGGGTTTGGGACATTCGGGGGTCGGGTCGGTGACGTATTCGGTTTTGAGAGCTTTTTTGAGGTCGTCGTAGGCGATGTAGTACCAGTAGAACTCCTTGATTATGGAGGAGCGGAGGTGTTCGCCGAATCTGGGGGACAGAGATTGTTTAGTAACGAAAGGTGGTGCGGGCGGCGGGCTTGTGAGATGGGGAGTGAGAGCTTACTTCATGATGGCGGGCTAGGGACGCTGGTCCCTGCGTATTAGCGAGAAATATGATTTCAGGATGTGAGAATCGAGGTCAGGTCGGATGTGTGTTAAGAATGAAATTGGCGAGAGAAAGCAGTCTTATCGAGCTAGACGGGGCATGGTGAGGAGACGCGAATAGAGAATTGGAGGAGGGGAAGAGAAAGAAAGCGATGAAGAAGGAAGTGCGCGCAAGCTTGACTTGGGTGGAAACCAGTGGAGAATAGTAGTAAATCCCAAGTAAATCCCAAGTCCCTAGTGCAGGTAGACGAAAAGATGAATGAGCAAAGCACTCCCCGACTGAAGAACGGCTCCAGATGACTGCGGAACAAGTGGGTAAGGAGCGAAAAGAGTGGCTCCTGCAGGTATATGGACCATGGTGGAGATGGACGATTCCCTCGATAGTTACAGCGAGTACTTGCATTTGGGTGCGTCCTTCACCGCAAATGAAGTACCAGTTTCTGTATTTGTCAGATACCAGCTTTACCAGAGTGTCCGTTGCTCCAGTGCTGCAGATAGATACAGAGCACTTTTTCGACCATCTCAGTGACATCTGAAAGCTCAAACTTAGGTAAAAACAACAAGATACTGGCGGACCCTTGTCATGGAGACCTCTTGGCCCCAAATCCACCGACTCGGCCGGCGTCTCTCAGCCAGTCAGTCGTGCATGCGCCCGCTAGGGAAACCTCTTGGATGACGCCATCCCCGGTCGGGTTCGGGTGGTGGTATTGTATCCTCTGTAATCTATCGTATTCACTGTATTTGACTGTCCCGATGGAGACTCTTTAAATTAGAGTTATTTTATACAACCGAGATTTAATTGGATCCAATTACTATAGTCAGTTATACATACTAGACTTTGTACTTAAAGAAGCCTAATGTTAGTATCTCCCTTTCATATCGAAAATCATACCCCAAATGTCCAGCTGGTTCTGCCTCCTGCCAATCCGTCAGCTTACGTTTAAATTGACAATGAGCCAGGGGTTTTGCAGCATACCCTTGCGCTGGGATCGACGATGCGTCAACAAGTCTTGGAGGCGCCCGCCGGGAGTGTCGAGGATTGGGCACTGCCTGCCCTGAGACACACGCCAGGGAGTCACGTGTGGCGCCGGAACGCCTCCCGTCCATGGGTGCGTCCTCGCAAGGCAAGGTCTACTACAGAGCTACTGGTGGTGTCTCAGCCTTTCAAGCCCAGACCCCGACATCCAAGTGAGAGTTCAATCAATCCCATTTACTTCTAAGTAATCAACTCTTGAATACACCCCGAACCAAGATCCAAGTTCAATGTTTGATATTAATGTAGTCCGTTTCATCGTGGTCTCATCACCAGGCGATCGCAGGTCATTCTTATTGAAGGGTAATCCCAACCCGTCGGATGCTCCTCCGCGCCCCTTCGCCCAGCACGTGGACGGCGCCTTCGGACTCCAGCGCCCGCACCGCGTCGGTAAACACGCCGCCGTCCAGCCCGTCGCTCTTCTCGTTCAGAGTGCGGTAGAGATCCGCCCAGCGAGCGGTGCCGCCACTGCCCACTTCGTCGATCATTCCCATGATGCCGCGCTTCAGGGCTTCCTTGTTGCGCCGCTCGCTGGCACTGGTGCCCTCCGTCAGCAGCCCCATGTCGATCAGGCCCGTCCGGGAGTCTGTGGCTGACGCCTTGATGGCCGACCGGATCAGACGGACGGCCTCCTCCACGTCGTCGGCGGTCACTTCGGGGGACAGCCTCATGCGGGCGTGCGCCTCGGACAGTCGGATCATCGATTCCAGCTGGCGGGTTGTGGCGGTGATGCGACGGTCAGCTGACCGGATGTCATCGCCGAGGCGACGCATGCTCACGTAGGCGTCGGAGAGGGCGCTTCCCGCGGCGGGGGTCAGTTTGGGGTGAATGTTGGCTTTGGCATACGTGATGTAGGCGGTGAGGAACTCAATGGGCTGTTCATTCCATAGTCAGCAATCTGGCTCGGGGTCTGTTGCGGGAACAGAGGGAAGATACTTACCAGGATCTCTTCCTCGCTGGCATTCTCGGGTCGGTCCTCCAGGTACATGTTGACCAAATGCTTGGCCAGCCGGCGGTCTTCTTGCTCGTTCACGCGGTCCAGAACCAGGTAAACCAGGTCGAAACGCGACAGGAGGGTGGGCGGCAGGTCGATGTTCTGCGGCACCGGAAGACTTTGGTTGTATTTGCTGCCAATCGGGTTGGCGGAGGCCAAGATGCTGGTTCGGGCGTTCAGCGTCGTGATGATACCGGCTTTGGCGACAGACACGGTCTGCTGCTCCATCACTTCGTGGAGAACCGACCGGGTCGATTCGTTCATCTTGTCGAACTCGTCGATACAGCAGATGCCACCATCGGAGAGAACCAGGGCACCGGATTCGAGCACCATCTGGCGCGTTTCCGGATCACGCGTCACGTAGGCCGTAAGACCAACGGCGGAGGAACCCTTACCGCTGGTATAGACACCTCGAGGCGCGATCTTGTGGACGTAGCGGAGAAGCTGGGACTTGGAGGTGGAGGGATCACCGCACAGGAGGATGTTGATATCACCGCGATACCGGGGGCTCCCGCCCTTCTCAAAAGATTTGTTGGTGCCACCGAACATCTGCAAGAGGATACCCTTCTTCACGTCGTCCATCTCGTAGATACTCGGAGCCACGGAGCGCGCCAGGAGTTCGTAGACGTCGGGACGGGTGGAGGTCCGCTTGATCTTCTCTTCCTCCTCGGCGGAGATCTTGCGAGTCTGTTCGGAATCACCGGCGGTCTGCTCCGACAGTTCCTGCTCGATGGTTGAGACGTCGACGCCCAGCTTCTTGCGATCGGTCTTGAGAACATGCAGCACGTCGACGTAGGTCTTGAAGAGAGCTCGCTGGGTCCGCTGGCGAGGATTTACGCGCACCGGGTTGCACCGGAAGATGCCGGTGACCTCGACTCGGTCGCCCGCTTTGCAGATATCCACCAGCTCGTCGTACACACAGAGCGAAACCGAGTGAGGGGTCTGGCCGTCCGGAACGTTATCGGGTGTCTCCTGTAGCTTGATGACCTGTTTGTCGGCGAATGTGCAGCGGTTGTGGACGATCTGCATGGAGTTCTTCTCCTGGCAGACTTGCCGAGGGCAGATGGTGGGCTCCGCGATCTTTCCTCGGTCAATGTCCACCTGGACCGAGTGATTGCACATCTGGCAACGGAAAAAGGCTGTGCGGAATTAGTCGCGCCCTGTCTACAAGGAGTGCTGTACAACATACCTTCTTTCATGTCGGGAATAATAGGAGTGGCTCGAATGACCAAGCCCTTGATGCTGACCAACTTGTCCATGTCTGTGCTCGATATTAGCATAGCCATCGGGGCGTCTCCGGAAAAGAGTATGACATACCAGCGGGATCAAGCTCTCGCATGTTCACGGTGGAGTCGAGGCCGAATGGCAAGACCTTGAAGGCCTTGGTCTCGACTTCTCCCACCAAATCGGGAATCTCGGTCTGAGGCATCCGGCCCGTCTCGCTCAGCGCATCGGAGCTGGGGGCGGGAGGAGCCGAGCTCAGATCCCTCGAATGATTCTGATTGCGCTGGGAGTGAGTCCTCAGACGTTCCACCTCCTTGATCGCTAGCTCCACCATGACGTCTTTCACGGTCTGATCCATCAGAGGAATGATTTCCTGGGGGTAAGCATGCAGCTGATGCCACAGCTTGAGTGTCGACGGGTAGGCCTTGAGGTTCCGGGCGTCCAAGTTCATGCTAGTGACACCCAGTTGACGCATCACGTTCAGCATGTTAATGTACTCCTTCACCTCGGCCGCATCTCCCATACGGCGGGTCTCGTCATCACTGGCCCCATCCCCCCATAGTCGGTATTTAGTGGCAAAGTTGTAGAGGAAGCTTTTGAATGCCGACATAGAGTCCTGGATCGAGATATTCGTACCCCAGATCACACGGGTCGAGCTGCCACCGAGGGCTTCAGCCTCCGAGGTATCCGGGTGAATGTTGGAGAACGTCGCGTCGGACTGAGGCTCGTCAGTGCCGGCCGGCATGCCGTTAGCATCGACGAAGACCCTGCGTCGACGGCTGGGGGTAGAGCCGAAGCCACCCGCGTCAAGATCATTACGGCGGGGCGCGGTGCGCTGGCCACCGGTTGCGGAGCGGGACGACACAAACAGGCCACTACTGCTGCTGGGGATATCAGATCGTCCCACTGGACGGCTGTGTGCACGCGTGGGGCTGGAGCTCGACATGTATCGAATGGGCGACGAATCTGTTCGGCGGTTAGTGAGTAGGGGCCATGTCAGGATCTTAATCTTATTTACCTCTCATAGCCTGTCCATTCCCCCGTGGTGTGGTCTCCCCGTCATTCATCGACGAGGGCGCTCGCACTGGTGAGCTCGGTTCATCCATCCTGACGTCCGGGGTCTGAGCAGCACTGCTGTTTGCTTTCGACGGCGAGGATTGGAAGAACATGGGAGACGACGACGGCACGGCCGCTTCACCCCTGATGCGTCTCGAAGCACGAGGGGTTGTCTGCAACTGGTCATCTCCTCCGGGAGTTGGACTGCTAGTCTGGGGTTGCTGGCGAGAGCGAGTCGAGCGGGCAGGAGAATCGGTGGCCGAGTCCCTCGTTGGGCGACCCCTTCGACGGGAGGAGGCCGGTGAAGACATGGAGAGTCGGTCCTAAAGGACGAATTGCTGCTTGGTCTGTTTTTTTCTAACACTGACAAATAATCTCGAGAGAATCCTGTGGGGGGTATAGGAAATAAAGGAAGCAAAGGGGTGGTGGGATGGAAGGGAGAGCGGCCAAGGGACGAGTTGACGTTGGAATGGAGATTGAGATTGATCGATTGTGGCTCAATCTCCGCCTCAGTAATTTTTCATGTTGGAGCTCAACGCGTCCGACGCGACCCAGACCGCCGTGGACGCGTTAAGTGGTTTCCTCTTTGGGCCGACGCGATGGTCATTCACGTCACGTGATATTTGGAGATCCCTTATGTAAGCGTCTGCCTCGTTTCCTGCACCGCCTCCATGTGGCGTCCAATCAGCACTCGAGTGGTTGATCAGGCATCCATGGTTCAGGCCGAGTGTTCCCCTGTTTATCTGGCCTGATTTGGCAGGCATCGACGAACCATCAAAGAGAAACCCCCGGGGTATGGAGGAGTTCATCCTTGCAGACATGAAACACCATGGCTCTACTGGATGCGGTTCAAGATAGATTCTCAAAGTACGAAAAAGTACGAATCTACTCCATACCCTGGGATGATCACGTAGCGAGGGGACGTCCAACGCTGATCCATCTTTTAAGTTTACCGCCGGCGTTCTGATCCCCGCTGCTGCATGATCCAGCTCTTGAATGCCGGTCTCGACGTCAGATCTTTGTACCATGCTCTGCTGTTGTACAGTTGTCTGTCGGCATCACGTGTGGAATTATAGGAGGGGGTTTTAGTACGCGAGCAGTGTGTCCTGTATATATGGTCGTGTACTCGTTGTTTTGTCTACTACCAAGCCTATCATTGATTCGTGCGAGGTTCAACATCAATGGGATATTTATTGAAACCATCTGAGACACGATCGGCTATCCAAGAAACGTCCACCGGATCAACTTGATTGAAATGACAAACTGGATTTACTGTTTCAGATCTATGCTGTGCGGTATAGATTGGCCTCGGGAGGTCTCCATCTCATGTGTAGCCTGCTAATTGACGTTTCCGTTCTTCTTTCTATATTGTAGTGTTTTGGTCTTTGAGATGAACCGGTCGCTATCAATGCTGTAAGTGGATAGATGTATATTTTCATCCAGATAGAAGAATATAAGACCTGTCAGTTCATCTCAATCTATAATAGGAGGTCCTTCCCCTTACTACTACATCTCAAGATCACATCCCTACTTTGTGGTTCAGGATTCGTTAGAGAGCGTCAATGTTTCGTCTCACATATGCAGCTGCTCTTCTCCATTAATCCCTGACCTTACTCAGCTACAAGCCCGAACAAAGCGGGATCCCAACGGTCCAGTCGTTTCTCGATAGATCCAGGAACGAAGTAACCCAAGAGAAAAACACGAGGGACCAGGAGGCTAAACCCGAAGGGGAACAATCAGGGACCGATTGTGGTAATATGTTGACTCCCCACAAACAGGAAATACTCGGGGACAATCAAATATGATCTTGGAGATCAAAGAAAAGATCGCTATAATTAACTAACAAAGGTGCGACGACCTCTATTAGCGCCCAGAAATCCTACACAAAGGATCACAGGAAAATCACAACATTAGGGAAGACCGCCCTTGAGCCAAAAGGGTTTAAGCAAGCGCCAACCGTCTAGTTTCAGCAGGCGCTTGATGTCATTTCGAGCCCAATTGGAACGATCATCCCCTTTTCCTGGATCCCATTGCAAGTTGACCAAAGACCCAACCCTTTTCCACAAATAACGGCGCTTCTTCACACTAGACTTGGCATCATCTCGGTTTCTGAGTGGTTGAAAGGACTTAATAGTTGGTGCCACTGCTGTCATGTCCTTTGTTGATAACCCTGCCTTTTACCCTTTGTAGTGGCGTGGTGATTTGTCTCCTCTTAGGCTTCTCTATTCTTTTCCTTCCTTTTCTCCGTCTTTTGTCTTCTTCTTTTCCTTTCTATTTCTTTTCTTTTCTTTTTTTTTTTCTATTCTGGAAATTTACCCATTTCCGCGCTCCTGGTTACTCAATTACTTCAGGGTGACGCTGCCTGTGTTGCTGAATTGATCGCCTCAAATTTTTGTCCTTCTTTTTCCACCATTCAAATCGATCCAACACTCGAACCGCGTGATGCATGGTCTCACCTCCCTTACTTGTATCTGGGTGTAGGACTTGGTCTTCTTTAATCCGACTGTCTCCGTCACCCGTTTGAGTCCACCCCCGTGGGGACTACCTTTGCAATCACCATGTCGAACATGTCGAACATCTCGAAGGACCTGGGTTCCGCCCTGGAGGAGGCAGGCCATACCGGTCAGAAAAGCGCGGGAGTCTCGATTAACACCTTCCTCGCGTCATTAGCGACGGCGATCGTTGTCTTTGCCGTCGAATTCATTCTATTTATGCTGCTGAAAGGAAAATTGACCCGCATCTAGTGAGTTCCTTGGTACCCTGGTGGATCTTGAAGCGGCCCAACATCGCTAACCGTGCATTGCTTCTTCATAGTCAACCCAGGACATATTTGGTCCCCGACAGAGAACGTACCGAACCGTCGCCATCGGGGCTCTTTCGATGGGTCGTTCCCGTCTTCCGTACCTCCAGCTCCGAGTTTATCCAGAAATGCGGTCTCGACGCCTACTTCTTTTTGCGATACCTACGCATGCTTCTCAAAATCTTCCTACCTTTGGCTTTGCTGATCCTACCCATTCTTCTTCCCCTCAACAAGGTCGACGGCAAGGACCAGACGTACAAAAATGGCACGGATAGCGGTCCACGCTGGAATGTTACGGGTATGGATCGACTCTCCTGGGGCAATGTCGCCCCGGAGCACTCCCATCGTTATTGGGGCCATCTGGTTATCGCCGTCATTGTCGTCATCTATGTCTGTGCCGTGTTCTTCGACGAGCTGCGGGGCTATATCCGTCTACGCCAGGCTTACCTGACGTCTCCTCAACATCGACTCCGTGCATCGGCGACCACGGTTCTAGTGACCGCCATCCCGGAACGCTGGCTTTCGGTGGACGCCCTCGATTCACTCTACGATGTCTTCCCCGGTGGGATCCGCAACATTTGGATCAACCGGAATTTTGATGATTTGAATGAAAAGGTGAAAGAAAGGGATGCCCTGGCTTTGACACTCGAAGCCGCTGAGACCCAACTAGTAATCAAATGCAAAAAAGCCCAGTTAAAACAGGCCAAGGCGGCGGCGAAAAAGGAGGGGAAAAGTGCGGCTGAGGTCCAGAAAAAAGAAAAGGAGGCCGCGGATCGAAAAGCATCCCGTCTCGCAATGGAGGCTGGTATTAGCTCCGGTGATCCACACCAAGCCCATACCCTCAACGAGGTCCTGCACCGTGACCAATCTTCGTCGCACGCCTCCGACACCGGGGGCTGGAAGCGGCTGAACCCCCTCGATCCCGCTATGGCGGCCGCGGGAGCAGTTGGTCACGGGGTGGGAAATCTCGGGAAATCCGTTTTTGGGGGTTTCAAGAAGACGGATGGGACCTCGGGCGGCTCGGAAGGCGCCCAGGGGCGGGCTCATAGCTCCCCCCAACCCCAAGAAGTGTCGAATGATACGGGTCGGCGCAAGTCGCGCTCATGGCCGGAAACAATGGCGGATGACATGGATCCGTTTCAAAACAACGAACAGGATGACCGACCAAGCACTTCGGCGACGCCGCCAAACACAAAATCCAGGCCGCCCTTGTGGAAGACCCGGCTCTCAAATAATTCGAAAGTGAGCAACAAGACGGAGCCCGATGAACTTCCCCTGACCGCCCCCGAGACACCGACGAACGTGGAGGAAGTATCCGGGTATGAACAGGACGAGTCTTCGATGGAATCAGTGGCCCGCGAGAAGAGTCGTGCGGACACCCAGAGCGATCGAAAAGAACGGAAAGTGTCTGAAGATGAGTATCCGGCTGCGTACAACCCGGACTTTGACAAGGAAGACTTTGGGGAGCCAGCGTGGAAGACGTACCTCAAAGACAAGGACCGCGAGACCATGCGCCTGCCGATATTCGGGATCAGCTGGATGCCCTCCCTCTGGCTCATGGGGAAGAAGGTGGACACCATCGACCACTGTCGAAAGGAGCTCGCTCGTCTGAATTTGGAAATCGAGATCGACCAACAAAACCCCGAAAAGTTTCCCCTGATGAACTCGGCCTTTATCCAGTTCAACCACCAGGTGGCGGCACATATGGCGTGCCAGGCCGTCAGCCACCATACGCCTAAACAGATGGCGCCCCGGATCGTGGAAATCTCGCCGGACGACGTCATCTGGGACAACATGTCGCTCAGATGGTGGGAGCGTTATCTGCGAACCTTTGGCATCCTCACACTCGTTTGCGGGATGGTCATCGGGTGGGCGTTCCCCGTGGCGTTTACGGGATTGCTTTCGCAATTGGCCTACCTGCAGGATGCTTTCACCTGGCTCGCTTGGCTTTCCACCTTACCCGACTGGCTGGTCTCTGCCATTCAAGGTATCCTGCCTGCCCTCTTTCTCGCAATCCTGATGGCGTTGCTCCCCCTCATGCTGCGTTTTCTGTGTCGTGCGCAAGGCCTTCACACCGGCATGGGTGTGGAACTCACGGTCCAGAACTACTACTTTGCGTTTATGTTTGTCCAGCTGTTCTTGGTGGTTGCGGTCTCATCCAGTTTTTCCACGATCATCAACAACGTGACCAACGTCACTTCGTGGCCGGAGCTCTTGGCTCAGAACATTCCCCTGTCCAGCAACTATTTCTTCTCATACATGATCCTGCAGGCCATGTCGGTGAGCGCGGGTGCACTGGTGCAGATTGTCAATCTGGTGAGCTGGTTCATTTTCGGGCCGATGTTTGACTCGACCGCCAGGACGAAGTGGGCCCGAACCACCAACTTGAACCAGATGCAGTGGGGGACCTTCTTCCCGGTCTACACTACACTCGCGTCGATTGGCCTGATCTACTGCGTCATCTCGCCCTTGATTATGGTGTTCAACGTGCTCACCTTTGGCCTGTTTTGGTTTGTCTACCGGTACAACACCCTCTACGTGACCAAGTTTCGATTCGACACGGGCGGGCTGTTGTTCCCTCGGGCTATCAACCAGTTATTTACTGGGATCTACGTGATGGAAGTGGCCCTGATCGGCCTCTTCTTCCTCGTCCGCGACGTGGATGGCACCGTTGCCTGCGAGGGCCAAGCGATCTGTATGATCGTCGTCCTCGTCCTCACCATCGGATATCAGATTTTGCTGAATGAGGCCTTTGGGCCGCTAATCCGATATCTGCCTATCACGCTGGAGGATGATGCTGTTCGTCGGGATGAGGAGTTTGAGCGTGCTCAACGGACACGGCTTGGGTTGGCCAGTGATGATGACGAATCGGATGCTGTCCAGTCTCGGTGGGCCCCAGAACGACAAGCCAGCGGGTTGACGCCCGAGATTGAAATGAAGCAGATCGAGTCCGACGCGGGGCGGGGAAATAGCCAGACAGAGGCCAGCCCGGCGCGCTTGATGCCTAGGCGGCAATCTTGGGTCGATCGGTCTCCAAACCAACGATCGAAGTACTTTGGCAATAGCTCAAGTACGTCGGTCCCGACCATACAGCGTATCCAAGAGGATGTAGCGCAGGATGCAGAATCACAAGACCCCTCTCCGCATCGCGCAGGCCGCGCGCTGTTTGCCGGAATTCAAGACGAGCTCGAGGATCTGACACCCGACGAGCGCGATCAGCTGGTTCAACGAGCCTTCCAGCACGATGCCCTCCGTGCCAAACGGCCCGTGATCTGGATTCCCCGCGATGATCTGGGCGTTAGCGACGACGAGATCTACCGCACGCAACGATTTAGCAAGCATATCTGGATCAGCAACGAATACCAGGCGCTAGACGGCAAATGCCGCACCATATTCAGCCGCAGTCCGCCAGATTTCTCCGAAGTCGATCTGATCCAGCTTTAGCGGTGGGGCTCGATAATTGTATATGATAAGACTAGACTGGGGTTCTCTTTTCTTTTCTTTTGATTTATGTATAGAGGGAGTTATCGTGAACACTTGAGCGAGTGGTTTGATTTCTGTATCCCATCGACTTGCATTGCAGAAACCCGAGCGGCAGGATCCCTTGGTTGATTGCATATACGGCGTTTTAGTATTTATCTACGGTGATGGAGGGAGGCCGGTCTAACATAGAACAAGCCCAGTGGCAGCATTATATCGTTTTCCTGGCGTGTAGCATGTTTGGTAGACATGTGTGTACCAACGACCGGGTGACCCTGTATGTGTAGAATCAAGTCCAATTCCGTCCATTGTCAAGACATGGAATATCATAACCATCTATAACATCCAATCCCCCCAGAATGAACTAATCCATATACTTACACAACGGCAAGCGATAATGATCCACCATCCAATACGCCCTGCGCACACCACTCCACTCACCCTCCAGCTTCGGCACCTCAATCTCTTCCCACTCGACATCAAAGCCCGCCTCAAACAGATCCATCTCCACCACCTTCTGATAAACATCGTAACTAATCTGCCGATCCGCCCCCATCCCATTGAAGAAACTCCACCGTCCCTCCTGCTCCAGCAACCCAATCACCTGCTCCGTAAAGAACTCCCGGAAATCCCCATAGGACTCCGCAAACGTATCGTAGTACACCGCGTCGAACATCTCCCCGTCCGCCACCAACGCCGGCAATACATCCTGCCACCGGCCCTCGTGGATGCGCACCCCGGGCTTCTCGGCCCACCCACGCCGCTTCATCTCGGCGACCACGTCCGCGTGCGCCTCGATGATGTGGTGCTCTGCGGGCTGACGGTCCTGCAGGAACTGGTCCACGATGCCCATCCCGTGTCCGACGTTGAGCACCCGCAGACCGGGCGTAGGGAGCAGCTTCGCGGCGCTCTTTTTCATGATGTCGCTTTCCCACGCCATCATTACCCCGTTGCGGTCGGCGTCGATCAGTCGGTCGTTCTGGAAGGTGAGGTTCGAGTCGAGGTAGCGCGCCTGCGTCACGTCTGCGTCTGCCTCTGCGGCCTCCCCGGCCTCCACCAACTGCAGCGCTTCTTCGTCCTGTGTTGGCACCGGCGCAGCCGACTCCGTGTCCGCAGCACCCTCTTCTTGCTCGTCACCATCACCATCAACCTCCTCCTCAATCTCCTCGTACCCATCCAACCGATTCAAAAGCAACTCCGCCCTAACCCCCGCATCAACCACCATCTCATACATCTCAGTCAGCCCCAACCTCCTCGCCACACACCCAGGCGTCTCGCCATTCAGATCAAGATCATTCCAGATCGCGCCCTCCTGCAAAAGGAACTTGACCGTCTCTGCCCCGGACTCGGCCGCGCTTTTCTTCTCTTTCTCCGCTTGTTCGGCGGCGCCGTTCACGGCATCGTCTTCCTCGTCAGGCTCACAGGCGGAAATGGCAGCGTGGAGCGGGGAGAATCCCGTTTCTGGATCCTTGACGTTGGCGGGGTTGGCGACGCCGGCTGTGAGGCGGATTAGACGGCGGAGTTTGGGGATGTCGTGTTGGGAGGCTGCGAGGAGGATTTCTTGGATGTCGAGGTCGACGTCGATTGTAGTTGTTGGGTCGGTCATTTTCTTTATATGTTTATTTTGTTTTCTGAGGAGGGGCTGTTGGGTTTGTTGATTGCTGTTGTTGGGTGGGTTGGTGGTTAGAAATTTTGAATCTTGGGTTGTAGATAGTCTTTGCAGGAAGGTGGGGTAGGAGGTGGTGGGTTTCTTTTTTTCTAGAAAAAGAAGGGTTTGAGTGAAACTGACCTGCTTTAGTTTCAAGTAATGGCTACTAACGATAGCTGTAGTATACCACTGCTCAACAGTAGAACAGTTCAAATCCAAAGGTGTGAAGTGGAGTGAGAGCGATATAAAATTTCCGCCGCCGCTTTCGTCCCCGCAGCTCCGCCCGCAATCACCGCACTCCGTCAGCCAACTCCTACAATAATAGATAAAACTGTCAAACGCATGTATTTTGATGTCGACTTAGAGAAGAGAAACATTTCGCCGATTGCTCGATAATCCTGAAGACAACTATTTGTACAAAAGACCCGGGTCCTCCCTGGACCGCCCACGAGGCGGCTTCAATTGCGCCTGTAACACACAGACTGCTGCTCAATTAAAAATTCATTCCCGCCTGTTCCCCCATCCAAGGGGTCAGGTTCAACTATAGGCTCGTTGAGTAATCTGCTGCGTTTATCGCGTATCCTCCGCTCCGGCGTTCACGTTCAACCCCAGACCTTGAGAGTCCAGATACATCTTGTTCTTGCCGCCGTTCTCTTGCAAGATCGCTGCGATGTGTCGGGCGTTCTCGATCTTCCGCAGTTCGATGTAGCTCTTGCTCTTCTTGATCGCGTCTCCGATCAGTTCCGCCGATCGGGCCTCACCCTGGGCGCGGACGATGAATGCCTGCTTCTCCTGGCGGGCCTTGTCGACCAGGAACGCAGCCCGTTGGGCCTCTTGCTGAGCGACCTGCTTGGCTTCGACAGCGGCGGTGAATTCGGGGGAGAAGGTCAGATGCTACCATTGCCGACAAGTCAGTATATTACAAATTCCGCTCAATTTCGTATGTATCACGTACCGTAAGAGACACATCGTCAAGGGCAATGTTGAAGCGAGCCGCACGGCGGGCCAGGTTGTCCCGGACGAGACGGGCGACATTCTCACGCTGCGTAATCAGCTGGCTGGCGTTGAACTGCGCGACAACGCTCTTGAGGACTTCGTTGACGATAGACGGGAGAACACGCTCGTCGAAGTCGTTGCCAAGGGTGCGGTAAATCTGTGGGAGAGCGTCGACACGGGGTCTGGACAGAACACGGCAGGTGATGTTGACCATCTGCAGGTCCTTGGTACCGGTCAGGGAAGCGATGTTGCGCGGCTTTGCGCGCACATCGTAGATGACGGGTGTTTCGAACCAGGGAATTCGGAAATGGGTTCCTATCAGAACATACAAGTCAGATACCCCTCCTTGTATTGTGATTTTCTCGGACTATCGCATACCTTCGCTGTAGATCTCCTTCTTAACACCGCCTACCCTGGAGTATTTGATCGCACGGTGACCACCGTCCACTAGAGTCGGACCAGTCAGTAACATCCCTTTACCAGATTGACCAAAATAGAATCATAAACAGGGGTCCTCTACCGTTAAAGAGCGAGTCCGACACGACATAAGATCCGATGCCGACCAAGGCGACAGTTCCCCAGAACTTTCCGCCGCCTTGACCACCGCCTGTGGGGAAACCACCGAAGCCTCCACCAGACCCGGTCTTCTTCAGCATCATCTGAAGCTTCTGCATCTGGTCCTTCGGAATGCGAGACATGATGATAGTGTGGGGAGGGAAAGGATGAGGATGACTGGAGAGTGGAGGAGAGACGGACGGAGGAGTGAGAAAGAGTGGAGTTGAGGTTCTCTCCGGCAATTCAGCTTACTCTCTCACCGCCTGCCGGATCCGACCGATCTAGCCTCTCTTGCGTCGGGATTCTATTCTTCGGCTTCATGCTTCGTCCATCTCTTGCTTCTGCTTTCTGCTGTTGGCGTACACCTTATCTTCTTTGTTGCTTGACTGCCTGTTGAAAGGGCTGTAATTGATTGCCATTATACGAACCTCACTCCCACCTTTCCCCCCGCGTTCTGTCCAATTCTTGTTCAACCACTCCGCCGCGCTCTTTTCTCCTCTCAACAAGCAGCTTGAATATCTGTTGGATTATCTTGCAAGATGGCTCCTGAAAGAGCTGGGAAGAGCGTGTTCCTCGGGAATATCCCGTACAGTATGTCTATCCACGAGACACTTCTCCATCAACCTCAACTAACTGTGCAACAGATCTCACCGAGGAACAGGTCAAAGATATCCTCAGCTCTGCCGGCACGGTCACCAAATTTCGCTTGATGATGAACCCTGATACTGGAAAGCCCAAAGGATACGGATTTGCCGACTTTGCCGATGCTGACGCGGCGGCCTCCGCCGTGCGCAACTTGAACGATTACGAGATCATGGGCCGCAAAATACGCGTGGATTGGCCGCACAACAACGAGAAGGACTCTGTTCCGCCGGACTACTCTCAGCCCGCACCGAACGTGCAGCTCCAGGGCCAAGACGGTCAATCAGGCGCGCAGCAGCAATCCGCACCGCTGCCTCCCCTGCCACCCGGCGTGGAACTGCCCCCGCATCTGGACTGCCCGAACGCCATCTCCCAAACACTCTCCTCGCTCGCCCCCAACCAGCTTCTCGATGTCCTCTCCCAGATGAAATCCCTGTCGATGGCGGACCCAGTTCGAGCCGCAGAGCTTCTGCGACAGGCGCCTCAACTATCATACGCGATGTTCCAGGCTATGCTCCTGATGAACCTCGTCGACTATAGCACGCTCGGCTCAGTGGTGGAACAAGCGGCGCAACCAGCAGCGGCAGCGCCCCCTCCGGCCGCGCAGCCCTTCCAGCCCTTCTCGGCTGTCCCCGGTCAGGTCTCCACGCCCCCAATGGTCGGCACGCCTTTTGCCGCACCGGCGGCGGCCCCCGCAGCTCCATCGATGCCCGGGCAAGAAGAGCTCCTGCAGCAGGTACTCAGCATGCCGCAGGCGGCAATTGATGCGCTCCCGCCAATGGAGCGGAGTCAGATCATGGTGCTGCGGCAGCAGCTGATGCAGGGTGCCATGCGATAGTAACGTCGATTTGATGATATGATTGCGATGTCGGTACGGGGTGTTGTCATACTAATCAACTTTGTTCATACTCATCTTGCTTGATTCTATCTTTTTTGTTATTTCATGGGATGGCGTTTTGGAGGCCTGATTTATTTCGCGGCTTGAATGTATACCTAGCATGGATATCTGGCAGATGTTCTCAAATTGATTTGACAATTTCAATTAAATATGTTGCACAACAAGTTCAATCAAATTGCTTTCACAAGCTAGCTTGATGTAAAGTTCGAAAGATAAAATCCTTGATTTAGCACAGTCTGCTTAATATCGAGCTACTACTGAGTATATCCGAAGAGACCATCAGAATTAGGCATCCGCAACTTTCCATGGCCCCACAGTCAAGTAGTAATCCCCAGGTAGCTTGCATAAATGCTGGTTACATTCCAGCTGAAGTGACTCGGCAATTCTAGAAGATGTGCGGAGTAGCTATTATAAGTGTTTACAGCATTCATGTCCCAAGGATCTTCCATCCTCTAGCCATACACACCATACCGTGATCTTATTTTCAACCACAAGCTACATGATTTATTAGGTTCATGGTCATGATTGTACACCGCAGTATATTAAGTCGTCCAGTAAATCATTAAAATTAATCCAAAAAAAATAGCCATCAAGAAAAGAAAGTAACAAACAAGCCCATCCACATCCATCCAAGCCCCCAGCTAACCTCAAAGCCAACATACACCCTCTTTCTCAAGTGACTGTTCTAGTAACCAGGTAGTAATCAAGTAACCAAGAAAAATGAAACAAGCCCTACACACAATATCCCAAAACAGAAGTAGATATCACTCACCAGCGAGAAGATGACTCGCTCGCCCTCTCACTTCACTACACGTCCACTACACGTCCATTCACTTGCTTTCTTTCTACTTTCTTGAGTTTTATCTTTTCTTTCTTTTTGGTCTTTTGTTTTTGCTAGGAATTCATTTTTCTTGGTTTTCCTCCTCCTCACGCGCACATGTTTTGGCTCTTTTGTTATCATACATCTTCCCTCACATCCTCCACGTGATCACAACGTGCCCTACATCATCATCTCCATCTTGCTTTCATACTGTCATACAGAATTGATATCGTTTGGTTCTTTGAGATCCGTCGCGGTACATTTCTTCCGCCTGGATTCCTTTGGTCTTCCTCACAGAACAGAAGAAAAGAAATCTCAAAAAAACAAGGTGAACAGAGAAAGAATGCCATTCAAAGAAAGTCTCACTTCACCTGCTCCCCAGCCCTCCCCCTCTCCCTCCTCCTCTTCTTCCCCATCATCCTCCTCATCCCCCACCAGGCAGCCCAAAAGAAAAAGGAGAAGGCTGCAGGGTCCAGACGCGGACCCAGAAACAGTACCCGAGGGCGTCGAAAGAGAGGAAGAAGAGCCCGCTTCTTCCCCCGACGAGGCAACCCGAGCGGCCCTCATCCGCACCGAGGTCGACGTCCCCGAGCTGATTAGATCGAGCAGGCCGGCCACTGCGATCAGGCAGCCTCGCACGCAGCTGGCTACCAACCTGCCTCCGCTGTACAAGCTGGACGATATCTACCAAGATATCACCACCAAGGCGCTGGTTCTGGGCCTCGGTGCTGTCTTGAAGCATCTGCGCGGTAGGGCCTTGCGGGTGGCCACTATGTGTTCTGGCACTGAGAGTCCATTGTTGGCCATGGAGCTCGTACAGCAGAGTATATCTTTTTCTTCTCTCCTTTTGAATTTCTGGTAGAGTAGACCCTAACATACCCCAGATCTGAGGAAGCACTTCGGCACGACCTTCAACTTCCGCCACTTGTTCAGTGCTGAGATCGTGCCATTCAAGCAGGCGTACATCGAACGCAACTTCCACCCTAAGGTCATCTTTCGCGATGTGACCGAGTTGAGGGATCGAGTGGCGTAAGTCCTTCCCCTGCTGCCCTCCCCCCTCTCCCCTTCCCCCTCTTCCCCCCGGTCCCAAAACCCACCCACCCACCCACCCTCCCACCCCCACACAGCACCGTCACTAGCCCAGGTGTATGTCCGTGCTAAAAAGAAGCAGACAAACGGTGTACGGGTCTTTGGAAAAAATCCCCAAGAACGCAGATCTCCTCATTGCTGGATTCGCGTGCGTGGACTTCTCAAACCTGAACAACAACCGCAAGACCCTGGACCAAAACGGTGAGTCTGGGGGCACGTTTTGGGGCATCATCCGCTATGCTCGCGCCTATCGGCCGCGGATGGTCATCCTAGAGAACGTCCGCAGCGCGCCCTGGGATGCCATCAAGGAGCACTGGAATGAGATCAACTACTATAGTGTCTATTTGGGTGTAGACACCAAGTCGTACTATCTTCCGCAGACGCGCGAGCGGGGGTATCTTTTCTGCGTTGATAGAGAGCTCATGAAAAAGGGCAATTTCTCAGAGGAACATATGCTGAGATGGTCGGCTGTCTTTGAAGGATTCCAGCGTCCTGCAAGCTCCCCTGCTGGGATGTTTCTCATTGATGCGGATGATAGACGCCTGGGCCAAATCGAACAAGACGTAATTGGGAAGATTCCATGCAATCCTCGCGAATGGTCGAGGTACCAGATCAGGCACCAAACCTATCGCAACGATCAGAAGCTTGGGGATGAACGTCCGGTCAGCAAATCGAAAGACCAAGAAATTTGTCAGATGCCTGATTTCTACTGGCACGGTTGGGCGAGGTCGTTGCCGGAGCGTGTTTGGGAAACCTTGGATATTAATTATCTTCGCAAGCTTGCTGAGTTGGAAGGATATGACATGAACTACAAGGAGTAGGTCCATCTTCTGTGTCGTTGAGAATTTACAAGGGCTGACCGGTACATCGCAGACGGTATCTTGAGCTCTCCCAAGGTGTAGACAGAGATGGGGACTGCCGTGCTTTTGGAATCGTTGGCTGCATCACCCCCAGTGGCATTCCATACGTCACAACTCGCGGGGGACCCATCTGCGGTCTAGAGGCACTTGCATTGCAAGGATTGCCCCTGGACAGACTTTCGCTGTCGCGAGAGTCCAAGAGAGACCTGCATGACTTGGCTGGGAACGCGATGAGCTCGACTGTCGTTGGATGCGCGATCTTAGCGGCCTTGATCGTCGGCCATGGTGTTCTCAAAAAAGGCGAGGCGACGCTCATTCCAGAGCACACCATCCACAGGGACAAAGACCTTTCTCCTAGAGCTGAGTACAGCCAGGTGCCATGCTTTGTACCGGTCAACCCTGATGGAAAGATGGTATCCCCCTGCTTGTTAGCACAGAGTGCGACAAGCGCTCGATATTGCATATGCGAAAGACAGTTCGCTACACGGCAGGCAATCTTGAGATGCACCCTGTGCGGACACACAGCCTGTGCAGACTGTGCTGGCAATCCATCGCATGCTTATGAGCGTTGCCCTGGCTTAGAGCGAAGCACCCCGCTGGATTTTGCCGATAGGATCAAGAGGACCCTGCCCATGAGATTGGTGGTGTACGGTATTTCCGTTGGAGCATACTCCTCCTTCGAGCAAGCAAACCCCCCGATAGCCAGTAAAGACTGGGCAGAATTTATGGAGGCAGTCCTTCAAACTGTCGGGGATGAGCTTCGCTTTTCTGATTCCAAACGAAGCGAGCTCTGGACAGTCTCATACGAAGGCCAGCACTCAACACTTAAACTTTTAATCGACAGCACCGGTTTCCAGTGGCTTCTGTTTGCCAAGGCCCCCAGCTCCGAGCCCAGCTTGTCTTTCCTGCGCGAGGTCCTCCTCCACCCCATTGCTCGGATGAATCCCAAGCCGGGAACGCTCTTAGAGGGAGACTGGGAAATATGCAGCCCTATCAGTTCGTCAATCGAGTTTGATTTCTATGGATTTGGCGATAGGGTGTCGTCGACGGAGGCCAGATGTGGACTGAAAAAAGACGAATTTGCCAATTCCATCGTTTGGAGTTACATCGATGTTGTAACTCTCGACGAGGATATCAAAAATCTTGATGTTGATATCCGAGGCCTCTACAAACTGTTGCCGGATTGCGGGACCGCCAATGGATGCTTGCATAAAAGGGAAGCGTCAGGAAGCATGCCCGCCGTGTATCTTTTTCTGGACCCAACCAAGCTTGGAATCGCGCGTCACGATACCTTTGTCTTCTCTTTGGAACATCGTCGTAACGCAGGTTATTCCAAACGGCACACTCTGGCGGAGGTATCGCACAAATGGCGATCGAGAAATTTGCAGGACGACCCACAGACAGCCAACGTCTTCTATCGCAAATGGTGTAAGGCGCCATCTGTTGCTCTGGGCATTTATGCCCCCGATGCCCCCATTGACTGTTATCACTTGAAGTCCTCGACCGTCATCGCCATTGAGAACGCTGGCTGCATTGATGCGAACATCACGTTGGTATCTGTCACCGCGCCGGCCGCGGCACTTGAATCACTATGGAGCAAAGGCCCTTGGGAAGTGGCTGACCCAATGTCCTCGCCATCGCTGATGCGAGAATTTTCTTGGTTACTCCAGAAGGTCTCCGGAATCTCAGTATTTCAGAACTGGAATGCTGTCGTGCACAAAAACCAGCATAAAGAGGGTCCTGAACCATGCTCTTCCTGCGTACCGCCAAAGCCACAAATGATATGGGGCCGTGATGGAGCAGGAAAGGCGAAGGCGTACGAGGATTTCCACGGCGCGGCAGTGTATGAACGACGGATGAAATTGAGACCCCCAGCCTTTTTAATTTTCCACTGCGTCGATGATGGAAACGTTGGGCATTTCCATATCACACTCAACGTGCAGACACTTTTGCACCAGGCGTATGTCAGGCTTCTTGGACGCAATGTCGTGGAGGACATCTCTTTTCATTGGCGACTTGTCCCCAACTACCTCGATACACGAGACTTCGTATTCCCCAAGTTTGTTTTGGCCAACAATCGAGCTGACGCTGAAACGAGCCAGCCTCCGGAATTCCGGTTTAGTCTTCGCCCTGAACAGCTCCGTTCCTTGGGGTGGATGATAAAGCAAGAGGATGAGAACGCAGAGCCTTTCATCGAACAGGAGATTGAGGAGTCGTTCATACCATCTCTGATGTGGCGTGCAGAGGGCAGAGTCACTACTTCCAAAGTGGTCCGCGGAGGTGTGCTGGCGGACGAGGTCGGCTACGGGAAAACTGCGATCATACTTGGATTGATCGACGCCCAGCATAATAGAAGTCCGCCGCACATGCAGGAGGCAATCCAAGGACACATTTCCACCAAAGCCACCCTCATTGTGGCGCCACAGTTGATGCTGCAGCAGTGGAAATCGGAGATTCATAAGTTTCTTGGGAACAGGTACCGTGTCTTGGTCATTCATTCAAGCTTGGCTCTTTCGAAGCAGACTGTGCGCGACTTTCAACAGGCCGACATTATCCTGGTTTCTTGGTCCATCTTGAATAGCAGTCTGTATTTTCGAAAACTGCAACGGTTCACCGGAGTGCCCAAGATCCCCAATGGACCAGGCCGAAGATTCGACGATTGGTTCCAAAGAGCGAGAGATGCTCTCAAGAAACAGGTCAAGATACTGACGAATGACGGCACCACTGCTCTGTTGGATTCCATACGGCTTCGATGGAAACGCATGGAGGAAAGCGAGGAGAGATACACTTATATCCCCTCGCAGAGACTGAGGGGGCAGCGATATGCCGACGCCAATGAAGACAAGGACACAGCGGAAGAATCGAATTACGCCGATATCTCCAGTGCCGACGAGTCTTCGGACGCAAGTGATGACGAGAATCCGGACAAGCTGCGGGCCAATATAGACCGGTACATCAGACTCAGATCTCGTACTCACGTCCACTCCGAGGACCACGTCGGTGAGGACGCAGACCTAAGTACTGAATCTGCTGATGACATCGCCAAAGACTTCCTGAGTAAAGAAAACGACTTGGCTTCTGAATCGCTCAAGATTCCTCTTTTTCACGCATTTGCGTTCGACCGTCTTGTCATTGACGAGTTCACATATGTCAACACTAGCCAGCTTATCTCCCTCCAGACCATACAGGCGAGGTCGAGGTGGGCACTGTCTGGAACGCCCCCACTCAACGATGCCCCCGACGTCAACACCACAGCTTCTTTGCTGGGTGTGCATCTTGGGGTTGACGACGATGACGAGCGATCTGAGAACACCCGGGTCAAGACTATCAGAAAACAGCGGTCCGATGCTGAAGCGTTCGAATCCTTCCGAACTCCTCGCACTGAAGCATGGCATCGAAGCCGCCATGAGCTTGCTCAGAGATTTCTGGATCGTTTCATGCGGAAGAATATCGCGGAGATCGATGAGATCCCCTTCGTCGAGCACATTGTTTTAGCCCCCCAGTCTCTCGCCGAACGGACCGTCTACCTCGAACTATATAGGCAGATCATGGCTTGCAGCGGCCGGCTTCGCAAAACCGGTAGAGCTGCTTACGGGAGTGACCAGGCCTGGCGTGTGGACGAGATGATCAACAGTAGCGAGACGCCTGAAGAGGCACTGCTCAAGCAGTGTACGTCTCTTGCATTCCAGAGTCAATCGAACGATGGACTTGTCGAGGGTGACACCTGCGAGCGGCTCATTCAGATCCGCGAATCACAACTCCACGACTTGAAAAAAAAGCTATGTGAGGTAGTCCAAAAGACGAGGGCACTTTTGACCGTCTTCAAGCCCAAACCTGAACCAATCTCCGACATTACAGCACTCATCTTGGATCGCGACTTTGGCGACGTGCGCGTGGCCAAGAGGGCCTACAGTTTGATCGAAAGTGCAATCATGAGCGCGCCTTCCCCAAAGAAACACGACAACTCTGAACCGTCGCAGGACTCTATTGCGACAGAGCCACAAGCTGGTCCTTTGGAGAACGAGGCCCCCGTGGATAACGGAGCAGAGGAAGACCGCGAACCACCGGCGTCGCAAACTCCGACGGCTGGCGAAGACAAAAAGATGCGTGACACCATGGAGACCATACGAAACCTGATGGTGGAGTGGGTTCTGCAAAAAAGGGCCCTTCGGTTCCTTCATACCGCACGCCTGATCCAAGACGGGCGAGAAGACCTCCAGTGCCGCGGCTGTGGGACGCAGCCACAGTTTGTCGCGCAACTGGATATTCTGGGGTCATGCGGCCACCTCCTCTGCCCCCAATGCATGGCCATGGTGGCCCGCGAGGAAGAGTGTGCAGTCACAGGATGCCGGGGCTCTGGAAGACGGCACAATATCGTCAAGGCATTGTCCCTGAAAGAAATCGCCATGAATAAACATCCCCAGTCCAACAGTAGCAAACTATGCCGACTCGTGCAGACCATCCAGGGTATCCCCGCGAGAGAATACACCCTACTTTTCATCCAATTTTCCGAGCTCATGGACGTGGCGTCTCGAACGCTGGACTCAGCCAGGATCCCGCATTTCGTCATATATCCCACCGACCGCGTGTCGACGAGAAAAGTGCAGCAACTGCAGAAGTTCGGATCTGGTGATGAGAGGGTTTTGATATTGAGTTTGGATAATGAGATGGCCGCCGGGTTGTAAGTTCGGGCCATTCCCAATCGTTTGTTCGCCTTCTCTGACTAACCTTGACAGAAACCTCCAATGCGCCAACCACGTCGTCTTCCTCTCGCCCATGCTGGCACAGACCCAGTATGACTATGACTCGGCCATGACCCAAGCCATAGGCCGCAGCCGCCGCTACGGACAGAGTAAAACCGTGCACATTTACCACCTGCTTGCCAAGGGGACCGTCGATGTCAGTATCTTCCAACGTCGGCGGGAGAAAGTCCTCTTGGACAAAGATGGTGAAGCTGTCTTAGTCTCGCAGGAGGAGGCGATGGGGTGTGAGACGATGCGTTGCGAAGGACCATCTTTGGAAGTAGACGATCTCATTTGATGGACGTGTGGAGTTTGGGGTGTTGAACGGTTTGTGTCTGATTGTATGAGTACTCAAGGAATAAAAAAGACGTGTCGACTGTAACAACACAATAGGAAAGACATCCGACCCAGGGAGTCAAGCTGGGTGGATAACATGCAGCTCCGTGGATCGGATGGAACGATAAATGCAAGTTGTTTGACCAGGTAATTATTGATTGAGATATTTGATGATGTGAAAGATCGAGATGTGAGAGATGCAAGTATGAGAGATGCGAGAAGTAGAAGGTTCAAGGATGTAGAAGCCTGTTTTATAGTCCTAGAGATCGAGTGAATCATGGCACAGGACCTGATAAATCATTTTCTTTTCTCCTCACTCGAACTTCTCCCTTCATATCATTCTATTCACACTTGTGGCATGGACCTACACACAATGACTCTGCACTGGTTATGGGGGCACACTACAGATGATAAGAACTGCATTAGGTACTCCTAAATCAATCATCTATAGCAGTTCAACAAGTTCCACTATCTGGCTTTCCCCTTTGAGAACAAACAACCAGTGTGAATAACATACTGTACAAAACTGACACCAGGCGGTTTGCTTTGCTTCGATGCGGGATCTACCACCCAGGAAGTCAAGCTAGAAAATAAAATGGGAATGAGACAAGTAAAAAAGGAAAAGAAAAGGAAAACCCGACCATCCAACTAAGCACACAAATGATATCATTTCTTTGTTTGTCTTTTTGTTTCTTTTGTTTCGTTGGCAGATTATTGTATTGTATGTATCATGTTTATTGCGCCGGCTGCTCCTGGTCCAAGGCACCATCCTTTCTCATCATCGTCGCGGGATCGAACACCGGGGGTTCGCGCAGGTTCGTGAGTTCGGCGCTGTTCTCGCAGGAGTCTCGGCTGCTCAGGGGGCCGGGGGCGGGCACCTTGACCGTCTCGCCAGCTTCGAGGGCGCGAGAGGATTCCTTGAAAGCGGTGAGAAGAGTCTTGATGGATTCGGGGGTGAGATCTTCGTAGTAGTCGTCGTTGATCTGGACCATGGGGGCGTTGACGCAGGCACCCAAGCATTCAACCTCGATGAAAGTGAACAGGCCATCCTCAGTGGTGTGGCCGGGAGTGATGCCCAGGTGCTCGGTGATCGCCTCGACGATCTTGGTGCTGCCGCAACCGCCGAGCTGGCACGGTGTCTGGGCGGTCGTCAGTCAATCCAAGAAGAAAAAAAAAAAAAAGCTGATCCTCTCCTACCGTCGTGCAGAGCTGGACAAAGTACTTGCCCACCGGCTCACGGTTATACATGGTGTAGAAAGTCGCGACTTCATAGACACGCATCGGGGGCATCTCGAGCATGCGGGCGACCTCGTTCATGACGCTAATGCTGGTGTAACCGTGTTGGCGCTGGCCCAGATCCAAGATCGGCATGACGGCAGCCTTCTTGTATTGGGGGGGATAGCGCTTGAGGATCTCATCGACGAGTTTAAGGTTCTGCTCGGTGAACTTGAAAGGGATGGACGGGTTGTTGGAGGGCGAGTTGCGATGCTGAACGGAAATAATTAGCATGACAAGACCAGATAAAGAAGAATATCCCTTGTCAGGGGCCATATCTTCGATCGATTGAGATCCGATCCGGCCGCGACAGAGAGTCACATCATCCATGACAGGACAATTGCCATACGTACCACCGAGAGGGCATCGCTGTAGCGTTGCGGGCCAGCCGAGAAGGGTCTGCATTGGGTCTTGGGGATGCGCTGGAAGAACTGGCGACCGACCCGCGGGACGGCAGGGATGAATTTGGAGGCCATTGCCGGCGCAAGAGAGGAGAATGTAGGGGATGGGTGAGGAGGAAGAAGTGGATTGGTGATAGTGATGATGGTGGACGATCCGACTCGGAGTCGAAGAGACGTTTTGCGGGAGCTGCTGCGGCCAATCACCGCCTACAGATTACTCCCGCCCGGTGCATCAGGGGCTAGTCCTAATTCGGAAGTCGACACCTTAGGCATTTTGATGAGAGATCTATAGTTAACCAGGCCATGATCAGTCTACTGGAGGGTAAAATTGGCTTCAATAATTCCACAATAAAATGTAGCAATCATACAGTAAAATGGTCTCTCAGGAATATCCTAACCGCCCCCAGAAACCGATCGATAGACTCCTCCCCATGCATTAAATTCAGCGCTATGAATCCCCGTCGTCCGATAAAAATGCCCTGGCTCAACATACTGAAGTAGAAGGAGTCCAACAAGAGAGAAGCCTCGTCCCCAGCAGAATGAACGCCCACGGTACTCCCATATCCAGTGAAGTATAACCGAGTGAGCCCAGCGTCCTTGGCCATCTCGTTGGCCTGTTCACGGAGCCGCGTTCCTAGACTGTTGAGTCGTTCAATTTCCGGCTCTGTGATGAGCTTCGCGGCCGCCACGGCAGCTGTCATGGTGAAGACGTTGTTGTTGAAAGTACCAGAGTGCGAGAGCGCGCCTGAAAGATCGTATTGATCCATGATCTCTGCGCGTCCGCCAAAGGCGCCAAAGGGGAGGCCGCCGCCGAGATATTTTCCCACTGTGGTCATGTCGGGTTTGATGTCGAGGGCGCCTTGGAGCCCGTGGTAGTGCAGGCGGGTCGTGACGACCTCGTCGAAGATTAACAGGGTGCCGACTTCATCGGCTGCTTTGCGGAGGAAGGCGAGAAACTCGCGGGAAGCGGGGCGCATGCCCCCGGCAGATTGCATGGGCTCGACGAGGATGGCTGCGAGCTCGTGGGTGATGAACGGCTTGGTTTCAGTAACGTCATTGTACTTCCCAACGACGAACTGATGCGGCAGATTCATTGGATTGTCGGCCTTGTCGAAGTTCAACGTGCCCCCATGGTAGCCTTTGTCGAAGACCAGAATCTGAAGTAGTCATGATACTTAGCGCTGATTCTGCAGGAACAGGAGGAAAGGGTTCCATGCCATACCTTTTTCCGCTGCGTAAACGCAATAGCAGTAGCAATAGCAAAAGTATTCGCCTCAGTGCCAGAATTACAGAACCTGACCTTCTCCAACGAAGGGATCCGTCGCTGCAGAATCTCCGCCAGCTCAGCTTCCTTCCCGATCACGCTGCCCAGGCTAAACCCCGTGGATAAGGCATCCTGAATCGCGTCGCGAATCACCGGGTGTGAATGGCCATATATCCCGGCCGTATAATCCGACACGAAGTCCTCAAATACAATACCGTCAACTGTTGTGAAACGGCTGCCCTCTGCAGACTGGATTACCAACGGGAACGGATCGGAATATAGCGACGAGCGTGTATTCCCTGATGGCAAGACGCGACGAGCCCTCTCGAATGCTTGTTTAGACAACGGATGCAATGCCTCGTACTGTTGTATGAGTTGATTCAGCCGCGAGGCTACCGTCGTCGCCATTGTGCACCCTAGAACCGAGGTCTTCGAGATCAAACGTGTCTAGAAGAGGACAACAAATGTATCCCACGTGGGCTTTGTCGATAAAGTTAAGATGATCGCACGAGACTTGCGACGATAAAGAAGAGGGGGAGACGATCTACCCCTCCCGCCATGATCAAGCGGGTTATCTTAGGAACTTATAAAGGCCCACGCAAGACACACATCCTTCCCATTGCAACTACACATTTTGTGACCTGAACATCTCATCCCGAAAACACCGTACTAAACAGCACAATTCGAACAAACCCTGCGCCTCAAAGAAAGCAGTATCTCACACATTCTCCATCTTGTACACCTCGTACGCGACCTCTTCATACGGATGAGCCTTAACCAGCGCCTCCACCGCCCGCAGCATAATCGAGCGACCCGGGCACATAACCTCGACCTTCATCTCCTCGACGGACTCGAGGGATCCGATTGTTCCGATCGCGGGGTTGGCGCTGTCGGAGGGCTGAAACTGGCCCTGTCCGAGGGACTGGAAGCAGCATCTGCTGTAGTTGTTGAAGCTGCCTGCGCCGGTTTCGAAGACGGCGTCTTTGCAGGCGTTGAGGTGAGTGGTAGGGACGTAGAATATGAGCTTGTAGCGGTCTGGGATTGCTTCAGACGACATGGTTCTGTGGATGGGTTGACTGAAGGAGAGTTTCGGGATGGAGGGGTGACGTGGGAGGGATGTTGAGGAGGCGCGTAGAAGGATGACGCGGTGTGAGCGGCGGAGAGGTTGCGTGGAGAGGAGTCTGCGGCCGGGTAGTCCAATCGATAGTAGATTGATTCTGAGTCGCATGTCGTTGAAAGGTCAGAACGCTTCCTGCGATGCAGACATGGATGATGATTATAGATGCTCTCTATATTATAGGCACATGATGTAATTCATTAATACTTAGTCATCTATGCATGTTCATTAACTAGTTACCTTGTATATACAACACACATCATCATCATCCTCATCATCACCTGTGGGTATATGAGTGGTATTTACAAAACCAATCCGGCATGCTTCTGCATATGATCATCGATCCGCTTCAGCAGGATAGCCTTTCTCTCTGCCCCAATCCAGCTCTCATTGACACTATTCTCCGCGATGAACCTCCACTCATCCCTTGACAAGCGATGTGCCTCTTGCACAGCGCAGTAATTATCAAGAATATACCCTCCAAAATAAGCCGGATCATCGCTGTTGATCGAGAACTTGACCCCCGCATCCAGGAATTGACGAATCGGCACCTGCGCCACGTCCTCGACGCACCGCAGCTGCACATTCGAAATCGGACACACGGTCAGCATGACGCCGTCACGAGCGATCTTCTCCATCAGTACAGGATCTTCTACTAGCCGGATTCCGTGGTCAATGCGGCGGGCGCCCAGCTCCAGCGCCGTGCTGATATACGACGCGTCGCCCTCTTCGCCGGCATGGGCCGTTAACGGGATCCCCCGCGCGGCAGCCGCAGCGTACAGATCCCGGAACATGTCCTTGGGAGGACCTACTTCCGTAGACGACCAGCCGAGACCGTGGATGAGGTCAGTGTCGAAGTGGTCGTGGGCGAGGGCCTGTTCGTAGACGTGCGCGGCCGAATGCACGGGGAGGTGGCGCACGAAGCAAAGGATGAGCCGGGTAGTCAGTCCGAGCTCCTTCTCAGCGCGTTGGCACGCGGCTGTGAAGCCAGCGACGACGGTCGTGTAGGCGACGCCGCGGTCGTGGTGGACCTGCGGGTCGAAGAAGACCTCTGCGTGGTGGACGCCGTCGGCGTGTGCCTTTTGGAAGTAGGCCCAGGCGAGGTCGGCGAAGTCGGACTCGTGGTGCAGCACTGACATGCCTGTGAAGTAGAAGCTGAGGAAGTCGTCGAGCGAGGTGAAGTTGCCGTAGCGGCGGGTCAGGGCTTCAATGGACAAGTATGCTGGGTTTGTTTTGGCGTCGGGCAGTTTGATCTGATTCTTTTCGGCCAGATGGAAGATGAGATCCGGGGTGAGACAGCCTTCCAGATGAACATGGTGTTCGCACTTGGGTAGACCGTGGAGGAAGTCATGGTACTCGGATTGACACATGGTGTTGGCCTTGGTAGTCGCGATAGAGGCGCGTGAAGGTGTTGAAAGAGCACGTGGGAATAAACTGCGAAAGCAATAGCAGTGGAAGGCTCAAGTTCAGTAATTTTTCAAATAAACGATTGGCATCCCAGGAGATGAGGGATCCTGAAGAGCAAAGATGGAGGATGGTTTATCTCGAAGAAAAATCAGTTTCCGACAGACTGCGGAGAAGCGAAGATACGCGTAATTCCGCGACCATCGCCAACTTCAACCCTAGATCTGACTATTCTGGTTGAGTAAGGTACATCCGGATGATCAGGCAACGTTTGTTCCTCAACCGGATGTTGGACTGCGTCACTTTCCCCGTTGTAATGTGGAGGAGGGATGATAGGCGGGTGAGTCACCGCTCCCTTCCGCTGTCTATAGATATGTTTTATGGGGGCACCCGGGATTGAACTGAATATGTCGATTAACACGACGGTGGTCTATGTATCTATTTCAACTTATGGGGACATTAAAGTGTACATAGTTGTAGATCAGTTGTCTGGCTAATTCTAGGTATAAAGACAAATGGTAAATTTGAACGAGCTAGGACCGCACTGAAATGTCAAGTATGATAATTCTATATAGACAGCAAAATTATATCAAAATGATAAAAGGTAAATCTAACAATTAAACCTTGATCTCCGCCTCAGCTGCCTTGCGGAGCCGATTCATAACAGCAGCGGAAAGATCACCATCCCTATCCGACATGCCCTCAACGTAGATGATATCAACCCCTAACTCATCCATAGCCCGCAGAGCGAAAAACAGTCTGCGCGCAACGGACTCAATATCATCCCCTAGATGACAATCGAACATCTCCTTAGACGTAGCCGCGTCTTTGGTCTTGTCGTCGTCGACAGGCACCGAGAACCCCACCAGATCCAGCACCGGCGACGGCAAAGTCTTCAACGACTTCGTCAGTTCCGCCTCGGACAGCAGGCCCAGGCCTCGTTTCCAGTGCTGCGTGCGCACGATGCCCACCTTGCGCACCCCCACGGCGCTATCTTCCATATCATGGAGGATGCGCTTCGAGATAGCCTGGGCATTACTCTCAGGCTCGAAGAGGACGACGCGCGCCCGCGGCGAGTAGTGCCGGTATTTCATGCCGGGGGCGCGAGGCACCTCCTTGACCTCTGACGTGCCGTCGTTGTACGCGATCCCCACTTTCTCCCAGCCGGGACACGCGCGGAGCTCCTCGATGCCGATCCCGCCGGGCCGGAGGATGACGGGGGGGTTGCAGGTGCCGTCGACGACGGTGCTCTCGACGCCGACGCCGCAGGGGCCGCCGTCGAGGATGAGCTCGATGCGGCCCTGCAGGTCGTGGTATACATGATCGGCGGTGGTGGGGGAGGGTTTGGTAGATGCATTGGCCGACGGGGCCGCCAGCGGCCGGTCCGTAACGTGGATCAATAGACGAGCAAGCGGGGAGGCGGGCATGCGCACGCCGAAGGTGGTCAGCGTGGAGGTGACTTCTTTGGCGAGAAGGGAGCCGGAGGGGTTCGAGAGGAGGATTGTGAGAGGGCCGGGCCAGAAGCGTTCGATCAGGGGTTGGTAGATGGGGGGGATGGTGTTCCGCGGGGTCTTGGTCTCGCGCGTCGGGCTCACCAGGTCGGGGTTTAGGAGTCGGTCGAGCATCCCCAACGAATCGACGTGTACGATCAGGGGATTGTCGGATGGCCTCTGCTTCGCCTTGTAGATGCCTCGCACAGCCTCGCTCCGGGTTGCATCGGCGCCTAGTCCGTAGACTGTCTCGGTGGGAAACGCGACGGGGATGTCGCTCGTTTGGAGGAGTCGGGCAGCTTCTTGGATGGCGGTGGCCTCTGGTGTTTGCTTGCTGCGTTCACTAGCCCACCATTCTGTGAGAGTTCGACTACCAGGGCCTTCCTCGTTTAATCGCACGACTGGCGCGACGCGAGTCGTTAGGTAGGAAGACATTGCGACGGGGACGGTGGCGGCGGCGGAGGTAAAAGACCGGGTCAAGCAGCGCGGAACACCGCCGACACTGCGAACAAGGAGAGACAGCAACTTGTCGAAGACAAGAAGGGAGCAGCGTCAATCCAGGAAAATGTAATCTAGCAAGATTTGGCGCAAACAGTGGATGAGTCGATCCGACGCGGGGTTGGGTAGAGAAGGCTTGATGCTATTGCTGGGTGTGGGGAGGACTCGCTTCTGCTAGGCATGCAATTTTCAAACACATTGATCGAGAAGTCGCCCTTTGTTGTCCAAATTGTAGCCCGCGTAGAGTGTAAAGAATTGCAGAAGCTGGTCAAAAAGTCTGGACCGACATGGAATTACTGTGGGCGAAGGCGCAGAGAAAAAGATATGGGAAAAAATGTGAATGACGTCGTGTGTATGACTCAGCCAGTATCTATTCAGTCTTCACAATAATATAAAGCATCACATGGAGATCCAATTCAATATTTGCAGATGTAATATCCGGATCGTCTAATTTAGTATTTTGAAATAGTGTAGGCTGTAGATATATTTGTTGTGTGAGCTTCGTATACTTGGGTGACTCCCCGCCTCATGTACTACGCGTACTACGCGGAGATATATCTTGCCAACATCATATAGCATAGTGGTGCCAATTGAGCCAACAACCCCATCCAGTGCGAATAATTCACTTTCCGATATAAGATGACAGTCTAAACGCTTTCCCTCTACCCGATAAACTAATACGATATATGACTGAGTGGTTGGAAGAATGAGAACTGGACATTAGGGCTGAATGTCCGATCTATATACACATCAAACATGACTGTCTATCCACAAGATACACTCACTTCTTCTTCCCACCCTTTCCTCCCTGCTTCCCACCACCGCCACTCTTCCCCTTCGCTTTGCTATCTCCGCCGCCCCCGCCGGACGCAGTCATGATGCGCACCTTACCCACAGGGACAGTGTTGATGATCTCCGTATCCTTCCACCCCTTAACCAGCTCCCCTTCTCTAGCCCGGATCTTCTCTGCATCAGCCCGACTAATCCCAGCATCTTCAGCATGCTCCTTCTTGACCTTTCCAACCGTCATCTCTGACACCCACCGCCCGACGCACTCCTTAACCGCCTTACCCTTCTTCACAGCCCCAGGCTGCAGCTTCACCCGGTACTTGTACCGGCCCAGCGCAGCCCACGGCGCACAGACAGGGATAGCAGCGAGGATCTCGTCCTCGGGGTGAGGCGTTCCCACGAGCGCAGGAATCCACGAGAGATCCGCCCTCTCGGCAGCAGCAGTCTCCTCATCGTAGTCATCGCCGCCTCCCTCCTCGAAGAGAGCCTGTCGTTTTTGCTCCGCCTGCGCAGCGCGCTCGTGTTGCGCCTTGCGACGCTGCTTCTGCGCTTCGGCTTCTTTCTCTCGCTTGGCCTTGGCCTCGGCTGCTGCGGCCGCCTTTTCGGCTTTGGCTTTGTTGGCGCCGAGTAAGCGGAGGGCGAGTTCACGCTCTTCGTCGTCTTGGTCTGCGTATTTGGCGGCCGCTTTCTTGGCCTTGGCTTTTCTGCCGCGGGTTGGGGCGGGGGGTTGTTTTGATGCTGGGCTTGGGGTTCCCTTTTGGTTGGGATCGGAGTCGATGGGCTTGCCTTGTCGGAGCATGCGACGTTCTCGGGCTGACAGCTCCCGTTTGTCTTGGGGTTGGGAGGTGACACTCTCCGCCTCGTCTGCGGCAGCCTTCTCATCCTCTTCCCCATCTTCATCTTCTGACTCGACCTTGGCTTCCTCTTCCGCAGGTTTATCTGCAAGGGTGAGCTCGGAAACCCCACGCTGTAACGGGTTGCTGGCAGGGACGGTATCCGGATCTTTTTCTTCGTCAGACTCTGAGTTCCGAGCCTCGGGTTCCTCGGATGGTACAGAAGTTTCAGCTGTGTCGACTTGATCCGCAACCTTCTTCTCTTCTACTGTTTGATTCCCATCGGCTGTTCCAGTGACTCCTTGCTCCGTGGGCACCTCTGTTGCCGCGGTGTCCTCAAACATCTGCACTTTATGATTGCGGAGACTCTCCTTGCTGATCTGGAACATGACAGCAAAACCCAACACAAGCTGCGAAGGAGCCAGGAAGTTCTTCTCGCCCTTAGCCTCGAATTGACCGACAGGTAGCAGACCGCCGCCCGACGTGGCCGTTTTCGTGACCTGGTGCGCATGGACCCACCACGCGGGCATTATGGCCTTGGAGTCCCATGCGCTGGACGTTGCAACGCAGAGGTTACCGGCCTGCGACAGGGTGCTGGGGGGGATGGGGACACCGGGGCCGGCTCTGTTTTTTACGATCATGGGTGTAACACCGGCCAGATCGGCGTTGACGAAGATATCGCCTTTTTGGAGGTGGCGGCGGTAGAGCATCTCGCTCTGCATGCCGTCGTGGCCACTGCGTGGGTTAGAATTCGCGTTTGTGATGAAAGAAAGACAGACGATAACTTACCCCAGGACGAGATATCCTTCAGAAGAGATGAAGAAGAGAAACTTCTCAAACCAGAACGGGTTCCGGGCTTGTCGAAGCACCTGCTTTTCCTGCTTCAGATTCCGCTTCAGGTCGTCCTTGACCTTCTTCTCGTGGCTTTTCAGCGCCTTCGACGATGACTGGGCGGTCCTCTGCTCTTTGACAGCCGCGTTCCTCTTCTGATCGTAATATTGGGTAGCGTTCGCCCACGGCGAGAGGCCAAGGTCGACGTCGATAGTCAACGCGGTGGACGCTCTCTGCGCAGCCTGAACACTTTCACCTTCGTCTTCCGATTCAGACTCGGACTCCGAAAACAGCTGCTCTGCTTCCTCCTGCTCGTCGCCGGCCTCCCCCAGCAGCAGAGTAATCGTGTTCTCGTAGAGCTTCAGCGGCAACTTGATGATTGCAGCGACGGGGTTCCCCCGTCCCTGTTCCATCTCAATCAAGCGAGCAATCTCCATCCAGTCCATGCCCTGCGCAATCAAGCCATTCACGGCGTCAATCGCCTCCTGGACGCGGTAGACATTGTCCTCGATGGCGCCGGCCTTGCGGACGTTGACATCCTGCTGATCCTTGAGGGCGCCGATCCGCTTCTCGTGCTCCTGCCTCACAGCATCCAGCTTCTTCTTCGCGGCCTCTTCGCGCTCCGTCAGCCGCGACTCCAGCTTCTGAGTCTCGATCGACGAGAAGTACTCATCCACAGTGGCATTCAGCGACGGAAACTCCAGCACCTTGACACCCGGCCGCCCCTCAAACTGACGCGGCCGGAACGGATGGAAATCCTCATAAAGCAGACCAGCCTTATCATCACCATCCACAACCTCGCCCCTGGCCGCAGCCTTCGCATCCTCCTTCGCAACAATAAACCCGGGATGGCTCTCCCCCGTCGAAAGCCTCCCCCACTCCCCCTGCGCCTCCTCCAACACCCCCCTCACTGCACCCAGCAGACCCCCCTCATCCCTCAAGACCTCCTCCAACGGCGTCGCCGGATCGACTCCCCTAACCGCAAAAGCATGATCCAGCAACAACGGCGGATACTCCGGGAACCCCTGCGACAGGGCCTTCCTCAGCACATCCGCATTCCTCTTCTTCTTCGACTTCTTCGGCGCACCATCCTCCCTCTTAAACACCTCCACCGCCCTCTCCAACGTCCCCCTAATCCTCTCCTCCGTAATCTCCGGCACGCCCCCATAATTCTGCTTATTCGTCACCGTATACCGCAGTCCCACGCGCATCTCCTCCTCGCCCACCCCAGCCGGCACCTGCCGGAACAGCGTCAGGATGTTATACTCGGCGTCAGTGATGATAACGTTGCCGCCCGCGAAAAACTCCAGAAACATGTGGTACATGCCGTCGCTGAAGACGAAGTCGATGACGCGGTCGGTGCCGATCTGCGTGATGGAGGTGATGCGCCGGGATTTGAGGAATTTGCGCATGCGCGTTACGAACCCCGACGGCGCGGTGGCTGTTGTGCGCGAGTATTGCGTGACATGGCAGCGGAAGCCGGAGTCGATGACGAGTTGTTTGCGGTGGTCGGGTTTGGCGAGTTTGAAGAGGAAGATTCGCTGCGTAGACACCTCAATTAGATTTCTTTTTGTCTTGTAGGGAGGGATGTCTGTATCTGGGTGTGCCCGTAAATGTAGACGACGCCAGGTACTCACCGAAGATAAATCGTATATATTCGACACTCGCAGATTAACAAGCTCTGCAGAGAGTTCCTGAGAAATAACCTTTATCGTGTCCATGCGCGTCAGCCAACCTCATTCAAACCCAAGCCTTCTCTTACTCCCCTCCCCCCGCAGCTCCTTCGGAGAAAGGGAAGCGGGAGGACCGTGTCAAAATCAAGCGGGCATAGACAGACCTTGACGTCCAAAGACGAAAATCTTTGCTTCATCTTGAGCAGTGACTACCGGTAGTAACTCTCAAGTATTTAGCAAGAATAACACCTCACTTCTGCAGGTGAAGGAAGAGATGCAGACTGGTGAAGAAGTTTGAAGTTGAAGAGTCTGGAAATGGATCGGGTCCCTCTGGCCCACTGACGTATGCGGGGCATCTTTTCCCCTTTTGAGTCGCCGCCTGTATTGTCGCTTTCCATGGCTTTCTATTATTAGTCAATTCTTCTTATTTACATAGTACTGGGTATGGAATATGAAAATTGGCTTTATCTTAGATTGGTCTTTATTTCTATTGTTTAAATATATATGTTTTGACTTTGTCTGTCTTTCAATATCTAGGTATTCATGTTAAGCCACGTTTCCTATTCCGGTGTCTTTCGCAAGACCATAACAAGACGGAGTATCTTTATAATCCCAGACAGCAAAGAAACCAGAAAGGGAATAAACAATCCGATAAAAATAAAATAGAGTAAATAACCTGCGCCAGGACCAGCCAGATTTAAACACAGGAAAGATGAAATAAAAACATAGTAACAAGGGGAACAAGAACAAGGAGATTCACACTGATGCAAACCACAATTAAAAAAAGAGAAAAGAAGGGATAAGAAAAACGGCTCTACATCTGCCGCAATCCCTCCGCCAGACGACGCTTCCCTAGCTCCCAAGCATTCATCAGCCCCTGTTCCGACAGATCGATGCTCTTAAGGTTGGGCGCGTCGGGGGCCGGGGCGCGGCTCACGCGCGAGGCGATGAGGACGGGGTCCGTCTCGAGGATGATGCCGTCGTCGATAAGCTCGTCGATGGCCAGCGCGACGAGGTCGTAATTCTCGATGATGGTGCGCTTGTCGGTTGCGCCCCTAAAGACACCGGCGTTAGCACTCAAATCCTACCACAGACTAAAACAGAGGGTTTATTAATAAAAAAAATGGGGGAATTACTTGAAAAGAATCCCCAGAGCATCCCGCAGCGACAGCACAACATTATAGAGCAAGACCTCATTCTCGTCGGCGCTGCCCACCACATACAGCATGACATCGCTCTCCATCTTGAAGACCACAATCCGGTTATCGTACAGGATCACATCGCTGGTCTGCTTGTTCGTCTTGTCCATCAGACCCTGCTCGAAGGCGCGCTGCTCCTTCAGGGTCGGATAGGGGTTGGCGCCGGGGTAGTCGGTGGAGTTGGGAGCGGTCCCGGCTGGGGGATGAGGCGGCGAGTAGTACTTGGCGAAGATGCGAGAGCCGTCGTCGGCCGACATCAGGAGGACGGCATTGACGGAGAAGAGGGAGAGGGAGCCGGGCATGGTGGGCGGTAATTCAAGTTTGCTTTAATTGACTGGGTGGTGGTGTGTCAATAGTTGGATTGGAGCGTCTTGTTGGTGTTATTTCCGGCAAGCTGGCCGCAATTCGGGGCGCACTAATGTTGTTCCGGGTATACATACTCTGGTCTAGACAGGGATCCATTCCAATTGGGATAGACGTCGATCGTCATTATTGTTGATTATTTTCGAGTACTGGGGGAAATCTAAGAGAAGATCTTGATTCAATGCTATATAAAATACAGGAGTCGGGACCGTTTACAGCAATCATCACTCTATCAACGGAATATATAAACCATCGCGTATGTATGTTCATCATAAAAAGGACAGGCAGGCAGGCATCAACAGATGGAACAATACCAAAGCAACCCCATAACCCGTCCCACAAAAAGGCATTCCACAACACATCTCGGAATCCATCCAGCATCAGATTCATAACCACATCTCAACTCAAGAGACTCATGACAAACAAGGATGACAGGGTATTAAACGTGACAACAGCCGGACCGTCCACTACCAGACGCCCAGCCAGGCATGCATAGCAGCCGGGAAGCACTTTACACTGTAGTGGAATCGACCAACCGCGATAAACAAAATTGAGAAAATAAGGAAATAAATGAGAGAGAGAAAAGAAAAACAAGCGTTTCAGATCATTCAGACGCCACGGCTCGAGCGAACTCAAGCCTGCTGCTGCGCCGATTCGCTGGAACCGGGGCGGGCGAACCAACCCGGCATCCAGCTTCCGCGGTTGGCCTTCTTCCGCGCCGCATCATCCTCATCCGCGGCCTTGGCTTCGCTGACCAGTCGGAGCGGGCGCAGTTTGTTCTGCGTCATGACCGCGCCGGGGTAGTTGTTCATTCCGATACTGGAGCGAGGAGAGTTTGAGGTCGCGCCGGTGGAGGCCGTATCGCCCGGGGGGTCGCTGGTGACGCTGTCGGAGCTGCTGAGACGGCCACGATCCGGCTGGCTGGACATGGACGGGGCACGGCTGGCACTCATGCCCGACGACATGTAGCTGGTGGCAGACATGACACTCTGGCGGGATCCCGGACCCATCAGGGTCGGGCTCATGGGGCCTCCAGAGGTGCGCCCGCGGTACATCTGGGTGACCAGGGCGGCCGCGCCCGGATCGGTCTGCTCCGACCTGGCGCGACGGTGGCTGGCCCGGACAGACTGACCACGGTTCAGCGGGATGCTCGGTGCGGTCTCCGGGTTCTCAAAGGCCGTCGGGGGCACACTAGTCGGCGGAGGCATAAAGCTCGACGGGCGCGATCGCGGGGCCCGAGTGGGAGGAGGACCGGCCACCACGGTCCGGGCCCGCTGGAGGAAGCTCTGCTGAGCGGCGTCGTCCTTTTCAACGGGCGTCGGGGGCAGGTCCTTGTTATGGGTCGTCTTGGCGCTGTTCTGGGCGGCATTTTCGTTCTTGTCCAGGACGGACTCGAACCCGTCGTGCTGCAGGACGCGGCTGATGATGCGCTCGATGTAGAGGGTCAGGGCCTTGTTCTGATCCTTCAGCGTCCGGATTTCGGACTCCAGCTTGCGGGAGTCGTCCGCCTCGGATCGGGCGTCGGCCGACTCCAGCTCGTCCGCCAAGGAGCCGAGGCCACTACCTGACTCCTTGGTCGTGGAAGGCTCGGTGTGGGCGTCGCGCATGAAGTCACCCTTGGCAAAGTCACCATTCAATGTTCTTTCACTCAGGAGGAGCTGGTAACTTTCATTGTCTTCCATCAGGCGGGCATTGGCCATGCGGGCCTCCAGCAGGTCCTTCTCCAATTCCCGCTGGCGGCCGCCGCCCTTGTTCTCCATCTCGACGAGCTTGATCTGCGACTCGGCGAGTTCGAGGCGCAGGGACTCGATCAACTTATCTTTCTGCAACAGCAGCTTGGAGTTGTTGCGAGAGGGGCTGCGCTCGAGGTGCGACGACGGGGCAAATTGACCGTCCACATCGGGGGAGGCCCGATTACGGAAACTGGCTAAGCGGGGGGTTAGCAGAGACTCACACTAACCACACAAAATTCAAAGACACTTACAAGAACGAGTGACATTCTTGTCGCCATCACCATTCGCTCCCTTCTGGGCCAGCGACTCCTTCAGCCGCTGGATGGTGGCGTGCATTTCCTCCTCGCGACTACCGTACTGCTCCTTCTCCTGCAGCAAGGCATTTCGCTCCATCTCCTGTGCCTGTTCGAGGTCGCGGATCTGGCGGACATGATCGCGGATCTCGCTATTGAGAGACTCGATCTTGCTATCCCGCTCGTGGCTCTGGTCTTCCAGCTTGCCCTGCTCGCTGATGGCCTCGTCAAGGCGCATCTGCAGGACACCCAGTTGCTTCCCATATTGCTCGGAGGCGGTCTCGGCCTTGCGAAGTTGTTCCTTCAGGTCGCTGATGAGGGCGGCGTTTTGCGCCCGGGCCTCTTCTTCGGTGGGGTCGGGGCTCATCTTGGGGACGTTGGACATGCTGAGGTTGGAGCGCCCGGGCTTGCGGGCGGCCGCTCGCGCCGAAACGGGCGTGGAGCCCCGGTAGGACGGAGAGCGCTGCAGGCCGTTGGGAGCGGTGCTGGAAGCGCGCGAGTGGGAGCGCGCGGGGGTTCCATTGGGAGGACTGGAGTCCGCCGCAGTGGAAGAGCTGCGGGAACTGCCCGGAGTACCGGGTTTGCGAGGTGTCGCCGACATGATCACCAACAAAGAGGTGACGACGAAGAGCGGGCGCGAACGATTTGTGAGATCGGAGGGAGAAAGAAGAAAGAAAGGAGAGAGAGAGACGTTGACGTAGTGGTGGACAGAAGCCAGATATCGATGAAACGGCCGGGAAATTAAATCGATAAATTTAAGGAACGGGGGGGTATATAGTCAGTGAACGTCGTAGTAGCGGTCAAACCACCGTAGTGGACACCACCACTAGATCTTGCCTAGTAACGTTCCGTGGTGGGGAGGAGGTTAAGTTAGAATGGATGGCTGGATTGACTAGCCACCATTCCAACAGAGAATGAGGTGAGGATGAGAAGGAGGGGAGAATAGAAGTGCAGTGCAAGGATGGGCAGTTGAGGACAAGATGAAAGAAAAGGGAAAAGGCAAAACAGAGAGTGGAAGAAGTGTCGACAAGATGTATCAAGATAAGTTAGGGGATCATCGGTTGACCAGCTTGAGGGATAATCCCAATTCGGGCCATCCAGACAACCAACAGGAGTGGAAGTCGGGCACTGGGTGGTATTGTGACGGTATTTACCAAAAATAACCCAAGTATCATATGGGAATCGCTGTTTCCGTACGGTTTACTCTGGTTGTCTAGGGAATCGGTCTGGTCTGTCTTGATCCGTATTAAGACCAGCATATCCGCCGTCTGCAGGTGTTTTATTGCAGCTGGATAATCTCCCGGTCTGCAGTATCAACTATATGCATACAATATATCTACAATTTCACGAGTGTGAAGTCGTATATTAAAGTTTAGGAGGATGCCAACACGAGTACTATCTCTATCCTATAGGTTTCCTCGACTCGAGGTTGGCGATACGAGTCACGGGTCATGGAGAATAGCAGGAAAGAAAATAAGGTAAAATAGAATTAAAATTAGACCGAGATAAAGATAGCATCATCCTCACTTCCCCGAGTCCTTGCGCTATACAGCGGAAGGCTCCCCAGCAGGCTCCCCAGCTGTGCGCCTGAGACAGAACTTTAATTAATGAGATGAAATAAAATCCATGAACAACCAAATCAGAACATCCGGGTGATAACAACACAGCAACAACTCTGCAACAGTCTTTGCGTCAGACGAGGGGCCAGAAAGGGCGACCACTGCGCCACGACTCCCATAGTGGACAAGCACCCTGCCATGCTACCAGGGGAGATGAAGAGTACCGTAATTACATTAATTACATACAGTAACAATTGATGAGTAGCAAACGCTTATATAAGAATTATCGCAAAAGCGACATAAAACGCTGACTCACCAATACCGAAATAGAAAGCAGCTGACTCATTCATTCCGGAACGGAGCAAGTGGGGGTCCGAGACTCGTCAAACCCACAAAAATCAAATCTCTACGAAGTCATTTTTGTCCCGCCGCATCTTCACTCCCCATCCACATCCTCTACCCCCCAGCCTTACTTCAAGTTTCCGGCCGGAGCGCAATATCAGCAACGATGGCCCCCAAGAGCAAGAAGTCCGGTGATACCATCAACTCGCGCCTGGCGCTTGTGATGAAGTCCGGCAAGGGTATGTTTACTATGAAGCTGGAGCTCGGAAGACAGGACGGGAGATGCTAATTGGATTTTTTTTTTATAGTCACCCTTGGCTACAAGTCGACTATCAAGACCCTGCGTGTATGTTGATCATATCCGAGTGTTGTGTGTGGAATATACGAGTTCCAGGACGAAATTCGTGGACGAAAATCGTGGATCGGTCGGGTACAACAATAGCACGGAACAAACCACTGACGAATCTTCGATTGTACAGTCCGGCAAGGCTAAGCTGGTCATCATCGCGGCCAACACTCCCCCTCTCCGCAAGAGTGAGCTTGAGTACTACGCCATGCTCGCCAAGGCTCCCGTGCACCACTTCGCTGGCAACAACGTACGTTCATATCCAAAAAGTTCCTCAGGTTGGGGATGGAGGAAAGATTGAAAGATGCTAACGGGCACAGATCGAGCTGGGCACTGCCTGCGGTAAGCTCTTCCGCACCAGCACCATGACCGTGCTGGATGCTGGTGACTCCGACATCTTGACCAGCCAGTAAGGGTGACGCTGGATGGGTTCATGTTGTGGATGTCAATCTTACGGGACTGGTAGAAATGACATGAATGGTCACTTGAAATCGTCTTTTATCACGTAGATTGTAATTGTGCTGTAGTTGTAGTTGTCCTTGTAGATTGGACATCTCTGAAATGATGGGCTATCACGGATATGGTATGTACCTAGGTAGGTAGAAAGTAGATAAATCCTGCCTTGTTAATATGACCAACTTCCCTGTTAGTTAATCCTTATAAATCAAACAGAATCTCTCCGTTATAACCATCCGATGTCCGTCTCATCCATGACATGGAATCATGACGGTAGAGAAATGACAAATGCGGTAAGGCAGGGCAGCCCCTGATTGGCCGAAACCCTAGGGCTTAGGGTTTTGCCACTCGTTAGTGGGCGCTGCTTGGAAATCAACGGAGCAAACCCAGTCCTTCCCTTTTCCCCCTTGGGTTCCTTCGAGTCTTCGACACCACCACCTTTTTCGACAACTAACCGTCAGGTCATTTCCATCCGTCAAAATGGCTCGTCGTCCCGCGAGATGTTACCGCTACTGCAAGAACAAGGTGCGTTATTGACGATTTTTCGGACTGTTGCGTTTGATCTTCATTTTCTGTCTTGTTGGGATCCGTTGTGGATTTGTGAGGGCGGAATCTCGCTTATGCGATCACGATCATGAGAGGGGACATCATGGGGGATATTTTGCATACGATGTGGCCATGATCTCGTGTATCTATGAATTGTTGCATCTCTTCATTCGGTCGATCGTTTCTATTCTTTTCCTCTTTTTCTTTTTTTTTTCCCTTTTTTTTTTCATGCGTTTTCGGTCGCTTCACCCAGGTCACGATGGCAACTAACCACCCTCCAGCCGTACCCTAAGTCGCGGTTCAACCGTGGTGTGCCCGACCCCAAGATTCGCATCTTCGATCTGGGTCGTAAGAAGGCCAACGTGGACGACTTCCCCCTGTGCGTCCACATGGTCTCCAACGAGTACGAACAGCTGTCTTCCGAGGCTCTGGAAGCCGCCCGTATTTGCGCCAACAAGTATGCCACCTCAACCACCGACTGAAACAGAAAGAAAGAAAACAAAAAAAAAAAAGCAGAAGGATTAACAATTTTTAGGTACCTCGTCAAGATCGCCGGTAAGGAAGGTTTCCACCTCCGTGTGCGTGTGCACCCCTTCCACGTTGTCCGTATCAACAAAATGCTTTCGTGTGCCGGTGCGGATCGTCTCCAAACCGGTATGCGTGGCGCCTTCGGCAAGCCCAACGGTCTCGTCGCCCGTGTGAACATCGGCCAGATTCTCGTCTCCGTCCGCACCCGTGACGCCAACCGCGCCGCTGCCATCGAGGCCTTCCGCCGCGCCACCTACAAGTTCCCCGGTCGCCAGAAGATCATCGTCTCCAAGAACTGGGGCTTCACCCCCTTCCGCCGCGAGGAGTACGTCGAGCTGCGCCAGGGTGGCAAGCTCCGCTCGGACGGTGCCTACGCCCAGTTCCTGCGTGGCCACGGTCCCGTCGAGGAGAACATGAAGCGCTTCCCTGATGCGTATGCCGCTTAAATGGTGGTGTGGGGAAATGGGAAATGTCATGATTAGCGTTAGGACAAGATATCAACTCGTGAACCAAAAAAAAAGAGGCCTTTATTGATTTTCTTTTAATGTGGTATTATGCATGACTGTATCTCAGGCGGATGGAATACAGATCGTAGTGGTAGATATCCATCTTTGCCCGTGACCATATAATTCAACAATAACTCCATACTTGATATCGTCCAAGTCAATCCCCATACAACCATCCTACCTATCTAGGTTGATAGGTACCCTAATCAATCAATACCCCACACTAGATCTTGGATAGCAGAGCCAGGGTACCCCGTACCTACTCTGTAGATAATACATAATGCATGTAGTGAAACCCATATCAAAAGCCTCCCACCTCTCTTCCCAATGACAGCCAACACACCTCCCATCAACAAGGGCTAACTATGTCCCCGAGTACATCTAAGCATGGCCCGAGTGAAGCAAACCATAGTGAAACATTGACTGTTTTCCCTGGTCACTCTTGCCAAACACTTTCAAAGATGAATGATGAATGACTGCTATCATAGCATGGTGAACTACTTAGTATAGCTCAAGCTACAGCAAACATGATACGATGTGGCTGTAGTCCGGTGATAAAAAAAATCCTTTCAGAGGAAGACGAAACTGGTGTTCACTTGTTGATTTGATTATCGTTATATCACTATCTAGAAATCTGTAGAGTGATTGTATAGACTCTTATAAACTAGCCATGCAGTCTGCAATGGTGATAGAACTCAGTAGAGCAAATACTGCATACTCAGATCAAGCCCGATATCAAATCAAACCACGTCCGCTGCATGTCGCAGCCTTCTCAGCTTAATCACCTATTCCCCCCTACAACTCATTCATACTCGTCACTCTGGTTGCATATTGACCAAAAGATACCCCTTCAAGGCATGATATAAATAAGAAGGGCAGTCGCAGCCACCACACAGTGTTGAACATATTTTTTGATTCTGCCAATTTAAGAACCGTCGATCACGGATGAGTCTTATTTCAGGAGTGGAATTGCTGGATGACTATGCATTATATCACCGTATGCTGACTGAGTATGCAAAATTGTTGATGGACTGAGTTTATTTTTACCTGCGGTGTACACCACGAAACCTACTGTCGACGACCCCGGACCATGGTCTACCTGCTTTCTTATGATTAGCATGTTTTTTTCATGCGAATTTGATAGCTTTACAACGATAAATTTCCTAAAACCAAATATATATCCCGAGCCTTGCGGCTAGTATATAGTATATAAGAGAGACTTAAGTACAGTATATATATCATATATCATACCACACGTATATAAACAGCCAACGCCCGAAACCCTGACCGTTCAAACGAAAGAATATAATTATGAAATAGGAATGAGAATAAAAGCCGCGAGAGAAGGAACCATCGACTTTCGTGGGAGACATGAGATAGCTGGTAAATGGTTTATCGATATCCAAATGATAGGTACGCCGATAACCAACCATGCTAGACATCCCCCCACGCCGGTACGCCCGCGCTCACCGGGACCACGGCGCTGCCGCTGTCGACGCTCCCCCCAATGTCCCAGTAGTTTCGGCTGGAGCTGGTGAGTGTTCGCCGACTTGAGATGGCCGACCGCTTGGCGCTTTGGCTGGCACAGCTGGAGCTGGAGCGTCGGAAGTGTTGTCGGAGGATTGGCGAGGAGACGCCCGTGGGACCGGCGCCGTTGGCCGAGCACTGCGACTGGCGACGGGCCTGGGCCTGGGAGCGGGAGTGGGCGCGGGCTACGAGCGGGTGGTGCTGGCGGATGACCGCCGCGCGCCGCGAGGCGTCCTGCGAGGGACGGCGCGATGAGGTATGGTGTGAATCTGAGGTGGTACTGCGGCGGCTGAACCGGTTGCGGAGGTACCGGAAGACCATCATAACGTCGAGTTCGCGCTCCCAGTAGTCCTTTTCGTGCTGGAGACGTGCGGATTCCGACACTAGGTCGACCGCGCGGCTCGAGTCGGCGTCATCTTCAATACCCCACTGCGCTGCATGCTCGTGGTTGTTGGAACTGCGGATTGTCGGACTGAAATGCGGCGAGGGCATGGATTCCCCCTGGCTTATGCCCGTGGCCTCGGCCGAGGATTCAAGTCGGGTGGATGCCGTTGTCTCTGGGGCTTCCGATCCTTCTTCCGGGACACGACTGAGCGGGATTCCCGCGTATTGGTTGTGGGCGTCGTTCGACACGTTGAGGTAGGTCGTGAACGCGCCGGGGTGCTCGCAGAGCTGGTGAACTAGCACGCCGAGTTCGTGTGCGATGCGTTGGAGAAGTTTGCTCTGCCACTGGTTCTGGTCGTCCGGCACGGAGCCCAGCTCCCTATTCAATGCCTCATTCAGATCAAAAGGCTGGCTCGTCTCGGTAGATGTACGCTGCGCATCATGATGGGTGTCCACCAGGGACTCCCCGAAGATGACTGAAAGCAGGGAATCGTCGATGCCGATGAGATCCCGAATGACTTTGCGGGTGATCCGTTGCCAAAGCGACTCCGGGTCACCCTCCTGGGGCTTCTCCTCGGGAGCCGCCTCCGGAATACTGCGGGGCGTCTCCGGAGTCACGGACGGTGGCATGACACGATCACTCGACGACACGCCTGCGCAACTGTCGCGCCGCTTCCGCGTCTCCTTCTCGATCTCGTTCAAGAGCATCCGGCTCTGGTCCATTCTCCACCTCTCGATCCGCTGCCAGCGGTCCCGCTCCGCATCGGTCCGGTCATTCTCCACCATGGCATCTAGCTGGCGTTGGACGCTCGAATGGCGGCGCAGGCGCAGCTCGGGTCTCCGCCGGGGGTTGTACTGCTCATGCTGCCACAATTGGTCCTGCACGGTCTGACTGGATGCTTGGAAGCTGCCTAGGCCGTCATGGGCCGGAAGAACGGAGCTGTCCCCTTGGTCCCACTTAGAGGCGGATCCCTGATCCATCTCGGGGGCCCGGAAAGCGTGTAGTCCGTCGTCTAGACTGTCTAACTCGGTCCCATCCTCGTCCAACGCATCATCCAAATCGTCGGCATCATCTTCCTGTTCGGGGCCCAAGGCGGACCGGGTCACGGTGCCAAAGGAGCCAAAGTCACTGAGGCGGGACGCGCCCGCGGTGCGCGGGGTATGCTCGGTGGAGGTGGTATGTGTATGTGCGGTGACGGAAGGTTGGGAGGGGGAGAAGAGCACCCATTCCGTGGAGTCGTTTTCCGGGGGCTGCGAAACAGAGGAGGAGAGGTCGAGGGCGGGGGGTTGTGAGGTGGAGTAGGGACGTTGACGATGGGGGACTTGTGGTGGTAGACGAAACGCCATGGTTTGGGTGAGGATTGGGGATGTCCGATCGGTGGATCTCCCCGCGGATTCACGATAATGATAAGAAGGCGCAGTGGAGGGTAAGAAAAGAAATAATAATATAGAAGAGATGAAAGCACGTCGATACCACGAAATAAAGAAGGAAGAAGAGGACAGCGAGGATGGAGGGATAAATGGGATGATAGGGATGCAGATCAACCCGACTAGTTCGATAAGATGACGGGATGCAGTGGGATTGCGGTGATGTGACGCGATCCTGATGATAGGCAAGTCGGGGGTGGCGTTGTGCGATAACAGGACGGTCTAACACCCGTTGATCCGAGAAACAGGGAGAAGAGGGAGAAGAAGAGGAAGAAGAAGAGGGAGAATAGAGAGGAAAGAGAAGAAAAAAGGTGAAAGTTGTCCAGATGGAACGTCCCGATGCGGAAGAGACGAAGAGAAGAAGAAGAAGAAGAAGAAGAGATGATGATGATGATGCAAGGGAAGAAGCGTGACTTGGGCTGACTGAGGTGTCTCCCGTCACCCGACCGGACTCAACTGATTCTATAGTCTGATTTGACTGGGACTCATCACTTTGGCCCTTGATCCTCTTCTGGTTAAATTCGAGTCTATTGAAATCCACTTCAAAATGGATCCTGATCACACGATCGACCGGGTAGATAAGAATGGCCAACTCACCCACGCCATGAAACTCGCCCGGTGTGTTGGGGAGGATCCGTAATTACAGGGCACATCAGACCCCACTGGAGATCATCACCGTGGTGGGAGAGGAGAATGACAGGTCATGGTTTAGTCTGTCCAAAGAAAGAAAGGACTAAGGCGAGTCTAGTGGTGGGGATGGTGATCCGACCAAACATCGGCCGTCATTCCCCAATCCACTGTCAATTGGTCTCTATATACAGGGACAGGTCGAAAACAAGGCTGAAAGGGCAGCAATCACGATGATTCATGATGGGATTAAAAAAAAAAAGAGAAGGAAGAAAGGGAGAAAGGAGAAGGGGTCAATAAGAATATCATGCCAACGCTTCCCCCACCCAATCCATCTGGACCGCACTCACCCCCCGCGCATAACTGCGGTTCGTAAACACAAACTCGTTGTACAAGATAGCCTCAACCTTCTTGCTGAAGAGCACGCTGGACGGGTGGATGGCGACCGTCTGATTCCCCACGACCGTGCGATAACTGCCGTCAGGGACCAGTCGCGCCGTGTTGGTCGCGAACCCACGCAGGAAACTCTTCAGGATGGCCACCGGGGAGGGCTCCCGGACCAGGGACGGGTCGAACGAGTTAGTACCGTCAGTACCCCGCGAATCCGAGGGGTTGGGCAATAACTGAGCCTGGCGACATTGGGTGGTGAGTTGTTTGCGCACGTCCTAAGAAGCGGTCAGTAATGGTTGGGCTGGGTAGGGGCTAGTAGGGGCTGGGCATAGGGAAAAAGGGAACAGGGATGTTGTTGATGGCTGGGAGAAGTAGAGGACTCACCATGACGGACTGCATGGCCCGGTGAGAGACCAGATGTCGTTCAGCCCATGCCTTGCGGTCACTATGCTCCGCTGCGTAGGCCTGCACTGTGGCCAGCATGGTCAGATGGTCGCCTTCGCGCCGGTAGAGGTCGTGCCGTGCCTTCTCCGCCTGTTCTTTCTTCTCTTCCGAGTTGGTGTTGATGAAGATGTTCTCCACACTGAGACACGAGATGATATCGATCACATCGGACAGACAACCCGCACCGAACTCGGAGGCCGCCAGAAGGACGCGTCCCAGCGTCGGGGTAAGCGGGAGCTTGGCGATCTGCTGTCCGGTGGCGCTGATCGCCCCGGAGTCTTCGAGGGCGTCGATACTCAGGAGCTGCAGGAGTGCCTTCTCCAGGGCCTCACGCGGGGGCCGGGTCAGGAACGGAAAACCCATCACATTGTCGACCCCACGGGCCTTCATATTCAACAACGCCTGGCTCAGATCGCAACGCAGGATCTCGGGAGTGTTGACCTCGTCGAGAGCCAGATAGTCCTTCTCCGTGTAGAGTCGATAACATTGCCCGGGCGCCTCTCGACCCGCACGACCCTTTCGCTGGATCGCGGCCGATTTCGAGATGGGCTTGACCAAGAGGGAGTCCAGGCCCAGACGCGTCCGGAATTGCTTGACTTTGGCCTTTCCACAGTCCACCACGAACCGAACCCCGGACACCGTGACGGATGTTTCGGCAATATTGGTGGCCAGGATGATCTTGCGGGTGCGAGGCGGCGCGGGGAGAAAAACGCGCTGCTGCGCAGCCTGGGGAAGCGCCGCGAACAGTGGCAGCACCTGGATCTTGGGCAGCGCGGTATCCATGCCCTCGGCATACTCGAGGACCAGCTGTTCCAAAGCCTCCACAGTCTCCTGGCCCGTCAAGAAAACGAGGATGTCGCCGGGCAGGGGTTCCTTGCAGTGGATCTGGAAGATGACCTTGAGCGCCGCGTCGACGAAATCATGCACGGGCGCCGGGGCGTAGATCGTCTTGACAGGATACTGACGACCCTTGATATGACACACCGCGATGTCGTCCTGCGTCTTCGCCTCGTCCGTCCCCGTAGCCTCCGCCTCCGCTTCCTTCTCCTGCCCCAAACTCCTGTCCACACCACCCGTATATCCCTCTTTAAAGAACCCAAGTAAACTCTCCATATCAGCCGTAGCACTCATAACCACAACCTTCAACGGCAGCCCACCACGCGCCTCACGATTCCCCGACACCAGATTCCTCAGAAAACCCAGCACCAAATCCACATTGACCCCGCGCTCGTGCACCTCATCCACCACCACCGCGCTGTACTTCGTCAGCGCCGGATCGCGCAGCATCTCCTGCAGCAGCATTCCCTCCGTCAAGAACTTCACCCGCGTACTCGGCGACGTAGACGTATCAAACCGCACCGAGTACCCAACCTGACTCGCCGGCGACGACGACCCCAACGGCGTGCCCATCTCCTCCGCAACACGCCGCGCCAGCGAAATTGCAGCCACCCGACGCGGCTGCGTAATCGCAATACACCCGCCCACCACCATCTTCCCCTCCCCTTTCTTCTGATCTTTCCCACTGTCCCCACTTTCAGCGGCAGCACTCTTGCCGACAGCGCTCACCCTCTTCGGCCGACACCACGGCTCATCGACGAGGAACTGCGGAATCTGGGTACTCTTTCCGCTACCAGTCTCACCCACCAACAACATCACATCGTTGTTGCTCAAATACCGTCTGATCTCGTCCCCATGCGGGAAAATAGGCAGGTTTTTGCGCGTTTCGTACAGAGCGCGCGCCCTGTCCCGAAGACCGGGGAACTCCCGCGGCAGCCGCTTCTTGTCCTTGCCGTCTGTAAGGGCGGGTTTGTGTTTCTTGTCGCGCACCGGTCTGTCAACTGCTGCGTCGTTTCGCTTTTTCAGTGTCTTTTTAGGCGGGGCTGGGTTGGATTCGTGGGGCTTCTGCTGCTCGGGGTTGTTTTCGGAGGGTGGAGGAGACGTCGCCGGCGCTGTGGCTGGTACTGTAGATTTCTTCGCCTTCTTCTTCTTCTTACTGTCCGCGGCGGAGTCACCATCCTTCGTCTTCCGCTTCTTCAAAGGTGGCTCGGGCGCGACGGACTCTTGCGGTGCGGTCTGCACCGGCTGCTGGGGCTGGTGGCTGTCCGCATCGTCGTCAAAGACGGTGCGTACCCGCTCGGGCATTGTGTCTCTAAACAAGTGTCGCGCGACCGTATCGTAGGTTGTGGGTGTTTATACGTCAGTCCTGAATAGAGGGGTATAGACAGCTAGTCAGCCCGGGGGAAGATTCGTCTTGGTGTGAATTGTGAGTGGTTGCTATTTGCGGTGCGTTTTTCCCCGAAATTTTTTTTCTGCCTTTTGGATGGGGTTGGTTGTTGTTGCTTATCGATAAGGTGCTTGGCGTGGAGATTCCATGGTTCGGTCTGGGTTTTTGGACTCGGAGATTGGGGGAGGCGGAGAGAACCTACTTATACTCAGGTAGGTAGTACTCTAAAGAAAAGAAAATTATGGGATTGGTAGAATGGGAAGAGTAAAACATAGAGGGACGAATCCTATAATTTTGTTGAATGGTGAAGTCGATCATAATGAATACTTGTCTTTCCTTTTGAACCCTTCGTAGTGATCTCTCTGAAAAAGATCAACACCAACACCCGACTATATCCGTTATGTGCACTCAATAACTAGACAACCAATTTGTATCATGATCTCATCTATCTCATATATAATTTTGATATGTCTTATCGTAACCAGGGAAACCCCTCTACCCATTCTTTCACCAAAACCCACGACATTTGCATCATCAACCTTCGTTCATAGTTCATACCATGTTCCATCCTCGCACGCGTCTAAAGACAAACGCCCGGTCATTGCGTAATCCAAATTCAGCCCAGTCGTCCGTCAGCTTGTTATAGCTCCAGTAGCCCTTCCACACCAGCTTCGTGTTCTTCGACGGGTTAGACGGCGCAGGGTTGACAGCGTTAGCCTTCCCGGCAGAAGGTGACCGGAGGGAGAGGTAGAGAAGGTAGCGGTACTTGGGGCCGACGCCCTCGGTTTCAATGACGACATCGCGGGGATCGTCGTCGGTTTTTACGGGCATCGAGAAGGTGTCCGAAAGGGAGTCGGTAGTCGTAACATCCTCTCCCTCTCCCTCTTCCGACGGGAAGGGCTTGACAAGGCGCCAGCGCCCCCGATTGGCGTACTTTAACGCCCCCATGGCGACTGACGGGATCGGATCAGAAGCCCCTGCGAGTGTGGTGCCTGTGTCGGAGGCGTGTCGTTGGTGTTGCTTGTGCGAGGTGGCTCGTGCCGCCAGAACGTTTTCTTTGCTGATATACGGCACCACTTCGAGAGGCTCGACAGTGCTCAGCAGGGAAATGACCGATCCGTCCGGGTAGAACCGCAGGTACCGATAGTAGGTCACGATGTGAATCGGGCTGTTCCACGACACATTCTGGTACGAGGATGCCGCGCCGGGGCGAGTGTAGTTGACGGTACTGATATAGATTCCGGTAAAGCGAATCCGGGGAAACATCTGGAATACATCACTCCAGGACGACAACGGCGGAGGGATCTGTACCGGGGATTCCGTGGGGAACGGAGTGTAGCGGGCGGCCAGAGTATATTCGGGGATCCCGAAGACGTCACAGGCGAATGAATAATGCATGGCTTTAAAACCGAATTCCGCGCCTTGGCATATCCGTTTCCAAATGTGCTGTTCGTGGGCGAAATGGTACGCGAAGCGTTTGCAGACCAAGGACATTCGTACAAGCGATGCCGGGTCCATCACGGCAACCTGTTTCAATATCTCGACGAGTACATCCGTCGGCGCGGTTGCGATGGGACACGGGGGAGGGGTATCGCCCTCGATGATGGGTTCCGCCTGCGGAATCGGACAATGGGCAAAGGACGCAATAAGCTCAGAAACGGGTAGAGCCACGGGATCATCCTGCGGTTGCTGGCCTGGTGGGATTGTAGTTGTGGCAGCAGCTGCATCGGGGACTGGCCTTTGCGCGGGCTTTTTCCACGCCCAGGCAAAGTGTTTATGCCGGTACGCTTTGTCAACTGTAGAGTCCAGCTATACAACCAACTGTTAGTTTATTCGCCATCTACATGGATGAATGTATGAGTTCTACCCGGTATGCTTTGCGGTAAAGCTGCAGACTGTCCCCTAAGCTTCCCTCTGCCTCCTTTTCGACCGCGCGCTCAAAGTGCTCCAGAGCAGACTCGGGTTCCCCAGGCGGCTCTTGAGCCTGGAAAGCTTTTTCGTCGCTGACTCCCAGACTCAACTGACCGACACCTTCCACAATCTCACCCTGGTCGAACGACACCGGGGCATTATCCTCGTCTTCTTTGCGCTCGAGCGCTCCGTGGCGAGTCGGAGGGAAATGGCTAGGTCGAGCAGTTGACGTCCGACGCGTCTGGCTCGGCTGTGACGGTTCCTGTCTCGGTCTCGCACGATGCGCAACCTCCTCTCTCCACTGACGTCGAAACGACTCGAGCTCGGCGTTGTCTTCCATAATCACGCGTGGTGCTAGAGTGCAGGGCGCGGAGAATGACGGAGACTGATTGATAAGCCGGGGTCTCCAACCTAGTGTGGGCCTTCACACCTGAGGACCTAGGTAAAGATGAGTAGAACAATAACGATACGATCGATTCACAGCGCCATTTCAATTTATCAATAGAATTAAGATTGATTCCGAGAAAATCGCAGGGTGTCAGAAACCCGACAGGACGAAAGAGGTCGAAAAAGGGTGAACGTTGCTGGTTGCTTATCGCAGCGACCAAACTATTTTGGTCCAAGCGCCACCGCCGCCATCCGATCTCGACCATTCGCTCTTTTTTCACTGACGCATTATTCCCCGAACCTTCATTCCCCCATTGCCTCATTTTTACTTTTCATTCGACTTTCCAGGCCCTGGCTCGATATTAGGACTTGAAATCATATCCCCGACCGTTTTGTTGGAAGTGGATCCGTTCGGCGCCCCGTTGTTGCCTGCATGTCGGGTGCTAGGTCCGACCCTGCGCCTGGAGACCGATACCGCCCAGGCGACTTGGAGTGGGCTGCAAAAGACAAGGCTTCGTCGGAGTCATGGAATTGGACTAAGGGCTCAACAATGACGACTCCATCAAGAACGGGTTCAGCCCCTAGTCCGGATGCTAGTCGCAAGAATGAAAACATCTCCATCTCTCAACGGATGGTTTCCGCCACCTGCGGGAGTATCCTCACGAATCTTTTAGGTAAGGGAATAGCTTCTTGCGACTTGGCGCATTTATGCTCACATTGGCATCTAGTGACCCCCCTTGACGTGGTCCGTGTCCGCCTCCAGTCGCAATCCTCCATCAAGAACACCTCGCCCTTTACCTCCCACACGACGCAGACCCTGAAAAACGTACCCCCCAACCTTGGCGTGACGTCTTGTTGTCGGGAAGTGTTCTGGATCGGCCAAAATTCACAAATATGCATGGTGGGGCCCAATGGGGGAACTGTGGGAGTCTCTCCGGCAGCAATGGCGGACTGTGCGGTGGAAGAATCCCGGCGGAAAACGTTTACGTCTACCCTGGATGGTATACGCAAAATTGCACGGAATGAAGGGGCCCGGACTCTGTGGCGGGGGTTAACCCCGACGATGATGATGAGCATTCCTGCCAACATTATCTACTTTGCGGGGTACGACTGGCTGCGATCGGATGATAAGAGCCCCATCAACCGGCTTTGCCCTGATGCATATGCCCCATTCGTGGCGGGAGCCACTGCGAGGATAGGCGCAGCAGCAGCTATCAGCCCCATCGAGATGTTTCGAACGCGACTGCAAGCCACCCCCGGCACCGGCGCGGGGCACTTCAAGACCACGCTTGAGGGATTACATCGCATGACTCAGATCCACGGCTACGGTTCTCTTTGGAGGGGTTTGACCCTTACGATGTGGCGCGACGTCCCGTTCTCCGGCTTATACTGGTGGGGCTACGAAGAAGCGAAGAAATACTTGCTGGAAGCGCGGAAAGCAGCCCACGAGCATGGACTACCGCACCTCCACATCACAGCACATTCACCGCAAGATGACGAGACGCCGACATTTTTCGAAAGCTTCGTGGGCGGTGCGACGTCTGGTGCACTGGCGGCGTTGGTCACCACCCCGTTCGATGTGGGGAAGACACGGCAACAGGTCTTCCGGCATCTGGGCAGCGAGGTCCCGAATGCCCTCGGTACTGCGGCGCAAGGGCGGCCGGTCCCTCCGGAGCTGCTCTCTTTACCCAAATTCCTCCTGCACATAGTCCATGAAGAAGGAATGCCCGGACTGTTCCGTGGCTGGGTGGCACGGTGCTTGAAAGTCGCACCTGCATGTGCCATCATGATCTCCACTTATGAGTTTGGGAAGAAAATGGCACAAGACGTCAACGAAAGGCACATTTCCACTGACGCAGAATCGATGTCTTGATCTGATCCACGAGTGGATTCCTAGGCCCCGACAAATGCTCTGGGCCAGACATTGGTGTTTTTTGAGGTCTCTCCTCTCTTTGCATGTCAAACTCCCCTCTTTGCATTGTCATTGGCGCGTTTCATATCTAATACCTTTTTTATTCCTTAATTTCGCGATCGACTGGCCTCCTTATCTGCCAGTCGTCACTGTGATTCATGCTTGATGATGATACCGCCTTGCGACACATGCAGCCTTCCTCTTTTGGCCCCTTCCCTCGTGTGTTTCTGTGTTCGCATTTTTCCAGGGAAGGGTGGTTCTCTCGATTTCCAGAAAAGCGTCGCATTTTGAGAACTTGTACATATATATCTGAATATATCCATGGAATAGAGGAAATAATGTCATCTCGAAAGATCCACATTTCCGATAGGCTTAACGACAGGGATAGTATAGCTCCGGCGGGTTCACGTCATAGCGAACTAAGCTTACCACACCGGACCATTAGGCGACATGTTTGATGCAAGTCATCGCCCCAATGACTCCACGATAAAGAGTCATTTCTGGGCAAACGTGACCTCCCAATGAAGTAAAAGAAAAGAAGGCTGAGACCGCATGAGGTCAGGTGCGCCGCCGCGAACACGAGTAGTTCACCGACCAAGGCCGATCTCTCTCCTTTTCCCCCTCATGATTGGCACCCCCGTCCACTTTTAGTCGCTTTATCCCATCCTGAGCCATGAGGCTGAGATGGCCAAATTAAAACCGGGGAAAGAGTGCCCCATAGCGGAGTCATCTGCAGAGACAGGGGCATGCTTCTTTTTTTTTTTTTTTTTTTGTCGCGTCGTCAGATGATGCCGACATCCCCCTCATTGATTATGGTCCTTTGACCCTCCATATTACCCCCCCTGCCCCTGTCCCTTTTAACCGCGGAAAATGCACAAAGAAGTCGGATTTACTCTGAGATGATCTCCCAAATTGAACTCTCAAGTGACGACCATGAGCCGCGAATCTGTTGGCTGGGTGCCTCCTCGCCCTGAAACTGACCTGGAGTAAGTTTGGCTAAGCCCGTTTCCCCAAGTTTAGGACTGTCAGGCTAAGGATGTTGATTCAGCGTTGTTGCGGTGCCTGCCATCGGCGCAGACCCCATACGCGCATGGTCGGATGAGAATTCGGAGACACCATGGCCTGTTGCGGAACTCGCGACGCATCTTCCCCGTGCGCGCGTCTTGCTAGCAGACCACGGGAAGCTCAAGCCTCAAGCTGACCTAGAAGATTTGGCGAACAAACTGTTAACACAGCTACATGACCAAAGACAGTCGACGGTGCGGGTTTCCGGTTACTTTCTCTGGATGGTGTGGGATACTAACGTTTGGTAGATCAGCAAACGTCCGATCGTCTTCATCTGCCATAGCACTGGCGGCCTCGTTGCCAAAGCAGCGCTGATTATCGCGAGCCAGTCACCGTCCAACCTCCAGTCCATTTACACAAGCTGCTATGGGATCGCCTTTTTGGCAACGCCCCATCAGGGGTCCAGCTACCTGTCCGCGCCGGAGTATGCCAAAAGCGTCCACCACCTGCTACAGCTAAAGTACCGTGTCCCGCATCGGCTACGAGAATTCTTTCGGCCGCGGCATCCGCATCTCTTGCATATGTCTAGTCGCTTTAGGTCGATCTGCGCCGACATGAAGCTCTGGACCTTCCTGGAAACGGCCGAGTCGATTTTGCCCATCACGGATTCGGTGACGAAAAGCACGGTCGAGATGCACGTTCCCATCACGTCGATCAGGTCAGGAGTATTGGACTTTGAACACGAGAAAGAGATACCCCTGGCGACCGACCACGTCGGCACGGCATGCTTCAAAGGTCAAGAACGGACTACCCGGATGGGCTTTATCAAAGAATTACAGTATTTTACAAAGGCAGCCCTTCGCCTATCTGCAATGCGAGATAATCCATTGCATGTGAAAAGGGAAGTCAAGGTCCAAGTCAACGGCTTTTTTGAAGATCCTGCGCGGGGGGTCAGCGATGAGACGCCTTTGAAGCTTTGGTCAACAAAGTCAACCCTGCATGATTATATAAAAAATGGCCCGTCTATCTGTCTCGGGGAACGTCTCACGCAGACGGGCGGAATGCCGACCAGTCCGCTGGATGATTCTTCCGTGAGCAGCTTTGACAGTAGGCCCTCTTCCCCTTACGGCTCGTCCATGATGGATGAAATGCATGGCGGCGGGATGTCGAAAGAGACAGAGCCAGCTCCCGCGCGGCCGTCGATGAAGCAAAGCCGTAGCTTTGTGGTACAGAGATCCCCCAGGATTCATGTCACAGAGCCAATAACTGGAAATTACTTTGACGAAGATTCAGAGCAGAAAGATGAATCAGAGCAACGAGACTCTGAAGAGCTCGATCCCCGTCGCCCGGAAGAAGAGCCTGCACAGGATGTCCAGAAAGTTGAGCCTGTCAGACCGTCTTCTGGAAGCTCTGGTACCGGTAGTGTAGAACTAACCCACAGGTAAGTCGAAAGAAACGTGAGACTCGGCAAGAGAAGCGACTAACATGCCTCAAGGACGAGTCTCTCGGCAAAATATAAGAAGTTTCTTCCCATTCCTACATCAATGAGGGAGCGGCTCAATGAAATGACCTCCGAGGCACCTCGAGTGGCCCCCCGTTTCGATCGACCAGAACCGGGCACCGAGAAACTCCTTTGGATTCATGTTCCCTATACCCATACCGGATGGGTTCCTCCAGTCCTGGGGAAAGCCTGCGACGAAGACCAACAATCAGAATTGTAGGACAATCACCATTGCCACTGTGGTTTTGATGTAGCTGACGTTCTGATTTCTCCGGAAATAGCTTTCGAAAAGTGCTCAACGACCGGAACTGGTGGGCAAACTTATACAACGGGCATGTAGACCCGCACTCGCGCTTTGTGCGGCCTGCTTGTATCCATTTTCGACAGAACAATCCTTCGCCAATGGACACGCCGGGAGCGCCTGATGATCCTCGACTAGCGTTATATGTGAGTCTTGCCCTCCACGCCGAGAAGTGACAATTCTAACCCACATTGCCTATCGACAGCTTCCATACGTGAGTCCACCCGTCATGTTGCATGCGTCATATCTAACACGAAGCTCAGCTACATTGGGACACCTACTGGAATCTCGTACAGCGACGAAACATCATAGAAGAGAGAGTGCGACAAGGGCGGTCGAAACCGGCTCCAGACCACATCGCACAATCAGACCTGGAATCAAAGCTCATCTGGAGATACCTAGGCTCCGACCCCCCAGTTCACATACGGCGAACCCTCGACCAGTTCGGCTATCCGAATCTGCGGTCGACGGAGGCCAGAGACGACGATCAGATGCTCTGGAAACGAACCCGGAAAGCCATCGACCTCAACGAGGAACTGGGCGAGTCACCCCCGCCACAATACAGAACACAGTCGCCCAGAAATTTCACGGACGGCAAGGTTCTCATGGTCGATCAGCTTTGGCTATGGATTGTGGACCAGAAAACTGTCGTGACGTTCTTCCCCAAGCAGGAGCCTACCAAAGCCGAGGACAAACTCTACGAGCAGACAAACCTGCACAATAGCATCTACAACGAGTTGAACGGCGATCTGGCGAGACGCTTCGAAACCGCTGGCGATTTGGCCGCGTTGATCGCCCTGCACGCTGTTACCGTGCTTCTCGACAGGACGCTATACTATGACCTGCAGGTTCTGCGCATATTCGAAGAGTCGATTGGAATCTTGGTACTGCCTCTCCTCCATATCCCTTTTGTTCTGTTCATTATACTAAGAGCCCCAAAGACTGAATCCGTAACCAAATCATTCAAACGCTTCCGAAACCGCGGCTTCAACACCCACCCAGCAGAATACAACAAGAACGCGGACGGCAAAACGATGACTACCAAAGAGCGCAGCGAACGAGACGAGCTCATCGCCCGCCAGAACCGCGAGGACCTGTCCGCATTGCTGGAGCTAAGAGACATCATAGACGAGCTGGGCACCATCACCAAACTGCTCGACCAGCAGCACGCGACGCTCGAAGTCATGTCCGAGTACTTCGAAGACAAGGGCTATGGGAGGGTGTTTGTCGACCAGGCGCTTGCCCGGATAGACGACTACCGCAGTCAGACGCTCGAGATGAAAGAGAATGCCTTGCTTGCTCAGAAATCCGTACGTCTCCCTCCCTCTTCCCATCTGCTTATCTCTCGGACCGGCTAACCAGTCAAAGGTCGAAAACCTCCTTGACCTCAAACAAAAGCAAGCCAACGTCGACGAGTCCCGCATGGCACGTTGGCAAGCAGAGGTCACGCAGAGCCAGTCGCAAGCAGTGATGGTGTTTACCATCTTCACAGTCATGTCAGTCTCTCCCTCCCTCTCTCTCTCTCTCTCTCTCCCTCTCTTCGCCAGACACAAACCGAACACACGCACACACCAGCGCTCAAAATACTAATACCTAAATAACAGCTTCCTGCCCCTCTCCTTCTTCACCTCCCTCTTCGGCATGAACGCGAGCGAATGGAGCGGCGAACCCACGAACCCCAGTCTAGCCACCATGTTCGAAATAGCTGGTTAGTAGTCACTCTCTATTCCAACATCCACACACCCTTCCCTTCCCTCTCACACACACCCCACCACCAAACTAAATCCAACCAAATCTAACCAACAAAAAACAGCCCCAACATCAATAGCGATAATAGTCGCCGCCCTAATAATGGCCTTCAGCGAACGCCTCCGCGATGCCGTCTCCGAAGCGCACAAAGTAACCTTCACAGTAGCCAAAGACGTCTTCCTCGCCTCCTTCGCAGCCTTCACCCGCCTTATCATCTTCACCAACAAGCACAAGCACCGCCATGACGACGACGACGACGACGTCAGCTACGACAAAACCGTACCCACCGGCGGAGCTGGGGACACATCCTCCGTGAAGAGCAAAATAAGCAGGTACAGGTACTTCCGGCGAGGGAACAAGCAGATCCGCGATGATGATATCTGGGGAAGACATGTGAATGGCGGGATGGCGCCTTCGCCGCCGGGGGAGGTGGAGACGGGGTATGTTTCTGAGAAGGGGGGTGGGTTTTCGAGGCGGGGAACGAATTTCACATGATTTTTCTTTTTTCTTTTGTCTTTTTCTTTTGTTTTGTTTTGTTTTGTATTTCCTATGTTATATTGGTTTGGGGTTTCGTTGGGAAGAATTAGACGAGGTTTCTTATGTAGGCAATCTTGTATACCAGATATCTTTTGACTAGTTAGAGCTACAGATTGGAATGGAAATCTCGAACAAGATGAATTGATTGTAAATCCATAAAATACAGATATGGTACACAGGACTGACCTCCCGGCGGAAATTTTTTTATGTCCAACATAGTGGAGTGGAGATGTGTGAAGAAACCAACCATTCAAGAACAAAACGGAGTCAAGAGGTCTAGAGGGATTCGGATGAGGGAGAGAGGGAGAAAAAAAAATAATGAAATAAAGGAAACAAAGACGTACAACACATTACAGCAAAGGGGAAAATAGATAAAACAGAACAAGGAACAGATCCGGAGATGCCCATATAATGCAAAGACGCGCTCAAAGGGGGACTGGATAACCTTTCAAACAAGGACAGATGGCCGGGGCCAAAGCAGCAAATGTGACAGCAGTGTTTCTAATCAGCTTAGAACATGCCGCCGCCCATGCCGCCCATACCGCCCATACCGCCCATGCCGCCCATGCCACCAGCGGGGGCAGCGGGCTTATCCTCGGGGGCCTCGACGATGGCGACCTCGGTGGTACCCAGCAGAGAGGCGACACCGCTGGCGTCAACGAGAGAGGTGCGGACGACCTTGAGGGGGTCGACGATACCGGTGGCGATCATGTCGACGTACTCGCTCTTGGAGCTGTCGTAGCCGCGGTTGAAGTCCTTGGCGAAGTCGTCGGTCAGCTTGCCGACGATGACGCTGCCCTCGAGACCGGCGTTCTCGACGATGGTGCGGGCGGGGCGGGTGATGGCGTTCTTGATGATGCTCACACCCAGCTGCTGGTCGAAGTTGGCGGTCTTGACGTTGGCCAGGCCGTTGGCGGAGGCCTTGAGCAGGGCAGTACCACCACCGGGCAGGATACCCTCCTCGACGGCAGCGCGGGTGGCGTTGAGAGCATCAACGACACGGTCCTTCTTCTCACCGACCTCAACCTCGGAGGCACCGCCGACCTTGATGACGGCAACACCGCCGGAGAGCTTGGCCAGACGCTCCTGCAGCTTCTCCTTCTCGTACTCGGAGGTGGCGGGGTCGGCCATGACGCCGCGGATCTGCTCGCAGCGCTGGGCGATGCTGTCCTTGGTGCCCTCGCCGTTGAGGACGATGGTGTCCTCCTTGGTGATGGAGATGGAGCCGGTGGAGCCGAGCATGTCGGGGGTCAGCTTCTCGAGCTTGAGGTCAAGCTCATCGGTGAAGACGGTGCCGTTGGTGAGCACGGCCAGATCGCCCAGGATGCTCTTGCGGTTGTCACCGAAGCCGGGGGCCTTGACGGCAGCGACCTGGAGCTGGCCACGCAGCTTGTTCAGGATGCACACGGCGAGAGCCTCACCCTCGATGTCCTCGGCGATGATGACGAGGGGACGGCGGAGGGTGGTGGAGGCCTCAAGGGCGGGGATGATGTCCTGGACGGCGGAGATCTTCTTCTCGGACAGCAGGATCAGGGGCTTCTCGAACTCGACCTTCTGGGACTTGGCGTCGGTGATGAAGTAGGGGGAGGTGTAGCCACGGTCGAAGCGCATACCCTCGGTGACATCCAGCTCGTCGTCCATGGTCTTGCCCTCCTTGACGGTGATCACACCCTCCTTGCCGACACGCTCCATAGCAGTGGAGATGAGCTTGCCAATGTGGGTGTCACCGTTGGCAGAGATGGTCGCGACCTGGGCGATCTCCTCACCGGTGGTGATGTCACGCTTGTTCTGCTGGAGGTAGTCGACGACAGCGTCGACGGAGGCCTGGATACCACGGCGCAGGTCCATGGGGTTGCAGCCAGCAGCAACGTTCTTGACAGTCTCGGAGAAGATGGCACGGGCAAGGACGGTGGCGGTGGTGGTACCGTCACCGGCGACTTCGTTGGTCTTGGAGGCCACATCCTGGAGGAGACGGGCACCGAGGTTCTCGAACTTGTCCTGGAGCTGGATGGCCTTGGCGACAGTCACACCATCTGTAGAGGTCAGTATCTCCATCGTTCATCATTAAAGTTGACCATTGGGGGAAGAATCCGGGATGAATCGGGATAAAAATTGGACCAAGTCACTTACCCTTGGTGATCTTGGGGGAGCCATAGGGGGACTCGATCAGGACGTTACGGCCCTTGGGACCCAGGGTCGAGGTGACCGCCTTGGCGAGGGTGTCCACACCCTTCAGGAGCTGAGCACGAGCCTCAACACCGAATCGCAGTTCCTAATGGCAGACTGGGTTAGCATCGATAGATTTGATGAGAATCTCCGGGAAGTGACGGAAAGCCCATCGACGGCGACGGACTGAAGCGGAAGCCATTGGCAATGGGAAAGAAGACGAGAGAACGTACCTTGTGAGCAAAACGCTGCTGCTGAGCGTTAAGACCAGCAGGCTTGTAGAAAGAAGTGCGCTTGGAGGCAGCGGACAGGACCGAAGTCCGGGCAGAGAGAGCTCTTTGCATTTTGAACTAGGGGGATAGGAAGATGATGGAAAAGAAGAGAGATAATTGAAATTGCCCGAACAGAACTCCCAAGAAAGTACAAACGGGGACCACGGGAGATGGGAGAAAAGAGAAGAGGGGAGGAGAGAAAGAAGGGATGGAGATGGAGATGGAGAAGGGAAGAAGAGAGATGAAGCCAAAGAAAGTCACGAAATTTTTGCCGGGCGCTTTCTCGATCCCCGGATCGTCTTAGCTTGAGAGAAGCTCCTAGAAGGTCACGTGTGCCCGTTCCCGAGGGAATACGCCGGACTGTCGGAAGGCCCGGGTTGCCTGTTCCGGCTAGTCCTTGTTTGGCACTTTCAGGCTTTCCACCATCCGTCTACTCTGTATATATGTACGGAGGAGAGATAGAGTGCTTGATTACTTGATTGCACTTTGCTGTCTTTTCTGGAGAGTCACTGTTGACTGGTTGTCGATAAATGGTTGAATGGCAGTCATCACACTGAACTATTCCATCCCGAGGATAAGCGAAACATCGCGTTCAGATGCAATGCTCCTAAATGACACGCGAAACACGCACTGCCAAAACAGAGGATGCAAACACGCAATGCCAAAACAGAGGATGCTCTCAAATAGAGCCAATGTCATTAAGAGTCAATTGAAAGGGTGCAGGCGGATTGCATTCAGGGTCTATCGTTGCCGTCGCACAGCGCCATATCTTGGAAAACGACCGAGAGATGCCCTGAGCCAATCCTTCGTTTCCCACCCTAATGGGTATATCTAATTTTATATAACGCATTGATCCTGACCCTACATAGCCTTGGCTTCCTCCTCTGTCGGTTTCCGCCCCCAAACTCGACGACTAGATACAGTCAGCAAAGGTCCACCCCCAGGCTCAGAAAGCGAGGAGACTCACGCATATTCATAGCCATGTACGTGAGGATTCTGCAGCTCAACCTGAATCTTGGCCAAATAAGCCTGGACCTCGTCGTTGGTCCAAGGCGACGGCGCTCCATACTTCGTGAGAAGCCACAGCGCCCACCCCTCGAGGGCAGACGTCCAGTGGAAGTACTGAAGCCGCCCAATCTCCTTGAGAACCTTATTTTTCGGCCACGGCCCCAGCGGTATCTTGTAGAGCTTTTCGTGTAAATCCACGAACCCGGCCTTCTCCATGGAGCCCCGCATCGTTTCCTGCGTCATCAGGGGTCGTCCAGATCGCTCACCGCAGCCAATGAAATTGGGCCCCCACCCTCCTAAATAACTGTCTTCTTTCAGGGTACCGTCATCGCTTTGCAGTCGAACGTCTAACTCCATGTGTTCGATCCAGCCGCCCGGCGTAAGGTTTCTAGACGGCGCAAGACAATGAGACGTGTTTCCTCTTGACAGGTGGAAGAACCAAGAGGCGACTCACTCGTAGCACTGCTCGTACAGTCGGTCCCACCCCTCCAGTGTGAATGCGCCCAGCATAAAACGCAAATGAATCAAGTCGAAGGGCTCGCTCCATGTCCAGTCGCGGAGGATATCATCCACTTCAAACACGCAATTCGGTGGCTCCCAGTTCACGGGGGGCGGATAGAGGTCAACACCTCGAACGGTTGCTAGGATCGACTCAGCTGAGAGAACCATGACGAACTCCGGGGGCACACATACCAGATGGATACATGTCGGCAACATCGCTGTGCACAAATCAATAACAATCTCCAACACGGACAAGCAAGCAGAGCAACTCACAGGGCCCAGCTTCCTTTCCCCGTTCCGATATCCAAAATATGCTAGAAGATCACCTTCAGCGGTGTCACATATCCAAAGACAAGTGTGTCCTCACCTTGGGTGGTTGCGTGATGGGGGCATGATGGTGAGGGTTTTGTCGGTCGTAATCTAACATGAGAAATAGCATATGGCTTGCATCGTCAATTAGCTGTTTTCAAACGAGACGGAAACAGCCCCCATGACAGCAAGCCAGCACTGCACTCACCCAACCTCAAAGGACTCGAACTGTTGTTCGTCGGAGGGGCCCCTGTCGGACATGGTTAGAGTCGACATCTCTCTCCTCAACCCGGTGAGCGTCGCTACTGACCAGTAGTCATCTTCCTTCAACGCCTGGTATCTGCTCTCTCTGTTAGTACCCAGCTATACGATTTTACGGTTCTAGGTGGCGGAGACAACCTTCTACCATTTTCGAACCGGCCCCTCGCCACCGTCGAGGTGATTGAGGTGGTTTCCCTAAAACTAAATCGTGAGAAGGCGAGTTGTGGGAAATTAAACAAAACCCGACGGGGGGGTTCTCACGAATCTAGATCATCGGCGTCCCACTCTTTGGCAGAGGTATAATCAGGATCCTAGCAGTGGAGGTTAAACGGATGATAATCCAAATGATAATCAAGAAGATACAGCTTCAAAGCCCGTCAAGAATCGCAACATACAATGGTAATATTATCTCCCATGGTCGGAAGTGGGTGTTTGAAAAAATTATCAAAAAGAAAAACTAAAATTTAACACAACTAAAAAAGAAAAAGCACAAAACCACCCAGGCGGGAACTACAAGCATAGTAAGGTTGAGGCTGGGAGGGAAACCGAGAGTTCGGGACGACGAATGCTCCGTAGTCTGCGGTTGTCGATGGGGGGGACTTACGGGATAGGGTATAGTGGCTTCAATAGGCGCGTCGCTGCAGCTTGGCATGGCGGGGTCTGAATGTGATCTATAAACTTGACCTCCTGACTCTTCTATTTGGGCTCCTGTGAGACTGAACTGGCCATTTTGAACACTTCATACACCCCGATGTGTAGCGGTTAATGGCTTTGTTCGCTCACCACGTGGTCAGTCATAACAGGCCACTCTGATAACGACATCAGGCGATATTCTACCTCATAATCCTATTTTTGGTAGGATGTCTCCTTTTCTACCTACTAATATAACTCCCACGCCCTAAGGAGAAATAACAGAAATATCCCTGTCTTAGATATCATACACTACTCGACGCTAGACGCAGCCACCCAACCAGCACTGCCAAACCAATTCTTCAACACGGGAGAGAGTGTTTTCGGAGAATGGTGCTCTGGGCACTGCTTACGTATACCAGCCTGTTGGGATTTATCTATTTTGGGATGATCGTTGCTGGCCCTTTTCCTGGTAAGATATGGGTCCTTGGCATCTTCTACCCATTACACCGGGACGGAGATGTGGAGAATCAACTGAGATCATTGCGCGAAAATGTGAAGACTTCTTGACAAATTCAAATAAGTGCTCAACCAAATGAGATGATCATGCTCATGAAGTCAACGCTGAAAATAGACCGGGGAAAGGGCTAATTAACGAAGAAAAAATAAACCTAGCAACGAGACAAATAATACAGAGGAAGGAAAAAGCCATTTAGTCAGAGGCACGGTCCTTATGCCGAATCCCCCGGAGCCTGTTTGGTCAAAGGTTGAAAATGCTCGCTTCCGTATTCCGCGCTGGCGCTTGCCTGAAATCTGGCGTATGTTAATCAAAGAGAGTCCAAATTGAAATAGAAGAAATGTGAAGTCAAGAGGCGACAGATTTGTATCGTAGTATAGCCGTCAAATTCGCTTTTGCATGCAGCAAAGAAAGCTAAAGCAGTGTGGCCATCTCAAGGCCAAAACAGGTCGCCGTCCCCCTTAGCGACATGGTCATGTTGATCCTGTGTCTCGTTCCAGAAAAGATCTGGTGATTCCAACAAGTCTTGGAAAAAACCACCAGAGTCGGGAAGCGTACTAGGCTGAAAGCCATATCCATAATCTGGGTATGAGTAACCCGAGAAGTTATCTTGGGTCGTGGCTGGGAACAGATCGAACTGGCCATTTCCAAATCCCGCTGCAGGAATGAAACTTTGTGAATCAATGATGGACATAGTGTTATATTCTGGGATATGCGGCTCAGTGCCATTGCTAAAAGGCACCAAAGTGTCTTGTGCAGTAGTAAGTCCAGCGTTGACACACCCCGAGCAGGAAGACTGGTCAGCTTGCTCATTGTAAATTGGAACCGGCCCAACGGGGCTCGAGCTGAGTGGCTGGGATGATCCCTCCGTTGTAATGGAAGGAAGCTTTCGATACCTGAGGACCACAATACGGCTGTCTTGAGCTTGTCCGGCAGTAGGCGATGCAGCGACAGGATCAGAAGCAACGGAGGAGGAAGAACTTTCATCATTCGGTAAATCCAAGAATTTGGCGCCTCGAAGCAGCAGTTCACCCGGGGTGTCCACCTCGCTGCCATAATCCTCTTCTTCTTCGACTTCGGACATGAATCCCTGTTTGCTCTCACTTTGAGCGGCATTCCGGTCATCTCGGACGCCTGACTTGCTCTTTATCTGCCCTTTACTCTGCTTTCCCTCAACGTAGTCTTCCGAAGAATCGTCATCGTACTGAACATAGAATGGAGTAGACCTCTCGGTGTCTGAAACTGGCTCAGACTTTCGCTTCTTCCTTGTGGCCGGGGCGCGTCTGGGAGACGAAGAGACAGCCGCCTTGCCTCCAACGCCCCCACGCCGGAGAGGTGGAGGAACGGCTTTACCGGCATCGACTCGGCGCTGCCGAAGTTTGGCCAGATGTTGAACGATAGCCCCATCTGTTGCATTGTGTCCCATTGTCTCCGCAACTTCGACCCAAGGGATCTTGATACCGCTCTTGTTGCACACCGACTGGACTGTGAGAAGAAGGATTTCGTTCAGGTTATCTTTCAATGTTAGCCAGCATCCCAGAGCATTTTCAGCCCCCGTGGGTAAGTGTAAGTGGGTCTATACCATCCCAGCGGACTAAGTTGCGTTTCTTAGGCCGGTTCATTGCCTTTCTCGAAGGCATCGTGGTGTGTTGTCTATGGCTTGGTTTCACGCGCTTTGGCTCGCCTCGCGTCAAGATTCCTAACTTCTCAGGTGAGGTTATATTGCAGTTGTCGACCGTTGTCAATGCACACACTGTCCAGGGAAGTAGATCTTTCTATGATGGATCTACGAATATGAGGTAAGAAAAAGAAAGAAAGAGGTAACGATAGAGAGGGAATGTTGATATGGGTAGTTAGAAGATCAGGGAAGTTGAAGATGTGTTTGTTCTCAAGCATGCCTCAGCGAGTGGGAGGTGAGCTCTGTACTTCTCACTTGCCCATTGCTTTATGATTGAAAGCAATTGTACGTCCTTGCGAAGTGAAAGTGAAGCATCGTGTGAATAAAGAACGACAAATGGCGGGCCTGGACTGGAAAGGACTACTTATTATGGGAAGTTGAGGTGTGCTTGAGGGATCCTACACACTGGCCGCGGTCTTGATGGATTTCCTATTTAGGATTTTATGTAAATAAACTCACCTCCGTACAAATTTATGAGCAGCCCTAACCAAAAGGGAACAAGTGGAGTCTTGCAGAGTTATAGCAAAGAGTATCATATCATGTCACAAACTGACCCTTTCAACCTATACTTGTCGGTGTGGTATTGTGTAGATTATCTTTCATATATTGTTTTAAGATTCTACAGAAATTCTATCCTCCTTATTGCTCCTTGTGGTTTTCACCTCCCTTCTTGTGGACTTTGTTTTGAAATCCTATGTGGAATGATTTCGACGTCAAAGAATACTTGCTTGAGCCAAATATATCTTGACCAACCTGTCGAAAATGAGAAACAAGAAGCCAATCCTACGAGATAGGATATGTGCATTTGTCTATTAACAACCTAGCCCAATATAGTATGATTTCCTCTCTGGGTTACCATGCCTTGATCGTGGAAGTGATGGACATCAGGTCACGTGGTACACAGCAGTCACGTGTGTCACATGACCCGCAGAGTTCCCGATGCTCCGAACTCGACCGTTCGCAACACACCCGATAGTGGTTGATTCTCACTCCTGAACGATTGAAACCCTTCGTCATACACACACCGTCAAAATGGTTGCCGCCTGGAAATCCGCTGGTTTGACGTATGCTTGACACCTTACGATTTTTTCCAGCCTGTTTAATGCACCAGCTAACTCGTTGTCCACTTGCAGCTACAACCGCTACCTGGCCGTTGCCGCCCAGGCCGTTCGCCGATCTCTCAAGGAGGGCCCTCGTGTCGCTGCTGAGCGCCGTGGCGTGATGGAGCTGCGTTTTGCCAAGTGGGAGGTGCGTATTGAGAGGAATTTGCTGTCTTGATTGTGAGGGTGTATTGGGTCGGGGACTGACTGTCTATTTAAACAGAACGGCAAGCAGGGCGAGTTCAAGGCTCTTGGCCAGGCCAACGTTGATGCCATGGCCGCCAACGCCGGGTCGAAATAAACGCCTCGCTCCTCGAAGTCACTTGTTGCGATGATATAGGGAGTATTGTGGAAGAAGGCAGGGTCCACGGGGGAAGTGTGGTTTGTTGGTAGAGAACTGGATCCTCTGTAGCATATTTGAGCTCGTTGACCAAATTAAATAGAGAAGTCTATTTCCTCCCTAAGATCCAGGTGCCGTTTCGTAAATTCTCCTCGATGTGTTTTTGTAATGTAGTGAATAAAAACGCCGGATTTGACGACGTAGGTAGACTTCAACCGACCTGAACGGCGGGCCTCACTCTGCCCGCAAGTTTTGTCCGCCCGAAGTCCCCGCCTCCCCCCTCGCCCGGCCTCCTGCCTTCCTCGCTTTTCTGCGACCCTCGAAACGACATTCTCACCCGCCAGTATCTCGATTCAGCGAATCTGACAGCGGGCTGCAGATTCCAGTGTGCCCTACATGTTTCCGAATAGCAGCGCGTCTGCCCCGACAATGCGAGTAACGTCGCAGTCGGTGGTGCCGCGCGACATCACCGACGAGTTCACAGAAGCTGCCTCGAGTACGACCCGATCCCCGGACATTGAGCTTAACGCCGTCTTTCTTGGAATATCCTAACGAGTTTCTTCTATCACGCAGAGCTGTCTACCGGGCAACTGGTCAAAGATGAATACTTTACGCTGTTCGAGGCGGTTGGTGCCTTGGAGGTAAGCTGCGACCTGGACCTGCCTTCTATATTCCAATACAGAGAGCTGATATGGACGTTTACATGCAGATCATGGATTCCAAAATGGACAGCGGGTTCCTTGGGCCTGACGAAAACCATGCGCAAGCCTTAGAGGACGACTACGACATTACGCGGGAGCTGGCTCCGGAGGAGGTAGTGGGCATTATGGACGGACTCCTTTGCCATGAGGTGAGCGAAGGCCCCAAAGATGGCCAAGAAACGGACTGACAGAAGATATCTTTGATAGATGGCATGGCATATGGGGCATCCACTCTCCCAGACCCTCTTCACGTCTTTATATCTCGATAGATTATTGTGGCCCGTGCCGAATACGCTCGAGGAGGCCCGGTTCACTCGTGGGAGCGCAGATGGCGGAAACGAGGAACCACCATTGGTGAACCTTGTACTACGCGCATATTGTATGGCTCTTGTGAAGTGCTGTGACTACGTCCATGCTCGAGTGGCTGCCGAGTATTACTACGAGGTGAGCTGGTGTGATTGCACATGTGATGAAAGCCCCGACTAACAAATAGTAGGAGGAGGACTTCGTCACTCAGCTATACAATCGCAATCTCCTATCTCCGTTCGACCTAGATCCATTTCTTGATTTGCTGGACCGCGCGGCTGCTTGGATTGACGAGCAACAGGATGGGATCAACGAGGAAGTGAGAGCAGCGATCAAACTCCGGATTGATTTCCGACGCGACTTGCTTCTCGGATTATACCAAGACATTGATGTCATCCAAAATCGATCAAGTGAAAATTTCCGGGCCTGTTTGTCGCGACTATCTGACTTGGCGCAATCCGCATCCATCGGAAAGCCCGTCCCGGAATCCTTCAGTTGGAAGGTCCAAAGAAGGCTAGCAAGCACGGTGCCTCCCCGGCCAATGGTGAACATAAGCCAAGATGATGCGCTGGCGCATTTGAAACGGCTCTGTCAGGATGGGATCGATCTTCAGGAGATCCTTGACTACCGAGGACCCCACAATGTCAAGGTACGGTGATGCTGTCGAATCCAGAACTCCTGTGTTCATGTTGACAAAATCTAGGTCGCCGTCTGGACTATGCTGTCTCGAAAGCCCCAGCCATCGGTCTACATCCGGTCTCTCCTCCAAACCCTGATTGTGAACAGTGCAATGGTCCTCGGAGTGGTCTCAGTCAGAGACTTCTTGTATGATGAGCTCGCGGAACTCGTACTTCCCACGAGTCTCTTGCTCCAGGCCAACACAGATCAAACCGAGATGCCCTCCAATCCTCGCTTTCAGATTGCTCAACATATGGATGGATTTGTCAAACGATTCTCCCAAGTGCGTTAATTTCCCACCCCCCTCTTCGCCATCGTCGCGATCAATCAGTTCACCATGTTAACATACAAGTAGCCGTTTGTCGATACTTTCCGCAGTGCTTGCCTCAATCGCTGCCGAATTCGTCGGACTGTCTGCCACACTCTCGTCGACTGGGACAATCTGCAGATGGAGGTAAGTTTGGGTTTCCTCCTTTGTGAGATGCCGGGTGTCATTGACCAGATTGTAGGCAGAAGATTTGGATGAGCAGCTTCGCACGCTGAGCAACGAGTCGCCGCTTATTCTAAGCAACGGCGACTCCACTTATTCATACCCTCTTAGCAGTTGGACCTACCACCAGAAACTGAATCAGTTCCGCCTCATCCTCCAGCTTGGGTTTGAACTGTCCATCTACTCGCCTGAAGAGCTACCGGGAATGTACTGGTATTTGTCTCATATCTGCTCGACGCACCTGGGGCATCTCGATCGGATCCGGACGTTCACCGTGGCTACGGCCAAGCGAAACCTGACGGCGTTGGCTGGGAAGAAACGAGACGCCGTGGAACGGCATGCGGTGCTTCAAAAATCGCTCCGTCTTCTCGAGCGGCTTAGCACGCAGATTGTCGCCGTTGACGCCTTTGCCATCTCCCTCCATGCGTTGTATGTGCTCCTAGGCCGGCACCATATTTTGCCGACCGCCTCCTCCCCACAGGCCTACTCGAGCGAGCGTCTAAGATACGAGCTCCGCATGAAACCTTTCCTCCCCATCACGTTACCCGAATTAGTCCCGTACGACGACTACCGCCGCGAGGCCCTGCTCGAAGGAGACAGTGACGGCGCTGTTTTGGAACGGGCGACCAAGGCGATCACGGAAGCCCGCAAGGCCTGGGAGACCACCCTCGCCAACGGAGCCTTTGCTCCGACCTCGTCGGACCCAACCACCTCCACGACCCCCGCAATCGAAGAAGACTGGAAGAAAGACGTCAAGGATACCATGCGGGCCTGTATCGGGACCAGCCTCGCGATCGAAAGTCTGAAGAAGGGACTCGCGATGCGCAACACCAGCAAGGGCTCGAGTCCCGACAGTCCGTCCGTGGATCTTCGGGTCGACATCCCGGAAGTGGGCTCTAAAGCTCGCTTCCATGACTGGTGGGCGGTACCACAGATCTCCCAGAATACATTACGGTCCAAGACCTGAGGGTTCGTCGGTTGGTGAGGGAGTGGCCTGTCAATCGATGCAACCGAGCAAGCAATGCTGGGATTCCCACCCGGTCAAGCGTCGTGATGGATGCATGGACGTATTCCGCTCCACACCATTCGCTCTCTCATGTTTAGACCGCATTGGAGAACCCTGCAAAGGAATGCATGTACATGTAGGAAAAATTAGCTTGTGGGAGTCAATCAGCGGGTTTGACCTGTCCATCAGGACGGGATACTGTATAGGACGAATTCCTCGAGTCGAGAATGAAGACCACGAAATACCACGTAGAATAGAAATAAATCAAAAAGTTCTCTGGATTCTACATGTTTAACCAACATCCTCACAGGTAAATTGACTCCACTGGAGTAAACGTTTAAAACAACCCTTACGGGGACTTGCTGGTTCCCACCGCCGTGGCTTGGCCGAACCAGTCTCAGTCGGTCATTCATTAATTAACCTTAGTAGGTAACTTCCGACCTTTTTCTCCAACAGGAGCATTCAACTACGGACGCGGTAAAGATCGACCCGTGCCTTGTTATTGTCTGTCCATTCCATCTGAAATCCTACCCAAGTGGACCTCGGATCGCATCCTTCTTCGTCTTCACTCTCAAAGAATTAATTGATGAGACTGTTGTGTTGTTGGATTGTTGTTGAACCCGGGCGGATGGGTCTCCATGGATTCAATGGATGAATCATCAGCATCATCATCTCCATCCTCGTCACCCCTCCCATGTGTGTGATCCATCGAGGGTTCCAAGTCTCGCCTATCATCTCCAATCCAATGGTGAGGACCGACCGACCTGTCTGTCGCCCACCCCTCACTCCTCGCGCATCTTTCCTCCCCTCGTCCAACGAGACAATTTCGAACTGGTCTCCGTTACTGAGTCTCGATTCTGGTCCTGGACTTTGCTGACGCCTTGCGCCAACGACCCTAGATTCCGATCGCTCGCTCTGTTCCGACCTGGTGAACCTTCCCCGGCGTGATATGATATTGTACCTTGATTCGTATGCTTCTTTTGTGATTACACCTTATCTTTCCCGGCCCTTCTATTTCTCCACCTTTTCTATTTCTTTCGTCGCGTCTATGCCAATCAGACACGGTCTCCTGATTGCATCGAACTAGTATTGTGCAACCCTCTCTACCTCCATCCTCTCGCGTCCGTCTGTCCCTCGTCGTCAATAGCGGGGTGGCAGGTTGAGCGCGTCCCGCGACAAGACGTCGAGAATGCCTGTCTATCCGGTCCGGCGCAGGCCGCGCGAGTGTAAAACGTGTTTGCCCTGCCGAGCGAGCAAGGTCCGATGCGATCGCAATGTGCCCTGTAGCAACTGCGTCAAGCGCAACTTCAGCTGCACGTACGGCCGTCCGCCACCCTCCAACGCCTCGAAACCGCCGCTCCTGTCGGATCCCTTTGCGACCGCGACCACGACCACCTCCGCGGTCCCGTCCCCACAGCTCCCACCGCCGCCATCCTCCTTCACACCCGCCGGTGGCGATGGCGGCCGCTACAGTTTTGCTTCCACCTCCGTGGGGGACTATGGCCGCCCGGATCCGGACCCTCACGCGTCGTCGGATATGGTATCTCTGTCGCAGATGGAATGGGATGAGGTCAATGCGAAGATGCAGGCCATGGAGCAGATCGTGACCAGTCTGCACTCGCTGTTCTCAAACCATTCGGAGCGGAGACCGACCGATTTTCGTTCGGAAACGTTTGTCAGCGATGATGGCATGTCGTCCAGCGGAGCATACGATTCCAGCAGGCTGGAAACCGGCGAGGTCCACATTGGCGCCCGATCTGCCCTGTTAGACATCTTGGGCAAGACCAATGGCTCCCAGGAAGCGGCCCAGGGGTTGCCCACGGGTGAACTCCTTGCGGAGTTGGCGATGGGGAACGAGTCTGCTGCATACCCATTCGTGGACCTCTGGTCGTCGGACCCATTTACATTCAATATTGCCGGCGTATGCGGTGTGCTTCCGGACGATGAACAGTGTCAAAAGTCAGCCCCACCCCACCCCCCCATATCGTATTTATCTAAATAACTGGGGTTCCGGTTGCAGATTTTTCGACTTCTACAAAGATATCGGGGCGGTTTTATACCCTGTCCTCCCGAACGTGCGGAAAATGGAAGATGAAATGAACCGCTTGTTACAAAACCGGGCCCACGCGGGTGGTGTTTACAAACCTGATGGCAGTGGTCTTATGAAGCCATTTGGCATGAGCCTTCCATTCCTCAGCCTGCTCTTTGCCGTCTTGGCGTCGGGCTGTCAATTGTCCGACTTGTCGGGAAGCGAGCGGCGGTTGACGTCGTGGGTTTATGGTTCGTGAGCTTTCCGGGAGTGGCTGTTTGTTCCCATGGCGCTGACCACGTGCAGTGTCTTGCTCATACCAGTGTCTGCGGATGATCAATTATGTGTCTCATCCGACAGTGGAGGTGATTCAGATATTGCTTATCATCAGCAATGTGTTATCGTACAACATGAATGCGGGCGCATCGTATACCTTGCTTGGTGAGTAGTCTTTTCCCTGTTTTATGGATCACCACTCACGAATGTCTGAACAGGGATGACGGAGCGAATGTGTATGGTGCTTGGTCTCCATGTGGAGTCCCCCGGTTTTTCTATCGGAGCCAAGGCAGCGCGGAGGAGAGTGTGGTAAGTGATGGATTGGCTGTTCTGCAAGGTGTCCCACGTTAATAGTAAGTAGGTGGGCCATGGCGTTTCAAAATAGCCACTTTTCCCTGGCGTATGACCGGCCGTCCATCACGATGATCAACCAGCCGGAGATCCCGTACGACCCGAAGTCGATGCCCGGTCACCGATCGTATTTCGAGACTCTTTGCCGAGTCATTTCCGTCGCCCTGGAAATGCTGCGAGGGTTGCTGTTCCACCACCACACCCACCTCCGATACCACGAAATCCGGGAGTACAAGCAACAGATCGAGCGCATCACCACAGAGGCAGCTCCGCACCTGCGACAGCGGGAGAGCTGCCGCACACTCGCCGATCACATCGAGCGGACGGAGCTGCAGCTGCACTCGTCGTACTACATTTCCCTCATGTGCCGAGTCTCCCTCGACCCGGACGCCCCGCTGGACGACCAGCGGCGCGCGATCATCCGAGGGGACTGCCTGACGAATTTGATGCGAACGATCGAGGCCTTTGTCGAATTGCACTCGATCAACACGCATTGCTCGCGAAGCTGGATCAGCCTACAGCGGACCATCGCCTCGGCGTTCCTCCTCGTCGCGCACAACAACGCCTCCGTGCACCCGCATACCTGGGATCTCATCCAACGGCTGGAGAACGTACTAGCCGACCACGTCCACGCGAACGGCGAGGAATCTGAGAACAGCCAGACCGACTCGGCCAAGCACCTCGCATCATCCCTGCGGGCGCTCCGGGAAGTCAGCGCGGCCTTCCGCGCCCGCGAAAAGGGCATGTCGGCCCCGGAGACCACGGCGGTGACTCCCAACTACCCGACGGCTCTCGACATGATCTCCCCTGCGTCTGTGCCGGCTCAGGCGACCGAGCCTCTGTATACGGGCGCCGGGTACCCCGTTAACACGGACGATAGCCACATAGAAGGGATTCTCAACCGGGTCTCGGACGTAATGCTATTTCCCAATATGAACACGGGAAATGTTTGACGAGTTGGATTTCTGCAATTCTGACGAGGTAGTCCAACATTTCGATTGGGCCGCTGCCCCTCCAGCGCTCACTCTTGTTCCTCTTGATTCACGACTGAACTACGGGACGCTTCCCGTAACCCGGTATCACCATGGTGAGTGCCTTGGGGGTCCATTTCCACCCTATTGTGGCAGGGCTATTGTCCTCCGTATGAAGAGGGGGGAATAAAGGGAATGTCGACAAAATGAGTCATTCTAATCAATCGGTACCTCCTACGGTCCCAAAAAAGAGAAAAGAACGTGTCTGTGTCAGACGAGAGAATCCGAAGAGGAACGAGGGGTATATGTAGCCGCGTCGCAAGAGGATGTCTGAATTTTTATTTCCCATCGCTTCGATGGTTGGCTATCCCTTTTCAGCTGAGGTTCGATCGTGCATGACGGATTATCCGAGGAAGGGCCGCTTCGGCCGGGTGGGATTTGGGGGTCTCACCCCTATACCACTACTACCACTAACACTACCGCAAATTTCGGCCGTGGTCTCTGATATCATGCCATACACGCCACTTCCTTCCGTGGTGTCTGAAATTTTTGCCAAGCAAACAAAGCAACGCGAGGGAAGTCGATTCCCACCAGCAAACCGTCGTCGTTCAACCACCACACAACAACCCAAGGCTTGTTCCCTCCTCGAAAATACGAAACGGCAGATTCATCCATAGTCGGCTACTCAGAAGATCGCCCGATCCCAAACGATAGACAGCATTATTGCGCAGCGTGGTTTCAACCGCTGCACAGTGCACTAACGACACTTGGCGGTGGGCCCATCGGAGTGGGGTGGCATCTCGGATCCGACGTGCATATCTTCTCGTATAATGTTAGCAGTATCGGGTGGTGAAGTAAGGAGCTCGACTGTCTAGTGGACAGGGATTGTTCCCCTCGGACTCTCATGGGAGGGTGAGGGCCATTATCTACAGTTATACTATTATATATACTACAATGAGAAAGAACATATTTCAAGAAAGTGGACAGGACATAGTGATATCTTGTATATGAATTAAGAGCCCATACTACCAGAGCAAAAGTCCGATCCATTGATACCAAACCAGCTTTACCATTCTCGACCAAGAATCTACAGATTTGGTGTTTTGATTTTGTACTCTTGGCAGGTATTCGACTAGATTCTTACTTAAGTAGACATTTGATAAATCTTGTATCGATCTAGCTATATGATTCTACTAGAAGATTAGCACCATGTTAGATCTCAATTCATTCGCATATATATTGTTCCTTTAGGGCTATACCTGGATTAATTTTACGAGGAAGTGACTGGCTTAGATATGTGATTCTAGTTTGGTCAAACATTATAGCCATCGGTTCCTAGTAGAATGGAAGAGCCTCGTGATATACCTTCATATTATTTCTTGATATAAGTTTTCCATAGTCTCCTATCTTGCATGTCGAGCAATCTCCTTGCGATCTGGAAACAGCCTCTTAGGAGAACATACAATAACATTATATTCCAAGCCCAAATGCCCTAAATCAACCACATATGTACTTTTAAGCACGCACCAAACGCTGTCCAGCGCTTTCGAAGGGCTTGACCTAATTGATATCCCCACATATACTAACCAGTCTCTCCATCAAGCAATCGTCGTCTCTGGAGAATGCAGACCCTCACTTGAGATACACAAAGTCTTCATCATGGGTGATTTCACCATGAACTATTGACTCCAATAAGCACAAAGCCACACCCTCATCGTAGAACAAAAGGAAAGGAAAGAAAACTTACCGAAATATTATACGGCTCCGCATCCCCGTCCCCATCCTCAAAAAGATAAGTGCGCTTCAAAACAACCTCAAACCCAATCTTCTCATAGAGCGGCCTCCCATCATCAGTAGCCTGCAAATAAAACACAAGCCCCATGTCCCCCGTCTCCTCCAGAAACCTCTTCAACAGCGCACTCCCAATGCCCCGTCGCTGATACTCCGGATGGGTATACAAAAACTGCAGCTCAACCCTCTTCTTGAACCTGACCACCTTCCCCTCCTCCTCAATGCCAATAACCTCGCGGCGCCCCTCATTCATAGCAGTATACACCCCCCGAAAGACATCCTCGCAGAGCTCCGGAACACGAGGCTGCATGCGCGCCTCGACCGTCTCCTCGAGCGTCTGCGTGACGGGCTCGTCTTCAGCGTGCACGCCCCAGCCGGCTGCGCCTACGATGTGGCCTGTTGCGTCGTCGACGGCTTTGAGGGCCGTGTTTGGGTGACGGGCGCTGAAGAGGTCCAATTGGCCTTGGAGGAGCTGTGCGTAGGAGGAGGGGGGGCAGGGGTAGGGGTTGTAGAGATGGCGGTTGGCTTTGAAGAAGGATTTTTGGGCCATAGCGAAGATTTCGGGAATGTCTTCTAGCGTGAGGGGGTGGATTGTGTAGGTCATTCTGTTGATGAATTGATTGATTGGTTGGTTATTTGGTTATGCAGTCGATTACTTGGATCGCTTGGATTCCTTGATATTGCTTCAATGCCCAAGATTACCATGTGGTACAAGTAGGCCTTGTGGTTCTTATATAGGGTTGCTCGTATAGACAGACTGACTCATTCATCGGGGACTCTAATGGGATATAGATTAACACGTGATATCGCAGTTACCTAGTAGGTAGATGTATTTTCGCTAAGCTACTCCTAGTCCAGATAGCTTTGATAATCCTGGGGTTTAGTTCATATCAGGCTGGCTATAGACCGGGATCATATCTAGTCGCAATATAAGATGTTATAGGATTACCCCCGGAGCGCAGAAAGCTTCATGGTATCTTTTGGAGCCGGGTGGTCATTCTTTTAAACAATCCGTATCCTTCATTGTATCTACTATCTGTAAACCTACATATCTTCCACTGCATCCAAAGCCAACTGACTCTCTTCCCATCCCCTGATTCAATCCAGTAATGTAGACTCCGGCCCGGTACCGGCCTCCATCGCGGAACCGGCCTGTCTATAAAAACCAAGTCTACAAGGGGGTTATACGAACACTCCAACATCCATCTCTCCCCGTACATATCAATATCTCTCCTCTTCTCCCAATACCTCTCCAATCTACAAACCAACAACCTCATTCTCTCCATACCACCCCCCCAAAAAAAAGAACCATCAAAATGCCCCCCACAGCAATCCTCGTCCTCGACATCCAAAACACCACCATCTCCATCCTAGGCGGCCCCCAAAAGATGACCCCCTACCTAACCCACCTCTCCACAACCCTAGCCCAAGCCCGCCTCAACCTCACCACCCGCGTCATCCACATCCGCACGGGCTTCCGCGCAGGCTACCCCGACCTGCACCCGCGCAACCCGTCTTTCGCGCGCGTCGTCCCAAAAGCCACCTACGCCGAGCACGACCCGGAGTCTCAATTTCACCCGCTCGTGGAGCCGCAGACCGGCGACCTGGCCATCACCAAGCGGCGGGTGTCCGCCTTTACGGGGACGGATCTGGAACTCCTGCTGCGGTCGCTGGGGACTGAGCAGCTTGTGATCGTGGGGTTGACCACCAGTGGGGCGGTGCTATCGACGGTGCGGCAGGCGGCGGATTTGGATTTTGGGGTCACGGTGCTGAGGGATCTGTGTATGGATCGGGAGGAGGATGTTCATGAGGTGCTTATGGAGAAGGTGTTTAGTAGGCAGGCGAGGGTGGTGGATTCGGAGGTTTGGTTGGAGGGGTTGTGAGCTTCTGTTCTTGCTTTGATCTTGTTTTCCTTTTGTGATTTTTTTCGTGATTTTTTTTCGTGTTCCGTTATTGAGTGTTGCCGCAGCGCCGAGCTACGAGGCCAGCGCGATACATGGCAAGCCCTAATCCATGCATCGACTGTCCTGTTCTGTCCAGAGTACACGTTATCCGTCGTGAAAAGCCTAGCCAAAAGAATTAGATTGCTGAACGCCAATTGAGAGTCTATCTGCATAAAGAAAGAAAGGAAAGAATGCTACTCCCTCTTCCAAAACAACTCATGCACACCAAACGTAATAACACCCTGCTGCGGCGCTGTCCAATACATATTGTCATACTTGTCATCTCCCCACTCACTCGTACCAAAATTCTCCACAAGCATATTCAGAAACCAGTCATCGCCATTTTTCCGATGACCTTCCTTGAGCACATGGCGCACAAGCGCCTTCCGCTTGATCGCCACATTATCACACCTATTGACATAATGCTCCCTCCAAAACGGATGATTCTTCTCCAAGAGAGTCTCCTCAATCTCATCAAACCAAAGCATGCACATCTGCACGATGAGCAGGTAGTTCATACCGCACACGGGCCGGAGGTCCCCGTGAGTCTCCTCTAAAAAGTCCTGAAACGCGACGTCCAGCATTCCTAGGGGGTCCAGCGGTGCGGTGTGTTTAATGTCTGATGGGGGGCGGCGAGGGTCGTCGAATAATCCCTTGGAGAGTTTTCGCGATGTCTCGCATTGCTGGCGGCACTGCTCCACGTATTTTGTCATGGAGAGCATCGCCTTCTCGGGGACGCCCTCGGCGCGAGCACGTTTCACGAAATAGGTGTTGAGCATGGCTTCTTCGCCTGTCTTCCGGGCCACGACGTGGCGGGTCTGGCCGAGGCGCAGAATGGCTAAGTGCGAGTCGAGCGGGAGGTCGGCGTCGTGGATCGCCTCTGGGTTCCACCGTGCCTGCTGGTAGACGTCTAGCATGCAGCGGGTTTTGAAGTGGATGTTGAGGCTGGGATCTGCCAGGTATCTCCCGACGTTCCATCGCTTGCGGATCTCGCTGATGTTCTTGTGGATTGTGCGCGTCTCGTGGAAACTGATGCAGCGGCCGACAATCTCGTGGAAGCATTGCTCAAAGTTCGTGCTGGGGATCTCTCCGTTCGGGAAAAATGATTGGACGAATATTTTCTGTAGGTGGATGAGGTTTGGGACGGGTTTGGCTAGCCGGCCGGTCTTTAATAGCATGTTGTGTATGTGGATAACCCCGATGACTTCTGGCATGCATTCCAAGAGGTTGATCCCGGCGTTGTAGGACTGCTGCAGGGCCTCGACTAGACCGGCGCCGCAGAGATAGGGCGAGTATACCATGAGCTCGCCGGCGTCTTGCTTTGGTTCCCCGTCGGCGGCAAAGAGGGACGGCGCGGCGCGGCCAGACTCGGGTAGATTGTACGTAGCACAGAGGCACTGCCCGATGGAAATGTTTGCACACACTACCCTTTCGAACGCTCCGAGGTTGCGATCGTGGCTATGCACACCGTGGGCAGTAGGCTCCACTTGCGTAATGGTCTCCCAGAACCGTGCCAAACATTTTTCGTGCCACGCTTCCAGGTAGGCCAGCTGTCGGGTCGGATTGTAGCCGATGGGATGCGGCCACATGATGTGGCCTTCATACCCGTGGAGCATCCAACCCAGGGAGGCAGTCAAGGAGTCGAGAACACATTGGAGCTCGAAGACTTGGTGCACGGTGATCTTGGACTTGACGTCGCTGCCAGGCTTCATCATCGCGAGGCTCGTGATTCCGCTGATAAACTCGTGCATTCCCCACAGTGTGCTGTATTTTTGGTTTTTCTCGAGTCCCTCGAATGACCAGTCGATCTCGGATGCAGCTTTATCCTTTTCCTTGGCCAAGACGTACGCCGTGTATCCGGAGGCAAAGACAGTGACGACCTCGTAGAGCCACTTGATGGCGTAGATCCGACGCCATTGAATGCGCTCTTCTTTGGAGGCCTTTTGCAGGTCCAACATTTTGTCCCAGCTGTGAATAAGCTTCATCATGTTCTTCGTCGGCTTGCACGTGCGATTCTTCTGGAAGTCTTCGATGAACTCCAGCAGCACCTCGTAGGTGTACACGAGGTACTGCTCTTTGACATCGATATCGACTTCGGCGGCAGTTCCTGACCCCTTGAGGGACTTGAGCTTCATTTGGCGCAAATTCTCCTGGGTTGCATCGAGGTTCCCATGGGTAAGAGCTTGCAGCACGTCCGCGAACGAGCCCCGGTTGGGGAAATTAGCAAAGACATGGGCTTCACTTCGGCGAATGGTCGCGATGGCAACTCTGGCGAGGCCGCCTACGACCCCGATGCTTAGTTTGCTGTACGCCACTTCTCCCCACCTTCATTGCATGTAGTCGCGAATCTGAGTCCACTCCAGCAAGAGCGAGTGAGCCGCCATGCCGTAGTTCACATCATGCTCGTCGTCTTCGATGATGCAGCAATCTTCCATTCTGAACTTGTTCCGGGAGACGGGGTTCTTGCCTTTTCCTTTCTTCCTTCTCGTGGATTTCCTGCCTCGCTTAGAAATGTTCTTGTTCTTAGCTCTGCTAGGAGAGGCGTCGCTGTGCTCTGCTCCAGACATGTCGGGGTCGGAAGGGGCGTCTTCGCCGTCTAAATGGAGGACGGAGAACTTGTTAGTCAGGATAGCCAATCTTAGGTCGTTGAGCTCCACCTCAGAGGGTTCCTTCTCCGTACGTTGACCAAGGCAGGCGGGACCTCCCAGTATTTCGAAAGCCGCCCGGATGCCGACAATCCAAGCCTTGTGGGACTCGTTGCCGTGCCTGGTGTCGGCATTGTCAGCGCCAAAATGGACATAGTGTTGGTGGGTCTCCTCCCTAAGACGGAGTGTCTGCGAGAAGAGAGTGTAGATAAAGGGGGGGATAGTCCTTTTGTGCTCCGCGATTGCGGTGCACATCGCCCGCAGGATGGGCAAGCTTACCTGGCCTGTGAGGTTCTCGGTCACGGACTTGCTGGAGAGCTGTCTTGCCAGGGTATTGAAGTTGTCGATGATCCAGTAGAGTAGCATGCGCTCTTTGGTCTTGTATTCAACGTATCTGTTTCTGAACTCCATGTTAGTGGGTGGTTTGGATGAAAAGGGGTCCGTACGTATGGTTTTATGGATGAATGTAAGTGATGTGGTGGTGTGGACTGGTGTGAATATATATCGTTTAATCCAATGCGGTTACCAGGGCGGGGGTCCTGGGCCTTTTTATGTCAATCTCGCATGTTGGATTAATGTATTGAACTAAACTTCAGTCAATGTCTCATGGGATGTGGTACACTGGTGCTGTTTGCCAGTGATTGTCTTGCATCAATGGAATTCAAAAACTTCAAACAACATTGGTTTTTGTCGTCCTTTGTCCTTTCCTTGTCGGAGGGACATTCGTCCTATCAGGAGAGACATCCTGTTTGGATGAAGCCGCATGGACGATCGTCTCATGCCAGACAAAGAGACATGAAGTCGGTCACTTCTTTGATCCATTCACAAACAAAGTGCCTATCACGTTCGAAATATCGACAAGGCTGAGGATTTTCTAGGGCTCCACAACACACGACTTAGATTCAATCAGCCTCAGTGGCAGGTTTCGCATGACCTAGATGGATACTCAGGAGTAAAACGTTAGCAAATAATGGGATTGTTAAGGTGTACCTCACGTCAGCTGTAGCGATCCGCCATCCCTTTTCCAAGAACTGGCTGTTTTAATTAGTCCAAATTATTGCGCCGTTTCCGCAACCCAGTCAAACCCATGTCTAGTGTGAGAAAAAAGGAATTAGCTGCATGGGTAGAATGTGAACCAGAGATGAGGGGAAGACGCGGTATCCCATAAAGACAGGCCCATGGCAGTCTCCTCACTTCGTTCATTAGACTCTCTACAAATTCCAAAAAAGGTATCCAGACATGCCGCAGGAACACCGTCTCGATGCCTTGGTTGTGGGAGCCGGTTTCACCGGCATCTACGCTCTCCATGTCCTCCTTAGCCAAGGCTTCAATGCCAAAGCGATCGACAAGGCTCCCGAAGTGGGCGGCACCTGGTGGTGGAATAGATATCCCGGAGCCATGAGCGACACATGGAGCCATCTGTACCGGTATTCGTTCGACAAAGAGCTGCTCGAGACGTATCCCTGGCCGCGCTGGTATGTGACCCAGCCGGAGGTGCTCGAATACCTGCGGCACGTCGTGGACCGGCACAATCTGCGCCAGCACCTGCAGCTGGCCACGGAGATGAATGCCGCCCGATGGGACGACCAGGCCAAACTGTGGCACGTCACTTGCAGCACTGGCGACGTCTTCGTCGTGCGATACCTCCTGACCGGATTGGGCCTGCTCAACCAGCCCCTCATCCCCGACATCCCCGGAATCGAGACCTTCCGCGGAAACATCGCACACACCGCATCCTGGGACCCGACCGTCTCCGTCGACGACAAGCGCGTCGGCGTCGTCGGTGTGGGTTCGTCGGGCGTGCAGTTCGTGACGGCAGTCGCCCCGCGCGTCAAATCCCTGCACGTCTTCATCCGCCGGGCGCAGTACAGCATTCCCAGCGGCAATCGGCTCGTGGGGGACGACGAGCGCCGCGCCATCAACGCACGATACCGTCAGATCTGGGCAGAGGCGCGGGCGTCCTCCGTGGCCATGGGGTTCCCCGAGCCCAACCGGCAGCTGATGGACCTGTCGCCGGCTGACCGTGAACAGCTACTCGAGAACCTATATCAGAGCGGCAGCGGTCTGCGGTTTATGCTGGGCGGGTTCGCCGACGTGCTGGTAGACCGCACGGCCAATGAGGAAGTATGTCATTTCCTGCGGAAGAAGATCGCAGGCATCGTGAAAGACCCGGCGAAGCGGGCGATGCTCACGCCGACGGAGTCCTACGCTCGACGGCCTCTCTGCGACGACGGCTACTACGAACGGTTCAACCAGGACAACGTCTTCGCCGTGGAGGCGATGAAAAACCCCATCACGGCGATCGTACCGGAGGGGATCCGCATGGCGGACGGGACGGTCCACGAGCTGGACGTAATTGTTCTCGCGACGGGGTTTGTTTCCTTCACGGGTAGCTATGCCAGTGTCGCGCTCACTGGACGCCATGGCCCGACTAGCCTACACGATCTGTGGGAAAACCATGGGGCATCGACGTACCTGGGTATGTCTGTCGCGGGCTTCCCAAACCTCCTCGTGCTGAACGGGCCCACCACTGCGTTTGCAAACATACCCCCCCTTGCGGAGACAAACGTTGAATTTGCCGTGGAGCTGATGAAGCGGGCGGAGAGTCTGTCTGCGCAGCGTGGCTACCCGTGTGAGATCGAGGCCACTGCGGAGGCAGCGAAGAAGTGGGCGGAGCTGTGCGAAGCGATGGCGGAGGGGAGTATCTTCCGTGACGCGCCTTCGTGGCTATTTCGACAAAACATCCCGGGCAAAAAGTCCATGACGCAGATGTATGTGGGGGGGCTGGGGAGGCTCCGTGGGGTGTTAGCAGATGTGAAAAGGAGAGGGTACGAGGGGTTCAAGGAGCCTGTTGGGCAGACGAAGGCCCATTTGTAGCCTACTCTCTTGATCGTATTAGAGTGGTGGAATATAGATGGGAGATCAAAAGTTGGTGTCATACTTTGAGTGTTCTCGATTCAATTAGATAAACCTGAAGATTCACGGAATACAATTCCTTTAGTTGATAAGAGAACAATTTACGATGTCCCAAATAAGAAATCCACAGTCGCAGGTTGCATTTTAGAATAATTCACTAATATAATTATGAATGGGGAAGAATAAATTGTTGAAGATCTTTCAGTATACTTTTTTAACTATCAGAGACCGTCGTTCGTTCCCCATCAGGCTGCACTCACAGAGCAACTTCAACCTCGACAACGAGTTGACCCCAAAAAGATATCAGTCTAGTCAAGGTCTCCCAAAGAGCTGTTCAGCGGTTTGCATTTTGTTACAAGACAACGTGCAACAACAGCAACAGAAACAACAAGAAGAAGAAGAAGAAGAAGAAGAAGAAGAAGAAGAAGAAGAAAAACAGAAAAATTACCAATCAAGCAGTCAAAGCTGCTCATCCAGCCATTAAGCTCCCTACATCAGTCAGTAAGCTCATCTCTCTATCCGCAGCCAAGAAATATAAAACACATATACGTCTGTCTATGAAGGAAGCTAACTCATCAAAGCTAGGGAAATACAAACCCCAATTCAGCTCTAGGGACTTTTCCAGTGGAACTCCTCTTACATGTCATACAATATCTTGACCTGGGCATGCAGATCGCCCTGGCGTTGACCAGCAAGCGCCTCCTACTCCGCGTCATCTAATCTCAAGATCAACACGCTGGCCGGGCAGAGCGTCTCTTCGGACGACAAGGACCTCTACATGGAGGACGAGGACCTCTTCCAAACCGACAACCGAGAGCAGATCGCCACCATGATCTGCCAAATCCAGCAGTGCGCGACGTGGCGCTTCTGTGAAGAGTGCATGATGCTGCAGCCATTGTGCATATTGCACTGGCAAATCAAATTGAGGGCCGTGAATGGCATGGAGCAGGTAGAACAGTGGGAGTGGCCTTGCGAAATGGACGAGGTCTGTCCTGAATGCAAATTTGAGAGCATCTCTCCGGAACTGATAAGTGTGAGAGGTGATAAACCTGTTTCCTCTCATCTGTGACCCATGAATACCGTTTTCCTTCATAAAATTTTTGTCGCAATATAAGATAGTGCATCCAAGGGTACCCACAGACATCAGATGTGTCTAGATCTCTTTTGTAGCCGAGTGGGACTCTTTGCTTCATTTGACAACATGAATAATAAAAAAAGCACTAAATTCTTATTGAATTTTTCCTCTTTTGACTATACATCAACCCTGTCTATAACTAAAGTAAGACTCTTTTAATCTACTTGGCGTACCTAAATAGTGTTTCCTTTTGGCCGGTGAGGTGCTGTCTCGTTTCAAATCACTATTCAGCCTGGTTCGTGGATACGCCTGGGGTTGGTTTGATCGTGCCGGCTATTCTGTTTCATCTATCCAGCACCCTTGAAATTACAGGGGCTCCCAGAGGAGGAGAATCGAAAATCACCGTCTCGATGCAGAATCAGGCTATACGAATCTCGAAACATGGAATTCTTCCGATTCTGGAGGAATGGAGAATCCGTGATTGGCGCGTTCCCCCTCATCCATCTCTAACCCTAATCCGTCCGTGAGGAATAGCCTAATTTAGCCAATATCCTGTCGCGGCCGAGGTAGATATAAAACCGACGACGTCCCTCTGAAGTTGTCTTACGATCACGATCAAATCTAAAGATCTACCAGACAAAATGATCTTCCACATCCTTCTTCTCCCCTTCCTCTACACCCTGGCCCTGGCCGGGGTGGCCCACCAAGCCCGCCAAGCTCCCGTCGCCCCGGGATCCCTGCAGCAGGTCACCGACTTTGGCGACAACCCCAGCAACGTCGGCATGTTCATCTACGTGCCGAACAATCTCGCTTCAAGCCCGGGGATTGTCGTCGCCATCCACTACTGTACGTATCTTTCCAATTTCAGCAAGGTCACTAGCTAATAAAGAGAATGAAGGCAGCGGCACCGCCGAAGCATACTTCACGGGCTCTCCCTACGCCACCCTCGCCGAGACCCACGGCTTCATCGTCATCTACCCCGAGAGCCCCTACGAGGGCACCTGCTGGGATGTCAGCTCGTCGTCGACCCTGACGGCCAACGGCGGCGGCAACAGCAACTCCATTGCGAACATGGTTGCGTGGACGACTGAGAATTACAAGGCGGATACTAAGAAGGTGTTTGTGACGGGGACTAGCTCGGGGGCAATGATGACGGTATTCTCTTCTTTCTATTTTGTTTCTCCCTTCTTTTCTCTATCCGCGAGACTTTGAGATGTTGGCTTTGCTTACAAAATTTGTGAAAAAGAACGTCATGGCAGCAACCTACCCCTCCCTCTTCACCGCCGCAACAGTCTACTCCGGCGTCCCAGCCGGCTGCTTCGTCTCAGAAGCCGATATCCCCGCCGCGTGGAACAGCACCTGCGCACAGGGACAGTCAATCACGACGCCTGAGCACTGGGCAGCTATCGCGGAGGCGATGGCCGAGCCGGGCTACAGCGGGAGCCGGCCGCGGATGCAGATCTACCACGGGGGCGTGGACGAGACGCTGCTGCCACCCAACTACAACGAGACGTGTAAGCAGTGGTCGGGCGTGTTCGGGTATAACTTTGACGAGCCGGCGAGTGTGGATGTGGGTGCGGATGAGACGACGACTGTTTATGGGGATGATGTGGTGGGGATTTTTGCGCCGGGCGTGGGGCACTCTGTTCAGGTTAGGGGGGATGCGGATATGCAGTGGTTTGGGTTTGTATAGGGATTTTAGTGGTTTATCGGTTGTTGAGGGTGATATTGGTGGGGGAGAGGATATTTGTATATAGTAGGTTGTATGTATGGATGCTGTTTGGGCTTATACTTGGCCCATTTGCAGTCATTCTGGCTAGTTAATTTAACACCCAGGATGGATATTATTTATTATTGGCTGGTAAAATATACCTACGAGGTTACCAACATAGTATGCTACACATATCATGTAAAATATTTATTCCTAATCAAACCATTAGGTATAACCAAAACTTGCCGTATCTCCATCTCATCAATCGTAAATAGAAGCATCACATACTTCACTATCATCATGATCATCATCATCCCCCAGCCACAAACCCCTAGTCAATAAAAAAAAAAAGGAAATTACACCTTAACCTCCTTCTCCAACCCGCCCTTACTAGCATCTTCCACCTCCACACTCCTCCCCTCAACGGGCTTCTCCAACCCATCCTCCAAAGCAGTCGCTTTAGCCGTAATTTCATCTTGCACGCCCAACACAGCAGTCTCAAACCGCCTTCCGCGCTTCTCAGGCCCAAACGCAGTCGTCACCATAATTCCGATGGCAATGATAGCCGTGGCAATCCCCATCGTGGGACCATACGCCGGTGCAGGCTCGCCTGTAACGCCCTTCACCCACGTCGACTCGGCAATGGCGTTGACGATCTGCGCTGAGGGGGACGAGATCATGTTGCCGACTTGGTAGGTGATTCCTTCTCATCATTAATACATTTATCTCAAACACGTCACGACACATAAATATATGTGAAGGGGGCAGATAGGGTAGACAAACCAGGAAAAGACGACCGAAACGCCGGCGGCGACAACTCATTCAAGTGAATGGGAATGACGCCCCAAGCACCCTGCACGAAAAACTGCAAAAAGAACCCACTCGCGCTGAGCGAGCGCTCTCCCTGCGGGAGGATCCACGCGGGAATCAAACAGCCCGACAGAAAAGCCGACACGATGATCGCGCGCCGGCGGCCGAAAAACTGCGACAGGTAGCCGATGATGGTGCCGCCGACGCAGGCGCCTGTCTTCATGAGGATGGAGGCGCGCGAGGCACCGGTGTTCTCGAGGCCTTTTTGCGTGAGCATGAAAGTTGTGTAGGAGTCTTGGGAGGTGTGGGAGTAGTAGTTGAACTGGTCTTGTCAGTACTTCTTTTTGTTTCCCTTCGGCCCTTCGGGGAGGGGGGCTGTTGACATACCCATGTCATGAGGATAACGCAGTAAATGCACATCTTCCACTCCTGCGCCAGGATGGCCTTCGTTTCACGCCAGAAGGCACCTGCGTCGGTGGCCTGGTGACCTGATCTCTTGGCGTCGATGAACTGTTGCGATTCGGGGAAGAAAATGCGGATGACACCCACGCCGATGGAGAGGCCGGCTGTCCATTATTAGTGACTGACTGCTGAGGTTGTTGAGGGGAAAATACCCACCGGCAATCCAGAAGACCGTCTTCCATGTTTCCACGGCGCCGCCAACTCCGAGGTTGGCACATGCTGCGAGGACGTATCCGAGGGAGTAACCCTGCTGGAGGATACCCGACATGAGGCCTCTTGCATTGGCACTGTCCATGTCAGTGTCTATACCCCTAGGATGTAGGAAAGGAAAAGAAAGGAAGAGAGAGAGAGACAGAAAGAAAAAAAAAGAGGGAAAACATACGGACAGTGCTCCAGCGCCATAGCAATGGCATTTCCATAAACACCACCCATAAACAACCCAAACAGACTCCTCACAGCCAAAAACTGCGAAAACGTCCGACTATAAATCGTCGCAATCTGCAGCACCCCCAAAACAATCATATTAATCACCATCGGCCACTTCCTGCCAAACCTGTCACCCGCGAGCCCAAAAGCCGCAGCCCCCACACTCCGCAGCAGCAGGGTAAGCGTGATCGCAGTGGAGATATCCGTCTTGGTCCGATCATAGTACTTGGCCAGCTTGACAGTCTGGATAGAGAGGGCGTGGAAATCGAAGGCGTCGGCGGTCCAGGCGCAGAAACCCACGATGAAGAAGATCCAGTCGCGCAGGGAGAGCTGCCACAGCAGGCTGATGGGGTTCTGGATGGGGTCGGGAGAGACCCATTCTGCGCGGGTCTCGCCGTGGGCGTTTACGACTGAGACGCGCTGTTTCCAGCGGAAGAGGTCGCCCCAGGATTGTTTGGCTGTGGCGAGGATGCCGGATGGGATAGGGTCTGCTGGTTCGTTCATCCTTTTTTCTCTTCTTTTTCTTCTCTCTCTCTCTCTCTTTTTTTTTCAATTTTTTTTTTGTATCAAGGCTCAGACAAAGTAGGGATGAGAAGAAAAAAGAAAAAGAAAAAGCAAGACACATGCAGGAGGATACATGCGCGATTTTATACCGACCAACCTGTCCTACATCCTCCTACAAATTCCACCCCAGCCAACAGAAAGGCAAAAGCAAGAAGAGAAAAGCACCAGAAAAAGAGAACAAGCTCCCCCACGGGGACACAAGCCAAGGTCTTCCCCGCGGCTCACAGCTCCCAATCTGGCGAAGCCAAGATGCTGCCAAGGGGCTGGGCGTGCTGGGCGGCGGCGGCACTGGACTTATTTGTTGGAGGGTCCAGATGATTGAATCAGTTGGTGGTATATCAGACATGGAGGTCATCATAACTATTAAAGATGATAAATTAATAAGAAAGTAGATTCTTCTGAGTGATACGTACGTGTATCTATATAAATATAGATGGATAGATAGGTAGACGAAGATGAAGATATAAAACAATTAGGGCTAATCTCATCCCGACTCTCCCCGCATTCTGAACCATCGGCAACAGAATCCTTCCACATCTTCCTCCTAACCAACAAGCATATATTTTACATTCTATAGTCGCTAACTTTATACTAAACTATACTAACTCATACTAACCCTATACTAACCTCATTCCAACCAAGTCAACAGACCCCAACCCACACCCATTCCTCCCGCGACAAGATATCCAAAACGCAAGCGTCCGCCGATCACGCCTATATTTCCCTCATTCTCCGCGTTTTATCTAATATTTTCTCCTCATATAGTATATAGTATAGTATATCATCATACTATCCTACAAGGAGACAAAGGTAACCCCCACGCACAACTCCCGATGTGGGGAATGTATGTAACCGATTTTATGAGACAGCCGTGATCTAGACGTGATCCAGACAGACAGCCTCGGGCTCGGACTGCCCGATGACAAGGTTACTACCTTCCTAGTACGTACTATATTAGGTCGGTATCACCCCACGCCACCCCACCCTGGTTGTCTATTTTCGCGTGGCGTTGTGGTCAGAGCTCGGCTTGTTTGCCACGCGAGAGATATAACATATTTCATACGTATGTAGGTTGTATGGTGACTTGTTAAGTGGCTTGATTTGATCCTATCGGATAGGAAGGGAGGTTGGGCTGGATTGGATCGGACTGGAATGGAGGCAGGAAACAAAAGACATGTGGTGTAGGTAGACCTCTGTCTGAGCGGCTTTTGCTTCGTCTGACTCGATATTATCTTGGCTGGATAGGACAGGTGGGGTGGGTCACGGGTTGATTGTCTTTGTCTCAGTGTTTGTTGGTTTGCGTTACATTCTTGTCGTTTTTCTTATCTTTCATTTTCAGGTCGATGCTGATTTGCCCCAACCCTCTTGTGCGCTGGGAGTGTATTGTCTTCGTCAGAGCGTAGTACTGACCTTGGTATCGAAATTATCGATCATGAATACTGGAGTACTTGGGGAAATAATATGTCATACCGCGTCTATACGCCTTGTTCATTATGCATCATCTATGTACAAAACTCCATCGTCGCTCATAATCACTCATTCTCGAGTCGCCACGAATTCAAACGACCGGTCCCCCTGTCCCGCCGGGATCGGGTTCGTGTCGCCGTCGAACAGCGTTCGTTCGAAATACCGCACCCGCCGGTCCGCCCCGACCAGGATGACCGTCTGCTTCTGCGTGCCGTATGGCCCGTGCAGGAACGAGGTGTCCAGCCCGTCTTGCAGCGCCGGTGCCGACGCGGGCACCGTATCGCGGGCCCCAATGCGGGGAACGAGGATAGTCTGTCGGAAGTAGGGAAGGTAGTCTTCTGCGGTAGCGTCGGGGCCAAGTTGCGGGAGGTTGTTATGACTGAGCACCTCCAGCAGGCGATTGATGAGGGCGTTCTCGTCCTCGTCCTTGCCGGCCTGTACATGAGCCGCAATCGCCTCGCCCATCAGCCGCTCCCCGTCGAGGATCTTCGGCCAGGACCGGTCGTCAAAGGTGGTATTGCTGAGTCCCAGGGTCTGGTTCCGCTCGCTCGCCACCCACGAAACGTGATCCATCGTGGCGGACCGGTTGGAGACTAGGGCGAGCGGCTCGTCGACGTACCCGCAGACGAGGCTGAACCCTCCGACGGACCGCGCCTCGTCGCTGGCTACCATGCGTTCAACGAAGTCGCGTGTGGACCGGGGGCTGTCGGGTTCCCCTATCAGCCACTCGTTTACGATCATGCCGCGGCTGAGTCGCCCCGTAGCCTTGTCGGAGGACTGCTCGCGGTAGTTGGTCAGCACGGCGACTTTCCCTTCGCGGGTTACGCCCATCCAGGTGCCGTGCGTGGGGCGGGCGAGGTCCCGGCCTGCGAGGACGTTCGAGTGCGGGGTGGGCCACCAGTCGGCGCGATCGGTGGGTCGTCGGAGGAATTCCTAGCATAAGTCAGTAAGCGCATGAGGCTCTGAGAAACTTGTAGAGACATACATCGCGGTTGTCGAGGATGATGAGAGGGTAATCCGGATGTGCGGTGGAGAATAAGGCAATACACATTATGGCTGATGTATAATCGTTGTATGAAGTCAATGGTGATTCATGGAGGGACTGGTTTGTGAGTTGGAGCGGTAGATGGGAATCAACAAGTTAAATACAAGTCTAGTAATATGCACAGGTTAGAAATGAAAACTGAACCCTGTAAAAGACGATGGAATGATGTGGATGGGACGATGATGATGATGATAAGGGCGGTTTGCATGACGAGGCGAAGGTGGGCCCATTGCCGGCAGTTTCCCACCGCCTTGGCAATGCTGTCTGCGGTGTCTGGGCAGGGAAGTTCATGTAGCCAGATTGTTTGTTTGATTTTCCTCTGGTTCAGTTTTTGATTTATTCTAGACGTACGAAGTATTCAATCATGTCTAATATGAAGCAGAGAGAACATGACGTCAGTATATCATATACGGTGCATGAGAAGACTAAGATCGGGCGATCGAAAGCGGTCAACCAAAAACGGACTAGTCGATCTGACAGAGAAAGAAAGAGAACGAGAGAAAGAGAAAAAGAGAGAAAGAGAGCTGAATGAAGATAGAAATAGAAGAAGAATCAGATCTCTCCTTCTTCCTCTCGTTCTATCTCTCTCAATCTCTCCTTTTCTGTCTCCTTTTTTGTTGTGCCTGACTCCACTTCCGTTTCCCCTTCTCGTCTATTGATTTTGGTCCGCCCCGTCCCTGCGGCTGGCCGCTTCACATTTGACGGCTCTGGTCCTGGTGGATCCGCCCAACCTCAGCTTGCCAACGAGCTCCATCCGAACCAGATTTCTCCTTACTTCCTTCCTCCCATTGCTGCCCCGCAGTTCGTCCGGCTCCGTCGATTTCTTCTCGGGACTCCTATAACCTGACGCTGAACATCCCCCGATTCTTCAATCTTCAATCCATCAGGAGAGACAGCCATCTCATCCTCCGCCAGATATACACCCGCCATCATGTTCGGCATCATCGCGGATCTGTTCTCGTAAGTTCCTCATTTCTATATCTAGGCCACCGCGAAAAAAAGTCCATTCGGAGTCTAATGAGTTTTCAGTTCGGTCATCACCATCCTCTTCCCCATCTTCGCCTCCTATAAAGCTCTCCGTTCTTCCAGTCCCTCCCAGCTGGCGCCATGGCTGATGTACTGGGTGGTCCTGTCCGCGATCTTGATGGCGGAATCCTGGACCTACTTTATCGTCGGATGGTAAACACCACTCCCCCCTCCTGGAACCGCATCCCAGTACTAACGGTTGTGACCATTAGGATCCCATTCTACAGCTGGATCCGTCTCTTCTTCTTCTCGTATCTTGTCCTACCGCAGACACAGGGGGCCCGGATCCTCTACCAGACCTACGTCGATCCGTTCCTGACCCACCACGAACGCGAGATTGAGGACTTCATCGGCCGCAGCCACGAGCGGGCCAAGGCCCTTGGGCTGCTGTACTTCTACCGGGCCATCGACTACATCCGGGAGCGTGTCCTGGGCCTGCCCGCCCAGAACCCGCCCCCGCCCCCGCCGAGCGGGGTGGCGTCGTACGCCCAGTCGCTGCTGTCCCAGTTCAACATCCCCCTGGCGGGGGGTTCCGGCCCTGCCCCCGGGGCGGCCCCGGCCAGCAACGACTGGTACACGACGCTGAGCGCGGCGGTAGCGTCGGTGACGTCGGCGGGCAAGAGCCACGATGCTCGGGCGGAGGAGCTGTCGGCCAGCGGCACGGTGCTGCCCCGCGAGATGGCGTCCATGTCGCGGGCGGAGAAGACCCAATTCCTCTCGCAGCAGCGTGACGTGCTGGAGGTGGTGCGACGGGCGCTGGCGCGGGAAGAGAGCTCGCTGGAGACGGGAGCGGTGGACGATGACCTGGCGTACGGGTCGTCGTCGTCACTGCGGAAGAACCGCAGCGACCACTCGTTCGACCACATCGAGCCGGAGGACCTGCGCGATCGGTCGCCGGCGCGTCCGGCCGAGGATCGCAGCGGCTGGGGGGCGGCGGCGGCGTCGGGAGCGGATCTGGCGGCGCGAGGGATGGCGGAGTATACGCGATCCCGGCATTCTTAAGGGATCCCATTTTACGGGGTCTACCATGTGGGATAACACCATTGTCTATTTTATCTCACACACTCTCTCAGTAACAGTCGTTCTTTCGTAACAAAAAAAATAAGAGAATCACAAGAGAGAGATATAACCAATGACAACCCATGCACCGGTTGGTGCCTAGAATCTGACCACCCTGTAAGATAACTCACTGGAGTAAATAGACCCAATTGAGACATATGATGATGACATGCGGCGATCCGGCTGAGTCATCCTGCGCGGTTATGCACGGTCGGATTGACATTATCACAAGCAGCAGTTGTGTTGCCTCAGAGTGGCGACTGACATGTTTTATCCATGGTAGATGGATTTTGATATTGATGGTAAGACCAAGAGATTCTGTTGTATCATCCTATTCGATTCGGATGGGAGAATGGAGAATAGAGCATGAGGTGTAAGAGCACGTCTAGATATCCGGAGGATTACGGAATAGTACAGGTATATATATCTAGGTCAATATAAAACCATTCATCTGGGATATGCTCCCAGTATGACATTTACAATCTTATTTTTTCTGTTTCTCTTCATTCGGTTTGTATCCGTGTCTATTTATAATTGATTCCATAGATTCGTATTGATCACTGAATTAAATGCCCGTATACTTAGCATCGCAGCCTCATCTTCGCTTCCGCTGGAGATGCCCTGGTTTCTCAGGCCAAATCCACAGAGAACACTGGAGCAATTGTGACCGTACTGGATTCAATCACAGTAATTTATATTATCATTCAACGTTGTATTCCTCTATTGTCATATATATTATATCATATATATTATATCATATATTTTAGATGTACTCGATTTGATGGGTGAATTTTCAGTCTTCCCTCCACAATTCCCCTCCACTCAACCAACCAACTCTCTTTCTTTTCTTCTCCCACACTTTTTTTTTTTTTTTTTCCTGACTAAATCCCGCGCTCTCATCTTTTTCTCCCCCTCTCGTCATCTCTTCTCACCTTCTTCCCTTCCTCTTTCTCTTCTTCTTCTCTCCCACAACTGAGAGCTCTTCTCTTATTATTCATCTCTCTTTTAAAATCTCTCTCCTCTCCCCCCTCCCCCCTCCCCCCCCTCAAACCTGTCTAATGACATCGCTCCCTCCCAAGGCAGACGTTCAATCTAACGGACAGTCCGGCGTCTCTTCTCCTTCCTCCGCCACCGCGAATCAAGCGACGACGACCTCTTCGTCTTCGCGCTCCTCCTACGCTAGTGCCACCAAGAAGTCCGCGACGGACTCCACCGCCGCTCCCGTCACCGTGGGCGGCTCGTCGCACCATGGGAAGTCGTCTGCATCATCTCCTGTGAGCGGCCAACCCATGCAGCAGTCCCAGTCGCCGGGCGTCACCATCGTCAATGGCGCCCCGGCCGCCTCTGCCTCCTCTCCCTCCGTCCCGGCTCCCTCGTCTCAGCCCGATCACGCCAGAAAACCCTCCGTGACCATCACCTCCGCCGGTACCTCGGGATACATCCCCAACGGGGGTCCGTCTTCGCGTCCCAATAGTCTGCAGTTTGGCTTCGCCAACCAGCAGACCTCTCCCAACCTGGGGGCCCCGGCCGCCTTGTCCGGTCCGCCTCAGTCGGGTCTGGGTGTCGCTGCCACGGCGAACCCGCGCATCACTTCGCCCCAGACTTCGCCTTCGCCGATCCCTCAGCCGGCCTCCAGCGGCGGTCGTCCGCCTCCGTCGTCCTATCAGTCGCAAGGGAACGTTCCCAACTTTGGAAGTTTCGGTGAGGCTGGTGACAACGTAAGTCTTGTCCTTTCTTTTTCTTTTCTTCCTTTTTTTTTTTTTTTTTTTTTATCTATTTTTACTACGTGTTATCTGCTCTGGTTTCGTTCTCGATTCGATGTGATTTGTGTTTCGCTGCACTCCTTTCCTGCGGTGAACAATCTGGTGCGTCGGACACAAAGAATAATCGGATCGGGGCGGCCCAAAGAAAAGAGACCGGAAAAAAATTACGGGCCTGGTCTTGTCTTGGCATTCTGTTCGTTTGTTTCGTCTCTGTTTTTATGATCTTCCCGTCTTTTTTTTTTTTTTTTTTCTTTACTCTATTTTTTTTTTCTTCCTCCCACACGAGATGATCTTCATCTCGATCCCATCATTCCACACCACAGAAGATTCCTCCCCCCCTGCTTGGCATACATTCCTCGAGGGTGAATCCAGTTTATTAACGCTCGACTCGCCTCTTCTAGATGCGCCCGTCGCCCCAAGCCCCCCTGGGTCCCGGTCCGCAATCCACTCACCTGCGCCGCGAATCCTCCCAGTCTACGCACAGTGATATGAGCAACCACATGGGCAGTGCCCCCGGTCGGGGTGGCTACCCGCACCAGGGCGGCCGCGGTCGCGGATACTCGCAGTCGGGCTATCAGGGCCAGATGCCCTACTCGCCCGGTCCCAACTTCCGCTCCCCCAACCAGCCCCGGGGCGGTCCCAACATGGGCCCGCAGTTCCACGGCCCCAGCCAGGGTCGCCCGATGGGCCCCTTCCCGAACTCGCCGCACCAGGCCAACCGCAGCCCGGCCCTGGCCAACGCCCACCCGGCCACCACGCCGCAGATGAATCAGGTCCCCATGGCCCATCCCCAGATGCCCCCCCAGCCTTACGGCTACGGGCAACACATGGCCCCCCAGACTGTGAGACTCCATCCGCCCCATCATCATCATCATCATCGTCATCACCATCATCATAATTATCATCAACAACCTCCTCCCCCTTCCCATCCTCACCCCCCCATACCCCCGAGACCGCCGCGCCGCGGCCTGCCTCCCCGGCGTCGGGCAGGCTCGCGCGCGGCGATGCTCACTGGGCCCCATGTTCCCCACCCCCCGCGGCTCCAAGGTCCCGTGCCGCTGCCGCTGCCCAACTTGGCGCCTGAGAGTGGTCAGTTCGAACAGTATCTAACGCTGATGAAACATCGACAGAATTACCCCTACGACGGTGGCTACGGCTACTACCCGCCCAACAACTACGGCATGCAGTTCATGACCCCGCCGTCGCCCCAGCCCCGGCCTGGCATCCCCTACCCTGCTCAGCCGGGCTTCGTCCAGGGCCAGTACCCCGTGCCCGCTGGTCCCCCCCAGGCCACCCCGCTGTCGCGCACCCCCTCCCAGGTGTCCAACGACCGACCCGGCTCGAGCCTGGGCGGCCAGGGGCCCCCGCCCCCGGTCGGACCCGCCGGTCCCGGCCACGCCCACAGCGGCAGCCGCGCGGGCAACAGCCCCAACCCCACCGCGAAGAACTTCGTCATCCCGCCCGCCAAGCGCAGCCCCATCGTCATCCGGGACCCTGGCACCGGTTCCGTCAAGTCCTTCGAGAAGCCCCCGGCCTCGCCCGCCCGCGCCACTCCGTCCCCCGTCAAGATCACGACCCCGACCGCCACGCCGCCCCCGCGCGCCGATCACGCGCGTGCTGACTCCAAGGCCCTCAAGACGGACGAGGAGAAGAAGCAGGAGCTCAAGGATGCCGTGCGCCAGAAGATCGAGCAAGATGAGGCCGACCAGCGGCGTCAGGCCGAGGAGGCCGCTGCCGCTGCTGCCAAGCCGACGGAGGCCCCCAAGGCCGCTCCCGCTCCCACGGAGGAAGAGAAGGCCCGCCAGGGTCTGGAGGATCTCAGCCTGAAGGAGAAGAAGGAGGCGGAGAAGCCGGAGGAGAAGAAGGAGGAGAAGAAGGAGGAACCCGCGGCGGCTGCTCCTGCCCCGGCCCCCGCTCCGGCCGACGATGACGAAATCGATTACGACGCCATCGAGCGCGAGATCGCCGAGATGGAGGCCAAGGAGGCCGAGATCGAGCGGAAGTACAACGAGGATAAGCAGCGCAAGAAGGAGGAGGCCGACCGCAAGGAGAAGGAGGAACTCGAGGCCTACGAGGCCAACATGAAGAAGGCCGAGCGCGAGGCCGAGGCCGTCGAGGAGGCCCGGGAGCGCAAGCGCCTGGGACTCCCGACCGAGGGCGATGCCGCCGCCAAGGGCACTTCGCCGAAACCCGCCTCGGCCGCGGATGCCATGGGCCCGCCCGACAAGCCCGCCAGCGCCGCTGCCGCCAAGCCCAAGCCCGCGGCCCTCAAGCTGGAGACTAAGCCGGTCGAGCCGCCGCAGCCCAGCGCCGCCATGAAGGCCCTGCAGTCGGCCCGCTTCCTCCGCGATCTCAGCCAGGTCACTTATCCCGACTCTATCGTCTCCCCCAACCCGGCTCTCAACGCCAGCGCCCCGACCGACCGGAAGTTCCACTACAACAAGGAGTTCTTGCTGCAGTTCCAGTCCGTGTTCAAGGATAAGCCGTCCATCGACTGGGACGCACGCGTGCGCGAGACCGTCGGCGACAGCGATGCCGCCTCCCGCCCCCAGTCGGCGCGCACCCCGATGGGCAGCCGCAGCGGCTCGCGCACCGGCGGTCTCCCCGGCGCCCCCCAGATGGGCCACTTCGGCATGGGCCCGTCGCGGAGCAGCATGGGTCCCGGCACGCCTTCCGACATCCGCCTGCAAAACGTCGCCCGCGCCGCCTCCATGGGTGGCAACCCCTTCGGGCAGTTCCACAACATGCGCATGGGCGGGCCGTCGCTCAGCCGCACCAACTCGTCCAACGCCATGGGCATGCCCCCGTCGCCGCGGGTCGGCTCCGGCCCCCGGTCCAACACGCGCAACACCAGCAAGCGCGAGAAGAACCACCACCGCAAGGAGGAGGAGCTGGCCAAGAGCATGCCTCTCACCGCCGGCATGGACGTCGGGACCCTGCAGGTCTCGTCTTCCGGCTGGAAGCCGCGCAGCCTGGTCCAGGCCGCCGCGGCGGGGCCTGCCCCCGGCTCGACCCATCTGCCGCCCGACGTTGTGCAGCGGAAGGTCAAGGGTGCGCTCAACAAGATGACGCCGGAGAACTTCCCGCGGATCTCGGGCCAGATCCTGGAGATCGTCTCGCAGTCCAAGGACGAGACCGACGGCCGGACCCTGCGCCAGGTCATCCAGCTCACCTTCGAGAAGGCCACCGACGAGGCCCACTGGGCGTCTATCTACGCCAAGTTCTGCAAGAGCATGCTCGAGAGCATGAGCCCGGACATCAAGGACGACAACATCCACGACAAGGCCGGCAACGTCGTCGCCGGCGGCAGCCTGTTCCGCAAGTATCTGCTCAACCGCTGTCAGGAGGAGTTCGAGCGCGGCTGGAAGGTCAACCTGCCGCCCAAGCCCGAGGGCGAGACCGAGGAGGCTGCCATGATGTCCGACGAGTACTACAAGGCCGCCGCCGCCAAGCGACGCGGTCTGGGTCTGGTCAAGTTCATCGGCGAGCTGTACAAGCTGGGCATGCTGACGGAGCGTATCATGCACGAGTGTGTCAAGAAGCTGGTCGACTACGAGGGTATGCCCGACGAGGCCGAGGTCGAGAGTTTGACGAGTCTGCTGCGCACCATCGGTGCCAGCCTCGACGTCTCCGAGCGCGGCCACGCCATGATGGACGTGTACTTCCAGCGGATTAAGATGATGGTGCAGACCGAGGGTCTGCCGAGCCGGATGCGCTTCATGATTCTGGTATATATCTTTTTTTCCTTCTCTGGAGATCTACTCATGCTAACCGGTTCTTTTAGGATATTATCGATCTCCGTGCGGCCAACTGGAGGTCCAAGGATTCCGACAAGGGACCGAAGACCATCCACGAAATTCGTGAAGAGGTATGTTTTCCTTCCTTTTGAAAGAAATTTCAACGATAATTGGAACTGTGCTGATTCGTCCAGGCCGCCCGCGCTCAGCAACAAGCCGAGATGGAACGGATGCGGCAGCAGCAGAACAACCGCGGCGGTGGCCGGATGGCTATGGGCCGCGGTGATGCGCGCAACTTCGGTGGTTATGGCCACCAGGCGCCCCCTCCCGACTACGCGTCGAGCAAGGTCGGCAGCGATGATCTGCGACGTCTGCGGACGACGCGGAACACGAGCCAGCCCATGTCGTTCGGACCGTCCAGCATGCTTGGATCGCGCAGCAACAGCCGTCGCAACCTGGGCCCCGGCGGCAATCTGGTGCGCGGCAGCGACGACAGCGGCGCCAGCAGCCGCACGGGCACGCCGCCCGCCGGCAAGAAGGAAGACAAGGAGACCGCGTCGTCGATGAATGCGTTCAGGTACAGTCTCTCTCTTTCCCCTCACGATGTGTTTGACTCGACTAACAAGTAAATGTAGTGCTCTGGCCAGTTTGCAGGATCACGACAGTCTCGCGACGTCCCCGCCGTCGGCACACACCTCGCCGATGCTCAGCAAGTCGCAGCCCGCCGTGGAGCGACGGCCGTCCAAGACCCCGTCCAAGGACGGCACCGACGCGTCATAGACACGTAGCTTTCATTCTTTCATACTTTTCTTTTTCTTTTTTTTTGTCTATTCCCCTCTTCCCTTCTCGTGCATGATTATATTTTTATTTTTTTGACAGAAGAACATATGGAATGTACACAATGAACGAGCGGGAAAAAAAAAAGAGAAAAGTCAAAAAATTCAACAAAGAAAAAAACACATTCAAGAAATAAAAGCGACGGTAATGACGATCGATGATGGACGAACGAACCAAAGGGAGAATCAAAAAGACAATCTAGCTGAAGATTGGAATGTTTCTTCTTTGAACATGGAGATTTTCTCTTCTTTTCCTTTCCTTATCTTGTTTCCTTTTTCCTTGATGATTGTTTTTTCTTTACGTTCCTTCGTGTGTTTTATTTGCTTCTTGCATTTCAAAATACCCGGAGAGCCCTTTTACCTACTTTCCTACTACCTACCTTTCCCACTATCTATCTATCAATCACTTACTTATAGGGACTCATGTTTTCGACGCCCTCAATGGAAGTGATTGATGATTGATGATTGATTGATTTGATTCCCGGCAGGAGAGATCAAAGACGAAAGAAAGAAAAAGCAAGCCAGCCCAGGATTGATTGACGACAATACTGCAGCTGGTCCTTTATTACTCTTCTTGCCCTTTCTTCTCTCTTTCTTCTTGATTCTCTTGTTATTTTCTATGTTTTTTTCTTGCGCGTTGTTTTGTGTATGCATTGCATATGGTTAGACGTTCTCTTTTTTTATGCCACTTTTCCTATCTTCGAATTCTTGCTTGCGCTTTGTTTTTTAGAAAAGTTCGGTTTTTTATCATTAGTATTATTATTATTACTATTACTACTATTCTTATCTTTGACTTATTTATTATTAGGTTAAGGTTTTTGTGTAGGTCATGGCTGGGTTAAGGTTTATTTACCGTCCACTTACTATACCGGTCTTATCACTGTAGGGGATTGGACTTAAGGTGCATGTAGTGGAGTAAGTGTCTCACTACCTGCCTACTTATTGTCCTATCCTACAATCATACAGAATCCACCCAATACGATTTCAACATCAGTGATAGCAGTCCTAGTGACCGCCTGGGCATAGGATGTACAGTGCAGAGTAATGTATAGCTGAAGCCATATGTGATCGACAACGCAAATGGATTTATTGTACTTTCCATGTCCTGTGGATACTATTTACGACTGCCCGCCGAATCGGACTGATTCAGTGGATCTTGTCTGGATGAAGTTATCCATTTATCCTTCTGTCTATAACCTCTCTCTCTCATATCTATCTATCTATCTATCTATCCATCCAGTGTCTATTCACTTTTGTGAACGCTGGGTGGTTGAGCTTGTTTTCTGATTGAATAATTATACTTGTTTTATGTTTGTGTATGCAACTAGTTCTGTAAGTGGATAGGGCAGGTAGATGTAAGTGGTAGGTACGAACAATAACTGATTGTAAATACTAATAAGCATAGAGTGGAATTTCATTATCTAGTAAACATCAGTCGTGGTATACAGTGCCTGCCATCAATCTACTGATCGAAAGCACATCAGGTCAAGTCTACTGATTAGTGGCCGTATCATCCTCCGTGACAATCAACGGGATATTAGTGTTCGACGAATAGACCGGCTGGTCCTCTTTCTCTTTCTCATCATCAGCTTCATCCCCATCATCGCCCTCGGACTCCGTGTTATCCACACTGTTAGGTAGCGGGCTAGTCACCGCAGCGTCGGGCGACTCTCCAGTCGAGCTCGCGTCCTCGTGGCTGACGCTGCCGCTGCGCTCGGACGTGGACAGCGAGGTGCGCGAGTTCTGGTAAGACGGGGGGAGGCCCAGGGCGGCGGCGACGGCGGCCTCCTCGTCGGGGAGCCGGGCGGTGCTGCTCTCGGCGCTGGACTTGCGGTCGAAGATGTGGCTGCCGCGGCGCTCGCTCATCTCCAGGATGTGGTTGTAGCTGCGGCGGGTGGGGTCCGCCAGACGCTTCTTTTTCTTCTTCTCGCGCTTGGGCGACGGTCGGACGACGATTACGGGGATCGGGGACTGTTGGAGACAGTATTTGGAGACGGATCCGGGGAGGAGGGCTTGAACGCCTCCGAGGCTGCGGCCGCGTGTGCCGACGATGAGGACGGCGGGTTCGTAGATTCGGATCTGACTGATTAGCTTCCTACGGAAACAAAGAGGCAGAGGAGAAAAAAAAAAACATACCATTCGTTGGATTATGTCCTGCACCTTCCCGACAGCCAGTTCCAGAACCAAACTGATGGCCTTCTCGTCCTGGCTGTTCTTCTGAATGACCTGTTCAAAGAGCTTTTCCGCCTCTTGGCGATGCTTCCCCGCCTCGATGCCCGCATCGCTGGCGATGCTCGAGTCCTTTTCCACAGCGCGCAGACAGACGATCTCGTCGCCGTCGTCCACCAGCTCGTCGATGAGCCATTCCAGCGCAAAGTCGGAGTAATCGTTCTGGTCCGTCCCGCAGAGGAACGTCCGGCTGCGGCGCGTGCACTGGTAGCCCTTGTGCTTGTAGTTTAGCGTGAGGGAAAAGTCGGCTGCATCGGGGTTGTCGAAGGTGTTGAACGAGACGCCACGTTCGTAGGTTCTGTCCTTGTTAGCTGTGTCCCCGAGTTGCTGGCGTGGGACAGCTCACTTGGGCGGTGGGGGTGACCCCCCCCGAGCGGTGTTGCGGTCTTTGTCCTTCTCCCGGTCCGGCACGTCGGGCTGTGACACCCGTCGTCGTCGACCGGACGCGCTGGAGGAGCGCTGCTCGGGCTGTGGTTCGGCGGCCGTAGCGACGCTGAATTGGATGGACTTTCTGCGGGGGCTGTTGTCGAGGTGAGACGCCTGCTCGGTACTCGACTGGGAGGGGGTCTCTGGACGCTCTTCGTCAAGGGAGGGGCGCGGGGACGGCCTGGGAGACGGTTTCGGGGAGGCGGTAGACATGATAGGGGCTGTCGTGGGAAGTGGAGAGTAAGGTGGGAGGATCAGACAAGACACTGCAGTCCCGATAAGCTCTGCAGGACGATAATGCACCGACTCCGGCGGCCAATCAATGCCGGTGAAGAAGCAAGGGGCCTGTGCCCACTCAGCCAGCGTGAAGCTCGTGAAGTTCAGCCAGTGGACCCCTCGGAAGGGCGACGATCATGGTTTGATGGAGGGAGGTCGGGAGGAATGTCGGGTGACGAGCTACCCGTTCAGGAACGAGGGAGGGTAGCTTTGGAATGGACAGGATACCAAGGATAAGACTTCCGGATGCAGCTGAGATGGGGAGATGTTGAAGTGGTTGGAGGAGGCGATGGTATGACGGCAGATCAAGGCGGTCGGGCGCGTATTGCTGCCTGACCAGGCAGATCAGTCAACTTTACTCCGTAGTCTACTGACCTTGTATTATTTAATATGCATCTTAAATTTCTCTATATTGTAAATGCTATTGTAAATATTATTGTAATAATATCAGATATGTTTCTTCTAATACTATAATTTGAAAAGTACCATTCGAACCACCAAAGAGGCAGAACAGCCACAAGTCCTTATCCTTATCAACGGATCAAACCACCCGACACACCCACGCCCAACCCCCAAAGTACAAAACAAGGGACAAGCAACAAGTCACCCTGCAGAAAGCCCCTGTTGAGACTTGTCTCCCTCCAAATAAGAAAGAAGAAAAAAGAAAAAAAAGAAAAATTCAACAAGGAACAGTCCAGTCCCAACTAGTCCAAACACTAGCGGTTGATCCGCCTGTGATTGATCCGTCACTGATCCGGGATGGATCCAGCGGTGAAGGCGCGTCTGGATCGAGCGGCGCCCTCACATGCCAGCTGATGAGGCGTCAGTCCCGGATTGGGCAGGACATAGCGTACCTGCCTGTGGACAGGATTGGGGATTTATCGTACTGACTTAATCTTTCCAGGCACAATGTGAGAAGAGAAGTTTAGAGATGAGTTGTTTGAAGATTGATTAGATGTAAATGCGAACTATATACAGGTCATCATCGTGAATTTTCATGCCATGCTAGGCGCTATACAAAAAAAGCCGCGGCCTGCGTGGTCTGACCGCTGAAAACATATGCAAAGTAGAGATGGTAGCGATGGAGAAAAGGAAAAGAAACAAAGAACGGCCCAAGAGAGTGGGCCCGAACACCAGATAATGCGAAAGAATGTGGTCTGGAACCACGGAGATCCATCGAGGTCGGTGCCCAATATGGATCCCATCCTCTCATTCTGTTTTAATTCCTCCCAAATAAAAACGCCGTATGCAAGGATAAATGCTCAACCGATAATGCTGTGGTGGAAAAGAGAATGCGAAGAATCATAAAACCAGGGTATCACGTATGGGTACAACAAAGCAAGCACTCAAGTCATCTTAATAAGATTCAATGACAGGGCCTTGCGGCTGACTGGAGACGTAATACTCGGATTCGAATCCCGCATCGGAGAGCGGAATCTCCGTGGTTTGAGGGGTCTTTTCTTCTCCAAACTCCAGCATCGGCTGGGGAGGCGAGGGCGGCATGGTGTCATCCTCCGACTCGCCATCGGAGTCGGGGAGAAGTTCGGGAGGCGACTGTCGCGAGGGCGAGCGGGTGAGAGTCAGATCGCTCAGATCCTCGTCGTCTTCGTATTCGAACTCCGAGTCGGAGTCGGAGTCGTCATCGGCCGACACCTCCTTCTCGGTGACGATGGCCACGGGCGACGGGGCCCGGCGGCGGACGGGAGTGAAGTCCTCGTTCAGCTCATAATCATCATCGCTGAGGTCGTCCGAGTCGTCACTGAGGTCGGAGTCGGCATCGGAGATATCCTCGGCATCCCAGTCCTCCTCGGGGTCCTCGACCAGGGCATCAGCCCACTGGATGTGTCGGCGCTCGGATTGGGGGACGCTCTTGTTGACACCGCTGACGGTCTGGTTGAACCAACGTTCTTGCTCTTGCTCTGCGTCGGCGAGGTCGAGCATGAGGGTATCGAGGAGGTTGGCATGACCGACGAGGAGACGCAGGTCGTGGTCCGCCCGCGAAGCTTCCCGGGTGAGCTTCTTGCGGGCGGTGTGGGCGAGATAGTAGGTTTGAGTAACGCTCATTTTCTTCTGTTGGCGGCGACGAGCCAAAGAGGTGAAGTAGGAGCTAGGGGAGGAAGAAGTGTAAAGAGGAGAGGAGAGAGAGAAAGAGGAGGAAGGAGGAGGAGAAGTGGAAGTGGAAGTAGAAGTAGAAGTAGTCATGGCGAATGGATTTCCAGCTCCCGCAAAGGCCCAGACAAATTGACTCGTCGCGGTGACTCAGGCAGTCACTTCCTGGCTGGATCCGGCGGTGGGGACGTTTGATCCAATCGCGGATCGGCGCAACCGGAAGCGGTGAGTCAGGCAGACTTTTGCAGGGATATTATCCTTTTTTCGAATTTATGGATCTTCACAATGCTCGCTATCGTCTCCACCTTGCAGGATGTCGTTGTCGCAGCAATAGTCCGTGCTAGGGGTGAGAAGAAGTTGATAGGTTGAGATGTTGGGACTCGATGAGGCGAGGATCTGTAGAAAGTCTGCAGTATGAATGTCCGTGGTGATGTGTTCAGCAGGTGGTGGTTGTAGTATGTAGGTACTTAATTCCTAATATGTAGGATGGAGAAGTAGTCGATGTAGAACAATTAGGATGGATGAAGTGGACAGAGAGTAATAAATATATGAATCACATTGACGATGATCGACGGGGGGAAACAAAGGACTTGATATATCCGGATTTCTGATAGACTTTTCCAGGCTGAACGATTCTTTTTACTTTGAAATTATTTTTTATTTCTAATATTGCTTGGCCAAGCATAAAAAAATAATGAAAAAAAAAAAAAAAAAACTAAAAAACTAGTCGTTAGTAATTTTCTAGTAGATTTTCCTTGATTTTCTCAGCTTCCGAGAACCCGCTTAAGTCCGAACCGCGATTGACCCAGTTGGAGAATCCGTGGATCGGCTGTTGAATCAGTCAGACAGAATTCTCCACCTCACCGCCTCCTTCTCTCCTTCTCTTCCGTCTCTGCCAAGCATCGGATGGCCAATGTCCGGTATCCTTCTTAATTACTCTGTCTGTCTCCGTCATCCGGAGGGAAGACAAAATCCCCACTAACGTTTTGCATTCCTGGTCGGGAATGCAGTATCAATCGGTATTGCAGGGCAAACCTCAAACTAATTATCCAGAATAACAGACCGCGACGGAGATTGGAGATTCGGGATTATGGCACCCAAGCTGTCATCAACTCATTATTAATGCTCACCCGCGGAGAGCCCATCGTTGGGCCCGGGTCTAGCCTGGGCCAACAGGCATTAGTGAGCAATGCCGCTCGGCCTTCACTCACCCATGTCCGTGGAACTCGATGGACGCTCTCCATCAATTTACTACAATCAACTCTTGATTTCAAACCACTGGATTTTTAATCATTCAATTGAATCGCTCGTGTTCACCTCACACGGGCCGTTCGAACCACGAGGATCCAATGGTAACCAATACTGTGTCCTTATTGAGAGGGGAAGAACCCTGCAACGATCATCAGCTATGCTATGACAAGTGCCCCTCTTCTTCCTTCCGCAAGGCTCTGTTTTGGTGGTCCAACGGGGCATTGATATCATCATCATCATCATCATCATCATTCTTCCCCCATGTCAGAGGCGAATCTAGCCATAGCATACCCCTACCATCCCCCTGACCCCCTAACAGAAATGTAGAACTAGACAGCAAAGCCCATCAGCCACAAAGACCGAATGTTTCAGCCTGACCCCGCAGACCGCATCGCAAATGAAGAGGAAAAGGAAGAGAAGACGACAGGCGCCCACGTAATCCGCAGCCAGCACGCCTCAACGCACGGGGACCGAGCCATCTACCAACGGCGGGGCAACGCGTTGCGGCTCTAGAAGAGGCCGAAGTACTCCCTCCACAAACACTATACACCCTACATTTAATAAATAATAAATAATAATCCAATCTTGGCGTCTGCCTCCTTGCGGGACTGACAGACCCAAGTTGGGACTAAATGATGAGATCTTTTCACCGCCCAGCCGACGTGGCGTTTATGAATCTTACTGTCCACAATCCTGCAGTGTCTGCCAAGCAGATCTACGAGTGGCGGGGAGCAAAATAACGTTTCCAGAGTACGCAATACGAAGTCCTACACCCAGGCAGATCGATTACATCTCTTTTCATGAAGTATAACTACAGCACAATCCCACATAGGCAAATACAATTCCACAATAGGAATAGATCATCATTCCCGATGATCCCCACAATGGAGCACCGCCCTGGGCCCTTGTGGCTTGTGACCATCCGTGGAGATAGATGGATTAGATAGAGATGGATATATGCATATAAGCAGCCCATCTCACATATCCGAGACGGTCTTGTCCGACATTCTTTCCAAGACAGCCAGCCAAGAGGCCCCACCACGCGACGAACGGTCATTCTAGAAGTGTCACGCCGAGTGGGTGGATGACTGGATGTCCAGTTGTGCATAAGGGAGTGCCTCGGCTGCTGGATGGTCTTGGCATGGCCTCATTCTGAGGGTGTTCAAGTCCTGACGTCATCCAGCCACGTGAGCCACCCCTTCAAACCGGGTCTCTTGGGGCGGATCTTGGACAAGGACAATGATATTGTGATGATGCAAGAGAGGGATTCTTGTTGAGATTGTGTCTAGCTGGGATTTATATTATTCCAACAAGGAATGAACAATATGGAGCTGTGACCAACGATCACTATCACTGATTACTGATTATGTATAGCATAATCAACCCATATCTATGTACATAATTATTCTCTCTCATTATACACACGGCCCACCGGAATTATACACACAAACATAACTAAACCAAATGTGACTCACCAAAGCACAACTTTGATCCATAATCCGATCGGGCACGGCATCCAAATCGCCGACTCGGAGGTTGCTGTAGTTAGTGCTGTCCCCACTCTGTGAGTCAGTGAGTCCGTCAGTGTCCCCTGGGTCAGAATCTTCTAGCTCCCACTGGTTTTCACCTGTCAGCCAACTCCTGTTCCGTGATCTTCCAGCATTACCAGCTGAAGAAGAGTGGATTCTCTGTCTATGCTGCCGGACAATATCACGAGCCTCGGCTGGTGGAGTCTTCTTTCTACCTAACCGGTCTACCGATTTATCCGACTCCCTGTGCTTGTGCTTGATGTTTGAGGTTTGAGGTTTAAGCCTGAGGCTCTGTCGATATACACTATGCATTCATCTACTTCTTCATTATTTCAATTTAATGATTGGTCATGTTCTTTCTAAATCCTTTCATCTTCAAATCTCCGACTTTACTTCTTGATTTGATTCCAAATAAGACCTATACTATATTTCACCGTGTAGAGTAGATACATAGAATTTAGTCTTACCTTCAGTTTTATACTCATCCAATTCCTGTTAATAAAAAAAAAAAAAAAAAGGAAAAAAAAAAAAAAAAATTCTGCCACGGGCCGGCACGGCACCTTACCCACTCATACCCGTGGATACTGGATAATAGATAAGTGGATATGCCGATACGGGTATCACTATCAAAATTTTCGCCTCTCACCGGAGAATCGGAGTATCGGATGGTTTGTCTCCACCGGATGGATTAGAGCCTTTAGCTAGTTATCTACCTTTTGAATGTCTTGGATGTTTTTCCTAATTCGGAGATATGTTCGACGGGCGGGGTTTAGTGGTTCAAGGTGGTGGTTTATACTTTTTTATACTATCTGATATCTACCTAGTGCCCCGTGCTTACTGGAATGTTTTTACTTACTTGTGGATTTATGCTAATTTATATGCCTGGTGGTAGGTATAGATTGGCCATAGGATATTTAACCTTGTGAAATGAGGCTCATTATAGATTACTATACAACGACTAAAGTAATCTCTCCACTTCCCCAGCAGTCCCCTCCTCCCGCCTCGCACCAACCACACTCCCCAAACTCGACCTCCTCTTCAACCACCTCTTCCACCACCACTCGCCATCCCCGCCCATCGGCTGCGCATCACACGGCAAGAGAATAGCATGGTCAATCGCATGCGGCAGACCCCGATGTCTCCCGCGAAGCTGCATCGCAATGATAACTAGCTTTCCGGCGGCCGAAAACTGCCCGCACAGGCTCGTCTCGCTGCGCGGATACCCCAGGCTTAATCCGACAGTGCCGTAGGCGGAGACGATCTCGAAGAGTACCGGGAAGAGGGAGAAGGCTGCGTCGGGCCCGTGGCGCCGCTGCATGTGTGCGCCTTCTGCCAGCGCGATCAGGAAGAATCCGAGCATCACGTACCAGAGGTCGAAACCGAGCTGGTGCTGGATGTGGGCGGTCCAGCTGTTTGGGGGCGCTACTGGGCGCCCTGTAACCCAGTCTATGTTGTCTTCGTCGTCTTCGTAGATGCCGAGGGATTTTTCTTCGTAGATGTTTGTTTTGCGCATGGATATTGCGATCGGGAAGGCGGAGATGTACATCATGATTACGAAGGAGACTTGCACTGCTGGGTGGAGGAGTCGGAGGGATGTGATGCTGAACCCGGCGGTGCGGGTGGATGCGATCTGGAAGAGTCCGTTGATGATACGCATCCCGGACTCCACAGGTGTGATTTTCTGGGGAGTCTGGTCGGCGTGTCAGTGTGGGCTGGCTTCTCATCCAACTTGTGGATACTCACAATCTGCAAGGTATAAAAGACAAGCAGGTCGAAGGCGTTGAGCGCCAGGAGGACTCCCACCAGTCTCCACGTCTCTCCGCGCGGAAACAGCAGCGTGAAGCACCGTCGTGGGTGCTCGAGCAGAAACTGCAGCTCCTCGTCCAACGCTGTCCCATACCCGGTCACCTTACTGAGCACCCAGATGATCAAGCGCAGGAAGCACGGAAACCCCGTATTCCCCGCCACAATGAGAAACGTCATCACGAGCAGCGGCAACGGCGCGGTGCGAAACGACTCCATGGAATCCGACGTCAGAGTGAACCCCAAATCATTGAACGCCGACCCCGCCGTGAACACCGCCCACCACGACCGGCTGATCCCCATATCCTCCAGCAGTCGCCCATGTCGCGCATCCAGCGAGACCCACGCCGCACACAGCACTGCGCCCAGCGCATGCAGAGCCACAAAATAACAAACCAAAATCACCATCAGCGTCTTCAACGCCCGATATTCAATCCCACCCAGCTCCTCCTTCTGCGTCTCGTCCCAGTCCGAGTAGCTGGCAATCGACTGCTGCCACGTCAGCGACGGCAGCAGGGGCATAAAGGTGCCGTCACGCTCGCCCAATCCTTCAGTCCCATAGTCCGTGGTGGTCCGCGAGAACGAGCTCGAGTACGACCGACGCCAGTGTGGCGGTCGTAGCGGTCTCAACCCGCGATCAAAGCTGATATGTGGGCTGGACGCCCGTCCTTCCTCTCCATCCGTCGATGGCCGCCGGGTCGGTGTGCTCTCGCTGCTGTACCTCGAAGGCCCCCAGCCAGGACTAGTCGGCGTCACCGTCTGCACCTCCGCTAGGTGTTCGTTCTGACGCCGCCGGTGGGTGCGACAGACGGACTTGGCGTCGCGAATGGCGTTGCGGAAGCGTTTTCGGAACCAGTACAGGCGGATCAGCACGAGCAGCGAGTGCACGAAGATGATGTTGGTGACCATGGTGATGAACCACAGCGTCACCTGCTGGACGGTGTGCAGACGGTCAAGCGCGACGGGCGTCAGCCCGCTCTGCGTGGCCGCGCCGGTCGCGAGCAGCAGGGCATCGACGTAGGTGAGCTTCCCGGGGAGATAGAGAATGATCGAACCGACGAAGGCCCAGGCGCAGATATAGATGTAGTGGTGATGTATCCGTAGGGGGGATTTGTCGGAGGGTGGCTGTAGCATTTTTGTCCCGACAGTGAGCGATTCAACCTCGTCAAACGACCCGATACAAAAGAAAAAGAAAACTGAACAAAAGACCAAAGAAACGACCCGTAGCGAGTCCTTCTTAATCCTTATATCATCGGCATAGACGAGAGCACGATCCGCCCAAGCAGTGGCTGCATCGCATTTACAAATCGCTCATGCTGGGGGTGTCGTCGCACATCGCGTAGTCAGTCGGTAATCATCAGAAGGGGGCTGTCCTCCAGCGACAGCCAGGATTGCAGCGGGTCCAGGTAAAAAAGGGGGAGCAGTCCGACTGGTTCAGCAAACGTAAGTGATGAACTCGACCAGCAGATGCAATTCGCTAAGATAATCGCTCGCAGATTGAGGATGAACCTGGACGCAGGGAAGGGGCGGTGGACGCAGGTTGGCTGGTTGGGATTAATCGCGCGCCGTTGATGTCAAGGAACGAGTTTATGTGGATCGTCATTGGTTTTTTGCCCCCCCTTCTTTCTTCTTTCTGTTTTATTGACTTTGGAGAAAAGGATATGTTACGATGTGATCTGCACTAGTATTTTGATTTCTTGTTGATATTGGAGGGGTGGTTGGCATTATGGCTGGGGTTTATACTTTGGGGAATCTGGGGTAGTGGAGTTAGGGCTATTTCTGTCTTCACTGTAGGCTGTGTGTGGACTTCTGGTGAAAGAGTGATATGTCTTGAAATCTTCATTCTTGAGATAACCTGTAGTATTTGTCAATGTTACTTACAAACACTAGTGTCATTATATCTTCATGGTCATGGGGGATCGTTCGTCTTCTATTGCGTTCTGAATGAGCTCATCCTCTTCATGCGGAAATATTCCCATCAAGGCAGACTCTATCATGCCATCATCAAGACGATGGATGCCGTCAATATACACAGTTAGACTTCAAAATGACGGATTTCTCAAGTCACCAGGCCAGGCCCAGCCTGATGGAGCCTTCTACCCCCCAAGACGGGGGATTCCCACTTTCTCGCTAGAATCATGACTCTCGTCAACTCATCTCCTTCACCATATACACCACCATCATTCTGAATAAGATCATCTTTAACCCCCATTACAACATTTATAATCACATTGCAATGTCTGACGCTCCCAACATTCCATGGGGAAACCCCAGTGCCGTCTTCGTGAACGAGGATGGGCAACTGACTCCCCCTCCCAGCCCCGTCCTCCTCGCCAATGCAGGACTCACAAATGGGGCAGAGTCATCTGTCATATTGACAGACGGCGATGTCTCAGACGAGAGCGAGACATTGAGTTCTGAAGTTGAGAGTCAGCTCGGGTTTGGCGTCCAGTCTATGACTGGGGCCGTTGGTGACGAGAGCAGTGGATTTGAGAACAGCACGGGAGGGTAAGTGATAACCCTATCATTGTGTTGTAGACAATCGAAAGATAAGAAAGGAAAAATCAATATATACACGAAGCTAACAGAAAACAGATCATATTGCCATGAAGGACCGCCCCCCAACTTGATCGTTCACACTGCCGCGGGTGATCTTTACGTCCACCAGCATGTCCTCTCTCAAAACGAGACATTTTCTCGTCTTCTCATTGATTACCCGGCTGTAAGGCTCCCACATATGGTGTAAAAACCAAAAATCATATCCGAACCTATACTAACTAGCCACCAGACGCTCGACATGAGGGACGAAACCCCCTCCGCAGTGGAGATCCTTATCCGCTACATATACAATCCTTTAACGTCAATCATCCTCCCCGACACGCCAATCACGCACTTCTCAGAGGTCGCCCGTCTCGCCGAGAGTTTCGAAATCTGGGACCTCGCCTACCGCGCCGAGCAATCCATCCCCCTCAACCTCCCCGTGTGTACCCTCCCCGAGTTCATCGCCGGGTTCAGAGACGCTTTTCTGGCGGAAGAGGTCTCGGTATCTAACCGCAACATACAGCGCATCTTCCTTGACGAAGCCTGCGTGAGGATGTCCGCCCTTATCGCCAACGCCGAGTTTAAGGACTTCCTGGACTCGCAACCTACTCTCGCGGTTGATATCCTCCGGCGTCTGTATCTGGGTCCGCCGCGCCCGCTTCCACAGTATGTGTCACAGGCGTGTGGGAGGTGTATGAATGCTTGGTCGACAGTTTCGCCTGCTGGGTTGCAGTTCTGTCCGTACTGTGGGTGGGGGCTGGGTAGTGATATTTAGATCTCTTTCTCCTCTATTGTCGAGGCTTTGGACGATAGTACTGATCGTGTATTTTAAGATTCTTTCAAGGTGGTATGTTTTAGTGTTTGGGTTTCCTGTTTGGAGTTGTCTAAGTGGTACGGAGCCAGTGGGTAAAATCGGTTAAATGTCATTTTGTCGTGCGGATTTGCAGGTTTCTTTTTGATTCTATCTTGATGTTGTAACCTTTTAAAGCTTTGGGGATGTCATGTTTAGTCGTTTCTATACCAATCTATTCCTTGGAGTGTTTCCGATTTTATATTGCCATCTATATATTACTATGAATCCCTACTGAGAAGTGATGAGTCTAGTAGACGAGATTACCTGCTGATTGGTCGCCCCACGTGGTTTCTTCTCCATACTTCAGCCGAACGAATAAACAACCGACCTCCAATCTGTTTTGAACGACTTCAACATCATAATTTCTCAACTTGCTCATCCTCGCACTCTACGTTGAGACCTATTCCTATAATCTATAAGTTTCAGCGCAATCCGTCACTAATCCACAGCCATGGTGTCTCCTATCTTCAACCTCCCAGATGAGATCCTTGCGATAATCCTTGACTTCGCATCCCTGAAGAGCCCCCGAGTAGATTTTGACAACGAGATTCGTCTATACTCATCTACTAGAAAGCTGGTCTTTGTATGTCGGCGTTTCCACCGCCTGGTGCTTCCTATCATGTACCGTACCATTGTGTTCGGGCTCGGTCCGATGATCACTTCTGGGGAGAGCTTCATGCTGTTCCATAGAACAATGCGAGAAAATCCAGCACTGAGACCGCTGTGTCGACGGTTGGATATTCAGCTTGAATGGTTTAGTCTCATCAATAAAGAAAAATACCAGCATTGGGGTGACTTATTTGCATGGATGACTCGACTACACACCTTGAAATTCGCCGTTGACTTGAGACCCGGCCAGTTTTCTGGGTTAGTCCCGCTAGCTGATGATTTGCATAATAGTCTGGCGTGGAATTTGATCCGGTCGGCCGGTCAACATATGCCGGAGCTGGCATACTTCCAGATCCAGGGGTTGTTTTGTAGAATGAACCTTCGAGACGTTGTGAAACATGCCCCTTTAACATCGCTTAAGGTACTACGGGTGGTGAAAGCCGGAGAAATCGAAAGTGGTGCGACAGGTGTGGAATCCAAGGTAACCAATCCCCTGTAACCTATGGATGGTTTGTCCCCGCGATGTTGGCATAGCGTTGACACGAGATAGGACTACCAAACAGCGCCCTTCAACACACTGGACCTCGTCGATACCCGGGCATCTTCGGACACGATCGCCCAACTAATTCAATGGCCCAAAGAGCTAGTCTGCTTCTCCCTGCAGCAATCGCACATATACGGCGCCGATTTGCCCATGCTCTGTTCGTGGTTATCAGGCCACCGGGACACGCTCAAAAAGATAGAGATAGGTTCCTTTTCCGCCAGAGGCGTAGGGACTTTGTTCAATGCTGCCCGCTTTCCGAATCTTGAGACACTTCTGCTCGCGAGGCGGATGATGGGGTCACCGCAAGGGGACCTTGCTCGACCGTATCTCGAATGGTCTCCAGATCATGCAGACCTGCTTCTGGGGCCCAAACTCCACAGTTTTACATGGTTGTTTGAAGAGGATAACGTAAATCGTCTTGAGTGGCACGAATTTGGTGATCAGGAGGAATCCTGGCTGCGGAATCTCATGAAAGAAGCTGTTGCGCGGAAGTCAGCTCTGAGGAAGATCCGCATCGAATTCTCCCCGGATATGGAAAGTGCCGAGCCACAAGAATATCCTTGGAACCGCATGGACTGTCTACACGAAGAATTCGAGCCGTACGGCTTGACACTGGAATATTGCGACCCGCCAGTGACAAAATCCGAATGGCAAGTGATGTTCGATGAGTCGTTTGACCCGTTTGATGTATCGAGCGAATCGTCTGATATGGAGGAATGAGGTACAATGATAGAACAGGCTCTTTCCATAACAGAGACACCAACATACCGCTAGCAACAGCTATTTTTGGCACTTTGGTCTGTGGAAGGAGCGACCATAAGCCGTGGACACTGCCGTTGTTGTAGCACCCGGTCCGTGACAGGTGCTAAATTTGATTATTGACACGGGTGGTAGAATATGAAAAGCTTGGTACACCCGATCAAGTTGCCAATCATTTACCCCAAAATACCCCGTTATACCCAGAATTGGGGCACCACTCAATACATTGTCCCATGTTTGAGCGAGTTTTGTCCCGAGAGGCACAATCTATTTGTGTCTGGATGGCCGATGCTCGGCAATTAATACCCGGATGCTCCACCCGTCAACAAATCTCCGAGACGGCATCGTGTTTCATGTTGAACATTCATAACCACGTTCCATCCTCATGGGTCCTATCTTGCCGTTTCAACAGACAGGATCGCCATGCCCGACCAGGTTTGTATTCTATCCGAAAGCTTCGATCTATTTGGCGGTCCTATCGTGAATTATACTCTATTATAGAGGGAATAGGCCTAACACCAACACCTTGACTCCAGTTTATCAACCCCGGCAGGAAAGATTGATGTCAAGATGAGAAAAAGATCTCCATGACCCAGCGTTGATTGATATATTCAACGGGTGGGCTGATGTGGGACCAAAACGACCTGTCTGTCTCAGGATCTGGCCTAGATCTCCAGTGAAATTACATCGCTGATCATGAATAAATTATGCCCAACCCCATAAAGGCACCGATCCTGCTACTGTGTCGTTGTTTGGAAGTTTCTCGACATCAAGACCGGTTCTTGCCTTTCATTCTGCACATTCTCTTCTCAGCCACTCGTTCTTCACTCACCTTCAATACACTCTTTTTAACGATCTTTTACGATGAGATTCGGTGCCTTGATCATGGCCGCCAGCGCCGCTGGCCTGGTGCATGCCTACCCCCGGAGGGAGATGAAGAAGCGTGATACCGGATTCACTTGTATGTATGCTTTCCCCCCTGACAGTAATGAATACTAACAGTCCAGGGGTCGGTGTTAACGAGTCTGGCGCCGAATTTGGCGAGTCTAACATCCCTGGCACTCCGGGAACCGACTATACTTTCCCCGACATTTCGAAGATCCAGGCCCTGCGTAACGAAGGCATGAACATCTTTCGGGTGCCGTTCCTCATGGAGCGACTCGTCCCGAACGACATGTCTGGCAGCTTGGATGCCACGTACCTGAAGCACCTGAAGGAAATCATCCAGTCCATCACGGATAGCGGTGCCTATGCGGTTCTCGACCCGCACAACTACGGCCGATAGTATGTCTCCCATATACACCTGAAAGCAACTGCTAACGCATTCAGCTCCGGCAATATCATCTCGTCGACAGCCGACTTCCAATCCTTCTGGAAGACCGTTGCGGGTGAATTCTCTTCCAACGAGAAGGTCATCTTCGACACCAGTACGCGTCAAGCTTCCCTAAAGCGCTTACCCAACTAATGATTTTCCAGACAATGAATACCACGACATGGATCAGTCCCTCGTACTGAACCTCAACCAAGCCGCCATCGACGGCATCCGCGCCGCTGGCGCCAAGACCCAGTATATCTTCGTCGAGGGCAACCAGTACACTGGGGCGTGGAAGTGGGCCGACAACAACGACAACCTGAAGAAGCTCAGCGATCCCCAGGACAAGATCGTCTACGAGATGCACCAGTACCTGGACACCGACGGCTCCGGCACGTCGGAGACCTGCGTCAGCTCCACGATCGGCAAGGAGCGCATGCAGACCGCGACGCAGTGGTTGAAGGACAACAACAAGAAGGGCTTCCTCGGCGAATTTGCTGGCGGCGTGAACGAGCAGTGCGAGACTGCCGTCGAGGGCCTGCTGGACCACATGGCGACGAACAGCGATGTCTGGATGGGCGCCGAGTGGTGGGCTGCCGGCCCGTGGTGGGGCGACTACATGTACAACCTGGAGCCCAAGGAGGGCAAGGCGTCTGATGCCTACCTGCCTATCCTGAAGAAGTACTTCGTGGACGGCTCTGCGGCGGCGTCGGGCGCGGATGTGAAGCGTGAGTTCGCTCCTGAGGCTTTCACGTCTGCTCCCACGTCTGCTCCCACGTCTGCTCCTACGTCTGCTTCCACGTCTGCTCCCACGTCTACTCCCACGTCTACTCCCACGTCTGCTCCCACGTCTGCTCTCACATCTACTCCCACGTCTACTCCCACGTCTGCTCCCACGTCTGCTCCCACGTCTGCTCCCACGGACTCTACTACCGCCACGCCTATCGTTGCTCCTCCCGCCACCGCTCCTGCACCCACCGGCACGGCCGAGCCCAACAAGGCCAGACCTCTCCAGCAGTGTGGAGGAGCCAACTGGGATGGCCCTACGCAGTGTGTCGGCTCGATGAAGTGCATCGAGCAGAGCCCTGAGTACTCCATGTGTGTCTAAAGCACTTGATTGGGTTGTTGAAGACGCTCATCAACACCTATCGCAATACGAGACCTCGACTGTTGGACCATGGGAGGACTTACTCCAATACTACCCAATTTTTTTCTCCCGGAGAGAATGCGACCTGCGAGCCAATAAACAATGAAACCAAGATATATTTTCTTTTAAAAAAAATTTATTTACGTACTATTTGCCGTGAGACATTTATCTAGTTTGATCCACCATGACGCACTTGCCCCATGGCAATAACTACACACATTTGCATCAGCCCTCATCATTGGCTCATCAAGCAAAGTAAAGTCAACAATACCAACCCCCCAAAATGCTTAATATTGTCCCTTTCCAAACGCCAAGAGCCTCAGCATTCACCACTGGTTCTCCAAACAAAGAAGCTCCCAAACCCTAATAAGCGGGCTCCAATCACCATCTCCACCCACACCACTGGATTCAACATCTCCTCGCATCTGGAACTAAGGATATAGACAAAACAGAACAGGACTCAACAAAGGCGAAAACAGCATTACAATGGTCCAGACGTCCACCCTTTTGAAGCCCTCAATCACCACCTCGCTAATAACTTCCTTCCTCATCCATGATATCCTCTTACCACAGCCACACAGTTCGCACCATCCGTGGAAGCGACATACACCAACCATACATACAGCACCCAGCACAACAAGCAGATGATAGTAGATACCACCATGGAGGCACTCACCAGAGTACTAGCCCAAAGCCCAGAATGGTCCACCCGCAGCATTATCGCCCTCCTCGTGACAGCCCTCGCGTACATCATCACCATTGCCCATCGACCACCGTCTCGCTCCCGCGACGACCGCAGCACTCCCAAACCACTCACCACAGGGTACTACTACCCTTCTTTCCTCAGCACGTGGCGCTTCTTCAACAACCGCCACGGCTTCTACAACGAGGGCGTGGCGGCCTCGTCCACCGGCAACTTCAGCCACTCTGTGGGGCCGCATCACCTCATCGGATTGTCCAGATCAGCAGGTAGAGAAGCGTTCTTTCACCGCAGAGAGATGGAAATGGTTGAGGGGTGAGTACTTCCCCCCTTTCCCTTCCCCAGTGGTTCCGCTGCACTCTAGCATTCTTTGCTCTACTCCAGCATCAGGAACACACCCAGTATACTGGAAAGATTATATAAAATGACGGCAATAACAACAGCTTCACCGTCTTCTTTCCCACAGTCGACCCCTCCCAGATCGAGCCCTCCACCGGCTGGCAAGGATACCAGATCAACGCGCATATCATGCGCACCATGCGCACGGAGAACATCCGGCGCAGTCTGTCATCGATGCTAGCATTCGCAGCAGATGCTGTAGCCGCGCATTGTGGAACGAGTAGCCTTGTGGATCCATTCGACGTCGCGGATCGGCTCGTGTTTCAGTTTACCATGAGCGCGGCGGGTTTTGATGACTTGCGTGCTGGCTCGCCGTTGCTGGCTGTTTTGGGCCCTGCTCTTCTGCGGAAGATTGAGGGTTCGACGAGTGCTGGGAGGGTGCTTGTGCCTTGGTTGCGGACGCCGGGGTATCGGCGGCGGGTGACTGCTATTCGGGAGTTGGCTGGGTATTTGGGAGATGCTGTACGGGAGTCGGAGGGGGTCGTGGATGGGGTGTTGAGAGTTCTGATGGAGAAGGGGCTGTCGACGGGGGAGGTAATTACTGTGGGTTTGTCCTTCTTTTACGTCTTTGTTTCTTGTTGTTCTAATAGTTCGACTTGACAGTACCTCATGGCCACGCTGTTCGCCGCTCAAATCAACACGCCCCTCATGGCCGCCTGGCTTCTCGTTTATCTCTCGCGCAATGCACACTGGATGACGCAAGTCCGCACGGAGCTCGACGCTGTACTCAGTCGCTATCGCTCATCCCCACAAGAAACACCGCTCCACATCCTCCAGCGCATCCCCCTCGAAACATGGGAGTCTGACTTACCCGTCCTCGAACTATGTCTGCGCGAGTGCATCCGCATGCACCTTACAGCGACCACGTACCGCCGGAACTGCAGCGACAGAGAGATTCCCATCGGAGAGACGGGGGAGGTGATCCCCGGTGGGGCCTACGCAGTAGGCCGATCCCCTTCTTCTTTTGGTTTATAGACACGGCAGCTGAGCCGGAACACAGTTTTATATTCTTGGAGAAGCCCACGCCAATCCGGCGGTTTATTCCGACCATGGGACATGGGATCCGGCGCGGTTTTCGCCGGGCCGGGCGGAGGATAAGGGCGCGCCGTTGGCTTTTTTGGGATGGGGCGCGGGACGGCATGCGTGCTGTGAGTCTATGGTTCCTTTCCTGTGCTTACTGTTTCAACTGGATCGGTAGCGTGTTAATTGGTTCTGTTTGCTGTAGTGGGAATGAGGGTAAGTGGTCTAAAACGGCTGGTGGCTGGCTGTTGGATGGATTAGCTAACCTGTCATGTGTAGCTGGCTAAGATTGAGGTGGCTGTCGTTGTTGCATCCTTTGTGGCTACCTTTGATCTGATGCTGTGCGACCAACTGGGTCGTCCGATGGATCGTGTCCCAAAGGCGAATCGGGATTCGAAATCGGCGCATCCGCCGGGGGAAGAAGTGCGGCTGAGATGCTGTGCTCGGAGTTGATCTGTCTCCGCGATGGCTTAGGGCGCATTGTGTGGATAGTGTCTGGGAAGGCACGGATCCCGCTGGGTCATTGAATCCATGTTTCAAGAAGTGTGGCTGAGGTGCGTTTTAAAATAGTATATAGTATATATAGCATAGCTGCCTGGTACTCTCCCTGTTTTGAGTATAGAAAGACAATTAGTGCTCTCCACCCCTCCCACCAGCAAGACAATCCAAGAATGGACTACCTGAAACAATCCCTCTTCCCGCATCCATCCAGTGCCCAGTCCGACCGACATGGTTCATCTGGAAATGACAGTGGGGCTGATCGCAAGACTTGGCACGAGAACCCGATCTGATTGATCACGAAGCTCCAACGGGGCCAACGCTCGTGTCAAACCCTCGGACATAACCGATTGGCCCATGCATCGATCCTGTCCTTAATCTCAAACCACGATCCCGTCAAAAAGGCTCAATCGAAAGTTCAGGACCCCAGACAATCCTGCAGGAACAGAACCCACGGACCATGCTGATACTGATCCCTCTCAGTTGACGGTGTTGTTAGAGAACAGGGGTGGAATGCCCGATGGAATGTCGTATTTTGGTATGCCTCGTGGCATTCCTAGTAGGCCCTAGTAACGAGCGGACGTAGGAGGACAACAAGGATGGAGGAGCCATTGGGGGGGAATGAGGTATGAATGATGTTGTGGTTTTGTGGCGGGCGATGAAACAAATCCAGCTAATTCCCCTGCCGAGCAGGCCTCAGGCAATCGTCTCTTTTTTCCCTGCTGGTTTCACGAACATTCCCTGTTCTTTTCTTTCTCTCTCTGTTTTCCTCTCTCTTTCACTTCCTACTCTACTCGCTTCCACTCTTCTCCCACACAACGGTCGTTTCCGATTTCATTTGTTTTGACAATTACAATCCCTGATCGATTCCGAATCGTCATCACGGGCTTCATTGTCACTGTCTGTCTCTACAGTTCCACCGTGCTTTTCCGAGTTGATCTGCACTGCTAATTGACCCACACGGTCGCTCCACCACTATCGAAGTTTGACATTACGTTCGCACAGATTGCTCCGTGCTGAATCTATCCCACCAGTTTAGGGCAGCGTGCCCTTGTTTATTCCATTGACGCGCATGCCGAACACTCGTTAATACACCGTTATATGCATATCGCGTCGCATAGTAAGACAACAACAAGATGGGCAATCCAAATGATGTGATGATTGATATTCCATTGAGCAATGTCGGCAGCCGGGGCCAGACAGGTGCGCGAAATCCCAGCGTGAGAACACCGAGGTCGCCGCCGGGACAGCCCATGGGCTACCAACCGCCCGGGGCGGAGGACACGCCCGGCCGTAGCGTCGCCAACGAAAAGACCGGACTGGTGTCGGACGCAGCGATGCCCGGTGTCGCAGGCGGCCGCCGGCGCATCACCGGAGCGACGGGAGCTGCATTGGAAGATCCGGCAGACGGCACCGTCACACGCATGGGTCGCATCTACCAGGCCGTGCTGAACTTCTCCCTGGTCACTCGATATTTACTCTATATCCTGCCGCTGGCGATCTTGCTCGCCATTCCAATCATCGTGGGGGCCACTGTCGCGCCGCATGCCGCCATAGGAGGTGTTTCCCTGCCCTGGTTCTTCTTCTGGTTCGAGATCGTCTGGGTCAGTCTGTGGATATCGAAATTGGCGGCCCGCGGGCTGCCTTATGTCTTCCAGTTTCTCAGTGGGATTGTCAGCTCCGGCACGCGCAAATATGCACTGATCTTGCGCAATCTGGAGACGCCGCTGGCCACCGTGTTGTGGGCGGCAGTCTCGCTGGTCACGTTCTTCCCGGTATGTGTCGAGTTGAGCATGTCAATGGACGAGTTGGGCTAACGAGGGTTAGATCATGGCGCTGAATCCCGAGAAGAAGTCCCAAGGCGACAAAGGAGTGAAGGGGTGGGAGAAGTCTATCAAGAACATCCTTTTCGCTCTCTTCGTCTGTAGCTTGATCTTCTTGGCCGAAAAGGCTGTGGTGCAGTTGATCTCCATCAGCTACCACCGCAAGCAGTTCGACCGCAAGATTCAAGAATCTAAGCGCAAGATCCAGTTAGTCGGGATGCTGTACGACGCATCGCGCACCATGTTCCCCATGTACTGTCGCGAGTTCCGCGATGATGATGCTGCCATCTCGGACTCCCTGCTAGGGTCCCCAGCGAATAAAGGACCGGGTCATCTCCGATCCAGCTCTTCCGCGCCGCTGAGGCTCATTCGCGAGGTGGGACACAATGTGGGGCGCTTTGGCAACAAGGTGACTGCAGCCTTCGGGGACGTGGCACACGAGATTACTGGGAAGGAGGTGTTCAACCCGACGGCGGCCCATTCGATAGTCACGCAGGCGCTTGAGCGTCGACGCTCCTCCGAAGCCCTGGCGCGGCGCATCTGGATGTCGTTCGTCATCGAGGGCCGCGAGGCCTTGTTCCCCGACGACATCTCGGAAGTTCTCGGGGCGGGCAAAGAGACCGACGCGGACGAATGCTTCCACATGCTAGACCAGGACACCAACGGGGACATCAGCTTGGACGAGATGGTCATGGCAGTTGCCGAGATCGGACGCCAGCGCAAGTCGTTGAACCACAGCATGCACGACGTTGACCAGGCCATCCACGTGCTAGACAACCTGCTGATGTCGGTGGCCTTCATCGTCGGCGTGCTCGTGTTCGTGTCGTTTGTCACCAGTGGATTTGGCACCGTCATCGCTGCGGGTGCCACCTCCCTGCTGTCCCTCAGCTTTGTCTTCTCGACCACCGCTCAAGAGGTGCTTGGCTCGTGCATCTTTCTCTTCGTCAAGCACCCCTTCGACATTGGCGACCGCGTGGAGATCGACAGCAAGCCGTATGTGGTGGACCGTATCTCGCTTCTGTTCAGTGTCTTCCGGTGTGTGACCGACCACCGACTGACCCAGGTGCCCAACGCGGTGCTCAACACGTTGTGGATCGACAACTTCACGCGCTCTAACGCCATGCACGAGACGCTCACCGTGCCGGTCCACTTTGATACCACCTTCTCAAACATCCAGATGCTCCGCGACGAGATGGAGCGGTTCGTGCGCGACAAGGATAACTGCCGCGACTTCCAGCCCGAACTCACCGTAGACGTGACCGGCGTCGGAGACATGGACAAACTGGAACTTAGTGTCTCCATCTGCCACAAGTCCAATTGGGCCAACGACGCCGTGCGGGCCTCCCGCCGCTCCAAGTTCATGTGCGCGCTCATTGCCACAGTGCGCAAGATTCACATTCGCGGACCCGTAGCAGCCGACGACGCTGGCTGCGACAGCCCTTCCCCATCCGACGACAAGTCCGATGACGCCTCCTCGAAAGATACCAGTGCCGCGGCGCGCGCCGCCGGCGCCAGCGAAGGAGTGCGTCGCCTCCACACGGACCTAGCCGATGACGAGTCCCGCTCGACTGGCTTCGACGTCGCACGGTCTACAGGCTCCCTGCACCGCCGTGGTGCAGGCTCCACCCCATCCATCAGTCTACGCAGCGGCGCCACTTACCCCGACCCGCGACGATCGCGCTCTGTCGCCGGCGGCGACGTCGACAATTACCAGACCCCGGCGGCGTCCCCAGGGCATGACCCCGCGGCAGCCGCCAGCGCGAACTACGTGTCTCTGGCGCGGACCCCATCCCCAGCTCAACAAGGACCATGGACGCCGTTCCCCACCGCCACAGGCGGGGTGCCCATCCTCTCCCACCCCACGCCCCCTCGACGGGCATCCAACCAGTACCCGCCTCCCCCGACGGACCCCTACCACCAGCACTACGAGGCTCCAGGGCCCTCCTCCGCCCCGGGACAGGCGGTGACGTCTTACCCTGAAAACCCATACTTAACCACGCAGCAGCAGCAGCAGCAGCCGCCGCCCTCGGAGCTGCCGTCCGAGCGACCCGGAGAGAACGTGGACTCGTTCGAGGAGGAGCGGCAGCCGGAGTCGATCCCGCCGCGGTCGGCCTCAGCCAGACAGGCGCACGAGATGCCGGGGGCGTTTCGACGGTGGAATTAGTAAATTTATATTGTAATGAGTATGGGATGGAGTTGGGATAGCGCAGTCTTTTTGTTTCTTTCTCTTTCTTCTTGATCCTCTTGATCTTTTTTTTTTTTTTCTTATCTAATGGCTTCGGTCTAGTTTGATATCTTTTGGTTTTTGTTGTTAGGAGAGTACTTTATTCCCAGTATTTCTATAATACAAGTCAAATCAACAAACAAATCCAGCATGCATTTACCTATCATACATCGAAAACCATTCACTCATCCATTTCCTATCAATCCCACTCCATCACATAATCAAATCAAATCAAACCAAGGAAGACAATCACTTGCTCTCCTTCCAAGGATAAGAAACCGGATCATCCTTGCGGATCCAAATCTTCGACTTGCGCTTATTAACGATATGCTCGACGAAGACCTCGCGCGTGTACTGCGCGCGGTAGCGGCGGATCCAGCGCGGGTCCCACAGTTCGCTGGCGATGCCGAGATCCTTGCAGCAGCGGACGAGGGCGTTGGATCGGCAGCCTTCTGTGGCGGTGGGGATGCCGTCGGGAGAAAAGTAGTCTTGTTCGCCTCTGGCTACGCTGACGAGGCTGTTTTTTTTTTTATATATTAGTTCGCTTTTCATGGGAAACAAAACTCTATCAAGCAAACAGAAGGGGAGGGAAAAGGTAAAAGAAGGGGGAAACCCACCGCCCATTACAAACAAGCGCATACTCCCTCGTCACCGTCTTCGGCGTCACGATACTCTCACTGCGCGGGACAAGCCCCCACCCGCCGGGACCGAACGCGCGGTTCAAGATCCGCCGGTACTTGATCTCGGGGAGGTAGACGATGCCGTCGGGCTTGATCTCGACTTCTTCGGGGTTAACCTCTGTGAGGAGGATGTCTGCTGCTTCTTTGGGGAAGGGCGCTGCCGAGAGGCCGTGGAAAGAGCGCGTCCAGTCGATGCGATCTGCCGTTGGGTCGTCGAGCTCGAGGGGCTGGTCAGAGAGGCCGGTTTTGGAGATGTTTTCGGTGCGTTTTATGGGGGTTTCAATGTTGTTGTTGTTGTTTTTACTGCTTGCGCTGTTCGTATTATTCGTATTGCGGTAGCCATTGGAGGGGGTAGGAGTGGTGGGAGGAGTGGCTCTGTTGGGGGTGGTTGTTGGGTTCGGAGGTGAGGCGCCTGTCGGGTTGAATTGTGGTGTTGGGGGTGTTCGTGTGATGAAGCGGGTCTGCTGGATGGAGATGCTGGGTCGGATAGTCTGAAGAGAGGCGCGCAGGGCGCGAGGAACCGGGCGGAGAGACATGCTGGTTGGTGTGTGGACGCGTGTGTTGGAGAATCCTTCGCCGTTTGAGGACGCGGAGATGACGTTCGTGATGGTGTCACGTGATTATTATCCCAACCAGAGTACTATCAACTAAGAGTGGATGGATATATTGTGTAGCTAGAAATACAGTAGTGTACAGTAGTGTACAGCATCATGCGTCCTTCATGTCTGTCCGTTTGTCATTGCCCTGGCGCTTCCAGCACTGGCGGAATGCCTCCATCTGATTCATTAGCTTCAATCGACCAATGGACCATATGGATCACACAGATCAGATGGATCTTATAGGGAGTGGGGATTGAGTAGAGTAGGGTATAGATACCTCGTTCTTGCAACTCCGCCAGTCCTTCTTAACATAGTAACAGTCGTTCATGCGGTCCTGCTCAGCAGCACAGCCCGTGCTGAAGATGCGCTTATCCCTACATTTCGTCAGTTTCCAATTGCAAAAAAGAGTAAGTCAGGACATACCAGTCATCTGGCTCATCATCGTCCACAGGGGGTTGCTCTGGCCGTTTGTTGGGAGACATGTTGAGTAGTTGGGATTGACACCGGTGGATGTATGAGGTGAGACGATCGGCCCAGATTGACCTGCGGAGTCATTTATCTCGGACTCCGCCTTCATTCCTCATCTCCCCACCATGGCTCCCTCCAGGTTTAACGTCCTGGTCTACACCGGTATAATTGATCCCTACAATAACACAATCCGATTAATTAACAGATACATTAGGAAATGGAACCACCGTCGAATCCGTCCGACACTGCCTCTATTCCCTCCGCCGCCTTCTAGCCCCCCACTACGCCGTCATCCCCGTCACAGCCGACCAGCTCCTCCACCAGCCCTGGTCCCCCTCCTGCGCCCTGCTGGTCTTCCCCGGCGGTGCAGATCTCGGATACTGTCGCGCCCTCAACGGCGCCGGCAACCGTCGCATTGAACAGTACGTGCGTCGCGGAGGCGCTTACCTCGGGTTCTGCGCCGGCGGCTATTACGGCGCCCGCCACTGCGAGTTCGAAGTCGGCGACAAGACACTACAGGTCATCGGCGATCGCGAGCTCGCGTTCTTCCCGGGGACCTGTCGCGGGGGTGCTTTCGAGGGCTTTGCCTATAACAGCGAGGCGGGTGCTCGTGCCGCGCAGCTGTCGGTCGCCCGTGGGGCGCTCAGTCCGGAACAGGTGGTTGTTCCGGAGGGCTTTCGCTCGTACTACAATGGGGGCAGTGTCTTTGTCGACGCGGGGCGATATGCCGATAAGGGAGTTGAGGTCCTGGCTCGTTACGCCGAGGAGCTAAACGTGGACGCGGGCGAAGACGGCGCTGCCGTGGTCTACTGTCGGGTGGGCGACGGGGCCGCTATCCTGACGGGTCCACACCCCGAGTACGTTTATCATACCCTGTACCCTGTGATTACTATGAGGGCAATACAGCTAACGGTGTAGATTCGCGGCCGTGAACCTCGACCGCAAGGCCGGCGGCGCCGAGTATGGGAAACTCATTGACGCCGTAGCAGCGGACGACAAGGCGCGCACGGACTTCCTCAAGGCCTGTCTGGTCAAGCTGGGGCTGCAGGCGTCGCAGTCCACCACCACCGTACCGTCCCTCTCCTCCCTGCACCTGTCTGCCCGGGATCCGGCTGACACGGCTCCGCTCCTAGCGTCGCTGCGGGAAGCTGTGACGGCGGACGGGCCGCAAGAGTACCTCAAAGACGAGAACGACACGTTCCGCATCGAGAAGCCGGGCGCGTGGAGCATGGACGGGCTGAGCGACACCCTGCCGGGCCAGCAGGAGGGGATCGTCGATTACCGCACGGTTGAGAAGCGGCTGATCGTGCACGACGACGTGCCGGGGTCCAAGACGACCCCGTCGTTCAACCACCACGCGTACTACGCGAATCTGCGAGAGTTTCAGGCGCGGTCGCGCGAGGGGGCGAGCGAGTTCGGGTCGCATCTGATGTACGGGGAGGTGATCACCAGCACCAACACCATCCTGGAGAAGAACCCCAAGCTGCTGCGGCAGCTCCCCAACGGGACGACCGCGACGGCCACGACGCAGGTCGCCGGCCGCGGACGCGGGTCCAACGTGTGGGTGTCGCCGGCGGGAGCGCTCATGTTCTCAACGGTGGTACACCACCCGATCGACAAGCTGCAGTCGGCGCCCGTGATCTTCATCCAGTACCTTGCCGCAATGGCAGTGGTGCAGGGGATCAAGTCCTACGACAAGGGCTACGAAGCCATGCCAGTGAAGCTCAAGTGGCCGAACGACGTGTACGCGCAGGACCCCGACGCGACAGCCACCAACCAGTACGCCAAGATCTGCGGGATCCTAGTGAACTCGCACTTCTCAGGGCGCGAGTACATCTCGGTCGTGGGGATCGGGATCAACGCGACGAACGCGGCGCCAACGACGTCGCTAAGCGCGCTGGCAGCGCGGTTCGTGGGGCCGACGGCGGCGCCCATCACGCTGGAGCGGCTGCTGGCGCGCGTGGTGACGACCTTCGAGGAGCTGTACACCCGGTTTCTGCGGACGGGGTTCGACCGCGGGTTCGAGGCGATGTACTACGCGGACTGGCTGCATACGAACCAGGTGGTGACGGTGGAGGAGGCGGGCGGGGCGCGGGCGCGCATCAAGGGCATTTCGCGGGACTACGGGTTGTTGCTGGCGGAGGAGCTGGGATGGGAGGATCGGGGAACGGGGCGGGTGTGGCAGTTGCAGAGTGACAGTAACAGTTTTGATTTTCTGAGGGGGCTGGTGAGGCGGAAGATTTAACTCCCTATTCTGTAGATATTAACCATTGATAGTATAGATATTATCGGTAAATAGAGATGTCTAACATACATACATACAGTTACAAACAAATACAGTCCAGGATGATATAATATACTAAACTTAGACATAACTAGTTAATATACTGCGCTATAATATAAGATAATATAATATAATATAACCACATCCTTCTTTATTCGCACTCACCTCAGCCTTACCCCTCTTTCTGTCTCTCTCTCTTTCTTTTCTCTCCCTTACTCCATTTCATCTCACTCTCTCTTCCATCCCTCTCCAACTCTCTTCCCCCCCATCCCTATAAGCACGATCCACAACCCACCCATCCAACCCATCACCCCAAAATCCCACCTACCCACTTCTAAAATGTTCAACCTCTTCTCCAACCCCCCCAAAGACGAAAACACTCAACCCCAATACCAAGAACCGCTTTGGGATCCCCGCACCGTGACAGTGCAGCAGCAGCCGACGAGCCCGAGTGCTCCCGTGAAGGAGGGTCTGGTAGTGGAGCAGCCGGTTGGTTATTCTTTTCTTATCTGTCTGCCTGTTTTTATATTCTGCTGTATGAGGCTGGTATATTGCATACAATATATACATATATATATATGTGTGTGTGTGTGTGTGTGTTATGGATGCAAGAGAAAGGAAAGTGTGATATATGGATGGATGATACTAAGAAATACAGCGCTCCAACGAACAGATGAACTTGAGTCTCCGCGGTGGTGGCGCCGGTGGTATCTGCTGTGGGCTGTGAGTTTCTCTCTCTTTTCTTCTTGTTTTGTTATTCTTGTCTTACTGTCTACATTACTGTGGTGTCTACGACCCATCCTCCCTTGGAAGGAAGGCGAGAGAATGAATGAGATGCTGATTAATGACGTTTAGCTGCGCCGGTCTGGCCTGTTTCGAGTGCTGTGAGATTTGCTGCTAGTTTGGTCTTTGATCTACCTACCTACTCTGCAGTACTGCGAGTTATTTACCCACCTAGGTAGAGAGGTAGTAGGTTGGTGAGTAGGAGGTATTAATAGTTAGGGGATGGTTTGTGGGTTGGTTTTGTTTATCTACGAGTAAACTACGTATGACTATATGATATATGCTGTCTTTGTTTCTGTCGTTTACAACACACTTAAGTGTCTATGTATGTGGCGAATTGATATTCCCCTATTCGTTGAAGGGGAAAAGTATTATTGGAGTACATGCCATCGACGTCAGTGACTATATGTGGCGCTATATGTTTGATCTACGTCCGCATGACACTACTACTCTCCACCCTACATGTAGATCATCTGTGCATACTGCGACCACCTGATCAGTACACTACGTAAGTCTGCTATGCACACCTATCACCGTCGTTCGAAAATAAGTAACCCTTATTTAATGCGTCTGCTCAGCGATTTTTTTTTTTTTTACAAAAAAAAAGCAGTCAACTTATCAAGTGTAGCTCACGGCCATCGTCAACCCAGTAAGCCTAAGCAGCCTTCATCCGCACAGTGACATTCTCCCCCGGCGCGATCGTCAAGTTCAACGCATAATTGACCTCCCTCTCCGGAAACACATCCTCAACCGCCCCAAACCGCTGCAGCAGCCTCACAAGCACATACCCCGCCTCCGTGAGCGCAAACTGCTGCCCGATGCAGATGCGCGGGCCTCCATTGAACGGCAGATACTCCCACCCTACCCGGTGCCCGGGGGAGTGTTCCATCCAACGCTCGGGACGAAGGACGTCCGCATCTTCACCCCACAGGTCCACACGACGGTGCATCGCAAACACGCTGTACAGGACTTGCTGGCCGGCGCGGATGTAGACAGGGCGGGAGCCGTCTGGCCCGCCGCCGCGCGGAAGAGTGGTGTCGCGGACGGCGGTGCGGCGGTTGTTCGAGACGATGGGATACAAGCGGAGGACCTCGTTGAGGAAGGCTTGCAGGTAGCGGCAGTCTTTGAGGGAGGTGAAGGTTATGGGGGCGATGGAGCTTATCGGGGTGGTGTTTGGGCCGTCGGGGCCGAAGGCCGCGAGAATGGCGGTGCGGAGTTTGGTGAAGACGTCGCTGTGGCGGGCTAGGAGGAGTAGGCTCCAGCTGAGGAGCGAGGCGGTTGTGTCTCGGCCTGCGAGGAGGACGTTGAGGAGTTGTGAGCGGAGCTCCATAGGGTCTTGCGTTGCGGCCGCTAGTTGCTGGAGGAAGACGCCGTGCTGTTTGGTCGGGGCTGGACTGTCTGGTTTGCTTTGGGACTGTTGGTGGTAGTCCAGCGCGGCGCGGACAAACCGGTCGACGTAGGCGTGGACGTCTGCATTGACGTGTCGGCTTTCCTTAGTGTTGGCGAGCCAGTGGAGCTTGTCGAGGCGCGCGCGCTGGCCCGCGAGTTGCTGGCCTCGGTCGAAGTTGGCGGAGAAGGAGTCTGGCTGGTTGGTGTCTAGCGCGGCGGATTGGCTGTTGACGCTCTCGCCGAAGAGGAACTCGGTGGCTGAGTCCATGGTCAGTCGGAAGAAGAGGGTTTGGATGTCGACGGCGGATGTCCAACCGGTGGTGGGGTCGACGGGCATGGCGCGGAAGGCGTGTTGCACATGGCGCTCTTCTAGATCTAGATCGCTGATTTGATCGCGGGTGAATTGGGGGCGGAGGAGAGCCCGCGAGCGGGACCAGTGTTCGCCGTCAGTGGTGAACTTGATATAGGTTAGCGTTTATTGTGTATACCAGGGGAGGGACGTACGATTCCATTCCCGAGGAGAGGGTGGAGGGAGATTCGGCGCGAGCTTCCCAGCTCAAAATCGTTGAATTGGATGGCTAGCATTGCCTGTATGTTCTTTGGATCGCAGGTGATGATGACATCGCGCAGGGCCTGGCGGGTGAGGTAGGTATGGACGCGACGGTTCTCACGAGTCTTCATGAGAGAGAAGCGGTCAACGAACAGAACGGGCAGCCTGCGTGCTTTGTCTGCTGCTTGGAGTTCTTTGAGAGTGTTCCAGCCTAGGAAGTCGCTAGGATAGTCCGGGAGGGAGCCACAGTGCCAGCGGAAGGAATTCCGAGCATGTTTGACGGTGGTGTAGAGGCCGTAGAGGAAATTGAGGAGGGCGGCGAGACCGATGAGGGAGGCGAGAGAGAACATTGTGTCTGGTGGGTGCGGAGTGGAGGAGAAGAATGTCGACGATGGGAGAAGTAGTGGAAGAAGTGCTGGTCACGTTGCTGGCAGCTGGCATTCACAGCGTGATGCAGGAATCCTGTTTCTTTGTCAATTCTACGAGATGCGCTTGTTTCATTGGTAACACAGCGTCGATCTATCCGGATGCAGTGAACGTGTCTTGTTCGTGAGCTGACCAGAGGCTCAACAGAGGCAGTGGGTAGGGATAACATGTCATGGTAGCTATCTGGAGTGTGATTGTTTTATCAACAGGGTCAGATCTGAGTTCATGTTGAATCTAATATTCTCGTCATCATTCTTCCTGCACGCAAGATCTGACACAAAATTTGATACACATTTCAATCAGTCCCATTATCAATCAGCAAGTATTCTGATCACTAGAATCCAGTATGAAAGACCCGGTAAAACAGACCATCTACCGAAACTGAAAGAGATGGCCCACCTCATGAGCAACATCTTGGAGTACATCGAGTTGAGCCTCCGATTCCACCCCAATCGTTGTACAACCAACCCGCATTGGATACACACGCGTCACACTGTATGCAGAGGAACCGGACCCTCGGTCCTCCCCGTTTGCCCCGGAGGCTTGAATAACAGTTGGGAGGTAGAAAATTCGACCAGCGCAGTCGGGCTCGTTGACAATCCAGCGGCAAGAGAACAGTCAGCTTAGCAGTGCAATTTCCAATATCCATGTACTCCACGGTACGGTGTACTTCAAGACGCATGGAAAGACCCACACTCGAGGAATCGAATCAATTGACACATAATATGGGCTGACCTGGTTCGGCGGATGTTGATTGGCGGTGTGACTATGTACCCACTTTGCTCAACGGCGAGACTGTTCGACGAACCTAATATAGACATATCATGTACTGAGTAAGATTGAGAAGAGTGAAGAGATTGAAGACATTCAAATAAATGGAATGGTCAAGATCAGGTGACATTCCAGCCACCGCCATGTTCCTCAGGCAGAAATGTCCTCCTCCAATTCAATTACTCCTTTATTTTGCCATCATTTTTCTTGATGAAATTGAGATCCACCAGGACCCCGCTCTCTATCAAGATATCGTGACTGGTTGCCTGTCTTGAAGGACAAGCCTGACATCATTCTAGGAAGAGACCTAACAAAGTGAAGCCGTTGAAATGGAGTTCAACTTGGAGACTTGACATCAGCTTCCAGCCCACAAGCAAGCCGATCGCAAACACGGCTTCCACGTTTAAAACATCGCGAGGAGAAGAATGCGAACTTGGATCCTCATGCAACACATCGATGGGCCAATTCCTGCGTCCTAGAAGGTAATGTTCCACCTACAATTACAGAAATCTGCCAAAGGATGGGAATTTACGCTCAAGATCTTGCAACTCGATCTACGGGATTCAACTCCAGAACCGTATAGAACCATAGAACCCTAGAACCCTTTAGAACGGCCATCTCAGTCGGTTTAATCCATTCAACCCTGCGGGGAGTACATCCGACACGAAATGAGACGCACGTCAAATATTCAAATGGTCGGCCAGTCCCACACAGGCAGGCGAGATTGAGCCTGGAGCCCGGGTTTGCGTTCCAACCAAGGAAGTAGATGGATGTACCGAGTGGGGCCATTTTCTACCATTCTATGATGAATTAGGAAAAATCCGGATAGGGGCAGGCAGATGGTTGGCAGCCGACCTGCCGAACCGTTGAGAAAAACGGTCGCAAAGGTTAATAATCCTGTCAAATTATCAATTTCAGCGACGATCTGCACCAGAAAAAGGATCAACCCCCGACCGTTAGTTTGCTCCATCTTCGGAGCTGCCAAAAAGGACGATTGTCTTCACGATTAGGAGGACATACAAAAACGACCGCTGCCCGACTGCCATAATCCAGGAGTATCAACTATTCTCCTAGTGTCCTTGCAGAAGACTTATTACTACGTCAAGAAACATGGCAGCCACTCAAACCATCCGCGTCCCCCATCTGGGCGGCATCGACGCCGGCTACACCCTCTCCAACGGTCAATATGACCCCTCCAAGCCGACCTGCGTACTCATCAACTCTATGTGCATGACCACCGCGCTCTACCGCCCGCAATTCGAGAGCGCCGAGCTCATCGCCGCCGTCAACCTGCTGGCCATCGAGCCGCTGGGCCACGGCGCCACCAGCTGCGCCACGGAACACTTCACCTACTGGGACTCGGCCATCATGGCGCTGCAGGTCCTCGACGCCCTGAACATCAAGAAGGCGTTTACGCTGGGGACCAGCCAAGGCGGTTGGGTTGTGATGCGGATGGCCCTGTTGGCGCCCGAGCGGGTATTTTATTTCCCTTCTGTCTCTCCCATTATCTAAGTACTGACCTCTTCCAGATCCAAGGTGTCATTCCCCTGGGTACGTCCATGGACTGCGAGTCGCCCGACTCCCGCAGCAAGGGATGCTGGGACCCCGCGCCGCTGCTGGCGCCCTTCCACGACAAGTGGTCGTCGGCGACGGCGACGCCCGACTTCCTCATCGACGACGTGTGGTGCGGCATGGTGAGCGGCATCGGGTTCGGCGCCAACTCTCCCGCCGAGACGGGTGAATTCTGGACCAAGACGCTGAAGGAGGTGTACCGCGGAGATGAGGGCCGCAAGAAGGTGCGCATGGCAGTGAACTGTCTCCTGGAGCGCGACGGGCTGCTGATGCGCCTGCGCGACGTCAAGTGCCCCGTGTACTGGCTGCAGGGGTCGGAGGACACGCCGTTTGGCACAACGGTGCCGGCGGAGCAGATTCAGTTGCTGAGCGGGTCGGTGGAGGCGTCGTTGCGGATGGTCGAGGGGGGAGCTCATTATCTGAACGCGACCAATCCGGCTGAAGTTAACCAGGCTGTGTTGGAGATGGTCCAGAAATATGCCTAATTTGTATATACTACTACTTACATACATACCTATTAATATCTATCAAGTTGCCGTAATCCATGGTCCATTGACGGGAGAGATATTATTCATCTCGTTAAAATTAGTTAGCGATAAATACTTTGGTCGGCAAGCCATCCAAATTATGGCGTGGTTGAGGGGATAGTGGGTCGTAAACTTCGACCACGCGATTTAGTTCGTCATTCTAGGCTCTTTCGGATGGATTGGCAGCCACTCATTCCATGGTTCGTCCTCCCCCCGGTTCATATCATTTCCTGAAGAACAACATGCAGATCGTTCCCCTCCCACCAACGGAATTCGGATAGTGGAAACAGACAGGCGGGATTTGGGCCATTATCCCGCCAACACATGGCAAGTTGGCGGATCCAACACGGGCCCCATGATTGGCCTCATCGTGACAGTTCGCATTTAACTCGGCATTGCGGCAGATGAGGGTGGGGAGGGAGAGGAGGAGATACGGAATCCACGCGAGACTAAGACAAGGTTCAACGGTCGTAAAAAAATCTGGATAGACTGTTTTGGAATTTGGGCCCCCTGACTCTTGCGACGATGGTGGGGTTTCCGCTACATATTACCTACTATATTGGCTGGTTTTTTTTTTAATCTATTTTTTTTTCTGTTATTTCGCTTTTGTTTTTCTGATTTATAGATCCCACTGCCCCGGGTGGTTTGATTCCTGACTCCTGTTAGAGTTTGATTTTTGACTCCTGTTAGAGGCGACGTGATATGAGAGTATGACATGCAATGGGCAATGAATCCGACAATCTCCAACACTGGGCAGCAGCCACCACCATCTCGGTGACGGTGCTGGCCTTTGTGTCCGTATGTCTTCGGCTGCTCTCGCGCTGGGAGCGAAAGCAAAAGCTATGGTGGGATGACTGGATGATTATCTGGTCGATGGTGCGTTCATTCAACTCTTCTCCCCCAATCCACCAGAGCATAACTGAGAAGAACGACAGGCCTGGAACTTCGTCGTAGTAGGCTTCATCTTCGCAATGATCCACAACGGCATGGGCCTACACGCCGACACAGTCGACCCCAACAACGTCGTCCTCATCGCCAAATTCCTCGTCGTCGCGGAGGTCCTCTACGTCTTCAACCTCGTCTGGACCAAGATCAGCATCCTCCTCATGTACTACCGCATCTTCCACTTCCCCTACTTCAAGCGCTGGGCCTACGGCATCGGAACCTTCATCATCTGCTGGGTCATCACCATCACCTTCCTCTTCATCTTCATCTGCGTCCCTGTCGAGAAACTCTGGTACCCGCAGCTGCCCGGCCACTGCATCAACCAGGTCGCCACGTGGATCGCCAACGCGACCTCCACTATCGCCACCGACCTGGTCATCCTGTTCCTGCCGATGCCTCAGATCTGGAAACTGCAGCTGCGGACGTCCGAGAAAGTGGGCCTGACCGTTGCATTTGGTCTCGGTTTCTTGTATGCCTTTCCCACCCATCTCTATAACCAAACTTTGATAGCACATACTGATAACAATAACGCAGCGTGGTCTTCGCCTCCGCCTACCGCCTCACCGTCCTCTTCTCCTACACAGCCCTCGACTCCTCCTACACGCTCGCCCCAACAGTCGCCTGGACAGCCATCGAAATGTCCGCCGGCATCGTCTCCGCCTGCCTGCCGACAATGCGGCCCGCCCTCCAAGCCGGCGCACGCCTCCTAGGCATCCAGCACGCGATGCCCGCCCTGCTGCGCAGTCGCACCGACGCCCTATCCAAGGGCCAGTCGAGCGGGACGCGGCCGCACGACCTGTCGATGAAAGACGGGAGCCGCACCGGCACGGGCGGTGCCCGCCGCCACTCATTCTACTATCTACCGGATGACAACGACTCGCAGGGCGAGGGGGGCCACGAGTCCGGGGATCTGCGACCGGGGTACGATAGCGGGAAGATGACGACTGACGTGCGGGTTAGTCGGGCGAGTAGTCGGCAGGATATGAGGAGTGAGAGTTATGGGGATGACGAGGTGCCGCTGAGGGGCATTCGGGTGCAGAAGAATTTTGTGCAGATTAATGGAGGGCGATAGGAAGTTTCGAGTCATGTAGGAGTGGGGTGGGTAGTGTCGTATATTAATTAAGGGTGGGGGAGGGGCTCAGTTCATGAGTAATAGTAATGTTGAACGATTGAAGTATGACTCGGTGATGTAAAGCTTCCCTCTCTTTGATATCCTCCGTGGTATACAAATGGCGCTATAACAGCGCTACCGAAACAAGCCAACTCGATCAGGCAGATCATCACCAGCTAATGCAGCGCTTGCGTCGACGAACCCCTGGATTAGCAGCTACCTACCGCGCGAATATATAGTTCCCACAGGATGTCCGATCGAGGGTGTTAGTCGGTTGACTAGTTAAAATGATTATGATTCCACGAGGTTCACCGATCTTATCTGATTGCACCAGGGCCGATCCTTTCGCCCATCCATCAATGCAGGAGAAAAGGATGATCCACGTCATTATAGACGGGCGGTATACTGATTGATACATCATCTTGCTTGGTCCTAACGAGTTGGCTCCTCCATGATGTTGTCGCATATAAACGGCCCCTTGGCCGTTCAACTTGCGACCGACCAACAAGTCTATCCATCTCATTGATACCCGAAACGGAGCTGACTTACCATGACACAAGTGTATGTTTATGGCTTTGTACCTACTTGGACCTAGAGTAGCTTATCATGCTACTAGACAAGATGACCAAGCACGACATGCCTGCCTGCCTGCCTGCCTGCCACTTGATCCATGTTACTAGTTAGAAGGAGGCACTATTTATGCAACTTTATGCAAATATGAGTCAGCGTATTTTCATAATGCACGTGACTACCTAGATACATATATAGTCACGTGCACAAGGGGTGATCAGGTGCTGAGCATAAGACATATGATATATCATTATCATGCACAACGTCCCCTGTAGAGTCCATCCATCACGTTCAACCGTTATATGAGCCCGTATGCTCTCTGCTTCTTTCCACGAGCAAAAATTTTCGATCGATTTCAATTCATATCTTGAAAATGGGGATCATCTCGTGCAATGCAAGGCAAGGCGGGGCCTAATTGTCGTTCACAAACCTTGATATGCCACTCGGACGGCCGTAAGTGGTGGATCAAGGTGAATTTCACAGGCGAGATATTTTTGAGTCCTGTGGACGGACTGGTGTCACAGAAGACTCCAAAACGGCTGAGACGCAAAGAATACCAGTACTTTATCAGGCTGGTAGACCTCGGGTCTCTCCCTCTTCTCAATGACACGGTCAGTGAAGTGATCTTGGAAGAGTGCACTGATGAACGTGACTCCATGTTAAAAATACATAATACTGGAGAGCTCACTCTTGTGTTCTTTGCAAAAGTCTCCGGGAGACTGAGATACTTGGTCCGAGGGGATCCTTTGAGAGTCATCTATCCTTCACGCTGTGAATTTCCTTCTCTCCGGCAGATCAACACGGCTGAGTTATCGGAAGAGTCAGAGATCACGGACGGGGTCTTCCAAGTCATTGGTATCAACAAGACACCGTACATTCTCAAGGTAGTTAACCGGCCTTATACCAGTCTCACGACACAGAAATCATTCACAATGAGCTTAGAAACCTTCAATACTTTCAAAAAGAATCGATCATTACCCAACCAGCTGGCATCACAGTGGCAGCAAATTCTTATATAACAACAAATATTGTCCTCGACGCAGACGGAAACACAGTACTGATTAATATCGGTAACATTAGTAGAATTACACACAAGTGGCTTGCTCCGGAGATCCGACAAGAAATATCATCTGCTAGCCTCCCGTTTAAGGTACGCTAGGGAAATGACACTTGGGCTTACGGAAAGCTGTTGTCGGGAATTAGATTACGTGCAGGGCCCGGCCCTTTTTTGGAAATTTTGAATCATATTGCTTCCTGTCTTACAAGGGAAGGCACACAAACGCGCATGGCTCTTCTAGAAGCTATCTCCCTTCTCAAAGATGCTGGTGTCGGTAGGGTATTTTCATACTAACATTAGGGTATCAGGGCATCGGGGCCATATGGGTAGCGCACACTCGTAGCTAACTCGCTATACCACTCTCGTCTCGCGCACACGGTCGAAAAGCCACCAGTGACCATATCTTCTTGGCGAGGCACATGCTGGTAGAAACAAATACCGATCGTCCTACTCATACAGCGGTAGGCAATTAGTACTCCTGGCGTGATACTGACTGTCTCTGATGCGATTGCGCATGCTATCCAGTCGGGTGGAGTAGTCTGTTGATAGTTGCGTAGTCAAGTCGACTTCTGGATTCAATTGGACGGCAGCTTGAGTTGTTTCATCGTATGCGCGTTGAATCTCGTAGCTCTCAGGGGTTTTGTGACACGACTCCTGACTACGATAAAAATGTCAAGTCACCGCTGCTAGAGGTGTAACTACTAGAATAGGAGCAAATGAAGACCTTGGCGTTCTTTGCGTGGACAGAGGGGAGCAGATGGAGAAGGAGAGCAGCCATGGTGGCTGAGTGACTTTCCACCGGGATTGATGTATATGGGCTAGTCGGATGATCTGGATATACCCTGATCGTATTATACAAATTTAGCGAAGTATGGTGAACGTAAAGGCAGAACCTGCTCTTTCAAGTACTATACAACGTTGTACTATGCGCGGTAGTTCTCATTAGTCGGCCTTCTATCAACGATATTCTAAATGAATGATGATTATTTATAAGAACCTATAGTAGTCAAGCATGCACAAATATCCCAATCAACTAAATACAACCGACGTCTTAAACGCCCCCACCACATCACATTCCCGGAATCCCGGCACGCGACCAAGAATGACCACTCCGCGAAGGAGTCCTAAACATAATTAGCAGACCGAACGAGTCCCATTCACACTGTCAACAAACTCACTTTGGAAGAACGACTCCAGGTCCAGCCTCGAGGGAGCCACGCTCTCCCCCAACGACTCCACCAGCGACATCTGCAACTGATATTCCGCACTATCACCACCACCACCATCACCCGGGGAACCCGAATCTGACTCCCTCACAACGGGAAACAAAGACCCATCGACCTGGACCCCTCGCTCACGCAGGAAACCCTCCACATCGCGACAATCGAACCACCGACCATCAAGCCCGCAGGCCTCAAGCCGCCTCTGTGAACCGTCCACGCCCACGCTCAAGATCCGCCGCGGGAGGCGCATCTTGGGCGGGTAAATGGGGTTTCCGGCGGTGTCGCGCGCGGGGTAGTGCGTGCCGGCGCCGCCGATGCAATAGAACGGTAGGGTGGGAACTTCGAGTGGGTTGTCGGTGTCGGCGCAGACGAGTCGTCGGAAGTAGGGGTACATTTTGGAGCGGTTGCGGAGGCACGGGACGAGGCGGAAGACGCGGTAGATTTCCACAGGGGGGGAGTGGGCGTTGGTGAAGAGGCGGAAGGCGTGTTCGAGGCTGTAGCGCTGGAGTTGGCGGGAGAGGGAGCACTCGCGGAAGGCGTGCGTATATTTTCTTGTGCTGGGGGAGGGGGTGATTGTGGGGGATGGTTGCTGTCGGAGAGGTGTAGTGGGTGTTTCTACTGTGGTGGTGGTGGAGGAGGAGCTGTCGTTGTGGTAGCCAAAGGGGGTGTTGGGAGGATTGGGGTCGTATGACCGAGTGACTTCGAATTTGTCTGTTGGCGATTGGGATGTCGTCCTCGTTTGGTCGCGATCGCAATCAACCATATCAAAAATGTTATCGAAGCCGGTAACTAGTGGATGGCTGTCCTGCAGCTCGGACACCAGCGCGGCTCGGTAGTCTGACAGCGACTCGGAGATACTCTGTAGTTTCGTTTCCAAGAGTGCGACTCGCTGTTGCGTTTCTTGTAAGCTGGCTGCTTTTTTCAAACGATATGTCTTTTGCGCGCGTCGAATTTGACTCCGTCGTTCCTGGGTCCGTTAGATCCTGCCTCCATTGCGACACAGACGAGACCTACTTCCGACAGGACGGTGGCGCTAGCAGCGCCGGAACGCGGACGACCACTGCTTCGGGGCAGACGGCCCTGGGAGAATGGTATCATTGGCATCGTTGACAGTGTCGTTGTGCAGACCGTCGCGGTTGAAGGGTCAGTGTCTGAGTTCTGGACCGAGGAATGAATATGATCGGCTAGTGGCGTCAGATCTGGATGCGCCGGGGCTGGCGCATTTTGATCGACTGGGGCGAATTCTCGCGCAGCGAGAAGCTGCCGGAGGTGTGGAGTGGGGTCCACCATGCCTCGAGGTTGAATTCTGTTGATCAACGTTGGGCGAAATGGGGATATGATGGGGTGAAGATTGGCAAGTCCGAGGCGAGGCGAGATGATTCTATCCGATAATGTAATCCCTCGGCTGTGGAGATGACCCACTTATCAGATCACGATAACAACCTTATTGTCAGTCATTATGATACACACAATGTATATGTTTGTGTGATTGCTGTTTCATGTATTTAGAATGTATATGTTTTGAGATGCGTGATAGGCTCCTACTGATGGGTGGTCTGTCTAGAAGTATGAACAAGCGACAATATAAAGAACCAGACAGTATATTCATTGATCCTGTCTACAAAGATTATAGTGAATATATCTAATGAACAGACTCTAGATCCCATACAGTGAATATAGCAGTACATCCCAAGACTTGAATTTGCAACTTTTCTGACTCTGTCACACCTACTAACTCTTTATCTGAACATTCTCACCAAGCCCAGTCAACATATAAAGTTCAAGGCCCTTACCATTCGCTATTTTAGATATGGTGTATATGTCCTTGTGGCATGACTTCCATCCAATGATTTCAACCACAAGTCAAGCCTTTTTAAAAAGAGCCAGACATGATTTGACAAACAAGATTACGCTCATAATTCCCTTTATGATTCTCGTCTGAAAGGGAAGGATAACTGCTGGAATCTAAAAATAACTACACCATTTTTCAAATTCTCTGGCCAAATACCGAGCGATGATAGATAAGGCGTTGAATTACCGCTGCAAGACAAAATCAAAGCAGCTCTCCTATCCATAAGTCTCCCTGGTCTTGCCAGATTTCACTTGGTGCTATGGTCTTTCAAGATGTGCTGGATCCCCCTCACTAGTAAGGAATCACTATCTAAACTGGTCGTAGGTCATGCTCCAGCATCTCATCAACCGTATAGACTGACACAAGAGCATGTATACAGCTGGCCAGAACGCCTGTCAGTCCTCACAGAGAGTGCAAGCACTGCAAGGAGAGTCCACCACCATTGCCTCCCAGAGCCCCCTTGAAGCTGGTAGTCCGCCTCCATAACACCTAGGTTTCACCAACCCACGAGCTCATTAGGGCTATCCCAAAGGGTATTATTATTCCATCCGTCTCTTCCAAGTATACCAGCATTATCTATACGGCGTATTCCAAGGCCAAGCCCACCGCCAACGCCGCAGCAGCCGAGACCCCCGTGACCTCCGAGGAGGACTCTGAATCGTCCTCCTCGGGGGAGTCTTCGTCCAACACCGAGCCCTTTGTCCCCACTGCATGCCTCAGGTGCGTGTGTTGCTGGCAGGGGGGTAGCGGGTGTCGAGTGCGAGACTCTCCCAAGGAGGTTGAATTGTCGCTGGTGTGAGCAGGGGCGCCATAGTTGTGTCAGAGCAGGTATGAGTTCCCTCTGTGGGGATTACAGTGCTTTATACGCTGCTCAAAGCAGAAAAAAGAAGAGGAAGAAAGGCCTATCATTCCTATCAAGCCCCGAAGGGCGTCTAAAGAGTGGTATGAGGCCAAAGGCAAATTGGAAGCAGGTGATGGCGCAAAAGGTGCAACGCGCACGTACGGCCAACGCCATCTTCTGGCAACATGGATTGACTAGTAGTGATGGCATCACAATTACAGCCGGTCATTTGTACAAAGGGGATGCGGAGGATCAATGGCTATTAGATGGCCACTTGACTTTGACATAAAGGGTGATGTGCGGCCAGAACAAGTGCCAAAGCATCCGAAAGTTTGAATCCCTGCTAATGGTATCTCATACTTCCCCGTCTGTCAAGATTACTATGTATTTGGTGGGGACGCCGCTGCTCAGACGGAGTGCTGGGTTCTCCGAATGCCGCAATCTACCAGGCGCATTCAGCGGAGCATGCGCCAACTGCAAATGGCCTGGCAGGGCCAGTCAATGCTCCGTACGAGACGAGCTATGGCCCTGTACCGCCATCCCCGACGCCGCCGCCTGCGGTGGCCGTCCCTGAGACGCCCCGCCGTTCTGCCCTCCGGCGTTTTGACACCCAAATACAAGCGCTGCCAGTCTGATATTCGTATATCATCCCTGAGGTGTCTAAAATCATCACTTGACCTTGTGAATTACTATCATATGTCTGGTAAAGTATCAATACATAGTATACAAGCCAAAAAACACTATGATCCTGGTATACTCTTCTATACGCACAGTACAAAAGCAGTAGACCATCACCTCCACATCAAATCCGTATACCTCCCCAACGCAACATCCACCTCCTCAAATGCCTCATACACCGCATCCCACCCTCTATTCAACTGCGCCGCCTCCACATCCCTCTTCCTCCTCTCCTCAATCACATCCCACAATTCATCCTCCCGTCCAGGCAACAGCCCACACTGCAAGAGAATCATCTCCGGCGCCACCGTCTTCCGTCCCTGCTTAAAGACATATCTCGACACAGAAGACGCAAACACCTTTTTCTTCCGCTCTCCCTCATCCTTCTTCCTTTCCAAACCCGCCACCGTCACGTCCTTCTTCCCCCCCTGAAGCACATACTCCCGCGGCTCACCCGGCCCCCTCTCCACAAAATGCGACACCAAATACAACCACTTCTCATCCCACGCCATCACCCGCGTCCACACCTCATACCCCTGATAAGGCTTAATCTCCTTCCGAAAAACGCACTGCACACCGCTGAGAATCATCGCCGCGGTGTGGTTCGCCTCCGACGGCATGAATGACAGACATCGGCTGAAGAGGACGAGGCTGAGGCTGCCGCGCGAGATGTCCAGGTCGGTAAAGTACGTCGAGTTCGACTTGTGCAGGTTGTAGTCGCATTCTGTGGCGGGGGAACGGGTGTGGTGGATTGCGGGGAGGAAGAGGTGGGTTGGGTGGAGGGGGAGCTTGGTGGTGGGGGCGAGGAAGAGTCGGGTTATGAGGGTGCGGAGGAAGCGGATCTATTTGATTTAGTCTTGATAGTCTATTTTGATTCATTTGAGAGGGTCAAGGAGAAGACGCGGGGAAGAAATAAGTTTGAAGAAATGAAGGGTTCCAGGGATACTGACGTGCCACACAAAGGGGAGGTTCTTGTATGCGAGGACGAGCACACATAGAATAATAGGGAGCCAGCTGTCTCCGAGCATCATTTTGGCTTTTGATACAGATACTGCGATCATGTGTAATGAGTCAACGTGTTAAATTGTTCAATAGATCTGTGAATGCTTTATATAGCCTATGGACGGTTTGTTGGGACAGTGGATCTCAACGGGTTAGGGCTGATATTATCATAATCTGCGAAATCTACATCTATGAACTTATACATCCACCATCACGGCTCAGAATGATCTACTATGTATAATGATTTGAATACAAAGGCTATCATCTGTATATATGCGTCGACGGCAATGTTTGACTTGAGTACACGGACTGTTGACATGATCAGGGCTAGTGATGGGTCGTCATATCTTGTGCTACGATATAGTTAGTATGCATTATCAGATAATTTGCATCCTCGGAATGCGCTGATAGTGTACAAGTTGAACCTACTGCTAATTGATGTGATTGAATCTAATGAAAACTCCATCAACAATGTTGACAATATCAGAATGTGACAATCCATCTCCGACATGACGCGGATTACATTATCTCGGCCATCCAGATCCTCAACAACCAAAGTATACTTAAACCACCACCCCACCACTTCAGTCAACGCGATCCACCCAGATTCAAATACAGAAAATCATCGCAATGTCTAATATCATACCATACGCAGTGTCCCTCCTCGCCCTATACCTCTACCTCGTCCGCACCCGTCGCTTCAACCGTCGCGATGCCATCCAGTCGCGCTTCCACGAGAAACATCCCCCCTCAAGCATGACCGTCGGCGAAGCGCACCAGATCGTGCGCGAGCTGCGCGAGCTGGAATTTCCCTACTCTATGCACAATGCGATGAAACTGTCTTTATTGAAGGTACCTCCTCCCTCCACCATTCATTCCACTTCCAACATCCCACATAAAATAATCCGACTAATCTGACAAACAAATAAAGACAGCCTCAATCCCAACAATGACCAAACTCTTCGTCGCAACCGGTCAACTCAACGCAAAAAACGCCCCCAAGCGCGCCGCCGACACCGAAATAGTGCTCAGCGAAGTGCACGACCGCATCCCCGGCTCTGACGCGCACCTGGCAGGCATCGCACGCATGAACTACCTGCACGCGCGGTACCGCAAAGCCGGCAAGATCCTCGACGAAGACATGCTGCACACGCTGGGCAGCGCAGTCGTGGACATCGTGCGCACGGTCGACGGCACGGAGTGGCGGGCGCTGACGCACGTGGAGCGGTGCGCGGTGGGCGTCTTCCATAAGGCGCTCGGCGATGCCATGCAGATTCGCTTTGAGGGGTTCTTGCCGTCTTGTGGGAAGGGGGAGGGGTGGCGCGATGGGGCGCATTTCGTGGATGAGATTTGTGAGTGGACTATGGGATATGAGAAGAGGGTAGCGGTGCCGACTGAGTCGACGAGGACGGTGGGCGGGAGGTTGGTTGGGTTGGCGACTTGTAACGTGCCGGGGTTTATGAGGGGGTTGGTGGAGAGGGTTGTTGCGTCGAAGCTGGATGGGCATGTTAGGGTTGCGTTGGGGTATGTAGTCCTTTCTTTCCCCTTCTTTTCCCTCTCTTTGTTGATCCCGATACTAATAATCTGTAGATTACAAGAACCCGGCCCGATCCTAAGTTCAATCCTACGAAGCGTCCTCGCCCTGCGCCGCCTCCTCCTCCGACATTTAAGTCTCCCCCGACCAGACTCCAAGCGCGTGCGTGTTCTCAGCGAGACCCCCAACCCGACAACCGGGCTATGGAACACACAGATCTGGGTCGCACACCCGTGGTACCTGCAGCCAACGTTCCTAAACCGATGGGGCCTCAAGGCGCTGGTCATACGGCTGTTCGGAACGGGTGCCGTGCCCAGCGCGCAGAATGAATATCGCGAGGCCGGGTACGATGTGTGGACGATTGGGCCGACGGCGCAGGAGGGACGCGGACGGGACGAGATGGAGGCTATGGTGGCTGAGATGAAGGCGATGGATTATGCGGGGGGGTGTCCTTTCCATGCTTAGCTGGTACCAAATCTACATACAACATATATCTTTATGTAAATATCTGGATTACAGCCTCTTCCTCATAAAAGCCTCCCACAAAAACACAACCTCCCCATCCAGACCCCTCTCCTCCGTAACAGGCTCCTCCTTCCACACCACAAACCCCATCCCCTCATACCACTCCTGCACACTAAACGCCGGCGGCGCCACCCCAAATTTCGTCTCCCAGATACCCCTCCACTCGGGCTCATACACATACCGCTTGCTCAGGGCTGTCAGCTCCAGCCACTGCGCGCCCCGCGCGGAGGCTTCTTTTTCGATGAGTTGCATTGCGCGGCGGCCGGTGCCGCTGCGGCGGTGGGTGGGGTGGATGAAAAGGGTTTTTAGGGAGAAGATTTTGGGGGTGGAGGTTGGTTCTAGGGAGATGTGGCCGCTGCGGATTGTTGGTGGTGTTTGTGTGCTTGTGTCTGCGTCTGTGGGTGTGGGTGTATTGGAGGATGAGGGTCTAGATGGGGTAGATGAGGAGGTAGATGACGTGACTATCCAGAACAGCACTTTCAACCCATCTGTCTGCCGTTGCTTCCAAGTAGTCAAGGTAGCGGGGTCATAGTCCCAGCCGCAGAGACGACGTTGGTGAGCGAGTTCCGTGAATTGGAATGGGTCGTTGAGGTCGATGGGTGTGAGGTGAAAGTTGGACATTTTCTCTTCTTCTCTTCTCTTCTCTTCTTATTTGGTGCTCTATGATATCGGTTTAGGAGGATAGTTCGGCGAGATTAGAATTTGAAGTCGAGAGATGTAATGATTATGTTAGTGCTTACCTTACCCAAGCACTAACATAGTCCACAACAACTACCTTACCCAGTCTACAGTATCCCACCAACCCATCAAACCCATCAACCCCCCTTCTCCCCAACCTCCTCTCCCTCCCCCTCAATAACCCCCCGGCGTCTTGCACTCCTTACCCTAAACACAGCCCTAACATCCTCCCCTAGCCCCTCCCCCCCATCCAGTATATCAAACCCCCACAACAACCTCGCAACCCCAATCAACAACGTCGATCTCGCAACATGATGCCCGGGACACAGTCTCCTCCCAAACCCAAACGCCGCAACCTGCCCCTGCAACCCCTCATCCTCCACGAACCTCTCCGGCCGAAACACCCCCGGATCACCCCAGACTTCTTCATCCATATTCATAGCATACTGGTTCGCGATAACAGTCGCCCCGCGCGGAATCCGATACCCCATGTACTCGTCATCCTGGATGACAGCGTGCGGGACTGCGATCGGGGAAATGGGTTTCCAGCGGAGTGCTTCGCACACGAACGCGCGGATGTAGGGAAGCCCGTCAGCGTCGAGGTCCGTAAAATCCGGCATGCGTTCTTCGCCAACCACGGCGTCTAGCTCCGCTTGTGCCTGCCTCACGGTGTCTGGGTACCGCAGTGCAGCCAACACCACAATCTCAAGCACCATCCGCGTGGTATGCACACCAGCCACGTACAGCTCGCCAATAGAGTAGCTCAGCGCGTCGTCGTCCCTCAGCAAGGTAGTCTCAGCACCCGCTGCCTTACGCTGCGTGCTCGTAATCTCCCGCGCCCAGTTCCAGCAATCAGTAGCCTCCAGCGCGCTGCGACAGCACTCGCTGTATACACGCTTCGTCTTCTCGTGTATAATAGCTGCTTGGGCGCGCCAGCGCATGATGAGTCCTTGGGGAAGGACATCTAAGAAAGGGAAGAGCTCTAGTAATACCCCCATCGTTGACGCACCCTGTAGCACGAAAGTCGCCATCTCATTGATCTGCTCGATGCGGCGATGGTCTGCGTCGTCTTTGCCCTTCCCTCTTCCCTTACCAAACGCAAGCGTGAACATCAGGTCTGCAGTGTAGTTATGGAATGCAGAACCAAAGTCACTACTACTCAGCAAACCACGCATCAAAACCCTACTCTGACTATCCTGCAGCCCGCGATACATATCCACAGCGCGAACATTGAGCACACTCGCGTGCAGCCGCCGATTAAGCCGCCACTCAGGACCATACGGCATGAACGCCGCCGCGAGACCCTTGTGCAGGTATCTGTCCAGGAGGACGGACGGGGCGCGCGAGCTGTAGATGTTGCCGCGCTTTTCGAGCAGGTCTTGCACGGCGCGGCGCGTGCCGAGGATGACGTAGGTTTTTGTGCCTATGTTGGCGCTGACGATGGGCCCGTATTGGCGTGTCCATTTTGTGAAGGCTGCGTAGTTGGTGGGACCGGCGAGGTGGGCTGTTAGGATGTTTGGGCCGGGGGGGAGGGGGGGAGAGTGGCGGCGGTTGCGGCGGGAGCGGAGGGTGAACCAGGCGCATGCTAAGGCGAGGAGGATGATGGAGGAGAGGGTGAGCATGGTGTTTCAACTTTGTCGTTGACTGGGGATATTTATCTAGTAGGCTGGGATGTTAGATCTGCTCGTGGCTGTTTCTTGACTGGTATGGATGGTAGACTTGCGTTCATCTGCTGCCGCAGAACTCAAGCCTCAATATCAAGCACGGAAATTGCTCCAGTGACACTTCTTGTGAAACGCACGCAAGGACAGAAAAGGCAAACAAGGGGTGGATGTCTGGCTACATAGTACTGCAGTCGTGTGGGTCCGAGTCGAGCCAATAATGGAGTGGATGATCAATGCTGCTATGATTGTTGCATGAAACAAGGTGGCGTGATGTCTGGACTAGTGAGTTGGGTTTGAGGGTCTATCGTGGGTGTCTAGTAAAACTTGCTGGTAGAGAAGTAGACCGAAGCGGTAGATTGACTGACTGACTGTATAGACAGAAGGGAACAACCAAATGAAGGACACTGATCTCAAGCAGGGTAGATACCCTCACACCAGACGCTTCCCCCAGATCGCAAACCCGAAAAACCCACAGAAATAAAACCCAACTCTCCAGCCATGCTAGTCAACAATGGTTGAAGAAAAAAAAGAAAGAAAAGACGATCCAATCTGACCGAGCGATATCTAATCCGAAACCCACTTTGAGATCTAATCTTATCAGATAATCAGTAATCCACAATATCTGAGCTCTTACTGGATTGTGGCAAGTTGCAGTGTCTGCGAGATTACTATTGACTTCTTTTGACTGGCTTGTTGTTTGATTTTTTAAGCACTGGGTAGTATGAAAATTTTCAAGTAATGGAAAAGCCAACGCATGAACAATATTATTACAATAGATAATAAGTGCTGCGCAATTTGATAAGCACGAGAACCTCCTCAGTCTTGGAATACTAGACAGAATATCACGTTGCCTCCAGACCGCATCCTGAACATAAGTACAAGAATGATGACAATAAAAATAATATGAAAATCTGCCCAACATGGCATTACTAAGGGCGAACGAAAGAAAACGCAATTTCCACATGTGTCTGGAAACCAATCGTTATATTCAATGCCATCCCAACCTTCGCTTGTTCTATCACTGTCCCAATTTTCAGCTCAGGGAAATAGAATAAAATGAAGTAGAAGTTAGAAAGAGAACAAAAAAAGAAGAAGAAAGTAAAAGAAAAGTGGAGAGAGACTGGGAGAGAGACTGAGGGCATGTGAGAGATTTTGTGAGTATGTGAGAAAGGGAGAGAGAGAGAAACATAAAATCGCTAAGTCGTGTCATGTATCATGCATTCATCATCACCATGCCAGAGTTCATGACCTGATCAGTGGCCGGTGTCTCGACCGGGGCCGTCTGACTGACAGTAAGTGGGTTCTCAGCGAGCGTCTTCACCAGTGATTCCGGCCGACCCTCGACCGTGAACAGCACTTTTAGTATGACACGCTGCCGGTGACCGCCTGGCCCCGCCACCTTCTCATGCCGGGTGTGCGACAGGATCGTGCGTACTAGAGACCGGAGACGTTGGTCCGTCGATGCGTCCTGAATAACATCCAGGCCGTCGATCACGCACACCATCAGCGGGGGCGAGTAGAAAAGCAGCACGTCGACCAGGGAGAGCACCTCCTTCCAGCTCGTGAGCTTGCCGTTCAGTGGCACGAAGCGCTCGCTCTCGAGATCGCACGCGGCGTGACTCTCCAGCACCGGCGGTAGGAAGTCGATCAGCTGTCGGATGAGACTGTAGGTGAGGGCAATTAGGCCCTGTTCGAATAGGGTCATCCCGTCCCGTGGATCGGTGGGTAGAGAGCAGAAGTGGGAGATGACGGGGATCTGGGCCTCCCGGGCGGACACGGCGAAGCACGCGGAGATGCCAGCCACGGGGCTCGACAATTCCATCGACGGGGAGCTACACACGGCAAGCACCTGCGAGTGCACCGTGCTCGCCCAGTGATTCAGCGGCTCCACGAGGCTGGCGTCGGCCGCCACGGGGATGGTGAGTCCCAACCCGGCAACCTGGTCGTCGCTGTCGAAGAAGTCCTGGAGGTGCGCCGAGGCAATCTGCAACCCCACGCGCGTACACTTGTGTTTGGACCCCTTGGACCAGCTGAACCTCGAACTATCTTGGGAGGGCGAAGCTGTTAGTCCGGACTGCTCTGGCGGCAGGAGACCAGCCGGCATACCTATGTCCTGTGTGGCGGCTGTGGTCAAACACGCGATTCCGCCGTTCGACGGGCCCTCTAGTCTCAGGAGCCCGCTTGCTGAGTCCCTCATCAATTTGAGGAGGACCTTCGTGCCCGCGGTCATTGTCAAATTATCCGCCAGGTGCTGTTGGATCTCCCATATCTGCTGGCTCACGATGGCCAACTCCGCAGCGAATTTGCGCTCCGGTTTTTGCAGGCCGATCTGGCTCAGCCGGGTTTCTTCCCAGAAAGCCAGGTCGAAATCGGCGCGGCGTTGGGCCTCGGAGCCATAGTCGTCGATGTCCATGGCGTCTCGAACGATCAATCGGACGGAACTCTGGATATAGGTGACGAGGGTTTTGAAATATAGGTAGACGTCCTGGTTGGGGCTTTTCAACAGTCGGCATTTGGACATGCCCACATACCACCGCATCATTTCGCTGAGGGTGAAGAAGGTCAACGAATAGAAATAGACGATCGACCATGTGACATCCTGGTTCCGCAAAGCCTCTTTGGCGGATTTGTTAATCTTGACGAGGATTTTGGTCATGCCTTCCATGACCCTGGGGTAGTCCGCCGACGCCTAGAACGAGTCAGATTTGTGGCTTTCAAAGGAAGGGTTCAGGGTTCAGGTCTGATCGCTTTTGCCTACCTTGATGATGGACTGGAAGACGCCGTATAAGAGAGACAAGTACAACTCGTGTTTGGGCAAACGCACCAATAGGGGGGAGTGATAGTCAAGGGTCGAAATGAGGCGCTTCAGACGCGACATGGATCGACTGAAGAGACTCTCTCGTTCACTGGCTATCCAGGTCGCCTGGATGGAGCCCACGAGATTGGCCACGTCGCTAGAGTTTTGAAGGCGTTCATGGCGTTCGACCTGGTCCGCGGGCTGAAGGTGTCTCTGGAACACCGTCCAGTACTGCGACAGCTCATTATATTCGACATCGAGGGTAGCAATGACCGGGTGTCTGTACACTTGTTAGCATGCTTAGCTATACGAGACCGACACTGGTTGGACGATTTGGGTCTGCAGAAACACAGCAGCGGAGGCAGGGTCGATCATCCGCAGATACGGAGATCGACAGCGAGAGTCACACACAGACGGGGCGGGGTCCAGCAACAAAGAAAGAGGCAAGCCGGATAAAACAGTGAAGAAAGACGGACATGGGGGGGGTCATCTCGGTTATTTCATACAAAGAAAGGAGCAGACTAGGTAGAATCCACATCCACAAGAAGAGAAAAATCGACAAAAACGCCCCAAAAAAAAATTCTATGGGGCAAAAGGATGACTTAGATAGAACAGATCAATACATACGACGAAAGAAACCTCTTTTCGAGTCGCTTCTTGATGGCAAAGGGATCGTCCTCAGCCGGCGAAGAGGCCGCTGGGACGGAGGTGGGTTGGGGGGACATTTAGCAGCCAGAGCGGCAACGGACTGCCGGTGAAGGGCCCGCACGACCAGCACGAAACTCGTTGACGGGATCGATACTCATACCAGGGGCCCAGGATGGGATTGAAGGAAGACGGTCAATTTTACCAGGAGGGACGGAGGGCGGAATCAGAGGCAGAGATCGGACGGAAAGGAAGGAAGAGGGTCCCGAGAGGGTCCGTTAGGATCATACAGCGGAGAGGGAACTATTCAGATGGATGTCTAGAGATGGGATGGGATCGTCATGGTTTGAGTTGCAACGGGAGATCCCGTGCGGAGACAGGACAGTCGAACCACACCTGTTTGGGAGAGGAAAGGAAGTGAGATGGAAGTGGAATGAGTGAAATGGAAGGGAAATGAGAAGGGGAAAGAAACATCACCAAGAGGAAGTTGATGGGGAGGGGCAAAACTTTAGGAGTGAGAAGAGAAGAGAAGAGAAGACAGAGAGAGAGAGAACAGGACAGAGAAGAGGGAAAAAAAAAAAAAAAAAAAAGATAGATAATAATAATAAAAATTAAAAGAGAAAATGAAATTAAAAAAAATACAGCCAAAGTACCCCCAAGGTACGATCATTTACTTAAGGTAATGTACTATTGTTATATTGTGTTATGGATGGTTTAGTAGAACATGTTATCCTTTCCAGTATTCAAACCAGATTGAACATGATCTGTCCTATGAGAACTGAGAACTGTCTGTTGTTCTATCTGTCTATCCTGAATGGACTGGATTGCTGGGCGGAGGGAGCATATTTCCCAGGGAAAAATCTCACCCTTCCAGATAGTAGAATTCGCAAGAAAAAACTAAAAAATCGATAATAATAGTAATCAATAAATATACCAGTAAATTATAACTAACCGTGGCTCATGACCAGGATGATTCACAGAAAGTGACAGGTGAGTTGCTGCTCTCTTATCCATCGTGAATAAGAGAATAATGTCCAGTTCGATGGGAGCCTCGGCCTGGTCTGGCCGGACTGGAGACGGACAACTGACTTTCCTCGCTGTCTTCATAGTACCCAATCATTGCTCCTCTTTCCAGCCCGCCATGGCCGGTGGACGTTCGAGGCCTCGAATGGCAACGGAGATTTGCAGCTGGATAACTCTTCCACCTTGGCTGGGCCTATCGATGCCCCTCTTTCTCTCTTCCCTCTTTCCCTCTTAGGTTCCCTCTTAGGTTCCCTCTTAGGTTCCCTCTTAGGTTCCCTCTTAGGTTCCCTCTTAGGTTCCCTGCTTTTATTTTTATTTTATTTTTATTTTTATTTTTTTTTTCCCTTCTTTTTCCCTCCACCTTCAATTATTCATTCTTTTCATTTTTTACTTATGATTCATGTCCTGTTGTAAACTAGAGTATGGAGTAAATGTTCCTCTCTACAACTTGATACCTCACAGATCTTACAATCTTCACCAGCCTATACTCTGGCAAATGTTGATGCTGAATGCTGGATTTGATGCTGACGATCCGATGGTCGGAGCTCTCCTATATCGGGCAATCATAATAGTCCTGGGCTAGTATACCTCAGGCTTCATGGTTTCATCGTCGCTTCCAAAGGCCCGAAATCATAAAGTCTTCTAGGATTCCCCCCTCCCGTATCTCCATCATGACGGTCTGACAACAGACTTTCCACCTCTCTGCTCCCTTCCCGCATGTCTGCCATCTGACAGTGTCATCTGTCCGTCGCTTGTTGTGGACATTGTAAATCCATTAAGATGCAAAGAGGAAAGAGGAGATGGACAGTCCTCGCACGGATGTCCCGCTGTCCGTGTTCGTTTGAGCCTTGCTAGTCCCTCGTAACTACTGCAGTCCATTCATTTCCATCCTCCCTCCTTCCGAAAGTACTTGGGTACCTTACATCCCGTCTTTTGTCTATATTCACTTGTGCTCTGTTTAATTAATTGAAGATGGTTATAATATTGATGGGTCTTCTATTTCAAAAAAATTTTTAGCGTGCTAAAATAGTCTCCTTCCCTCTCCTTCCCTCTTCACCTCTACTAGCCCAAAGAGGGACACTAAAACGGAGGCCAAAGTACATTGACAGGTGTACTATCCGTAGTTTAGACAGGGGTTTGGCTAGTATCACGAAGTACTAGCAGGAAGGAGGATGGGTGGAAAGTCCTCGCACCTTTAAACCCTGCACCAGCCACCCAACCAGAATGATCATGTCGCTTCATCCTGACCACTTTCTCTCTCACAGCGGCAAGATGGTGACCATCACCGTCCGACGACACAACGGCCACTTTGGACACGGCATCATCATCTAGCACAACCACATCAATCAAAGTCAACTTCAATCCCGCCACAGACCAACAGTGTTGTGTCGAAGGAAGTCACCATGAACGGTCTCGACTCTCGCCCATGGGCGAGCGAATCATCTACCCTGGGGGACCATCCAGCCTGTCAGGTGACGGCGTCGTGATGCTCCGGTTTAAATCAACCCCTGCTTCATTCAGGCTTTACTGCCATCGGACTACGGGATAAAGGCGGTCGACCATGCTGCATCCACCCTCTCCGTCCATCGATATATAATTCTCTGTCATATACCTACATTCCTGCCCATTCGCCCCGTTCTGTCAGGCTCCTCCTCGCATGGTAGTCATGGTCCTCTTCCCGAAGGCTGGACCTGAATCGTTTGGGCTGAGATCTGACAGACAGAAATCCGCACCGACAAGCTTACACAGTAGGCATCCATATCAGCGGGAATAAGAAAACATACGATCAGATGGCGCACCTGCTTTGTCCCCACCCCTGTCTCTCCCCCCCCCCCCCCATCGATCCCCCCATACATTCTCCCCCCTTCCACTGCGCACCTAAGGGACACCCAACCTCGGATCCACGGCACACGCGTTGCACAGGGTTCTTAGCGACGCTGCACGGCAGATTGGACCCTTCCAGCTATCTGTACCGGACTGGGGTGTTCCCCCAAAGGGTAGTCGTGGAGTCGAGTTGATGATCTAGTTGGACCCAGTGACAGGTTGCCGTGGGACGCAGACCTGCGTATCGTTTTGCTTAATGTTTTTCTGTTTTACTAATCTCTCTTCTTCTCCCCCTTCCCTTCCCTTCTGGTGGTCTGACAGGTGTCTGGGTGGCTTGAGATGCAGTCAAGGTGCCGCCCTGTGCCATGGTGCATACATATACCCAAAGAGTCCCACTCCATTCTAACATCGGTAGCCGAGACCTAGGCAGGCTCCGAGTGGTCTGTCGTCGGAGATAAGGTTCGGTTCAGGTGCGGCAGCCGGGTATCGACATCCCGCTGATGGATCTGGTTGTGTCACTCTACTGATGGTCAGCGTCAGTCTCATGCCACGACCACGTTGCCCTCCTCCTTCATCCACTCTCCTTACCTTCTCCTCGAGGACTACGGAGATTTTCCCCTTCTCAATTCATACCAGAAGCGGAAAAGGGGGGGATGTTTCGAGGCTCACCATTCATTACACAATTCAAACCAATTTGTTTTATCCATCTCCGCCCGCATTGCATACTCACATTGCCCCTGCATATCATGTACAGCCCTATCCTGCACCAGACACATCACAAACGACCTATCTCCCACGTCAGCGACCATCGCTAACCCGACCGAAACTTGGCGGGGGAGTCGTCCGGCCAGCCAGTCAGCCAGTCAGCCACCAATCCCATCGGGGTCCCCGTGGATGGAGAGCAGCAGGTTGTCAATCTGTCTCTGGTGCAGTGGGCCTGCACGCATCGCATCTGTGTGGGGGATAAACCCAGATGTGATCATGATGGCTGCGACAGCGGCACAGCCAACGGTCTAGACCGTCTAATGTATTTGCTTTTTTATCTTTATTTTTTTTCTCTCTTTTTAGATTTATTGAATCTGGATTCAAAGGGCGGTGGGATGCGATGGGGCTGCCTACAGATACGGTCTGCGGGCGTTGTTTCATTTCCCCTCTTGAGTTGCGATGGAAAGTGTGGAATGAGGCTGGCTAGGTCTGGGCCTGGTCAGCATCTTCTCGCTTTCTTTCCGACTTGGAGGGGTCGTTCGGTTGGATTGTTCTGGAGTTAGCCGGCCGGCGACTATGTAGACAATAGCAGTTCGACTGCACGGATGTAGCTAATTTTGAGCGAAGGTGAGAGGTGAAGGAAGGCTGATGGAGGGACATAATTGTAGTATTTCGGTTGTAGTTAGCCCAGTTGTCCTAGGTGGTAAGTAGGTAGGGACTTGGCAAGCACGCCGCCTTAGGAATTTACAAAATGGTTAGCTTTGCAATGCTCGTCATTTCTCATTGAGTACCTAGTCGACATGAACGAGCTCAAGCTAGCAGGTAGCTAGTAGACCTTTGTAGCTACCGACCTACCGACCTACCTAAGTAGGGAAAGACCCAGCCATTGTGACTGATTATACTGTCAGTGTGATAACGACGTGTGATTGTGACTATCTTCTGACATACTGCCGACCTCCTCCTCCTCCTCCTCCTCCCTACCTATTACCTACTAGTCATCTACAAGGCTAGTACCTGAGCTGTGCCGAGCCGACATAACCAAGCCATCAAGCACTTCAATCAATAATCAATCAATCGAATAAGCCAACCAGAATGACCAATTAATCAAATCAAACCAAAGAGGAAAATCAAAAGCAAAAAAAAGCAACAATGCACCCCTCTTGACGTAATGACCGATTTACATTCCCCGTCATTTCTCCGCACGGTGCTAGTTTGGTATATACATAGTACATAGGTGTCCGTCTGATCTGCCCTCACGAAGCTACTAGCTAACTGGCTTTAGACGGTCTTGGTTCGGTCGGGTATCTAACCAAATACCTACAAACCTACCCATCAAATGGGGTCGGGATTTCTTGGGTCGACTAATGTGGAAGGTTGGTCGATGATGGAGGGATGGATTGATTGATGGGTGGGTGGATGGATGATGGATGGGCTGGGGTCTGATCCTGGTTCTCTGGACTTGGCTATTTATCGCTTACCTATTTACCTATCTATCTACTACCTAGTGTGTATGGGTTAGAGGTAAGTAGGTAATAGGTATTAAACTATCTAATGAGATGGGAATTCGGATGGTGGTATACCTTTGTTTTACTTGGAGTGTCTAGTTCTGTAGTTTGCTGTGGAAGGGTGTATATCTTCTACATGTATCATATTTCCCTCCTACAAGCAGGTAGGTAGAAATATATTATACGATCTGAGATCAGAATCTATATTCCGGTCAGTTACACTATATATCCTACAATCACGATCATATCATGACGAGCAACATCAAATCTACCCATAATGCCCCAGCATACATCCTCCAACGCAATGACGGCACCAGGAGCAGGAGTTATTTCCCACCTCCCAGTTAATTATCTGACCATGCCAGTTTCAGAAGGTATGCCAGCTCAGGGAATATCTTCCTCATTGGGCGACCGGGAGGTGTCCGTGTCGGGGGGGGGGCTCGATGATCGTCGTGCTGATCGTCGGTGGTGGTGGGTTTTGTTTTGCTGTGAGTGGTCATGGTGCTCATGCGAGATGTGACTGTCAATATGGGGAGTCTTGTCTGTCTGCCTGTTCCTCCTCGTGGTGGGTTGGTGTTTTTGGTCTTGTCTTGTGTTTTGCTCTGTATGGGATGACTTGACGTTCCTAGTAGAGCAACGAGTGTAAATACCTAGTAAAGACAAAAGAGAGAGAAGTGTCACGTGCATAACACGATCGAGGCTCAAATTCCTCGGTCCAACGCGTCTGCGATCGAGGATGATTACCTCCCCACAGAAGTGAGCTGAGCTAGCTGAGCTGAACTGATTCAGCTACATGGGCTGAGCCAACTTCATGAGCACAGAGCACCGTGTGGCTCCTTGAGCCAGTACAGATGAACTCCAGTAGTTCGATGCGCTGCTCTGTCGTATGATGCAATGACGCTGCAAGTTCAGCAGATCCATGATTTCCTGTCTCTGATCGGTCGAGTCTACTCTCTGGTGGCTGAACCATGATTGGTAAGTTCCAGGGGTTGATCATCGCCGGATTGAGTTGATGGAGGAAAGACCTTCCTGTGTCGTACACAGCCGAGGATGCCATGCCAGGATAAGGATCCCGATCCATTCTTGCTGGTTTTGCCCCGCACATTGTTTCGTCGGGGTTGTTACATTTCTGACCGAGTGAAATGTGAAGGTTGGCTCTGATTGATTGGGGATTGATTGGGGGAAAATCGATTTATTTGAGGGAGGCGTGATGTTTCAAGGTAAGAAGGAGTGTCGAACACCTATCAGACCTTATCTTTATCCCTGCTCATCCTTCTTTCATCCGGTCAATTTCAACTTTCAAAAGTTTCCATTCAACTCCAATTTTAGTTTTGGGTTTCCCATGCCATGGAACCCGATCACTTGCAGCAGTGGTTCTTGATCGTCTGATTGATGCTGGTCTTTGTTCCTGTTCGTGTTCTGGGAACCATGTTATTCATGATCCAGACTGTCAGTTAGTGAATACAGTATCAGCATCATCCCCGCTTTCGCTCCGTGGAAATCTCCTCTCGTTCCACCCCCCTCTTCTCCCCTCATCTGACAACTGGGATGATTGCTTCCCGGCTTGATCCAGATACAACCTGATCTCCCGGGTTAGCCGATTAGCTGGGGCTCATTTTGAGCAATATCTCTTGCAACATCTGGACGGAAAAACCGAGCAAGACATCCATTTAGATAAAGGATCCATCACTCCACCTGTCAGCAATTCCAGCGGTTATCAACTTCGCTCTCTCTCCAGTCTCCACTGCATCCACGCATCCACTGCTGCAGACTAGTGACCTGGTTCCTCCTCGAGACGCTTGGCTTGGCTGGCCTGAATATTATTCTTGGTTTATTGGACCCAATTATCTCTTCTCGCTCTCTCCACCTCGCCCTCTCCATCGGACAAGTCCCGGTCCTGTAACCTGTTCCTTCCTCTCTGTCTCTCTCGCTCTCTTCACCGCAGCCGCTGAGTGATCGGCCGGTGGCTTGGGGGTCGTGCCCGTCTCACTTTTCCTTCCACCTGTTTTTTCCCCATCTTTTTTCTTGTTTTTGTTTTCTTCCTTTGCTTTCCTTTTTCGGCTTTCCTTTTTCATGTTTCGTCATTTCCTGCTTTTCCTTTCCATACAGGGAAAAAAAGGAAAACAGAAAAAATTGTCTACCCTCGGTGTGGTTGTCCAAGAGCGGTGACTAATGATCGACTTTGCACGCCCCGTACCTCGACTACTCCGCTGTATCCGGACTCGTCATCGTGGGGAAATCCATCCCATCCACACTTGGCTCGCTCAATGGGGCTCTGGCAGGAACCCTCTTCTTTCCCTCCCCTCTCTCTCCTCCATCTCTTCCTCCTCACTTGCCTTCTTCCCGCCTCCTTCGCTCAAACTGTAGGCTCCTCGGGCTGGACCGTGGTGCCCTCCAACAAATCGGCGGATCTGTCGTGGACCGGTAGAGTGAGATACCAACTCGACAGCGCCCAGGTTCGCATCCCTCCGGGCACCAGCCTTGCTCCTTTGACCAATTCGCTGGCCCACTCGGACAACCGTACCCTCGAGGTGAGTCGTGATTTACCCGGTGCTTAATACACGCGGGACCCCGTGGAGGGGCTGACGGTCCTCTAGTCGTTTCACATCTCGGGCCCTCTAGTGCCAGTGGACGCCTCGACGTCCCGCTCGTTGCGCAGGAACTCAATCGCCTTTATTACCTGCGACGAGTCCGCCTACAAGGGGAATCTCGGCGCTAGTGAAACGGTCGCCAACGCAATCACCTCCCTGCATCGGTTGACGGCGGTTATCCTGTACAGCACCGACGCCCACCACTGCAACTACACGGTCGACCACGGAGCGGACCACGAGTACGCCAACGTCTTCACCCTCGTCAACCCGCTCGCGGCGGAGATCATCCGACGGCAATTGCGTTCGCCCGCCGACGGGATCACGAGCATCACCGGCGACATGTCGTACGCCATGACGGGGTCCAGCACCCAATCCGATGATTCGGGTCCAAGCGGGGGGGACAGTCCCAACACCGGTAAGCGTCATCTTCACTCCACACCCCCCCCCCCTCTCCCTTCCACGTAGCTGACGTTTGAGACCCGGGTTCAGCGATGATCATCCTGTACAGTATCACCGGCATCATCACAGCGCTGTTCCTGGCGATCATCATCACGGGGGCTGTCCGCGCTCACCGGCACCCCGAACGCTACGGGCCCCGATATACCGCCGGGCGCCCGCGGCAAAGTCGAGCGCGCGGAATAGCGCGCGCCATGGTGGAGACGATACCGATCGTGAAGTTCGGCGACGCCTACGATCCCAAGGTGGAGGCCGTCAAGGGCGACGTGGAGATGGCGCCGGAGGGCGGGACGCATACTCCCACGGGTGAAAGCGAGATGGCGACGGGCGGCGCTGGCGCCCCTACTCCGCCACCACCACCGCCGCAGCAACCCAACAAGACGTCCGGAGCCACAAGCACGGGGCCAACAGAAGGGCCAACGGAAGAACTAACTGAGAAGACTACACCCAATGCCGACGACAATACGTCGCCACCGCCGCAGCAGACGGCCGCCGCGACCACGGAGCAGAACAACTTCTCCTGTCCCATCTGCACGGATGATTTTGTCAAGGGCCAGGATCTGCGTGTCCTGCCGTGCAACCACCAGTTCCACCCTGACTGCGTCGACCCATGGCTGCTCAATGTGTCTGGGACATGTCCTCTTTGGTAGGTCGCCCTGAACCTTTCTGATCCACCCCGCAGTGAATACTGACGAGCCGGCAGCCGGATCGATCTGAACCCCAACCGCGCCGAGGACGCGACCGAGCCGGCCGCGACCGAGGGGGCCGCGACCGAGGGGGCTGCGGCCGAGGGCACCGATCCCCCGCAGGAGGGCTCCGCAGCGGGCGGCGGGGCGGAGGCGGCGCACTTGCGCTCGCACCGGCGACTGACAAGTTACCTCCACGGGACGCTCAACGCACGAAGGATGCGAGACGCGACGGTGGAGGAGCGACTAGCGGCGCTGCGCAGCGTGCGAGAGAACAACCGGCAGACGCAGACGCCAGACGCGACCTCCGACGAACCAGACGAGCGCAGTCGGCGCCGGAGCGGACTGACGACGCGGTTGCGCGATCGATTCCGCATCCGCACGCAAGCGCATGGGGATGGGGAAGTATAAGGGGGATGGATGATTTTACGAGTACAAAGCATTTTTCCACCTACGAAGGGGGGATGAACATACGGCATATGTACATGATGGGTGTTTTCTTTTTTTTTCCTATCTTCTTGCACATGATATCGGTATGAATGTTGGACTGACGACCGATGACGAATTATATTTACCAGCGGACCGGGCGTTTGGCGCATGATCAAGAGGGATAAGATGTGGGACTTGCTACTTTTTTTTCAGCCTTATAAACTCATCAATAAAAGATATCAATCAACAAATGGATACAAGTAAACATAGAATTAGATAAAGTAAAATAAGATAATTGTAAATAAATAAAACAGTACGGAGACCTCCGCATGAGGTTATGAACCAGAGCAAAAGGTGGGAGGATCGGACCCGAAATCCGGCGAGCGTCGCATGGATTGCCCGAAGTGGACACCTGTTGCCCCACGGGGAATCCTCCTATGCCTATGACCGTTGAATGTGGGCGTCGGAGGCGGTCCCTTTGTCCTATCCGTCGTCGTGTCGCGCGTGTTAGTTCTTAGTTCGTGCTATCCGTTGTCCGATCGAGTGTGCTAATACTGTACCTGCCGAGTCGATCGGAGGGATTCTAGAACGTGGATTATAAATGCCTTACTTTAGTTGGATTTGATGTTAAACGTGTGCCTGATTTTGGTCGATCGAATTTGTGCCTCGGTCGCGATAACGGTTACGGCATTGTAGATAGATCGATAGATAGATAGATTAAATTTCTTGCATCGGTAGATACCTAAAAGAAAGTACCTAAATACATACCTAGGTAGTAGGTGGTAGTCAAGTAGCAAGGGAGGAGGAAGATTAATTAGAATGCACGGAAGGACAAGCCTGATGGGGTAATGGGATGAAGAAAATGGCGCAACACGAGACAGGGAGGTATTTTCAGGGGGGTTTTTATTATTTATTATTATTTTTTTTGTGAGTATGTTATGTGTCATTTTTACCTTGGCTCTTGTTTGTATTATTCATGATGGTGCGGATTATATTATGACATGATAATGTGTGGTCGGTTTATCCGGTTATTATTATCAATTATTATAGGTATGGGCTGATATCATGTATCCTGTTTGTATACCTTCCAGTCAGGATATTCTTTCTAGATATTTACTTGTACTCTCAATAATGCGTATATCATATAGATGTGTATAAAATAGTTGTCTATTCGAAGAAAAGATACTAACTCCGTCCGGGTCAATAGAGGACATGTGAATAGTATGTCGTCATAATCCAGAGCGCAGAACATCCTCGGCTCAACGGTCGGCCTTTTCAGTATTTATATTTATGCTGGATTCATCGCCAGTTTCTGGCTTCTGTTCTCTCAATTTCCTGCTGTATTATTAGACTCCTTATAATATTGTATTCTATCCTTCATTCCTCCCAATTTCAAACAGGTCTCTCCGTCCATTCCTTTCTTCCCCCGGTGAACGCAAACAGCAACCTCCTCTCCAATCCAACTGCAATCATTCAATCGTTCACGGTCGTCACATCCAATCAGGCTAATCTGCGCTGTTTTGCTTCCAACCGTGGATTACGTACCTGATTGATCACTGTCTTGGCTATTACCACCGTTCCTACCGACTTGATTATACTATAATACCCCTCATCGCCACCATGTCTCCTCCCTCCTCCTCCCCATCCGTCTCCTCCGCTCGCGCCCGTCTCGAAAACCTCAAATCGCAAATCATGGGTTCCTCTGCTCCTGCCTCCGTCTTCTCCGCCGCCGTCGTCCCCTCGGCTCCCGAGGATCCTCTCTTCGGTCTCGCGCAGGCTTTCCGCCAAGATCCCTCCGATAAGAAGGTCGATCTCGTCATCGGTGCCTATCGCGATGATCACGCCAAGCCGTGGGTGTTGCCGGTTGTCAAGAAGGTACCCTCATCTTATAGCCCATCATGGTTTGCGATATACTAACTGATTAAGGCCGACAACCTCGTCCGCAATGATCCCGCCCTCAACCACGAATACCTCCCCATCAAGGGTCTCGCCGATTACGACTCCGCCGCCCAGAAGCTCATGATCGGCGCCGACAGCCCTGCCATCCGCGAAAACCGAGTATGCCCTCTTTCACCCCAGATGATCATCGTACATACTAACAGAAATCAAGGTATGCACCTTCCAAACCATCTCCGGCACCGGCGCCGTCCACCTCGGCGCCCTCTTCCTCGCCAAATTCCACCCCCAATCCCCCCGCCCCAAGCTCTACCTCTCCAACCCAACCTGGGCCAACCACCACCAAATCTTCACCAACGTCGGCCTCACCCTCGCCAACTACCCCTACTTCGACCCCAAGACCAAAGGCCTCGACTTCACCGGCATGCTCAGCGCCCTCGACTCCGCCCCCTCCGGCTCCATCATCCTCCTCCACGCCTGCGCCCACAACCCCACAGGCGTAGACCTCACCCAAGACCAGTGGAAGCAAGTCGCAGCCGTCATGCGCTCCCGCCGCCTCTTCCCCTTCTTCGACTGCGCCTACCAGGGCTTCGCCTCCGGCGACCTCGTCCGCGACGCCTGGGCCGTCCGCTACTTCATCGACCAGGGCTTCGAGCTCTGCGTCGCCCAGTCCTTCGCGAAGAACTTCGGCCTCTACGGCCAGCGCACCGGCGCCTTCCACTTCGTCTCCGCCCCCGGCGCAGACGCCCCAGCCGCAACCACCCACGTCGCCTCCCAGCTCGCCATCCTCCAGCGCTCCGAGATCTCCAACCCCCCGGCCTACGGCGCCCGCATCGTCTCCCGCGTCCTGAACGACCCCGCCCTATTCGCCGAGTGGGAGGGCGACCTCCGTACGATGAGCGGCCGCATCGCTGACATGCGCCGCGGTCTGCGTCAGCGTCTAGAAGCCAAGGGTACCCCCGGGTCCTGGACCCACATCACCGATCAGATCGGCATGTTCAGCTTTACGGGGTTGACAGAGCCGCAGGTGAAGCTGTTGCGGGAGAAGTGGCATGTTTATATGGTGAGTCCCCTATATTTATATCTATCATCTCGCCTTGGGAATTAGGGAATGGAAACTAACGAATGGATAGACCAAAAACGGCCGCATCTCCATGGCAGGCCTCAACACGCATAATCTGGATTATTTTGCTGAGGCGGTAGACAGTGTTGTGAGGGAGGCTTAACTTGTTCTTTTTGTTTTTCGGTTTCTGTGGTTGCTTTACTTGATTTGGTTCGTCCAGCGGCATTAGTTTATCAAAATATCCTGTCCAATACCATATGTGTTCTATTGATATCAATACTTGGACGTATATTGGGGGGCGTAGTGACTACTGCCTATACTATGTAGGATTGGGTCTCTGTATCAGTAATGAGGTATTGGTAAATGGCATATATACATTTATACTCGTTCTGCGCTGAGTGTAGACATACGTTTACACTAAGCATATAGACCGATTCTACCCTCAACATCCTTCCTCCTTTCTCTCTTCCTTCCAAGTGCAGTATCCACTCATTCATTACCCATTCACCGATCAAATCTAGATATACCAAGTAATATCCTGAAAGAGAGATAATGATATCAAATAAAAAAAGATAAGGTCAGAAAATCAAATCCCAAACAACCAACCCAGAACACAACCCCACCGTCCCCCAAAACACCGCCTGCGCCGCACTCCGCGACTCCGCCGCCCGCTTCAGCTCGCGGTTGCCCTGCCCGATGTTCGTCTGCGTGTTGGATGCGTCTGCGACCAGCTGGTCGATGTGTTCTTCCTGCGTGGCGAGGTGTGCGACGAGCGTTTGTTGCAGGGAGGATATTTCCAATAGGGATTTTTCGGCTGTTCTTTTAACCCATCTTATTAGCATTCTCTTTGAGTTGAAGACTGGTGTGTAATGTGTAATTGAAGAGGGGGGGCGGGAAAAGAGGCAGGGAACCTACTGGACCTTCCCCAACGTATCCTCATAATACCGCACCATGGAATCATTCTCCTGCTCGAACAGCTGCAGCTGCTGCGGTGTCAGCTGCGCCTCGATGGCCGCTGCTTCGGCGTCGTCGATACTCGTCGCTTTGACGTTCACATCAGCGTCCACGTCCCCAAACGCCTTGCTCCTCTCCTTATCACCCCCTACCCCCACCCCAGCAGAAGTAGAACCAGCAGCAGCTTTATAGAGCACACTCTTCTCCCTCTCTACAACCCTCTCGATCCTCCTCTCCACCATCCCCCGCTGCACACCGACAGCGATTTCTAGCCGCCGGCGCAAAAACCATAATACCGCCTCGCGCACGGTGCTCAGTCCGCGCTCCGCGCCCTCATCCGAGATCTGCGCTGCCGTTTTGCCGGAATCTTCATTGTTGTTGTCGTGGCCGCTGGCCCACCGCGCGAGGAGCGTCCGGGGCCCACCGTAGCGTTTGCGGAGCAGGCGCGTGGCGGTCTCCTGGCGGAGAGATTCGGCGGAGGAGAGGTTTGTTATTGAGGTGGAGAGGTCGCGGAGGAGGAGGGAGGTGGAGGTGTCGATTTCTGTGCGGGCTGTGTCGGTGAGGTTGGGGGAGGGGTCGTGGGGTCGTGGTGGTTTGTTTTTGGTGCTGTTGATGTTGGTGCTGGGCGTGAGGGAGAGGTAGGGGGTGCGGATTTTGTGGAGGTAGGCGAGGAGGGAGGTTATGTGTGTGTTCTTTATTTACTTAGTTAGTTACATTGAGTGGCTAGTTGGTGGTGGTGGTGGTGTTGGTGTTGTTGGGTTGGGTTGGATGGAGGGAGGTGAGCTCACGATGCGGTTGGCTTCTTTGAGGAACTCATCTGGGGTGGGGATTGCTGTTTTTTTGGATATCTCGGCGTGGCCTCCCTTCCGCAGAAGGTCGTTGAATGCTGGGGTGAGGTCTGTCATTGTTCTTGGGTGTGAGCGGAGGGAGGTGTGTTGAATGGTGTTGAGCGGCGGTCTGCTTGTCTAGCTGGCAACAACGTCACGTCCCGTGATTTGCTTGCCCTATCATCTCCGTCTTTCTCCCCGACGGAGTGCTACTTTTACTACGGAGTATTCTACTTTAGTATCGACTACCTCTTCTACACTTCTACACTTCTACTATACTCCAATACTCTACTTTAATACACACATCAGTCCATCTATCAAGTAATATTCAATCCTATCATAACACGTCAGGGTATAAATGCATTACAAACCATATCTCCATATCTCAAATCATCGTCCGTTCCTCCACCCAGATCTGTTTCGTTAGCATGATCGCACATCAAAACCATCAGGAATAAGAAGAAGAAGAAGAACATACCTCCATCTTCCCCATCTCACTCCCCTCCCGGCGCGCCATTTCTCTCGACGCTCCAATCAACAAATCCAAATCCTCCTGGTCAACCATAGTGATCATATCCCCCTCATCCTGCATCTTGATCTTCAACAGCGACACGAACCCAAATTTCTCCCGGATTCGCATCTCAAATTCCCGGAACCCGACTGTTGGCCCGATGATGATGTACCGCGTGTCTTCCTGCGAATGCACCTTCACCCGGTACTTGTGGACCTCTGGTCGTCGCGACACCCCCCGTCGCGGCCCCTTGACGGGTGACGACGAGGATGTCGACGGTCGACGCGATCCCATCATCTCGAAGTCTTCATCTGGCACGGGGCCGTCTTCTTCGTACGCGTCGCTCGCGTACTCTTCTTCCTCGTCGATGTATCGCTCTTGCGGCCGCCCCGTGCCGCGTCGCGAGCCAGGCGCAGGCACTACTATCGATCGAGGCGGTGCGTATCCCCCGTATCCGTCTCCACTGTAGCCGTACGCTGCTGCCTCGGGGTGAATCCCCGTGGTGTCACTGGCTCCCCGTCGATGTCCCATCTCCCGACCGACGGCCATGGGGCCGGTCCCGGAACTGCTGCCACTGACACCGCGGCGCCCAGAATCGCGCACGGACGACCCCCGCGGCTCTGACGCCGTCCGCGTCGTTCCGATGCGCTGTTTTTCGCTCGCGGTCACGTCGGCGCCCGGCCGTCCCAGGGCCAGTGCGCCTGGTCGCTCGAGATCCAACCGGGGCGGGCGCGCGGCGCGAAGGGACCCCGGTCGCCCGATACTGCCGGCGCTGCTGGTGCTGCTGGCCTTGTCGGCGTCTGGTGGCGGCGTGGGCGGGAACAGGTTGCGGTTCAGGGGCGGTTCGGAATGTTGGCGGCTGCGACTGGTTAGGTTCTTCTGCACGAGGTGGCTGACGGCGAAGGGTGGGTTGTCTGGATGTCGAGTGTCCAGCACGGACTGTGCGCGCTGGAGTTCGCTGGGGTGGGGACCGCCGTATCGGTCAGATGCTGCGATCAATCGAGCCTTGCCTAGGTAATCTTTGGTCTTGAGGTTCTTGACTTTGGCTTCGTTGGGGCGGTAGAGGACCCCGACGGGGATCGAGAAGACGGTGTAGCCCTATCCAATCAGTGTCTTATTCAAAGAACAGGTGGGGGGAGGGAGGGGGAGCAAACTTCAGCGTGTTCGCGGAGGGCGTCGTTGATGACTGCATGGTCTGGAGTGACCTGTTCCTTGGCCGCGTACTCCAGATCTTGCAATCCGGGTCCCATCTGCCGCAGATAGATGTAACAGAGCCCCCGATTGAACAGGACTTCGCACGAGAAGAGCCGGAATTTCAAGCCCAGCTGATCATAGTCAATGGAGGTGTTGCCGCGGAGGTACAACAGGGTATCGTTGAAATTGGCCAATGCCTCTTCAAAGTCGCCGAGGAGAAAATTGGAGACGCCCTCTTGGAAATAGGCGATGGCGAGGTATTGGTCCAGCCCGATAGCACGCTGATAGCACTCGACCTATACAGATCAGCCTTGCAATGCCGTCCGGTACCACGCGTCCACACCTACCGCTTTGTCGTGCTCGCCCACCGTCGCATAAATCACACCGCAGTTGAAGAAGATCTTGGAGGTATCGGCGATGGCGTCAAATACGCGGAGGGCTTCGTCGAATTGCTGATTGTCGTAGTGCTCGAGGGCGAGCACCCAAGTCTCAATTTCCTGGAGGGGTCAGTATCGCCTGTGAGAGAGAAAATCACTTGACTGGCAGGATACCTGTTTTAACGACATGATGAGCCCACCCGCAGAGATGGGAAAATCGCGATGCGTCCCACTCCGGGGAGGGAAACCAGAAGGAGAACTCGACTAGTGATGTACCCTGGTATAAGTACCAACGGTCCAGGAGAGCCAGGACGGTCAATGCGGTGGGTGGAACGAGCCAAGCACCCATGCGACGAAAGCAGAGACAAATGAGCCGGTCGATAGATCGAGACAGAGTCGTGGCCAGAATCAAGGGGAGATTGGAAAGGGAAGAATAATTCTCGATCAGGGATGGCGGGCAAAAGAGGCGGGGGGATGCAAGGATGAGGGTGGGCTGATAGTAGAACCCAGGAGGTCGGAAGTACGGAATATCGTGGTGAGTGGTGAGTGGTAAGTGGATTGAGGGGGAAGTTAGGAGTCGGGGTAGTGGAGAAAAAAAAAAGAAATTGAAAGAATAGTGCAACGATAGAAAAGAAAGAAGAAAGGGATGTATGCAGGCGCAAGGGACATTTGGGTCCATGTGGGTGAAGGTGATGAAGATAGTCCGTTGTACATTAGTCGACCGACGATGGTGGGTTGGCGGGTGTGATTGGGTGGCTGCAGGGGAGTCGCGTTGAATCACTCTGCAGGACGACCGCTGTGGGCGCCTAATTGGTTGGCTTGGAACACTTTGACTTCTCTCTTTCTCTGTTATGAAAGGGAAAAGTGATTGGAGAGGGGAAAATACCCGATTTTCGACATATCAAGTACTATATTCTGTGCCGTTGGAGAACTATATATAGCCTCATTTGATGTCCATTGGTCACAAATAGTGTCGAACGTTGACTTTTGGTACCGAATTGATCACCTGAGCCTAGACTAAACATTTTTCTCTCTCATGGATCAACTTGATCGTCTTGGGTCATTACAATCGAGTCTTTCCCACCCGCCTTGTTCCAATAAGAAGAACCCAACGATATGCCAATGTGATTGACCGTGCGGTCCTTAGGCGTCCTCGTTGGATTGGTAGATCCATTCGCGAGGTCTCGCTTGTTGCAATATAATGGAAAGATATACCACCAGGCTACAAAAGATGTCATGTCTCTTTGGCCTTTTGTAGCCCTATATTCAGTGCGATATCGCTCTTTGGTCGTGATGAGGCGTCTAGGGAACATCACACCCGACAATGATGAGTCTCATGCTTGAAACTCTGAACAGCAATTCGTCCTGTTGAAGCATGAGTGGTACTATCTCTGCTGGTCATATACACCACGTCGGATATCATACTATACCATTCATATCTGAGCCGTTTGTCACAATTTTCCTAGGACTCAATGGGAGGATACGGCCCTAGCTTCATCCACGGCACAAATACAGTTGCGTCATGTCTAATACATATAGACCTGGAGTGCAAATTACGTATCTCCTCGGTAGTCAAGGTCATGTTAAGCCTCGTGTGCAAGGCATCGATCATGTCGCAAACCAATCCACCCATCGCAGGTATATTTCTAGAGATCAACGAGCAACAGTACCTACGGGTGTCGACTGTATACAGAGTAAAAAGGAGGTATGCATTCTTCATGCAACACTGTCACCGTGCAGGCATCTTATGGCAAGTGAAGAAGACTTCCTGTATCATGACAATCGTTAGAAGGTAGCCATTACCACGTAACTATCCGTATAGAGAAAAGATATCACAGTAGCCCTATTCAAAGCACGGTTAGTACTCTGGTAAGATATATTTAGATAATGCTATACTAAATTACCCCTCAGCGCCAAGCCACCGACCACTACGATCTATATTTATCCCACTGAATACACTCGTGGCTGGGTCCGACTTCTCCCCCATGCTGGTTCAAGCAAGGTTATCGCAACCTAATGATGCAGCAATCCAGGTACCGTAATCCGACCCTTGCAGGAGTCCTCATCTGGAAACTCTAGCGGAGGAAAAAAGACGGTCGACTGTCAACACATCGATCTCATTACCCAAATTCTCGACAAGTTAACAAATCAAGCCATCATAACTACGTAGCAACCGTGTGCTCATCCTTCCCATAGGCCTCTATATAGAGTTCCACCCTTCTGTCCCGCCCCGCCACGGCGCTTCGCTTCTGGACTGCAGTCGGCCCATGGGTGAAAACCCCAACCAATCCGTTGTCTGTGGCTATCTTTAGATCCCAGTCTCCACGCGAGACCTCGTGATGTGACGTGATGGGAGGAATCACCAGATAGATCATTTGCGACAACAGTAACAACGGAAGCAGAGTATCAACCACCGACAGCTCCTTGCTGCCAAGTCTCTCCCCAAACCCGTCCCCAGCCAAAGCATCCACCAGCGGACGTAAGACAAAGACCAGACGCAAGACAAAGATCAGGCCATTCCTTGCGCCACCTGCTCCTGCCGCTCCTGCCACACATTTTTCCCCGAGCACGAGCACACCATCTTATCGTTGTCCCACACGCCAGCACTGCGCGCGATCACCCCCACCAACGTATCGGGGTCCTCACGACGGAAGGGCCCCTCCGTCGTCCGCGACAACACCATACTCCGTCCGATCATCTCCCACACCGCCACCGGCCGGTCGAGGAACACGTTGCCCCGTCCCTCGTCGTCCACCTCCACGGAACCGAACACCCCACGCGGCGTCGTCGTCTCCTTGACCGACTCCTTGCCCAGCATCGTCGTCTTCACGGCCTCCCAGATGCCCCCCGTCGACTCCGCGCCCCGCGAGATATCCCCCGCCTGTCGCACCGTCGCCCAGTATTTGCCCGGTGCAAGCCCGTTCACGGTCAGGTCGACTAGCGTCAGGTTGGACGAGACCTGCACCATGCGCGCCAGTCCGCGGACCTTATTTGTGACGGCGGTCGAGTGCGTTTCCAGGATGCAGACGGCCGAGCCTATGTATACCGTGTGCTCAGTATTCGATTTAAAAGGAGGTACACAACAGGAGAAGGATAGGGAAAACGTACTGTTAGCGGTGCCACTGCCTCGCAGAATCGCGTCACGTCCCGTTGATTGAATGGCGGAGACGATCGAGCTAGGTGGCGCGGTGCCTTCGATGAAGACCAGCTGGTCCTTGAGGTTGGCGTCGACCTTGTTGATGCCTGCGGTGGTGAGTCGGTCGAAAAGCTATAGACAGACGTGTGACATACCATCAAGCTTGCGAAGAGAGCTTGAGATATCCTTGACGCAGCCCTCGCAGGTCATGGAGACCGCGAATGTAGTCTGGTGGTTTCCGTCAGTGAGCTCCGATTCCGGTGGCGGGGTGACGACATACTTGGAAGGGTTCAATCATCGTGGGCAGTACACAGTAAGAGGTGCAGTAAATCTAGTCAAGTAAATGGTAGATCAACCGGAAGGGAAGGAAGAAAGAAGCCTGTAATATGGTGGGGAGAAGAAGAGGGAGCAGATACCGTTGGCGGGATGAAGGCGGGGAGCGATTTGAAATCAATCAATCGATCGATCCGCGATCGCCGCACGAAGATAGCGTCACTTCCGACCGGCTTTCTTTTACTGCGCGTTCCCACTCCACCACCCACCACCCACCACCCACTGGCACATCTAATCCATAGACCCAGCATCAATACAACCACTAAATCAAAAGAAGCAATTATCGAAGAAAAAAGAGAGAGAAATGTCCTCCCGCTGGGCGGAAGAAGACCCCGAAACCGAGGCCATCCTCGCCGACCGCAAACGCGAAAAGGAAGAAAAACGACGCGCCAAAGCTGAAAAACAGCGTCAACTCGACGACGCCAAAGCCAAAGCCCAAGCCCAACTTCAATCCCAACAGAAACATCAGCAGCAGCAACAACAATCCGAACCTGGAGCGCCCCCAACCAAACGGCGGAGACTGTCCACCGACGCGACCCCCGACGACACCCCCGTCAAGTCCGCCAATGCCTCCGTGGCCGCCAACCGACTGCTTTCCTTCCCCACGGCAGAATGGGGGCCCTGCCGCCATGTGGACAACTTCGAGCGGCTGAACCACATCGAGGAGGGCTCGTATGGCTGGGTCAGTCGGGCCAGGGAGTTCACAACGGGCGAGGTCGTCGCGCTGAAGAAGCTCAAGATGGACAACTCCCCTGACGGATTCCCTGTGACTGGACTGCGCGAGATCCAGACCTTGCTAGAAGCGCGTCACACCAACGTAGTCTATCTCCGGGAGATCGTAATGGGAAACAAGATGGACGAGTGCGCCCCCCTCCCCCTTCCCCCCAAAGACAAGCCCAACATAATTATAACTAACGAGAAACAAACAAACAGAGTCTACATCGTAATGGACTTCCACGAACACGACCTCAAAACCCTCCTCGACGACATGCGCGAACCCTTCCTCCCCTCCGAGATCAAGACCCTCCTCCTCCAGCTCCTCTCAGGCCTCTCCTTCCTCCACTCCCAATGGATCATGCACCGCGACCTCAAATCCTCCAACCTCCTCCTCAACAACCGGGGCGAGATCAAGATCGCCGACTTCGGCATGGCCCGCTACTACGGCGACCCGCCGCCGAAACTCACCCAGCTCGTCGTCACCCTCTGGTATCGCGCCCCGGAGCTCCTCCTCGGCGCGGACCGCTACGGCGCGGAGATCGACCTCTGGAGTGTGGGTTGTATCTTTGGAGAGTTACTCTCCAAGGAGCCGTTACTTCAGGGGAAGAATGAGGTCGATCAGGTTTCAAAGGTATCCCTTCCCCCCTTTCACACAGTTCGAAACAACAATAATAACAATAAACCCAGATCTTCGCCCTAACAGGACCCCCCACCCCCCAAACCTGGCCCGGCTTCCGCTCCCTCCCAAACGCCAAATCCCTCCGCCTCCCACCCACCTCATCCACCTCCACAGCCCCACCAGGATCAACCCCCCTCCTCCCCCGCAGCAAATTCCCCTTCCTCACAAACGCCGGTCTCCGCCTCCTCTCCTCGCTTTTAGCGCTCAACCCCGCCTCTCGCCCCACCGCGCAGGAATGTCTCGCGCATCCGTACTTCAAGGAAGATCCGCGGCCGAAGCCGAAGGAGATGTTTCCGACGTTTCCGAGTAAGGCGGGACTGGAGAAAAGGAGGAGGAGGGAGACGCCTGAGGCGCCGAAGAGGGGGCAGGAGGCGCCCAAGTTGGATTTTGCGAGTGTGTTTGGGGGTGGTGCGTCTGCGTCTGGTGGTGATACTGGGGAGACTGGGGCGGGATTTACTTTACGGGTGGGATGATTTATTAACAATCTTGTTTGGTGTTTAAGAGAAGAAGATATAGTATATACGACATCAGGGAAAGGATGTTGGTTCGCGAAGTCATCGCGGATTTGGACGCGGGATCACTCCCACGATATCCAATATCCAATTGATCTCCCATGGCGGGGTCAGTTCAATACATGTAAAGCAAAGGAACGGCCACAGGACAAACGCCCGTTAGAAACATGCTCAGCAAAGCAAACGACAGGAAGAGACATAGTGTCCGTAAAATATATGGTTCAGGTCAATCATGACGTGTCGACATTTATACAACACCAAACATGCAAGTGGAGAGAGAATGGGTTAAGAAAAATAGTATCGTTGCCAAATGGGGTACGTCGCCGCGATGTATTCATCGCTCGAATCGCTCCCGTCGCGATCGCCGTGATAGAGCAGCAGATCAATAGTTGGAGGCCGCCCAGGGCCAATGATTTCAGGAACGTCCTGTGTCCGTGCCGACAGGCTACGGTCCAGACCGGGCCCGCTGTACAGACTGCCATCGCTTCGAAGCCGTCGCTCAGCCTTTGTAGGGCTCTGGCCCCGATCTGGATGGAGACCGCCTGACTTGCCGTCGACATAGAAGTACTCGTCTCGAAGAGATTGAATAGATCGAGTCGACAGTTTGTCCTCGTTTTCATTGGAGGCAATTACAGGTGGGTGTAAGGAACTATTGCGCCGAGAATCCATTTCCGCAGGCACATCCTGCCCGAGATACTCCTGGGCTTGTTCCCCGAAAAAGTGACTATATTCGCTGAAATCAGCTTGGTCCACAGGCGAGTCGTTGTCCTCATTCAACCCGTCCGGTTCGACGTGGCTCTAGTCAAAGTTAGCACTGTCTTCCCTGGCTGAGGACATCAACGTACGCTACTCGACTGCACTTGCACATCCAATGGCTGGCTTTCTCCGAGATTCTCGGGGCTAGTGTCTACGGGCTCTGCCTGTTCGCTTTCATACTCGGGTTTGGCAGCCTCGGGACTCTCATCGCGTGGCTGGTCCAAGAATATGACCGCGTCTGTTGGCATTCCGGCATCGTTACCGTGGGAATCACTTGGTCTGGGGACACAGGCCGTATCTGAAATGGGTTCTGACTGCTCTGGTTCGTCGCCGACCTCCTGGGTTGTTTCAGGGCTGGATATGTCATGATGCAGCGGCGACTCCGACTCCGGGACATGGTTATCAACATGAGCAGTCATACTGGGAGGCGATGAGCCGCTAGGACTGCCCGAGGGCGAGATCAGGCTGACGGAATTGGAACCTGCCGGCCGGCTAGCAGCCCCATTTGCGTAGAAGCGACTCGAACCGGCACGACTCTCCACAAACGATGCTCCTGGTCCTCCGGTTGCCACACTTCGCACTTCATCAGTGTTTGCCGATGGACCGTCCCCGCCACATCCGTCCAGACAAAGATCGGACGGGTCCATCCGATCCATCGTCGATCTAGGGGAAACAAATATTTCGGGAGGCGAGATTGAGGCCCTTATGCTCATCATGTACCTTTCTATATCCCCGCGAGACGAAGAAGAGGAATAGTTGCAGCTGGTGCGATGCAGTCTGCTCCCAAACTCATAGTCTTCCTCGGTGCTAGCATCCGAGACTGACGAAGGGAACGAGCCCCCCCGTAGGTCTAAAGACGCCGGAATTGGTCCAGCTCGCCATGTCGGGGGTACCTGAGTGTCACTGCGTTCTCCCAAGCGGGAAGTCCGTCTCTGCATGCCAGAGCGGAGAGCCCCCAGACCCAGTCGTGCCTTCTGAATGGATCTTCTAGGCAGGCTTTGCATCCAGCGGACGGAATCCTGGGGGCTCGGAGTCTGGAACAAATAGTAATTATCATTCATCCAGGACGACCGAGGCCCGGCCGGATTGTGTCGAGGATCCTGGGGGTCGAAGACCGGGTAGTGGGCGCTTTCCTCCCAGACCGGGGCCGGAGAGGGAGCTCTCGCGATTCTTGTCAGACTAGAATCAGTATAAGCAATGCCGAAGAGAGACGCACGGCAGGATCCAATCCCACCTGAGTCTTTTGCTCGACCAAGAGCGCGACGACAGGGTCCGCCATTTGGTAACCCCGCCACACTCTTGTTCATCCACGACCATGCCGACCAGATCTCAGGGGGGTGCCACAAGAAAATGACGAAAACCAAACGAATCAGATCTGGAGCGCTATGCGGGAAGGGAAATGAAATTAAAAAAAAAAAAACAATCTTTAATCTAGTTCAGACAATTGACCGGTGGACTGATACCGATGGAGCTAGCGAAGACCAGGGGCGGGCAATCGGGGGGAAAAGCTTCACCCTAACTTAACTCTAGAGCGGGTACATTTGCAATGTTGGACAGTGGACAGAATCGCTTATGGAAGGGGCTGGGGTGATCCATTTAGCTCATCGGACCTACCCCTGCCCATGGTGATGTTTGTGTCTGTGTCTGCCCGTTCATGCTTTGTTCCAGCGCACCCCATGCATGGCTCCTGCCGCGGCAAGCGGGCGGAACGAGAACAAGTCTGGCGACTCGTGACGAGCTGGAAGGCTTCGAATTCTGACTGATAGACCAATTGATAAGTACTTTAGAGATGCGGTGAGAAGGTGAAGTGTCCTGGTGTCAAGAGACAGAAGTAAGGTGGCAAGTTGCTCCCGGTAATCCATCTCCGAAGTGTTTCACATCCACCACTTGTCCTTTGACAAATGTCTTTTCGGGGAGATTCTGTATATCCAGTTGCAGGACCCCTTACATGGATGTGCTAACTGAATAATACTGTACATGGCGCCATTCACCAGATACCTAATGCGATCTATTATGGGCATATCTATAGATCGACATAATGTAGTGGAACCACAGCGTCCTTCGCCCAGGTGCTACCACTTCAAGTGGGACCCAATAGCAAGCTTAAGCTAGTATGCATCGCCAATTAATGGTAATTACTTCATGAATAGTTTCCCGATACATACAAAGCTCACCTCTCTCTGACTCCGTCTGTTTTTTTCCCCCACGAAATGGCTGCTGATTCTCAGATTGCAATCTGATAGCTTGAACCACAATATACTGACCTATGTCTAGCTCTACGTGGTACAGTCTAGTGACATTATCCCTAACTCAAAATGCCCAACATCTCATAGACTTACTACCGTTTCATAGTCATAGGAGTCTAGAAGAAGTCTAGTATTAACTAAGCTTTTCCATAACAACCCGCAGGATCGACCCGCGGACTAGGGTTGAACCTATGTGACTTTGTTATTCCCGCCTCAAAAAGCAACGCATCTATATACAAGACATAGAACCTCACTGTTTTACAAATGAATATCATGGCACTGATTGCAATGCTTGGGAGCGTATTCTGGTTTCTTATCATGCATCGACCATCAGTGGAAGAATCTATCTTACCCTAATGTCTGTCTGCAATCTATACTGAATACCATTGGAGGGTGGGATCTCTCCGTACAGTGGGATGCAAGCTCCAAGTCGTCGGATGCTGCGGCGTCGAACATTCTGTGCAGCCCAGTCACGAAGTATACGTTATTTCTCTGTTCAATTGAATGCTGCAACCATCTCCATGCTAGCTCTGCTCGCAGAGCCGGACAGCTGACGGAAGGCTGTTCTCGGCTCACTCCCTTCCTGCCTTTGTAGGAACATGACATGTCACGAATGCGACTTTCGTCTGATTCAGATACGGGATCGGCTGCCGGTTGATCCCCGCGGTGACATTTGGTTCCTCTTCATGCTTATCAGCCATGCGGTGACCCTGCCGCTGAGGCGAGTGCAGAAGTTGATGTTGGAGTTTTGTTGAGAGGTGGACGTTCTATTCCCTGTGCTTTGTACTGAGTCGTGGGTACAATGGGGAGGTAGTGGGCAGTTTGGCTGAAGTGGGAAGACAGCTGCCATATTGGCGGAATATAGGAGGGTCGTAGCTAGTAGAATCTAGCGATCGCATGGACAAGGGGTTTGTAACAGGACTAAACTCGAGCCATTATAAACAATAGGAGGGACATCGTACTGGAAATGACATGTTTGACTGTCTGATGATGTAAGTATTACAGAGGGGCTCAGACCGCCGCGAAGATATAATCTACGCTATACTTGACAATTAGTATACAGATAAACCCGTTTGTACTGTCAAGGTCTGTCATTCAAGACGTTCCTTTGGTCTCGGCTTTCCGAGGTGTTGGTGACTTGGAATGTTATGGGGACCTGACAGAAGCTGGATTGATATAGACGTTGAAGGGGATTCATATAAAACAAAACAATAAACAAACCAAGAAGAAATGAGGGAAATAGAAACCAAATACAGAGTCGATATAAGCAATATGGAAGCGTCAGAATCAGGTACTAACCAATTGCAGATCCGGCTGGTCCACTTCGCCCCCCCATTGATCGATCCGATCCGCTTTTCCCTTCCAAGCTGCTTCTTTTCTTCATCCAACCCTCCGCCTCTTCGCCTGGCTTGCCGTCAACCCTTCGCATATCGCCTGTCTTTCTTTGTTGTGATTGCTATCTCTTGGGTGTTCAATCCTTATCAATCTTCGGTCTTCAACGCGCCTCCTAGACTTAGCCCCTCCCGTCATCTCTGCTATCATGGCCGCCGGCCAACAAGCCGTTTCTTTCAACGAAATCATCCAAGCTGGTATGCTGCTGCAGTCTGGCCGACACAAATCAACCCTTTTCTGATCAGTTTATTGTCTGTAAGGTCGCCAGAAGAAACGGAACGAAGAGCTCGCCAGTCGACTCCTAGGGAAGAACCGACGCGCCAGCGCCCCGGGCTCGGGGGCGGGCAAGAAAGCGCAAAATGCGACACCCGGCAGTTTGGCCAGTCGGATCGGTGTAGCCAAGGTAACGCTGGACCACCCAATCCATATGACCGCAACTTGAAAGGGGACGAGTTGAAAACAGTCAGATCGCTGACTTCCCCTATCGTACGACCCCTAGCGCCCTGCCTCCGCAGTTTCGAAACCCAAGAAGCACACCCCGACCGCGTCGGCCCCCGTACCCAGCGCATCGTCGAATCGCAGACCCAACAATAAGCGCCGTCCGGACGAAAACCGTCTCTTCTCCGCCTTGAACTCCGCGAATGGACAGGCTTCCGTTCATGGTCAATCGACCGGACTCTCCATCAAGGGTGCCGGTTCTGGGCCTTTCGTCGTCGTCGGGAGCAATTTCGCGCCGGGTACCACAGCCGCGGATATCCAGGCGGCCATCGAGCCCATATCCGGACAGATTCTCAACTGCTGGGTGACGTCGCAGCACCCGACGGTCACCGCCGAAATTGCGTTTGAGGAGAAATCGGCGGCGGAGAACGCCATCGCCAACTTCCACAACAAGAAGGTAAATCATCTGTCGACGCTTTGTCCAATTAGGGATTAACGACTTGCTAGGCGGATGGAAGGGTCATTTCGTTGCGTTTTCGATCAGCCGCCGCAGGCGGTGCACCCAGCCAACCTCGGGAATTTCGATCTTCGGCCCAAAACTCGTTCAACGACCTCCGTGAACAGGCCGACCGAGACCGCCGCTTGCATCGGGCGACAGACCCCGCCGTTCAGAATGGCAGCTACGGGTTCAACGATCAGAACGGCCTCGTTGGCGCCAACCGCGGCGGACGGAATCCCAGAGGCAATCGCTCCGCCGGGCGGGGTGGCCGAAATGCCGTCCAGACTAACAATGACCGGGGGCTCTACAGTGACGAGATGATGGTCGATACGCCATCGTATCCGTCGAGAGGTCGGGGCAGGCAACGATAGGAGAAGTGCATTGGGACTCGGTCTTAGGTATCGGAAGCCATGCGCTATCTGACTATGAGGTCTTATATCCGGTTGGCTCCGCGGTGGACACGTTTCTGGCTTGATGTAGCCGTACCTTGAGTATCACGACATGTATGTACCGATATGGGGCGATCTGCGGCGTTTACCATCACACGTGGACCCCCCACAGCACCACCCACTTCGTTTTCATGTATCCTGCAGGCTGGTGGGTGTCTCATTCTTTCTCTAAGAATCTTGGCTACACCTCATGCTCGAAGGTCAAACTTGGCTATGAAGGCCATGGTTTCGGTGTGGGAAGGAACTACAAGGCTACTGGGGCGGGTGTGCTGTGGGAGACAATATGGCTGGGATGAGGTTGAGCGCTGGAACAGGCCCAGGAACGGGTGTCATTCATCTCTTCAATCTAACGAATTGTTTTGTATCATTAGCATAATGGCATTGATCATATACCCTGCATCTTAGTAACTGGTCCGACCGGGACTCTGCGCCGTATCACTGAGAAAACTCCTTGTATTGATTTCCTAGTGGAATATAGGCTCGTCTCTTGACAGCCAGCAGGTGCAGCTCAACGCTGTACATCCAGTAGTTTATCACGTGACATCACGTGTTGAAAACCGCGCTAGTGAAACCTCGCAACGGTCAGAAGTTCAAATCCCCACCAAAAACACGCCGATCAGGTTCCCAGATTGGCTATCTCGAAAGTGATCGTTTTTCGGCCGCTGAACAAAGTATCCCGGAATCAGATTTTAATAGCATGTATCGAATCGTCTAAGCTAGCTGATTACAACGATTTGAATATCATCGCCTAAATAGCATTTTTCGTAAAGATATCTTGAAATAAAGCCTGCCCATCAGGCGGACACAACCCCTAGTAAATTGTATGGCGGCGCGTCCAAGTCACGTGGCTCATTAACAGATCGGAGAAAGTCACGTGCGCGGTTGTCCGCCCGAAGATTGTCCATTTTTGCTACTACTACGGCTTCACTTTGGCACACCCACTCTCCCTCCACCACCCCCCATTCCCATTGATTGCAGGCACAATGGAGATGCACAGCCTTGCCCGATGCCTCCGCATGAGGCCGACGCCGTCGCTGTACAGCAACACGGTCCTCCGCAGCCAATTCGTCCTGCACAGCGGACCTCGTTCGTCCCTCCGGTTCTCTTCCTCCAACAACCACAATAACAACTACAACAACAAGAGGAAGACGACCCCGTTCAACAGCGCCACCGCGCAACAGACCACCCCCGAACAGCCCGCCCCTCCCACGGACCCCACCAACCCCAACTCCGCATCCTCCTCCAACGACTTCGACCAAATCCTCAACAAGCTCAACATCGGCGGCAACACCCTCGACACCGCCGCCACCGCCGACCAGCCCCAAGCCGCCGCCGCAAACCCCGGCAGCAACCGCGGTGCTTTCCCCGACCACCTCTCTCTCTCCCGCGCGGTGGGCGCGTCCGCCAAAACAGACAACTACCGCAGCCCGTCGTCGTCCGGCGGCAGCGGCAACCGCCGTGTGGAGCTGAAGTTGGGCCCCACGCTCGGCCGCCAGGTGTTCGTTGAGCCCGAGCGCGGCGTGCATCTGCCGACTGCGCTGCGCTTGCTGGGCCACACGCTCCATCAGAATCGGGTGCGCCAGCAGTCGAATCGCCAGCGGTTCCATGTGCGGCGCGGGCAGCTGCGGAAGAATCAGCGCATGGAGCGCTGGAGGAGGCTGTTCCGGTTCTCGTTTAAGCAGACTGTTGGTAAGATCCAGAGGATGAGGGACCAAGGGTGGTAGTCTTTTTCTTATTGAGTCTTGAGTGTTTGTTGGTTGCTTGATGTGTTTTTGTGTTTACTATGTCTGGGTGTATCTATCTGTATTATTAGTATACTATGTATGGCCTGTTAGATTCGCTCTATTATCAAGGTGCCGTGCTTCATATCCTTTCTTTTGTTGTGGCTGATCATGTAAATGAGAATTCTAGCTCTATAAATACCAAGCTATCTGTACCAAACCTCCAACATCAACTGTCCAAAATATACTAAATAGGTACAGAGTATCCGTACACATGTGCAAATCTACCAGTCTCCCCGTTGATTAATCTCTCTTCCCACTCATCACCCCCCCATATCCATTCCCAACAACACCCGACGTGCTCCCAGCACCACCACCAACACCACCAACACCCACCCCAGCAGAAGAATACCCCCCATACCCATTCATCCGCCCAGCATTCCCATATGTGATCCCCACAGAGCCAGACTTCGCCCGGCCAGGAATAGCCCCCAAAATGCCATCCCCGCGCCACCCACCTCTCCGGCGGGCAACATTCCGCTCATAGTACAGCGCCGCCAGCGCACCCACAGACGCCGCCAGCGCAAAAAAGAACACCCTCGAAAAGAACCCAGACGACTTCTCCTCCCCGCCGCCCTCAATCGCCGACGCAGACGGCCACCCGATCCCGCGCCCGCCCTCAACCCAGCTCACATGGAACGTAAACGTCAGCGGCTCGCCGCGCACGACCTTCGTCCCGTGGCCTGCTGTCCACGGATCGCGCGCATTCTCGGCGACTGCGGCGGCTTCTTTCTCGGTACCGCCGTCGCTGTTGCTGTCTTTCTTCTGTTTTTGAGCGGGTGCGGCGGGGATTTCCGCGTGGAGCAGCGATTCCTCGAACTCCGGGATGGAGTACGCTGTGCCCGCGACGACGAAGCCCGGTCTGTTCTTGTTCTTGTTTTTCTTCTTCTTGTGCTCCTTCTTCTTCTTCTTTTTGTCACTGCTGCCGTCGTGCACGGAGTCGATGTTGTGCAGGAGCACGTTCATGTCTGTCCACAGGTGCAGGTGGCTGCGCTGCAGCGTGCCCTGCACCCCGAAGGTAATGGGCGTGTAGCTCGGTCCGGAGCCGCCTTCGCCGGCATTCAACTGGCCTAGGGCGCTCAACGCGTCGGGTTCGTCGTCGTCGCCGGTGCGGCCTGGGGAGGGCCCGCGGTGGGGTGTGATGAGCGGCGCGGTGGGCACGCGACAGGCCATTGGGACGTCGGAGTGCACGTAGTACTCGAGGAGGTGGTAGAGTTCGTCGGGGACGGGGTCGATGGTGCAGTTGATGGTTTCGGTGACGCCGTAGCGGAGGGCGAGGGGGAGGAAGGTCTCGCTGCAGGTGGGGAAGGGGATGTATTGGAGTTTGCCGAGGTCGTCTGTTATCTGGGAGTTGATTAGTTGAGACTTTCATTTCTCTCTGTATGTGTATGTGTGTGCGCATTGGTTGTTGATCCAGCTGTTTATACCACCGGATAGGAGAAAACAAGGGGACGTACATGTTCGCCGGAGTCACTGCGACAGCCGATTAGCCTCTCTCACACAGCCAGTATAATGTCATGAAATTGAGATAAGAAAAAACTCACATCGTTCGATTCAAGCACGTCACCGGCATCGGCTGCCCATAAGTATACCCAGTCCGACTATTCGCCAGGTCGCCGCTGTCGCCGCCCGCCACAGCCCCAGGCACCACCACCAACAGCGACGCAATCAACCCATAGCCAAACGCGATCGGGGAATCAAAGATCGACCGGCCTGAAGAAAGCCCGCGCATGTTTTCAATCTGTATCTGTCGCACAGCAGCCAGGGTGCCCCCGTTTCCAAAAAAGAGCGTTCGTCCCCCGGTTGTTGGGATGGATAGTGAGGTGAAACAACACGGTGTTTTGCGCTTGGAGTTGCGGCAGGGATTCTGGCACTTCCGACCCTTTTGGGTTTGGTGTCGGGTGTGCTCTCCGCGGGCTAGACTGCCCTTGTTTTGGGGGGTTTTTACATATTGATTGAGTCGCTGTGGTTTTGTCTGAATTGAGTCTTGTCTGGATACTATAAATTACGGAGTAGTTCTAAGATACGATCAATTGGTCTACACGTCCGACACGTCACAGCAGGCATTACATCGTCAAGTCATTTTGATTGGACGTATGCTCCATAACAAGTTATTAAACAGAAAGATGGTCACTCATGTCCTCATCAGATATTCACGCTAGGGGTCTGAATTATGTGTTTCTCTTTTTCCCATTACCGAGTCGACTGTCGACGTTTATGACAAGTTGGACCTCTTCTTGAAGGCATACAGCAGGCCCCGGGTCGAGGCGTCGTGGTCCTCGCCCGCCCCCGGCGTCTCCAGCTCTTGCTGGATCTTCTTGGCCAGCACCTTGCCCAGTTCCACGCCCCACTGGTCGAAGGAGTTGATGTTCCAGATGGCGCCCTCGGTGAAAGTGAGGTGCTCGTAGTACGCGATCAGGGCACCCAGCGTCGACGGGGTGATCTTCTGGGCCAGGATCGAGGTGGTGGGGCGGTTACCCAGGAACGTCTTGTGCGGGACCAGGTTGTCCGGCGCGCCCTCGGTCTTGACCTGCTCGGGCGTCTTGCCGACCATCAGGGCCTCAGACTGGGCCAGGAAGTTGGACGCCAGCATGCGCTGGTGCTTGCCGCCCTCGACGGGGTTGTGCGACTCGGCGGCCATGAGGAAGTCGGACGGGATGAGCTTGGTGCCCTGGTGCAGCAGCTGGAAGAAGCTGTGCTGGGCGTTGGTGGCGGGCTCGCCGAACAGGATGGGGCCCGTGGTGTACTTGACGTACTCGCCGGAGCGGGTGATGGCCTTGCCGTTGCTCTCCATGGAGAGCTGCTGCAGGTAGGCGGGGAACCGGTGCAGGTACTGGTCGAACGGAGACACGAGGTGCGTCTGGGCGCCGAAGAAGTCGCTGTACCAGACGCTCAACAGGCCACCCAGGATGGGGATGTTCTGCTCCAGGGGAGCCTCTTGGAAGTGCTTGTCCATGGCGTGGGCACCGGCCAGGAACTGGTGGAAGTTGTCGAAGCCGATGTAGAGGGCGACCGACAGACCGATGGCGCTCCACACGGAGTAGCGACCACCCACCCAGGACTCGAAGCCAAACATGTTCTTCTTGTCAATACCAAACTTGGTGACCTCCTCCTCGTTGGTGGACAGGGCCACGAAGTGCTTGGCGATATGAGAGTCATCCTTGGCCGTCTCCAGGAACCACGTCTTCGCGCTGTTGGCGTTGGTGGTGGTTTCGGCAGTGGTAAAGGTCTTGGAGGCGATCAGGAAGAGGGTCGTCTCGGGGTCGGAGTGCTTGAGAGCTTCGGCGATGTGGGTGCCGTCAATGTTGGACACGAAGTGCAGCTTCATCCCCTCCTGGCCATACGGCTTCAGGGCCTCGGTCACCATCACGGGACCCCTGGGTTGTCTCGGTCAGTAGCCTTCACGGTAGGTAACCAGCGGAGGACTCACAGATCGGAGCCACCAATGCCGATGTTGATGATGGTGTCGATCTTCTTGCCACTGTAACCCTTCCACTCGCCGCTGCGGACCTGCTCGGAGAACTCCTTCATATGCTCGAGCACGGAGTTGACGTCCTCGACAACGCTCTTGCCATTGACATGCATGGGCTGGTTGCTGACGTTGCGCAGTGCGACATGGTAGACGGCACGGTCCTCAGTGAAGTTGATGTGCTCGCCCTTGAACATGGCATCCCGGAGCTGCTCCACCTGAGCTTCCTTGGCCAATTTGACCAGCAGGGCCAGGGTGTCCTCCGTGAGGAAGTTCTTGGAGTAGTCGAAGAGGATATCCGAGTTATCCACCGTGTTGGAGAACGTGCGGCTGAACTTGTCGAAGCGCTGGGGGTCCTTTTCGAACTGCTCCTTCAGGACGATGTTCCGACCCACGGCATTGTGGTGGTCCTGGAGCTCCTTCCAGGCCTGGAGATCGGTAGCCTGCGAGAAACCCGGCATGATCACTATTATTTCTTTGGCTTTTGCGGGAAGAGAAAACAGGTGGGGTCAGCTATCAGAGCTCTACTCGCGGCGATGGAGCTTCCACGAGGGTAGAAACGGGCATCTCTACTCACCTAATTATCTGTAGGATAAGAGAAAGAGGGGTGAAGATTCAGGAGATATTAATGTAAGAAAGAAGAAAGAAAGAACCAAGAGACTTGAGGAGGGAAGATGAGGGCAGGATGACGGTTGCGGGTAGAAAAAGGTATGGCGTCAACGTCCGGTGTGTTGCAGTCCGGATCCATGGAGGGGCTGCGTGGGGCCCAATTCATCTTTCTTCCCACTCCATGATCCATGATCCATGACTACATGCTCTTTTCATGGTACCTGGAATACCTGATTTCACGCTGGAATTTGTCAACCTGGCTGTCATGGTCCCTTCTCCGTCCCTCTCTACTCGCCCTGATCGGTCTATTTCCCCCAAACCCTGTCCATCTTTCTGTCGGTCAAAGGTCATCTGAACAGCGGATTTTATCTTGATCTTGTCAATTGACTTTCCAACCGGTTTGTCATCCAATCGACTCCCCACCGGATAAATTCCTCAAGCAACATATGTTACTTGGTCTTTGTCCACGGACTGGGCGGACATTGGGCACCGTCACGGCCCGCATTCATTAAGCCCTGAGCCACCAACCTTGCTATCTGTCGACTGACTGGCAAACAATCACTATCTCGGATTGGTTAACCAGTCTTCTCATCGCCGACCCTAGACAAAGTGCATCCTCCCTGGTTGGATTTTCAACGGGTTGCGGTGTCTGTTTTCGATCTAGACCCAGCGATATTTTCCCTGTGGGACGGATTTAAATTCTTGGCTAGAGTCAGGTTTCTTCTCACTACTAGTCACCATTGTTCAACAATGGTGTAGTCCAAGCTCGGAGCTCAGGGTCTTGTTCTTTTCTTGGTCTTGGGTGTTATATCTCTCCAGGTATTCCCCGACACCCACGAAACCGTAGTTGTCCAAGTGCTTTCGCATCAACGGATACAATCCCAGAGCACTAACAGGTCCTCGACTATGAACAAGCATCTTCTCGAGCTTGTGGTTGTTCTAGAAGTAAGCCCGTAGACCTGTACAATCTCTCAGGTATCAGCTGTGGCCAATTCTGGCCTATCAAATTTCCTTTTGTCTCTTGATACCGGTAAGATATGATCTGCATTGGGTTGAGATATCGATTGAATGAACAATGCAACTGACAAGTAGTCAACAACATGTAGATCACTAGAAACAGTCATCCATATATACTCCCATGGTTGACCTGGAGAGCGCCAAGACCCGCGCACGGACCATCGGGATTTTCCAGCTTCAAATCCGCCCGAAACTGCTCTGCGACTCTTCCCCAGACACCCATCTCTTCTTTCCACCCCGACCACGCCTTGGCTTCTTTTTGTGGGTGTCATTTTCTCGGATCAATAGCGGCAACTTCGGGTCAACACGTGCCGCGTACTTCTCCCTCCCATCAAGGATCTATCGCGGGCTTTTTTCCAATTTCATCTGCCCAGATCGCGTGCGAAATCCGTCGCGATGTACAACCCTTACCAACGTGAGTCTGATCCGCCTAGTCTTAAAGTTGTTTGAATGTCTGGCGCATATACTGACATTACTCGAAAGCTCCCGGCATGTATGGCCGTCCACCAGACTTCGGAGCCTATCCAGGTGCACCTCCAGGAATGGGTGAGTCCCATTGATCGCTGACATCTCCCCAATACCAAGCCTTGGAAACTGACCAGCCAGCTCCTCCCCCCGGTATGGCTGCCCCTGGAATGGCCGCTCCTGGTACCGCGCCGGTGCCGGGGATGCAGCAGGCAAACGCCCAGCAGCCCGGCCGGCCAGCGGGCTTTCCCGCCAATTTCCAACCGCCCCCAAACATGCCCAACATCAACTTCTCGGCCCCCGTCATCCGCCTAGGTACATCGGGACCCGCCAAACCAGCGACTCCGGAAACCAGCAACCAGCGCGGCGGCGATGGCCCGGGACGACGCGCCGGTCTGGGTTCGACCAACGCGGATTCCCAGCGCCAGAATGTACGAGACGCCATGATGCAGCTCCAGCCACCGACCCGGGACGAGATCGTGCGAACAATATTCGTCGGAGGTATCACCGACGGCGTCGGCGGCGACGAGGGGGTCGAGAAAATCCTGCGGTCGGCGGGAAATCTTCGCCGCTGGATCCGTGCGACGGACGCGGACGAAAAACCGTGCAAGTTCGGTTTCGCAGAGTACGAGGACCCTGAAAGTCTAGGTACTGCTGTGGAAGTACTAAAGGACATTGAAGTGCCTGTGAAGAGACAGTCTCCGTCAAAGGAGGCTGACAAGGAGGACCGCGACATCGAGAAAAGCACATTGCTGGTATGCACTATCTATTACACCTCGCATGTAAAAATGCTAACCTCGGTGTCAACAGGTCGTTGTGGACGAAAACTCTACGAAATACCTCGAGCAATACGAGAACAGCAGAGGCGAACAAGATCCTGCTGAACGGCAGTCCCGGATCGATGCGGCTCGCGAAACCCTTTCCGGCGTGCTGTCGCACATGTTTCACCCTCCCTCTCCCGCCCAGAAAGAAGATGGCTCAGGTATCGATCGCGAAGGCGACACGGCGATGCAGGATGCGGAAGGACAAAACGACGGGACCTCGGCCGAAGTCGTCACGATTCCCATCACCGTGGAGGACGAGTTATCCGATATTCCGGCGGGCATGAGAGAAACGGTCGCCAAGGAAATCGCTGCCTTCCGTGATCGTAGCAATCGCAGGGACATTGAGCGCCTCAGGCGCGAGGAGGAAATTGAGTCCATGGAACGAGCTCGCAATGCAGGCTCGCGACCGAGCCGACTGTCATCTCCCCCCGCCGCCGCGCCGAGCGGGCCAGCCGCCGGTCCGAATGGTATCCCTCTCGGTCCCCGGGACCGCGGGACGCCTAGCGCACCCACCGGGCCCAAGGGATTCGGAGTGCAGATCCCCAAGGACTACCAAAAGGGAGTATCTTTCGTGAACGGAGGCTCCATGAACGGTGGACCGTCGGTTCACATTGACCGGGAAGACGAGGAGTCCGACGCGAGCGACGAAGAGCTCGAGCGGCGCCGCCAGGAACGCAAGGAAGCCGAGCAAGAAAAGCAATTTCTCGACCAAGAGCGACGGTGGTTGAACCGCGAGCGGAGCAGAACGGCGGCTCTCGAACGGGAGAAGAAGCGGGACAAGGAAGAAGACGGCCGGTTGCAGGAAGCGAAGGAAGACATGGACCGGCGACTCCGGGACTGGAACGATGACATGGAAGCGAGTCGCAAGGTCCACGATTATTACGCCGACCGAGGGGCGTGGCTTCGCAACCGCGCTGCTTTCCGATCCCGCGAAATCAGCATGGACGAGGCGGACCGCGCGGCCGAAGACCGCGAGCGCGCTCGATCCGTCCAGCAACGCGAGCAGGCCCGTGGCATGGCGGACGACTTCCTGGCGCGCCAGGCGGAGGAGATGGAGACCCGGCCCCAGGCCCCGAGAGAACCCCAGCGCTTCAAGCTGTCGCTCGGTGCGGCGGCCCAGAAGGCCCACGCCGCCACCCACCGTCGCACCGTGGCCGAGGTCGAAGGGCTGCTGGAAGACGAGGAGGAACCCGAGGCCACGGCCCGACGACCGCTCATCCCGATCAAGTTCGACAGTGCCGCCGAAGCCGCAGGGCTCACCGAGGAAGAGCGCGCCCAAGCGGTGCGGCAACTCGCGGCGGAGATTCCTGCCGACAAGGAGGGGCTGTGGAACTGGGAGGTCAAGTGGGAGTTCGTGGACGACAGCATTGTCAGCGAACAGCTCAAACCCTTTGTGGAGAAAAAGATCATGGAGTATTTGGGAGTGCAGGAGCAGATGCTGGTGGATGTGGTGGAGGAGCATGTGCGACAGCATGGCAAGCCCCAGGAGTTGGTCGAACAGCTCGAGATGGTAAGTTCCTTCAATTTCTTTGTTTGGTTCGTTTTTTTCTTGAGACTTCGGATTGCTAACTTGACAACTTTAGGCACTGGACGAAGAAGCCGAGGTTCTGGTACGGAAGCTGTGGCGGATGATCATCTTCTTCTCGGAGAGCGAGAAACGAGGTCTCTCTGGATAAACATGGATTGCTTCTTACGGGGATCAGTTCGAATAATGAAAGGTTGTTCCTCACGGTTTCGCAATGGTTTGCCCTGGAGCATAGCGAGGCAGGTCAACGGATTTATTCACGTTAGTCTATCTCACACGCATATTGTACGTTTAAGGGACGCTCCAGTATCAAAAATAGCATAAGGGGCCATTTCTTTATAGTCTCCTTAGGCTACACCTTAGGACCTGGCGAGGTTTTGAGTATGGCAGTTAGAATCAACCCATTGACAAGCCATGACTGCGGGGGTCAGTGTCGATCATATTATTTCCTAATTGAACCCTTCCTGCTGTCACTCATCTACAAATTCTTCAACCACAGTGTATATACGCACCACTGTAGACCTCTACACTGTCAAGCACGGGGGATAATCTAGACAGGTCATCCAAGAACCGATCAGTGTGCTCAAGTCGGAGGTAATCCGACACTCCCCAAACCAGACGTCAATGGTGGAGAAACCCACGCCATGCCCGGAGCCAATTAACCCATCAATCAGCGAGTCCCCTCCCCACAGAACCCTAGAGGAATCGTGGAGAAACAGTGAGCGTCTCCCGCGCATTAACCCCGATTTAGCCTGCTTGATGAGGGGGGTCTTTACCATATAATTGCTACTGTCCCACTCGGCTGCTACTACGTTTCTTTCTTTTGCAGATTTTAGACGAGATTTATGCGGATTGACAGTTCACTGTTGGTATTACTGAGGATTTCATATAGAGTGTTCATGAGGTAGTGTGCAGTTGTGTGGTATACTGCTTGCGTCGTCAACACCCCGCATCTAGAGTCCAGTCTCCTATCCAGACAACATGGTAAAGATCACGGGCTTCAGCACTCGGGATGTCCGGTTCCCGGTGAGTCTGTCCTGATTGCGCTGGGACGCTACTGTATCACTAACGCGTGAACAAGACATCCCTCGACAAGACGGGCTCCGATGCCATGAACGCAGCGGGCGACTACTCCGCCGGTTACTGCATCTTCCACACGGACTCGGACCACGAAGGACACGGCATGGTAAGATAACTAATTCCGTCCCTCAGCCTCGAGTCCCAGTCTATCTAATACCTAGACCTTCACCAGACATTCACCATCGGCCGAGGCAACGAGATCGTCTGCGCAGCAATCACCCTCCTTGCCCCCCTCGTCGTAGGCAAAGACCTAGACGATCTCACCTCCAACTGGGGTCAAACATGGCGGTACCTCGTCTCAGACAGCCAACTGCGCTGGATCGGCCCTGAAAAAGGCGTCACTCACCTCGCCCTGGGCGCCGTCGTCAACGCCCTCTGGGACCTGTGGGCCAAGACCCTCGGCAAGCCCGTCTGGCGCATCGTCGCGGACATGACCCCCGAGGAGTTCGTGCGCTGCATTGACTTCCGATACATCACTGACGCCTTGACGCCCGAGGAGGCTATCGCTCTTCTCAAAGAGGTCGAGCCTGGTAAGCAGGAGCGTATCCGTGACGCGGAGCGCAGCCAGGCTGTGCCGGCTTACACAACCAGTGCGGGATGGTTGGGGTATAGCGAGGATAAGATGAAGGCGTTGCTGGGTGAGACGCTTGCGCAGGGGTACCGTCACTTTAAGATCAAAGTCGGGGGCAACCTCGAGGATGATAAGCGGCGGTTGCGGATCGCGCGCGAGGCGATCGGTTACGACCGGGGGAATATCCTTATGGTGGACGCCAATCAGGTATAGCACCCCCTCCATATACACCCTACCCCTGCGTATAGACCCAGCTAAGAAAGACAACAGATCTGGTCCGTCCCCGAAGCCATAACCTGGATGCAAGAGCTCTCAGAATTCCAGCCCTGGTTCATCGAAGAACCCACCTCCCCAGACGACATCCTCGGCCACGCAGCGATCAAAAAGGCCCTCGCGCACACCCCGCACGGACCCATCGGCGTCGCCACGGGCGAGATGTGCCAGAACCGGGTGATCTTCAAGCAGCTTCTGCAGGCTGGCGCTTTGACCGTGCTGCAAGCAGACGCGTGTCGGGTCGGCGGCGTCAACGAGGTCCTCGCTATCCTGCTGCTCGCGCGCAAGTTCGGGGTGCCGATTGTGCCGCACTCGGGCGGCGTGGGGCTGCCGGAGTATACGCAGCATTTGAGCACGATTGACTATGTTGTTGTGAGTGGGGTGAAGAGCGTGTTGGAGTATGTGGATCATTTGCATGAGCATTTTGTGAATCCGAGTAGTGTGCGCGAGGGGTACTATGTTACGCCGATGGAGCCTGGGTATAGTGTGCAGATGAAGGGGGAGAGTATGGATCGGTTTGCGTTTCCTGGGGAGGAGGGGAAGAGTTGGTGGAGAGGGGAGGAGGCGAAGGTTATTTTGGAGGGGCCGCGGATTTGATGGGATGTTTTTAGACGGGAGGAAATACGTTAGAGATGATTTGATTTGCAGTAACTGTGTGGTATTCGTAAATGTTCATTCTATGGTACAAGCGAATAGTTGGCCAGGGATAGTAGCACTGGCTTAGAGAACACTGGATCGAGTCCGATTTGCTCTTGAGAATCCCTCGGCTAGTCTCCCGCCGGGGTATGTGTACAAAGATGAGGCACGCTTTCGTGACGCCTTACTACACTCCGACCGCGGAGCTGGGTCTAGATAGCCGTGGAAATCGAGTCAGTATCATGTTCTGATATACTGACCACACCACATCCAGCATCAATGCTTATCGCCATTGGATGCCGAAGATCTTTAGCGCCTTGCCCACACCAGGCTTGTCATGGGCTTGCTCGAGAATCAGACGCGAGTGGCCTTTCAGGTATTAGTATAGAACACACCCAATGTAAAGAAGAGCATACCTTTAGCATCCAGCGCAAGAAGCTGATACTCCCACTCGGACTTGTCGAGCGGCTTCATCATGTGCACGACAACGACGCCGGAGTTCCGCGGGCCGGCAACCTAGTAATGTAGTTAGTTAACTCCATCTCCTCACTCCGCGGTCAATGATAAAGCTCACATGGAAGTTCATGCGCAAGTGTTCACGACCCAGGCGATCCTTCTCAATGGTTGTCCTTTACACACAGGTTAGCCACGTCCACCCACATAAGCCACGGGAAATGATCAAACATACGCAATAGGCCGGTTCCGCGCCCATCGGCTCCAAGTATTCTCGCCAAAAGCCGTAATCTCGCGCCGGTCCCCGAGCAAGTCCGTACAACGGGGATCGTCCTTGATGCGCTCGACGGCCTTTTCAAACTGCCAGGTACGACTATTGGGGGAGAAGACCTCGGTGTAGAGAAGGTAAAACACGCCGCCCTATCCATTTACACCCCGTCAGCCTTTGATCCTGTTTTGATGTAGGGGTCGAGTCGTACAGTAAGCGTGGCGCCGACCAAAATAACGGCGAGATTGACCGACTGCTGCGTTGCCCGCGCGACCTTCTCCCGCCCGCTCAGCTCCCCCCATTCATACCGGCCGTCGTCGGACAACACGGTGACGTTTCTCCTTCGCGGGGAGGGCGTCGCTCCGGGCTGTTGGCCTATGTCGCGGTAGGTGGCATAGCTGCGCGCGAGGTCGGCGGTGCGGGGAAACCGAGCAGTAGCAGCAGCAGGGCGCAGTAGAAGGACACGCGAGGCCTGTGCGGAAAGGGGGCGAAGAGAGAGACTCATAGCGACATTGCAGGGAAGGGGAGGGGTCGCTTAAAGGACATGGATGGGAGAATAGTCGAACTCAGGACGATGGGAAGTATCTCAATCAGTCCAGGTGAATCCCGAGAGGTTCTTCTCCATTTCCCGAAAAGGAACGTTTTGGTCTTTTTCAGAGAAATGAAAATAAATTACGGGCAAATGGGCCTCACCGCCCGCCTCCCGCCGGATTGGGTCACGTGGATGACTGCTTGCGGTGGGATCATTCCGGGTAATCAAGTAATTTGCAATACAGGTTCAAGACCGCCCCCGCAAAAGGGGTCTGGATCGCAGCCAAGCCGTGCGTCATGTCGTGTAATTTGCAAGACCGACAGTGCCAATCCATGGGTGGATTTCCGACCACGTTCGACCCTCCTTCTCGACCCGATTTGATCTCCATATTATCTTGTTCGCTCTCTGGTTGTTCCCAGCGTTCCTTATTCTGACTTCTGTCATCTTCTCCTTTTCCCTCCTCACTTCGACTCCCCCACAACACCACCCTTTCCTCGGTCTGTTCGTTATCTTTCCGGTCTCCCTTGTTCTCCCCTCTTCGTTATGGCTGCCTCTAAGGCCGAGTCTCAAAAAATCTTCGAGAAATTGAAACTGAAGCCGGCAAACAAGGTACCCCTCTTCGCGCCCCTAACAATACCACGTCGCCATCTGGGACACTCAGGCTGATTTTTCTACTTCCAGGTCTGCTTCGATTGTGGCTCCAAGAACCCAACATGGTCGTCCGTTCCGTTTGGCATCTATCTGTGCCTGGACTGTTCCTCTAACCACCGCAACCTGGGTGTCCACATCTCCTTTGTTCGCTCCACGAACCTCGATCGTATGCTCTCCGCGTTCATGGCCATCTTATATCTACCGTGAAATTGAGACTAACACGTACAGAATGGCAATGGGATCAACTGCGGACGATGAAGGTCGGTGGTAATGAGTCCGCTACCAAATACTTCCAGTCGCATGGGGGCTCCGCTGCTCTGGCCAGCAAGGACGCCAAGGTCAAGTACACGTGCAATGCCGCGAACAAGTATAAGGATGAATTGAAGAGACGCGCCGCGGAGGATGCCCGGCAGTGAGTGCTCCTAACAATCAATCAAAGGTCTAGGAACTAACCGCACGTTCACCGCCAGGTTCCCTGACGAGGTCGTGGTTGACGTTCCGGCTGGCACCCCGTCCAATGGCTCCAACACCCCCGCGGAGGCCGACGACGATTTCTTCTCCTCGTGGGACAAGCCCTCGATCAAGCGCCCGAGCAACCCTCCCTCCCGCACGGGCACCCCGCCCGTCGTCGGCCGCACGGCGTCGCCCTTCCTGAACACGGGCGCAAACGGAAACGGCACCACCCGCTCCAAGTCCCCCCTCTCGGCCTCCGACAAGGAATCATCGCCCGCTCCGGCAGCCATCAGGTCGAGCGCTAGCGTGCGGAAGACCGCGGCCACAGGCACCGCGAAGAAGGCCAGTGTCCTGGGCGCGAAGAAGGCCCCCAAGCTTGGCGCGAAAAAGGTCGTCGCTGCGGACACAATCGATTTCGACGAGGCCGAGCGCAAGGCGAAGGAGGAAGCGGAGCGCATTGAGAAGTTGGGCTACGACCCCGAGGCTGAACAGGCCGCGGCGGACGCCAAAGCGGCCGCGGCCACCGCCGCCAAGCCCATCGCCGCCCCCTCGCCCATCAGTCCCCCCAAGCCCAGCTTCGGCGCGTCTCGGTCGTCGCAGGACCGGAACTCGAGTGACGTGGAGCGTCTCGGAATGGGCGTTGGCCGGCTGGGTTTCGGCCAGACGTTCAGCAAGAAACCGGTTGCCCCGAAGCTGGGCTTTGGCTCGGTCGGTCCCGTCGGGGCGGTCAGGACCGCAGAAGATGGTGAGCCACTTTCACTTCCCATTTGGTCGAAAATACCCAAGATCCACTAACCAGGTGTGCCTTGTAGATGCGGAAATCCAGCAGAACACGACGCGATTTGGCCAGCAGAAGGGCATCTCGTCCGACGAATTCTTTGGCCGCGACCGTTTCGACGCCAACGCCCAGTCCGAGGCCAAGGAGCGGCTGCGTAATTTCGATGGTGCGACGGCCATCTCCAGCAACACTTACTTCGGGCGACCGGAGGACGAACTGCCCATGGGCGACGACACCTACGGCGATCTGGAAACGGCAGCCAAGGACTTTGTGCGCCGCTTCGGCATCACGGCCGGTGACGATCTGGAGAACCTGTCGAATCTGGTGGGCGACGGTGCGGTGAAATTGCAAGGTATGACTGCTTCTGACTGGCCTCACATAAGTCACCACTAACCTAGCAACAGGCGCCATACGGAGTTATCTGAACAGCTAGATGATTGAGAGTTCGTGCCTTGCATACCATACCGTACCATACCATACCATATTCCATTGGCCAATTGATTCTATATGGCGTTTGTTTTATCATCTGCTCTTCTTTTATCTTCCCTATGTCCCTCAATGAGTTAAATCCGCCATGTCGACCGCGCCCATTTCCTTGATATGTAGATTCCTCCACCAACGAAGAGGAATCACACATCCCCCGTCGGCCATCATCCTGATTAAATGTCCCTGCGCCTCCCCACCTTCCAATTCCCTTCTCCGTTCTACTTACCGGTTGCGATTGTTCGCTAGCGTCAATACAAAAATTCCGTCCCGTTACGTTCATCACTCAGTCCGTCTTTCTTCGTGGGAGACGTTGAGTTGAGTTGAGCTCTGATCTGAGTTGGGTTCGCTTCTTGTATATCTTTTTCTTTTTATCTTGTTTCTCGTTCTGTTTTTTTGCTTGGTTTTGTGTTATTTTGTTTTGCTTGCTCTGCTTGATGTGAGTAAGGCCAGGTAGGTAGTAGGTAGGAAGGTAGATGGTAGGTAGTGCTGGAGTTTTCGTTCCTTATTATCTGTTCTGGACGAGTTGCAATATCTAGAATTATTACTTTACTTCTTCTCTCCCTGTTCAATCGTATAGGCCTTCAAAAGCAATAGATGACAGTATGCAGTAGTGTTATATTCATTAGTATGGTAATGATACAATTCTCTATGCGACATTGTTGAAATATCCACACCCTCCCAAACCCAACCCAACCCACCTACTAAACAATACAATAATAACCCCAAGACGAAAAAAACACACATCACCCCCTATAAATCGCATCCGCCACCTTCGCAACCTGCCACATCTCACGCACATCATGCACGCGCACGATATCCGCACCCCCAGCAACACTAGCCGTAACAGTAGCAGCCGTACCCCAAGAGCGCTCCTTCGCCGTCCGCACGCCCGTCAAGCTACCGATGAAGCGCTTGCGACTCGGCCCCATCAGCCACGGCAGACCCTGCAGTCCATGCGTGCTCGTGCGCAGCGCCTGCAAATCGCGCAGCAGAGCCAGGTCTTGCGGCTGGTTCTTGGCGAATCCGAGACCTGGGTCCAGGATGATGCGCCAGCGGCGGATGCCGGCTTCTTCGGCGTCGGCGATGCGGGCGCGCAGCTCGGCGCCGACGTCGGCGAGAACCCCGTTTGGGTAGTCTGTTAGCTTGGTCATTGTGGAGGGGGTGCCGCGCATGTGCATCAGGATGATGGATTTGCCGGTTTTGGCGGCTGTGGAGAGCATGGCTGGGTCGAGTTGGCCGGCTGAGACGTCGTTGATTATGTCTGCGCCGGCGGCGCAGGCTTCGGCTGCGACGCGCGCGCGGTACGTGTCGATGCTGATGGCGATGGGGGATGCCTCGGGGATGGTGGTCCGGATGTGCCGGATTGCGGGGATGACGCGGGCGAGTTCCTCTTCTTCGCTGACGGGGGTCGAGCCCGGGCGAGTGCTCTCGCCGCCGATGTCGATGATTGTGGCGCCTGCGGCGATGAAGTCGCGGACTGTGGTTGTGAGAGATGCGAGGTCGGTCGGTGAGTGGGTGCCGCCGTCGGAGAAGGAGTCGGGGGTGAGGTTGAGGATTGCCATTATGTGTGTTGGGCGCGCTGAGTCGGTGGCGTGGAGGGAGCCGAAGGTGGGTGAGATGGGTGTCGTTGCTGTTGGGGGTGGGTGCGGCGGTGCGAGGGATGCCAGGTGCGAATCGTAGGTGGTTGTGTGGTCTGGGAAGGGGGGCGCTTCGTGCCCAATGAGCCTGGTGGAGTTGTGGTTAGCTGAACTGTGGTTGAGACTGGGTGGTGTTGAGAAGCATACTGGCACAGAGGTCGGAGGACGAAATCTCGCTCAAGCATCAACTGGTGTGGGATGGTGAGGCGCTCGTTGGAGAAGACTTGCTGGTCGTAGAGGAGGATGTCTAAATCAATAGATCGCGGCCCTTTGTCGATCAACTTCTTCCTCCCAAGTGCGATCTCGATACCCTGGAGCGTGTCTAATAGCTCCATCGGGCCCAGGCTGGTTTCGACCTAGGCGAGGTTAGTTGCGACGGTACACTCCCGGTGGAGGAAAAATTCTTACCTCACAAACACCATTGAGGAACGGATCCTGGTCGAGGACGTACATGGGCGCCGTCTCGTAGAGGGAGCTTGTGCGCTGGACCTTGACGCCCACCCGGTCCATTTCAAGACACGCCGCCTCGATCATGTCGACGCGGTCCCCGACATTGCTCCCGAGAGCAATGAATGCTCGGTGGGACGGTGGCTGCACAGGGCCCATGCTGGAATTGGATCTGGCTATCGGGCTGTGGGAGAAATTTCGAATGTGGGATATTGTCGGAGGGGATTGGCTAGCGCCATTTGCCCGGGAAGACGGAATCTGATTGCTATCCTTCTGAACCGCTCGTCGCAGCCCTGGATGTGTGGATTAGCCGGTCATGTCGAATGGCATTGCGTTATTTTTGTGCCGTACATGAGACAACAAAAGCCATTTGCGGGATGTACGGTATATTACGGACGTCTCAGAGGAAGTGCATGCGTACCATATACAGAGAGATTTCTACCAGATGGAGAGGGTTAGATAATAATATTTGAGCGCAGATCAGATTGAGGGGACCTGCCTCTTGCCCAGATCTCGACTGCTATTCATGACAATCCCTCGTGGGGTGCGAAAAAAACTAATTCGCGCAGAATACCCCGAGCGATAGCCACCAGCGGCGTGGTTCAAAGAGGCAGCAGTACCATGCCAATTGGGAGCTGGCCCTAATCGCATACTTGCAGAGGTGAGAATGGATTGAAGCGCTGCGGGGTGTTGCACGCCGGACGGAAAAATATATTCGATACGTCATGTGCTTCTTATGTCATCCCTTCTGCTTATGTCAACAGCGTTATGACTGCATATGCAATGTATGTCAAGATCATCTTATCTCTTGGGCAAACTCTCAAGTTTCCACCCAGGTCGACAGCATGGATAAGAACTCTGCTCGTTTTTTATTCTTATCCCCGGTCTATTGCAACATCGCAATCGCACTTTGCTCAATGTCTCAATTCTCGACGTTAATCCAAGAGACCTCCCTGGTGGGGTAATCCAACCACTGTTGATACACAAATTTGGACGCCAGTTGTGACTTTCCGATACCACGAATGTGAAGATTGTTCGGGACAGACCACTCCTAATCAGTAATCATATTTTCTACAGAAAGATTGTTCCATTACTCATCCAAACGCTCCACCATAAAGGTGTCTCACTAGATTTTAGGGCGGCCTCTATTCCGGTGGGAATCAGTATCCGACTCGTTTGCCGAGTCCTGAGTTTAGGGCTCCCCGCAACAATACGATGCTGGTGGGGAAAAGCTAAGAGCATTTTTTTTTCCTGGCCAGAATCGGTTCGTTTGCTAGGAGGAGTTGTCGGCATATAGAGCACTTTGGCGGTGTCTTTCATTGGACTGTGGTATGGTGTCCGATTTCGGCTATTCTCGGCACTAGTGACGATGTATATACACCATGAAGAATGATGGAAACAATCTCAATTACCCTAGAATAAGCCACTTGATGATAGTAGTCTTCCTGCGGATAGTAGTCTTCCTGCGAGTACACCATTCGCTTTCACAATGTTTACTCGGCTAGCCGTGGAGGGTGGTTCTCCCCAATCCCAATCTTGGATCGATCCCTATTTATAACCGTTAGTCAGTGGAACCAACCTGGTCAGTGCGGTCTCCATGGACAGGTACACTGATTGATAAAAAAACACTCACATGAATCACAAGTAATATGCCCTACACCGTATGTCTCTGTAGTGTCGTTTCAATCACTGGATTGACAGGAATAGCCCTCTGGCGGCCTGCAGCCTTTGTGCCTCGAATGTGACCCCCGTCCTGCTGCCTCAGGCATCGAGGCAACCCCGCCCAGTGATCACTGATCAGGCGATTCGGCAAAGCCGATCAGGTGGAATTGGAAAGCCTCGGTTCGTTTTCCTCTGTTGATGCTTCGCCCTCGGTCCCGCCCCGTCTCCCCCTTCTTCTTTTTCTTCTTATTAACCTCGCTCCATCGTTTCCCTTCCTCCTACCCCGGATTTTCCTTCATCTCTCCATCTCTCCTCCTTTGATCTCTCCCTTCTACCATTTCAGGTTTCCACTCATAACACATTCATCATGTCTTCTCCTCGTAAGTTCCTCCCCATGTATTTCTCCGCACGTGTCACCGCGCCCGTGGAAATGAACCCCGATACATGGCGGTGGCAAGAGACCCCATATTGACGAGTCACTTTCCAAAGAACAAATCCGCACCCCTCTCACGGATCTGCTCAAGATCCAGCATCCCGTCCTGCTGGCCGGTATGAACGTGGCTGCCGGCCCCAAGCTGGCTGCTGCGGTCACCAACGCCGGTGGTCTCGGTGTCATCGGTGGTGTCGGTTACACCCCCGAGATGCTCCAGGAGCAGGTCGATGAGCTCAAGAGCTACCTCAACGACAAGAACGCCCCCTTCGGTGTGGACCTGCTGCTTCCCCAGGTCGGCGGTAGTGCCCGTAAGACCAAGTGAGTCGCCAATACCCTGCACAAAATGGTTGTGTCAACAGCTAATCAATTTGTCCCCCCACCAGCTACGATTACACCAAGGGCAAGCTGAACGAGCTGGTCGAGATCGTCATCAAGAGCGGTGCTCGCCTGTTCGTCTCCGCCGTCGGTGTGGCCCCCAAGCCCGTCGTCGAGCGTCTCCACAAGGCCGGCATCCTGTACATGAACATGATCGGCCACCCCAAGCACGTCCAGAAGGCCCTCGACGCTGGTGCCGACATCATCTGCGCCCAGGGTGGTGAGGGTGGTGGCCACACCGGTGACGTCCCCACGACCGTCCTCATCCCCACCGTTGCCCAGCTGTGCAAGGACAAGAAGAGCCCCCTGACCGGTGGTCCGGTGCAGGTCGTCGCCGCCGGTGGTCTGTACAACGGCAACTCGCTCGCCGCGGCCCTCATGATGGGCGCCTCGGGTGCCTGGGTCGGCACGCGCTTCATCCTGTCCGAGGAGGCCGGTGCCCCCAAGGCTCACCAGGAGGCCGTCCGCACCGCGGGCTTCGAGGATAACGTGCGCACCATCATCTTCACCGGTCGCCCCATGCGCGTGCGCATGAACCCCTACATCCAGAACTGGGAGGAGAACCGCCAGGACGAGATCAAGAAGCTCACCGCCCAGGGCATCATCCCCGTCGAGCACGACTTCGAGAACCTGCCCGACGATGTCGATGACGACACCCTGGACAACGCCCGTCCCTACCTGATGGGCAAGGTGTCCGCCGTCGTCAACGAGAAGAAGTCCGCCAAGGCCATCGTCGACGAGCTGGTCAACGACGCCGCCGTCCTGATCAAGCAGGGTAACAAGATGCTGTCCAAGCTCTAAGCTTGTTCGTTCATTTGGCAATTTTTCATGTTTCCTTTCCCCATTAGAAGTCGATGTTGCATGTGACACGAGCACGGTGGATGGATACAGATCTGCATTCTACATTTACTATACCTCTTGAGCCCGGTCCCATGCGTTTTGTGTACATACATGGGTGTAACATTCTATTTATCTATTTCTTTTGTTTTTTATTAGCAAATTGGTACCAAAATTGATGACTCGCAAGATTGAGTTTTTGGAAAATTCCAACTGGTTACTATTTATTCCAAGATCGTAGCGGTCTAGGCTGTGGGCTAAATGCCGCGTGCGATTGCCGACATCTGCCGAGCAAATCGATGGATGGATAGATGCACTAACCTCAATGTGTCCATGGCTTGGGACATCGAGTATCTAAAATATTAACATGGGCACTTAGTAGACAAGCACTCTGACGACTGAAATACCCTGGGGACAGACTTGGTTGCCACTACGGGGCCAGGAGATGTGTATCTCGATCCACTTTCAGGTGCTGTGATCGATAAGGGTTTTGGTCATCGGGGGTGTTTTTTTGAATTAACTACGTACCTAGTCCTTTAACTATCCATGCTTGACAACTTGGTTCCTCCGATAGCTGGATAGTATTAGGTACCAAAGTTGATAAGATTTTCTTCCAGAAAACAGCCCAGAAGCGCTTATCAGCCGAGTACGTACTGAAAAAGGCATGAGGAACAAAATGGCGGGATCCTCCTATCACGACGTATCACCGCACGGCTTATCACCAACCAATCATCAAGGTATTCTCCCACGTGGATTGGAGTTAGCTGGGTGGGGAAATCGGCTCCAGACCTGCTGCCAGTGTCTTTTTAGCTCTTTTGATTTGGAGAGGGGGGGACAAGCGATATGGGATACTTATTGGAAGGATTCTGCTGGGCTCTGGGGAGGGGAAGGATGGAGCAAAAGATCGAAGATAAAGGAGCATGGATTCTTCTGATTCTGCATCTTCCTGTTATTTTTTTTTTCCTATTCGAGCTGTGTTGAATTTGGGAATTCTGTGATTGAGAGCCCCTTGCTTTCTTGTTCTGCATAGTGTTGTTTTTTTGAGCGGTGGGATCCTGCGACGTCTTCCTGCTGGTTTATTCTTGATACGACACTGTTGGAAGTTGGGGGACACAGTCTAGTGGATTCCCTTTGCTGCCACTACCATCATGATGTTGACAGAAAAAGACATGGATATTGAAAAGGGTCCTCACGCATCCGATACAACCGTCGATGACAGCGCCGATGGAGCCGTTCCAGGCCAGAGCTTCGAGTACGGCGGCTCGATATATGCGAAGATTCAGCGACTGGCGGGAAAGTTGAACATCGAGCAGCGAGGGATCGAGCGTGTCCCGGCGGAGGAACAAATAGATACCTCGTATTTCAATATTGGGAGCATGGTTCGTCCTCAGATTTTGGATCACATTGTCTGCACTTTGCTGACCGTCACAGTGGCTCGCAGCCAACATGGTGGTTAGTTCATTCGCAATCGGCGTGCTGGGAAAGTCGCTGTTTGGACTCCAATTTGTGGATGCCATTCTTGTGGATATATTCTTCAATCTTCTGGGCATCATGACCGTCTGCTTCTTTTCGTGCTTCGGTCCAGCGTTTGGGCTGCGACAGATGGTGCTGTCGAGGTTCTGGTTTGGGTGGTGGCCAACGAAATTCAGTAAGCTGGTTCCCTGATCATAATCACCCTGCGTCCGTTGTGAAGAAATCTCCCGCTTATACTCCTCCCCGCAGTCGCCATCCTAAACGTTCTCGCCTGCATCGGCTGGTCCGCAGCCAACGCCATCGTCGGAGCCCAGCTCCTCCACGCAGTCAACAACGACGTTCCCGGATTCGCAGGAATCCTCATCATCGGCCTATGCACGCTGTGTATCACATTTGCCGGTTACAAGGTGGTCCACATGTACGAGTACTGGAGCTGGATCCCGACGTGCATCGTCTTCATCATCATTCTTGGCACTTTCGCCCACTCGGGCGACTTCAGGAACGTCCCCATGGGCGTGGGTATGTCCGAGCTGGGCGGTGTCCTATCCTTCGGGTCAACCGTGTACGGCTTCGCTACTGGCTGGACCAGCTACGCAGCCGACTACACGGTATATCAGCCGGCTGACCGGAGCCGGCGCAAGATCTTCCTCTCGGCCTGGCTAGGCCTGATCATCCCGCTGCTCTTCACGCAGATGCTCGGCATCGCCATCATGTCAGCCACCACCATCGACGACGGTCACAACAAGTACCAGGCCGGATACGACGCCTCCGGTAACGGCGGCCTACTTGCCGCCGTGCTCGAACCCCTAGGCGGCTTCGGCAAATTCTGCCTCGTGATTCTAGCGCTTTCCATAATCGCCAACAACTGCCCCAACATCTACTCCGTCGGGCTGACCCTGCAAGTAATGAGCCGCTACTCGCAGCGTGTGCCGCGCTTCGTCTGGGTCTTCCTAGGCTCATGCGCCTCCATCGCCATCGGCGTCCCCGGCTACGACCACTTCGAAGCCATCCTCGAGAACTTCATGAACATCATCGCCTACTGGCTGTCCATATACTCTGCGATCTCCCTGTGCGATCACTTCTTCTTCAAGCGCGGCTTTGCCGGATATCGCCCTGAGCACTATGACCAACCCGATAAGCTCCCCCTGGGTATTGCTGCGGCCGTTGCCTTTGCTTGCGGTGTCGTGGGCGTGGTCCTCGGTATGAGTCAGTCGTGGTGGGTCGGGCCGGTTGCCTTGCACGCGGGCCTAGCTCCCATAGGAGGTGACGTGGGTTTTGAGCTGGGATTTTCTTTCGCGTTTGTCTCGTATCTAGTGCTAAGGCGGATTGAGTTCAGGGTTATTGGTCGGTAGAGGGTATTCGTGTTATCTCGATCGTCTTTTTGTTTTGGTTTCAACGGTCACCCTGGGAGGTATATGTCGTTCTGTTTCATCTAGAAAGCTTTGTAAATAGTGTAATAGTATAAGCTTTGTACGGACATCTTGACCTGTACAAACTCATATGATCGTGCTGTAGATCGCCGACAAATGCCTCCGGTGCTTCACCCAGCCAGGACTGCCCCGTGGTGCCTGAACTTTCTCAACCAACCACGTACGCATTGACTGCCATCTTGCTCTCCCTGTTGACAAATCCCGAGAGCTGAAGCTACCACTATTGCAGAATTATTGAGATTCAAACTGCGTGTAGACAGGAGGAGACTGAATACTTTTGTGAAGTGTAACGGGACTCGATTTGTCGACTGTGAGGTAATGGGATGTGAAAAAAGAAAGATCTTTTCCTGTGAGATCTTCTAGTGATTGTACGTTGCAATGTTTGGTGTGTGGCAGTTGCATCAAAAGGCAGGGCCAATAAATAATGATTATGAAGATTGTTGTCAGAAAGATGGTAGGTAGAATGTAGCCGGTGTTTTTCTGCCATATGTAATTTCCTTCAACTGACGACCATCATACTATATCTCTAACGGTTCACGAAGAAAATGAACAATATATGGCCATCTTTCAATCATTTGTGTCGGTTTTCCTTGGCCATTAAGTTAAGGAATGCTAGATCTAGTTACATAAAAGTTTTGATGGTAGAAACAAGGTGTTGTGGATCCGGCATTGTGTTAGATACCAGCAATAGCTGGCTATCTTTATCATTCAAGTCGTGGAGACAAGTGAGTATGCATCTTTTGGCCTGTGTCTGCTTTCAGATTGGACACATCTGTTGACTCCTTGGGTAATAACAAAGATGGCATACGAAAGAAAAGGAAAAGAAAAGAAAGAAAAAAAAAGAAAGAAAAAAAAAAAAAAAAACCCCAACGGAAGGAAACTCAATATCAGCGCCGGTAGTAGCAAAGGATAGAAGCCGCGTTCTATCTGCATAAGACAGAAAGATAATATCACCATCAAACCTGGATACAAGCCGGCCTGGAAGAACTAGTCACCATTTAGCAATCTCGCTGCCCGCATGTCATCTGAGCTAACTGCTGACTGACTTGGTGGGATTAGACTCAATATTATTTCCCGGTTTCCCAGAGCCGCTCGGAGGCTTGTCATCTTTCAAAGTTGCAACAAGAATAACAGGCTTTTCGATCAAGACTTCGTTGTGCCCTCCTCCACATCGGGAGAGTCCCGGATAAATCAACGCAAGGAACACGCCAATGATATCTCTATCGTTCTGGCCTTCAAGACCAGAAAGCCGGACCTTGTGATGTGTTTCAGCGTCAATAATAGTGAGCCATTTTAAGTGACCTTTGCGTATAATTAGCTCAGGGAACCATTTGTGAGCCGGGAAGCAAAATTGCCATCTGTACTGGCTTGATGAAGAGGCCATCTTCGCTGCAAGTTCAGCCGCTGGGTTTGCTATTTGCGTCCTGAATCTTTCCATTTTATGCTCCCAATTAGAAGCTTCGAGTCTGTGAAACCTGTCAAGGAATTTGTGAATGGAATTCGTCAAGTAGTAGCAATGCTTTTCGACTATATCTCGGTATTTCGGATGGGCCATATAGGCACGAACGGTACTTGATTTCCACGCGCTGGTGCTTTCGAAACCTGTACTACTTTAGCCCGTCTTCGTCTACTTTATAAGAGGCAAAGACGCAAACCTTTGCGGGGGTTCAAGTAAGACATTCCTTCCTGGATATGACATATTAGGTCTTGCTGCGTCTTTTCTCCAATTATCGAATATTCAAATAGGCCGTTCCAGGTGTATTGAAAGATCCTGCTAGTCATAATTTCCATTTGCACACCATCGGGTCCTTTGGGAAATGAGTAAGGTTATCCAGGCATTGCTCTGTGCAGTTTTTTCGTTGAGATATTTTTCTCGCAAAGTTCTTGGAAATTGACAATGTCCGGGAAATTCTCGACCCAATTTGAGACGTTGTCTCGAATCACCATGAAGTCCTCTTGGATCCTTGCGTCGCTGATTTGATAGTCTGAACCATAGTTTCCCAGCTTCATATGGCAGCCAGAAAGCTCTGTCTTCAAGTATTTATTACGATACTCTGCTTCTTGTAGAGCTCTATCTTTCTGTACCAGCTGGTTTTCATACCAGTCCACTAGAGAATTGCAACTTTGTTCAATTCTATCGCGCAAGATGTTTGGATCTTCTGTTGAGGTTCCTCGAGGATGGACAATCTGTTCGCCATGCTCATTGCATTCAATCTGTTGCTGGTATTGTCTTTCGATTATGCGTTGACTCTGCCTGGTTGTCAGTCAAAGATATCCAGCGGGTGTAGCCCGTGTTTCACTATAAGATACTCACACCATGGTGTTCTTGTCCAATGAGCTGATGGTCGATTTTGAGTGATCCATCTTTAGCTGTGGTTCCAGGAAATTGGGTGACGCTTAAACAGGCTCGAAATAAAACGGAGAAACTGGGGGCGAGAGCACTGCTCAGATCAGCTTTGATGATTCGCTTGGATATTATCGTTGACGACATACAGTAGACTGTAGTTGAAGTGTATAGGATAAGACTAGAAGATCCTCGATAGATAGGGTGTCAAGTAACAAGAGGTAATTGCGTTGAACACAGTAGGTCTCTCATGTCAAATTGAGGAGAAGGAGTTATACGGTTGCATGTTACAAATGCAATGTCAGTGAATGACTTGAAAAAATCAAATTACGGTTCCTTTCTCTTTCACATAAATATTACATTCACTCTTGATGACATAGTCCTGAGCTTTGGCAAAGCACTCATCAGCTGCAATCATATGCTCTTGTTTACACTTTTCCGATCTCAAAACAACTCCCCCTTTCAGATTTTTCTTACATTGGAAAAAGACTCCAAAAGATACCTCAACATAGAAAACACAATTCTAAAAGGCTCGGTTTTTGGTGAGCACAGAATAGCTTATCATATCGGTTACCGGGCTTCAGATTCCTCGCTTGAGTTTCTGTCGGTCCTGATAAGTGACGGACCCCCCCACCCCCAAGAGGACAGGATGATGACCAACCCCAATGAAAGGGTCATTATTGCTGTGGATTTTGGGACCACTTTCTCTGGTGCTGCTTGGGCTCAGGTAAACAATGTAAGGCTGCCACTTATGATCTCCAGTATTGAAACATATTTATGCTAAGCTTCCTCTAGCCCGAGAAACACTTTCTCATCAACCAATGGCCATACAACGCTACCGACTCTCTCGATGGTAAGACAAGTGAAAAGGTCCCAAGCGAGATCGCATATCAATATGACAATTCCGGTCCAAAGTATCTCTGGGGTTTCCAAATCCCACAGAGTATGCCACGCCACCAATGGTTGAAACTCGAACTTTCCCGGGACCAGAAATCAAGATCAAACCCTCGCTTATCTTCTTCATACAAAGATATTCGGCATGTCCCAGAGCCTTACCATTCGTCTCCTGAAGATCTTGTCGTTGATTACCTTAGTGGTCTTCGGGATCACATCTTCAGTAACTTCAAACGTCAGATAGGTAGCTCATTCGATGGCAAAGATGCCGAATTTGTCATAACTGTCCCAGCGATATGGTCAGACCTTGAAAAAATGAAAACACTTTCATGTGCGGAGAAGGCTTATTTCGGAGGAGCATCAGAGATTCGCGTGATCTCTGAGCCTGAAGCAGCCGCAATGTACAGTCTTCACACACCTGGCCTACATGGCCTAAAATCAGGCGATACCGTTGTTTTGTGCGACGCAGGCGGTGGGACTGTTGATCTTATCACCTTCTCGATTGTTGAGCTGGAGCCTACAATACGCCTAAAGGAGGAGGCACCTGGCGACGGAGGCCTCTGCGGCAGTACCTTTCTCGACAGGAGGTTTGAGGACTTTCTTACGGATAGATTATCTTCGCTTCCTGGCTGGGATTTTGATACCTTGGAAGAAGCAATGGGTCGATTTGAAACTGTAGCAAAAAGAACTTTCAGCGGCAATCCTAATGACTCATTCATGTTTCCCGTCCCAGGTCTTTCGGACAACGAGGAGATGGGAATCAAAAGGGGTCGACTGCAAGTAACCGGGGATCAGATGGTCGGCTATTTTATGCCTGTTCTTGAAGAGATTTATACTCTCGTGAAGGGTCAAATCAGGAATTCGAGTAAGAAAGTGAAAGCAATCTTTCTGGTCGGGGTGGTTTGGACAAAGCCCGTTTCTTCTCAAGTTTCTGCGTGAAAACTCTCACCTGACATCGAGGTCTTAGTGCCTCCTGACGGATGGACTGCCGTGGTCCGCGGCGCTTTGTTGAAGACTCTAGGCGAGACAGCACCTGGTGCCAAGTTAACCTCCGTTATATCTCGTGTGGCCAGGAAGCATTACGGAATGATTATCTCGACAAGCTTCGTGAAGGGTGTACACGACACCAAGAAAAAGTAAGTTTCTTAGCTGCCCGGTATATAGCTTTCAGGCTCAATAAGTCACAGGTACTGGGATTCCTTTGGAGGTGAATATCGCATCAAGGTGATGACATGGTTTATCGAGAAAGTATGCATCAATCATGGTGCGGCAAGACTTGTTTTGACATGCATTTAGGGGCGATTCAATAAGCGAAACAGTTCCGGTTAAAACTACTTGGGCTCAGCATCAGCTCAAGAGTCTAGGCCCTCTGAATTCCATACATGTCACTCTCTACGAGTTGGATACCAATATGGGCCAAAAGCCACCACTTTACTTTAACCGCTGTTAGTAACAGCTCTTTCGACATTTTGAGACACTTTTGCTTACAGTTTGTCTAGTCATGAAACAGCATGCGGTCTTGAATCCTCCCCTGAGTAAGATCCAAAAGGGGCGTCTTCCAACTACCGAAGGAGCGGATGGGAAGGATTACTACCTTATCAAATTCGACATCCATGCAGCTTATTTTTCAGCACATTGCCAGTACACCCTATGGTATGAGGGCGTCAACCATGGGTATGTCAAAGTCGACTACGTTTGAAGCCCTCAGTCAAGCTCAGCAAACAGCATGGATTATTGTCTTCTCCATCCACTTCTCAGCGATTTCTGAAAAGATGAAAGTCGCGAGCTACAATAATGCAAATACCTTCATAACAAGAGACAATTTTCACTTACAGCATGAGTCACCCATGCCTACATCCAATTTGTTTCAGTTCGATCAGCAGTACTTCATTATCACTGTCCAGAAAAAAAAAGAAAAAAAAGGAAAAAGAAAAGAGAGAGAAACAGATGAGAGGCTTCGCTCAAGATTACCCCATCAGACCTTTTGATCATTTCAGCCCTTGGAACCTTTCGATTGCATTATATTCCATGCTATTCAGATCAGAGAGTTGTTGACATAGGCAGCGATTGCACATGGAAAGGATCATATTAAACTGATAGCAAAGGTTTTCGGGGATTCTGCTTTTCCATATTTCAATCTCTCCCATAGGACCCCTGATGTACTGTAGAAAAAAGGACATTACCATGACTACCTCCCTACTCCGTAGTTAATTCCGTCGATGGACCGTATCCACAGTTGTGTCGAGGACCCAAAGCGGAGGAGACCCACCGAAGCAGCCCGCGAGTCCAAAAAGCAAGCCCTCGCACGTGACTCAATTGCACCAGCCACATCGCATGCGCCACGACGATTTTGCCGCGTCGAACAAATCCACAACGGATTTGCCTTTGTTGAAATCCGCAAATTCAACATCATCATCAAAACAGCACAACCCGCACAATGTCTAAGCTAGGAAAGTGAGTGAAAGCCGCCGAAATTTCACAGCGAGAACAGTCCCCTGACCGGAATTTTTCATTTTTAGCCGCGCCGACTGGGCCGACGACGAGGAGTTCGATGACCCCTCCGCGCTCCCCGCACAGCAAGTGACGACCAACAAGGATGGCACCAAGACGGTGGTCTCGTACCGGCTCAACGATGACGGCAAGAAGGTCAAGGTGACCCGCCGCATCAAAACGACCGTCGTCCGCGAACACGTCAATCCGCAGATGGCCGAGCGCCGCAGCTGGCCCAAGTTTGGGCTAGAGAAGGGCCACGCTGCCGGACCATCGTTCGAGACGACCTCCGTCGGCGAGAACATCGCTTTCCGACCCAGCGTGAACTGGAAGGCGCAGGCGGCGGAGACCGAGAAGGAGGGCGAAAAGGGCGGTATCAAGGATCAGCTCAAGGACAAGAAGGTCAAGTGCCGTATCTGCAGCGGAGAACATTTCACGGCTCGCTGTCCCTTCAAGGACACCATGGCACCCGTCGAGGAGTCTACCGGTGCCGAAGAAGGCGGCGAGGATGCTGGTGGCGTGGGCGCCGGCTCGGGCAGCTACGTGCCTCCCCACATGCGGAAGGGCGCTGCTGCTGGTGGCGAGCGGATGGCTGGCAAGTACGAGAAGGACGATCTGGCTACGCTGAGAGTTACAAACGTGAGTTGGCATATTCTTTGCTTTGTTACCCCCTTTCTTTCGTTTCTTTTTCATTTGTGTACTATCTTTGATGTGGATTGATCTGACACGTTGGCAACAGGTGAGCGAGTTGGCAGAGGAAGGAGAAGTGCGGGATCTGTTCGAGCGGTTCGGTCGTGTCACTCGTGTCTTCTTGGCCAGGGACCGGGAAACCCAGCGGGCCAAGGGCTTCGCTTTCATCAGCTTCGCAGATCGTACCGATGCTGCACGTGCCTGCGAAAAGATGGACGGATGTGAGTGCTACTCTTACTTACCCCCTTCTCCTATGGTCGAGGATAGCAAGCAGCAAATTGAGGGACAGGGTGCTAACTCCATTTTCTTCTCTTATCAGTCGGTTACCGCCACCTCATTCTGCGTGTCGAATTCGCCAAGCGCGCTACCTAGATTCCTTAACGTTTTGCTCTCCTTTTTCTCCGCACCCCCCTTCGCCTACTTATGACACCTTGGGTCTTTTCTATCTATTCCTTATCTCTCTTATTTCTCGTCAGGCGGGCTCTTTATTCCTCCCAAACTGGCCTAAGATCTTTTCTTTGTACTGTATGACCTGATCGACGATGATGATTGCTGAAAGACATCCCGGACATGTCATTTACTTCTACTTGGATCGATTCTGCACAAAGAAAAGTTTCTCCTTTCTAGTGGTCTGGCTTCTAATTGCATTGCATTTCTACTTCCATACGTTTCATATCCGTAGGGTCCGAAGTCCTTGTCATGTCTGTTCCCAGCCGGGGGTGCAGGCGCCGAAAGATGCTTGATAGGATACAGGAAAGGCGGTGCCCTTCAAGTTTTCGCATACCAGGACATGGGGGCAAACAAGCAGACATTACAGACACGGACACGTACGCACTTCACTGTAGTCAACTCTTTTCCTCTTTTCACATGTGGCTTTTCAACCACCTACCTACCATCTTCACCCACTCACACTCCCCCATAGCCCATCCCTTACAGCATCGACACGAGTCAAATCAATGCCATTCATGATCATTCAGTGAATGAATAGGGAGCCCCGTTGACTAACCATCTGCAGCCAGTCTGTCAGAGCATTGTCATGCTGCATCCTCCCGGCTTCGTAAACCAGTCAATCAATCGTCAGCGCATGACAACAATGCCATTCAAAATCTCGTTTTTTCTTTTCTTTTCTTTCTCCATTGAGCAATACATCCGACTGGGGGGTGTGGGGGGAAAGGGTGGGCGCGTGGATCCATGGCTCCTCTTCCTGTTACATGTGCCGAAGCATCATTGCTTACCTGCTTTGCTTTGCCTGTCTGCTTGCTGGCTTGCTTGCCGGGTCCACACATCATAGCAGCAATACGAAAGCAAAAACATAGAAATGACAAAAGTAAAAATAAAAATTAAGGACAAAATCACGCACCAAGCAGCCATATCCATTGCGTATGGTAACAACAAACAGGCCCGCCTGATACGTCCTCCTCCTTCCCTCCCTCTCTTTCCCACCTCCTCATCTTCTCTCCCCTCAACCTACCCAGGTAGGGTCACACCGGTCAGCCAGCGTACCATAGGCCGTGGAAGAGCTTTGTGTCCTCTCATCCAATGAGTCCAGACAGAGACTCTCACAGCCCTCTCACACACGTAGCAAGAGGGGGGGAGAACAGGGGACGGGCGTTTTTTTCTGACATTTTTGCCAGGGATTATTCAACTTTCATCCCTTTCGGCCGGAAATCTCGATGCTACACAACCATCTGAGTATAGCCACGACGAAGTTGGATTCTTTTTTATAACATGTGGAGACAGAAGATAAAGAATGCAAGGATAAAAATTGAAATATATCAAAGTCAGTCAGCAATAAGGCCCCGCGTTACATTGCAGACAATGTTCAACGGAACCTTCATTTGTCTGATGCTCCATCTATCTATTATCCCTTCTGTATAGTGATACTATTTTCTCCTTTTCCTCGGCGTAGGACTCAAATCTAATGGGGTATTCTATTAGTATTTTTACTATTTCTGTGTATTCTCCCCTGGCTCTGCTGCTACCTACCTGCAGACCTCGGTCTCTTCCTTACATTTCCTACTTCATTTCTGTATGTATGTAGTATGTCCAGTAACTGACTGACGGCTTTTTCCCGTCCTCTCGTGTGACTTCAAATATCGTCCTTAAAAATCAGAAAAGGTAGATGGATGGTGAATAAACAGGCATCATCCACGACGAGGAGAAACTTTGGGAGCCCGCCTCCCCCAACCACGGAAGTCAGCCAGGTTCTCCGTTCCGGTTTGTGACCACCTCGTTGGTGGATTGGTAGCTGTTGGTGATTTGAACGATCTGGATATTCACATCACATTCTCTTCTGCTTAGAATTTTGTTGTTCTCACTCTGGGTTGGTTGTCAGGATGGCTGGTCATTGTAGAGTCTGTTCTGGCGAGTCAGTCGTCCGATTGTTACTCAATTCATGTTTTAGGTGGAAGGGACAAGATAATAGCAGAAGAAATATGTCTTAATACCATAAGAGATCGAATAATAATCAAAGTATCATATGAAATCTTCTATATGCTCTACCTTGCTCTGCCTCCCGTCCCTCCCTTGTCGCTTTCTTCTTTTCCCTTCGTCTCTGGGCCTCTGGGCCTCTAGGCCTTCCAGCCGTATCTTGAGAAACCGGTCACACCTCGTTCAACCGATTAGACATATTGTGCCCCCCGTGGAGTAGCACGGCGGGCCCAAAGCCATATGGATCCTGGTCCAAACAAGGAACAGGAAGGAAGGGTCTGCGGAGGGTTACAGTGTCTCTAAGATTAGATTATACGAACAGGTTCCGCGGGGCAGGGCAAAAAGTTAGATAGAGAGAACCTGGGCGAGAGGCTGAACTACCTTTTCTTGTTTGGAAAAAGAGAACAGATGGGAAAGTAAGGGGAGTCGAGCAACGTATCAGAGATGAGTTCCAATCTGGATTAACTTCGGGAGCTGATCCCACGGACGTAGTTACCTAGTTGTAGAGTATAAGCAAGCCAACGCTAAAGGCTGAACTTTGGTTCCTTGGCCCACGGAGATGGCAGTCGATAGGTTATTCTGCCCGGCCGACCCAGCGTCGCTCGGCGCTTCCAATCCCTAGTCGACAAGATAGCAGTCTCCTCATCCCGTGGGAAGAGAAAAAAAGTATGTACAACGCCCTATCATGCACACGTGCTTTATTGGAAGGCGACTGGAACCCACATGCAGGGCAAGCCGTTGGATCACACTCCCGTCGACCGAACTGGGTTAGAAGAAAGGATTTTTTTCGTAGCTCGGAGGTAGAGACATGTTCCGAAGATTGCTCCTCCGGGAGGTATCCTGGTACCGTGGGTGGTAGATGCTATTTTATTTTATTTTTATTTGTTTTTTTTTTATTCAATTTAGTTGCCTGTTTGTTTGTTTTCTTTTTGTTGCCAAGTCGGTCAAGGCATCTGGCCATAAGGTCGGAGAGCATCACATCGCCGTTTCTAGATCCAGGGCAAGTGTCCTGAACAAAGGACCGCATCTAGCACGGGCTGAGCGATATGGAAGAAGAAAAGGTGATATACCCCGGAAAAGGTAACCGACCGTTCTGGACTCCCGAGTGAATCTATGGGCGACAAGCTTTGCCGCCCTTCTTAGAAACTTTTCCGCAGTAATACCGGTCAGCTGCAGCTACTAGGCTGGGCTGGGGATCGAGAGCATTCAATGAGGAGAAGTCCGATGTTCCCAGTTGAATGTCGAGGGCCCCACTCATACAACTGATGTTGGAAGAGGCGGATAGACCGATCCCCACTTATTGATAGGCTGGTATGGGAAAGAAACAGTGATAGTCACGTTGAATGATAAAAAGGGATTGGAAAAAAAGAAAAAGAAAAGAAAAGAAAAGAAAAACAGTCTTCAAAACAGGCCCAATGAGAATGCTACATCGGCCAAATACTCCAAGCACCAACAACGCCGTCCTCAGCCATTTGCTCAGCCCCCCCTTCTTCTCCGAGAAAGGGAGACTTGGGTGGCGGCTGTCGGGGGACGGAGTGTTAGGTTTTCTTCCCACAGAAACTGTTTGAAACATGCAACTATTGAGGGAAGTTTGAATCTCGCCTACTACGTGAAATTGCTGTGCTTATGGGGCGAGATCCCTGCCCCTCGAGCTTGATGAAGACGCCTGATCCCCATTCGACAAAAATACCAGATCAAAAGGACCTGGTGACATTGGAACCTAGAGGTCAAGGTCCCGAAAAAAAAAACCCCCAGTCAGGTACCTGCCTTAGTCAATTACGCCCCCCCCCCCCCCCCCCCTCCTTCTTCTTATTCTTCAGGGCCCGCGGGACTTGTGGTAATAAAAGTAGATCATATCGACCAGATTCGGTATTAACATGACGAAAATCGTGCGGCGTACGCTGTACGGTGGCCCAATACATTATACCCTTTCGAGCCACGCGCAACGCATGTACGGCGATCCCTGATTGGTGTCGTTGACCACTACAAGATTTAGGGAGGTTGGTTTTTCTCTTTGTGTCGTGATGGATCTACTACAGTAGTGTCAAGTTGATTTCTGGGTAAGTTAGGGTTAAGTGGAGATGCCTAGATAATGAGGAGATTAAACAGAGCTGATTCAATCACCAGGCAACGATCAAAAACATCAATACCAATCCCTTGTCTTTCCGGTCAATTGCCCGAGGCCAAGCGAGTAACGCGCTATGATGACGGCGGAAAGTAAATCAAGAATCACGTAGTTACCTAGTAGGCATAGACGTCCAAGGTGTGCCCTCCTCGCCCCAGGTCATCCATCCACTCTCTGGTTTCGCCTCCCCCCATCCTCCACTTCACGACGCATTTGTCTCTAAAACTCTTCGCCCATCGACCTTTTCGTTGGCTCCCTTTAGGCTAGGGATGTAACCTTCCCGTCTCCGTCACCCACTCCTGGTTGGCAGTGACAGTACGTGTCGTTCTGTACTTCCTGTTGGGGGTATCGCGCCCCGTCTTGCGAGCAACAATCCTGCATGGCATGCCCCTCCCTCCTCCTTGGGATGCCCCCACCCTCTTCGTCCTTCAGCTTTCTTCCCTGTAAAAAAAAAGAGCCCGTTTTTGTTACCGGACCTCCGAATGGTTCTAATCACTATTTTCAGTTAATGGTGGGAAGGCATAAGCTGCTTCCTGGGAACCGTGCACATCACTATTGGACCAACTAACTTGATGCATGCCAGGATAATCATTCAGCCACTGAGAGCGGGTCCTCTCCCGAGGAATCATCGAGGTATTAGGGCTCCGTTCCATTTGATTCTTGCTTCACTTCATCGGATCTTAACTGAGAGTTGACTTGGGATTTCTTTTCTTCTCCGAATATGAAAAGAAGTAAATTGACAAGTTTGGGGGGAAGAGGAAGTGTAAAAAAAAAAAATTAAAATAAAAAAAAAAACTAAATCACGATCGAACCCCGGCGGCCGGGATTTGCAACGCCCCCTAAAACTGGAAAAGCGCGATCCCAGATCCCGAACTTAGATCCAAGCAAA